GCTCAAGACATAAAATGTGATGCTGATCAATATTTAGGGAGCTTTTAGTCTCTCTGAACATGTATATTTGGATAGAGTATAAAGGTTCAAGGAGTCTAAACAAACAATAAATTATCTCCAATATTGTATATTTGTCTTCAGTGTGCATCCAGTACAAACTGGAAAAAATATGTTGAGTTACCTTCTTTTTCTCTCTCTGTCTACCCCCCCACACACCATACACACACACCAGCTCTACCAATTGAAATTTTACTCTTAACTTTTACACAAATCAGCTTGCTTCTCTTCACTGGGGTGAGATTAATTGGTGAGACTTGTCTACGGTGCTGCTGCCTGCTAATGGATTTTAGTGTTCAAAATGTAAGTCTTGTAATCTGGAAGACAACTTAGGCTTTTCCCGAAGGACTTGACTCCTTTCTGTATCCTAATGTATTGCATTTTGCTTGTAACAGAGTATTGTGGCATTTAATACAACTGCTTCATCAGAATTTCTTAAGTCAGTTTCACATTGACCGTAAGCTTTTTTGACCATGCTTATGGTCACCTCCCACCCCCACCCCCTCGGAGTCAGATTCCGCCACTGTTAAGCGCTCTGAGGCACTACCTTGCGTGGAGGGTGCTATACAAGTTGTTGTAATGAATTAATTTCAAATTGCCCGGTAGTGGAGCCCTTCACATCAGTACGCATTATATAAAGAATACAAAGGAGCTAGTTCAAATCTCCTGCTTTAACGACTAGATAAAAAGCAAATGTATAAATGTATATACATGAAAATGTATGTATCTGTAATCATAAAGTGCTTTTTAATGATAAATCTTACTTTCACTAAGCAGTCTTTGCTTATATGTTTTCAAAACTGAATCAGAATTTGTGGTAATTGTTGTTTCCATAATTGCTATAATTTTTCCTAGTTCGTTTAATTTGCCCACATTCTGGGAATCCTTCCATCTCCCGAAACAAATCTTTACTTCGCATGACTCCCCTGTGTCAATGTTTTCTACAATGCCACTGCTTTGTGGCTTTGATGCTCTTGCAGTGCTCTCTGAATTTTCCAGTCAACATCACTGCATTTCCAGCTATTTATACAATGATTTACATTAAGATCATTGATACGTCCATCAGTAACATTATTGCCGCACTTTCCCCATTGTCTTACCATTGTTTTAGACCTGCCCATGCATAGTGGTGACTTTTAGTCATTTGTAAGCTTATGAATTTGATGATTAAGCATTGACAAAAAGTAGGATTTTGTTTTATGTAATATGTAACCATCTGTTTACTGAACCTAAACCCATGGCTGGATATTTGTGTCTGGCTTGTAGGTATTAGGTATGGACACTGGATTAGGTAAGTGGGTTCAATATGTAGGTGATATGAGCAGTAAATACTTTTTTGTGAATATTAGATTATGAATACTTTCTTGTTCCCACACTAATGTATGGTTCTTTATGTTGCAAACAATTAAACTGGAGCAATCAACAGTTTTATGTTGTACATTATGTTATTGGATTTGTATATGTGTTAATTCTTCAGGTGTTAAATTAGGCCTTAAGCTGTATTATGTTGAAAGATAATTAATTGGGGACCAGTTTCCAAGGAGTTCACATTGAGTTGCCACATTCAGTATAGCCCAGATTTCATTGAGGTTAGCTTCTATCAGTTGGACATAAAATCAATTAATGGAAAATATGGAAGTTGTAGTTTCTCATTATTAAGGAAGAGACACGGGGGTAGAATAATTAAATAAGCTAATAACTCAACAGCAGAATTTCCTCTGGAGACCTTATTTTATCTTTTCAAATATATTTCTTAAACTATTGGGGATGGGGAAGTTGCAACCTTTCAACTTTCTAATGCTTTGTTCTGTGTCCCCACTGCCCTTTAAATGGTCTTTTTCCTTTTAGTTTGTAACCCATGATATACACTGAATCTATCTTGTATCTCTAGAATGAGTTTGGGCCAGGTTGCTGAAACCTGTATGTGTGGGAATACATTGGTCAAATAATTGGTTGCTCTGTTCTCCTTTGAAAATTGGGAATTCCAAGAAGATAATAAATCTTGCATCTCACTCATTCGGTTGTGAGACCGAAACCTTAGTGCTCACCCAGCAGAGCTGCCACAGCTTGGATATAAACCTTTCACACTTATATTTATTTGAGTTAGTTGGCCTCAGGAAAGCATTAACCCACTTTACTCTATGGGACTGAATTCTGTTGTCCCTATCTGATGTGGAGTGGCATTCATGTGAGTAAAATTATAATCTATATGTGCATTGGCTCATGATCTTTAACCCATTCCTTTACTGCAGGGAGTTCAGTGGCGCATTATGGATCCTGTATTTGGGGAATTATGGGCACGTCTATAGATTAATACCCTTGAGCAAAATGCATTAGCGCTCTCAACATGTTGAGCTGTGCTGCCTCATTGGAACACTTTGAATTCCTTAAATACAAATTGACCTTTCATTTTCAGCATAGTTCATATTTTTCATAAATTTAAAATTATCACTTTGTCTATTAATTTTGAATTTTGTACAGCTACAAACTAATAGATTTGAAATTGAGTGTTAATTAAAATATGAGTTGGTCAAATCTTAAAAGTTAAATCTTTTTTGATGAAATGCGGATTAATTGGAATTCTTGATAAAGTTGGACTGGATTTTTCAGTTAGTAGCTATTGCCAATTACCCAGTTAGATAACTAAAATTCACTTTCAATTTAATGCAATCTTTGGCACTGTAAAATGGTAAGTTACGTTCTTTAGAGCTGGATATGAGCAGCAAAATTGACACCTGAGCCAGACTGTCTTACCAGTCTGGAAGACAAGTTGATTCATTAATTCATTGACGATTGGCATGACTGTTTTGATGTTCTGGAATCTTGGAATAAAAGTGGTGACTGTGGTAGTTTTGTAATTTTGTAAGATATTTCAGGCAAGCCTTTAGTTACTATATTAACGTGAACAGGTCATGCAACACAGTTTGAAATATAATGTGGCAAAACGGCACAGAATTTTTATTAATACATCAACATTTTGATGATGATTGGAACTGAGATGGTTTGTTAGGTCATCGCTTTGTGGGCTGCAATTTAAAGTCATCCATGCATGTAGGAGAACAATCGGTGCTGTTATAGGCATCCTGATGTCTAGTTGTCCGAGTTACTAGCATGCCACAACTGATTACCAGTTAATCACCTACTGAATTAGTCAATTTATCAAGAGTTTATTCAAGCCGCTTAAAGCAGGCTTCAGGTGGTTTCTGACATCAATGTGCGTATAATGGGAAATGTGTGTTGGTTATAAATCAACTGTATTAAACGCACAAATGACCTTGAAATTCAAGTGATTGGAATTGAGAACCATCTTCCCAGGAGAGTGGCATAGAAGTAATTAGCTGGCTTCTTGTAACATGGTAAGTGCATGGAAATCCTCTCTTCCACCTAATGGAAAGCAGAGTACCATGGTACTTTACGGTTGAAAACATGGAAAGGCTAGAGTATTAAATTAATAAATGTAACAGCAAGTTTTGAGGTCAAGTACTACAGTAATTGATGGTAGAATATGAGTGAAAGGTCATCCATAATGAATATAAGAGGTGCAAATAGCTCTTTGTTTAATGACCTGCAACATAGGTGGAAGATTGCAAATCCCCTTTCTTCTTCACAAGGTAGGAACTGCATCACCTCCAGCAGCCAAGGGATATATAATAACAAATGTGTAATTTCAGACAATACAAAATGCCCATGATGATTGATTAAAAATCAACTGTTGTCTTATCTCTAAAGACCATATTAATTCTATTGTTTCTGTGAGTCAACACAGTTGCAGATTCACCATCTAATCACAAAATGAAGAAGATAGCCTGGAAACCACATTTGCATAGGCTTCATTGATTGTATTCCCATAAACACTGATGTGCAATCTGTCATTTTAGACTTAATTAGATTTTTAATGAAATGTCCAAATGATGACGTCTTATTCCCCTCAGATTTTGAGAGATGCCCAGTATCCATAAGTGGTCAGGGATGCTGTGGAATTCACATTTAGAAATGTAAATCTAAAGCTTGAAGATAACTCGTATGTACAACACTAAAAAAAATTCTACTGATTGTAAGAAAATCAAAACTTTATACACTCTGTCTTGCAACACTGGGTATATTGTGCAAATATTGCCTGTTTTTTCAATTTTTTTTTCATGATCTCATTTTTTTGTTGAGAGATTTGGGGAAGCCTTTCTATGTTAGCTGAGAAGCAGTGGCTGTAAAATGGATTCTCTTATTAGAAACACTGAAATGCAAGATCATTCTATCTGCTCACTTACCACTGCAATTGTACGATTTGCAAGCGCTTTTCTGGTTTGTTGTATATGAACACCTTCAAAGAGACCTTTACCCAAATTTATTTCTTAAAATTAAAATTTTGGATTGCAAAATTATAAATGGAGACAAAACCCCTGGATGCTTTAATTTCTGCAGCTGATGTCGTGAAGTCATTTTCCAGACCATTAAACTGCTCTGTCTTTGATTTATTTCACCACAATTTTGTCTCATTATAGCTCAATGGTTAGAGCACTCGCCTCTCAAGCGAGAGACCTGGGTTTGATTCCCAGCAGGGTGAAACCTTGGGCAAATTTCCTTACTCCACACGCCTAATAATAATCCATCAAGAAAAAAATAATAAATTGGTCACTTCAATCCATGACTGTTTGTGGGACACTGCTGTGCGCAATTGGCTGCCGCGTTTCGCCCACAAATATACAGTCAAATTCACTTTACAGCATATTCTGTGAAGCACTTTGAGACGTCCAGAAAACGTGAAAAGCGCTATATCAAATGCAAGGATTATTATTATTAACTCCCAGATTGCAGCACAGATAACAGCACAGAAATGTGGGCTACACGATGGCCACAGAAGAAGAGAGAAGATGGAATGTAAATTTTCAATTGCTTTTCTTTTAACCACTTGTCATATCTGATATGCACTCTCCTGTCTTCCCCAGAATCAGCTTTCTCAGGCGCTCAATGGACTGTCAGACAAGGCAAACGATGCCAAAGAATTTTTGCTGCAGCTGAAGAACATGGTGCAGCATGTACAGGTACAACTTCTATTCTGTGCAATGAAATCTCTTTTAACTTCAAATGAAATTCTACAATGCTTTGCAGTGTGTGTTCGTTTCATATTGGAAGCATTTTGATCATTTATTACTGTACTGTATTGTGGTTAAAATTAAACACAAACCCACCTCTGTTGTGCGTACTTTACTTTTGCTGTTTCATTCTTTCCAGCTGGTTTCTCTGATTTGTTTCTCACTTGCACTGTTTCCATTTTATTGCCTTTTACAGCCACGATTCTCTGCTGTCCTGAGATAAGTGCACAATGTGAAAAGACATTTCCATCACTTCTTGTGCCTTCCTACCCGTTGTCCTCCCCCATGCTTCTAAATCAGCATTCACTGTTCTTGCTTTATCAGCAATTGTCAAGGGGTTGTAACTGGAAGCTTGAAACTGGTTTATTCTCACAGTTTTGATACCGAGAACAAAAGCATCGGCTAGCATTTACTGAGGCTGGTCATGGGGTCAGTCAGCATCTGATATTTAATGTTTCTATTTCAGGCTTCTGTTGTTTACAGTCTTTCACCTCGTCCTTTTATACTGTTATAATATCCAACCTGTCAGGGAATGGACAAACACTGAATAGCATAATCTCTGTTGGCCTGACCAAGATATAATGGCTGTGTGCAAACAGACTCTTTGTGCGTGGAGATGTACATGGATGCTTCAGTTTTCTCCGAAACTGCCCTCAACCCATGAACCCAGGAATTGGGCTTGTGTAACTAAAACTTCACCACACATTGGATTAAGAACTCCAGGACTGGAGCTGACTCAGTACTGCTGTTCTGTTAGATTGGATAGATCTCAGTGGACAAGGCTCGGATTTGATTGTCACTGTACTGCATTCTCTGTGTGTGTTGATACTGCTCCATGGATAAGCTACTATGAGTATAAACATAGTCTGAAAATCCTAGTATGATGAGCGCATTAGAGGAGACTTAAGAAAAAGGGTAATGCCTCTTTAGTTAATACTATTTGAGGCAGGAGCCCATTTCCACATTGCTTCCAAATTCTATGCATGAATCTTGCTGTATAGCAAATTCCGTTTACCGCCACTTTACACAATTGTTCTGTAATGGAAACAGTTATTTTATCTGATGGTTTGTAATGGTCCTTTCAGCCTACACTCGGTGGATTTGTGGGCTTGCTCTAATGCTTTTCACCAGTGCTGCAGTGAAAAGGAGGGCAGAAGGAGCAATCTTCTCTCGGCCTCTGCTGAAGAAGGAATGTGGAGAGCTGAAGCCCTTTGTCAGTGTGGTTCAATCTTGCCTGAAGATTTCTGTGGACCTCTTTCACTGGCATTTATTTGTGACCATGGAAAATAATATCTCCAGGTTTAGTCATAAGATACTGCCCTAAGTTTGGCCCAGCTTGACCAGTCTCCTGAATAAGCCCAAAGGGGTGCTCGAATTATCCTCACTAAGTGCAAATAGAAGTTGATGGCACCATGGGCTTTTCAGCTGAGTTTGGGCTCTGACATAATATTTGATGTGTTATACTGGATTTCCAGATCCATGGGCAGGAAGGGAGGAATTTTCATTTATTTGCAGCTCAAAAAAAGTAGGTTGTATTTAATTTTAGACCCAATATCCTCAAGCCATATGGTAGCATTTACAGCCTTTACAATAATGTATAAATCCATCAGTCACAGTAAATGACTCTTGGTCAGGTTCCTGAATCTCTGATGTATTTGTAGGACTGAAGACATCTATACGTCCGATAAATGATTTACCTTAAAAAAGCAATCACGACCGATATTAAACAAGATTCAAAGATATGAACAATTTTATTTGAGTGGCTGGTGAATTGTGTTCATCGCTCTCAGGATAAATCCTTTTATTAAATAGTGCCCTTTCTGTATTTTATTTTGGTATGATTGCTCGACCTCGTGCTCTGCCACTGTCAAGCGCTCTGGGATGCTGCCCTGCGTCAGGGCTCATATAAATGCAAGTTGTTGTTGTTGATAGTAATAAAATTGTGATTCCTCCTGTTTCCATTTTGCACACAGGAAAACAGTGTGGAGTTTGAAGCATGTCTTGTTGCTCAGTGTGATGCCCTTGTTGAAGCTCTGAACAGAAGGAAAGGACAGTTGCTTGCACGAGTGAACAAAGAACATGAACACAAACTAAAGGTTGGTCTTGGTTGTTTGTGTAATGTTTCCAGCTTCTTGTTAATATTCTGCTGATGTATTGCACTTCCTAATGTGGCTGATTCAAGACTGGCTGAAAGTTTGGCCATCTGATTAACCTGAGGAAGCATCCCAAGCCAAGTCAAAAGTGTTCCTCTTCTGTGCCCACATTCACAAGGGCAGTGACCTAGATGTGTTTGGGAGTTATAGAAATTGGTTTGAGTAATGGAGATTGGGATCTTTGAGGAGGGACTAGGATATATACTGCTCATTTTATGTCAGAAAAGCACTGTAGGACAAATGCATTACTTAGTGAAGTACTGAGCAATGCAAGAAAGGCCTATGTTTACCACAAGTTGTCACCTAAACGTGAAAAATTAAAGCTAACAATTTTGAGATAAAATTAGAAATTATTGAAAAAAGGAATTGTATTAAAGTAAAAAGAAGAAGCTAAACTCTGAAAGATGAAAAGGTTAGAAACTGCATCAGATGGTGGGCTTTTTCTGTGTTGTATTGTTTCCTCTGGGTCTCTGAATGGTATGAAAAGCATCTGCCTAGGCTTGGGATCAGGAACTCATCAAGGGTTGCAGGAACAAAGCTTCACCCCACTCCATGTACTTTTCTCGTTGCACTCACTTCCTGTGTGCTGCTGAACATTTGTTTTCCTGAGAAGCTTTTTATTAAATTTTGGTCATAAAAATCTTGCTTCAATTAAATAGGGCACCACAGATTTATGGTAATCAGTGTCTCTACATTCTGTGCTGCCTTACTCCAAGCTTTAATGATTTCCAGTGTGTTTTACAAATGAGAATGACAATTAAATATCTTCCGTGTTTTCATATTTTCATGAAGATGAGAATTTGCTTTTGATTTGCTTTCTTCAAGGTAATTTTATTGAAGTTGTATCATGAACATTCTGCATAGTACTATTCAACCAGTCATATGCTAATTCAAAACTACAGTGCAGCCGTGTACATTATTATCTTGTGTAACTACTGATGGAAACTGACCTACTTTGTTTTACAGAGATTCCTTGTGTGTGTGTGGGTACAGCACAAATAGAATTTTATATACGTGCCTTTCATCGAGAGACAGTTTTTTCCGTTGTGGGAACTGGTCCAAAATTTGTAACAAATGTGCACTAAATTAAAGAAGCTTCCTCTGATATTTTAAAAAATGTAAATTAGTGATGCAATTAGTGGAGAAGAAATTGGTGCAAATTCATATTTTAGATCCCTGAATAAAATTTACACTGTTAAACAAAGTGATACTGCATAAGGTGCCATTTCAATTTGGGGTGGGGGTGGTGGGGAGAATCATGCAGAATTGTTCTAAAGGCATGCCAGCGTTTATATTCCACTCTTAATCTACTCTTTTATATTCTTCTATCACCTTCTCCTCAATGTAATCCTCAATCATCCTCTTAAGAACTTTGATACTTTCTCTTTCACAGCTTCTAGTAGGTGAATCATCTAACGTGGGTATTAGCCTACCCACCATTAGAAGAAGAGCTGAAAAGCGCTATATCAAATGCAAGGATTATATAAGGTGTATTTAGGGCTTGGAAATGTAGTCTGAGATTTGTAAAGTTGTCATCTGTTGCCCAAGAGTGAAATTAAATTATATCAATTGGACTAATGGACTGCAGTTTGGCTAGGTGACAGACTGTTAATTACAGCACTAGGAACACTGTTAGTGTGTTTGCTCTTCCAGTGCAGCTCCGAGTCATCAGTCGTAGTTTTTATATAAATGTGCACATTTCTTACAGTTGGATTGATAGTTGTAATGCTAATTTCATTATGCCGGTACTGAACACTGTGCGTTATTTGCATGTGGGTGGATGTACTGTATCTATGAGCCCCTTTGACTAAAAGTATCTTGCATTTCTTAACAATTGAATCAGATTTACCAATTATTGTGAATTGTTGGATGAGAACTGTTATGGTGGTTTGGACATACCTGAAAAGTTATCACCACTAACTTTTCTGTTCATTTTAGGGCACTGGTTAACATATAACCCTTCTTGTTCCTAACCCTAACCCTACTGAATCTATTTTATATATATCTATATATATAAATATATATTTTACTCTGTCCAGCGCCTTGGGACGTCCTCCCGACGTGAAAGGCGCTATACAAATGTTATTGTTGAATCTCATTTGCATGGTCTCCCTCATTACAGTAAGTAGGCTTCAGTTGTTAAAATTGATGTAGCGTGGGTTTGAGAAGCCCACCTCTACAGATTTAATCCAGAATGGCACAGAACCATGAGCATTTGTGAATTGAAATATATTTTATTTTCAGAATAAGCTTTGCCTTTTTAATGTGTTTTTTTCTGAAGTTAATATGTATTGCATTTTGTTGAAGCCTGGGATCTGAGTGGCAAATAAATATTCTTTGAAGTGTTAAATACTGAATTAATCGTTTGTTGGACGACAAAGTAAATTTAAATCAATGCACAAGTGAAAATGTTACATTAATGCAAAAAAAAATGTCTTTGCACAGCAATAAAATTATATATTTTGACTCTTTCCACCCCTCTGTCAATGAATAAGATTGGAAACTGAATTGCTTTTTGACTTCAGCCATTAAATTCTAAATGTAATTTTTTTAAAAAGTCTCATTGTTTCTCATATCGTTTGGGCCTGCCAAGCAAATAGAATACATTATTTTTGAAGCATGTTTTAATTGTTTAAAAACTAGATATTGCATTAAGTCTCCAGAGATGTACAGTGGTGGGTATACATCCTGCCTCAAATATTAGCATTGAACGAAATGCCTAAATTCATGTCTATTGTACAAATGCAGAACTCCCCTTAAACATTCATTTTCTATTTCTGAAGTACCATTCAGTCAGGATTTTATTCTACCTTCACATTCAGTTATAAATTATATTTTTATAGTATAAAATCCTCTTTTTAAATATTTTATGACCTTGAAATAACTTTGATCAGAATACAATACCTGAGACAATCTTGGCATAGTTTTGCTCTCGTTGATAATTCTTGCCTCCTCCCAACATGAAAGGTGCTATACAAATGTAATTTGTTGTTGCGCTAACCTGCATCCGAACTATTTTTCGTGTAGTTTGAGAATCTTATCTGAATATCTGCCTGCAGGTGGTCCGAGATCAAATCAGTCACTGCACAGTCAAACTGCGTCAAACTACTGGCCTGATGGAATACTGTCTGGAGGTAATTAAGGAAAATGACCCAAGTGGATTTTTACAGGTGAGTTTGATATTGCTCTTGTATTAGTGATTGCTGTAGTGAATGAATTCAGAAATTTCTCTTTGTAAATCTGCGTGTTAAAGCTCCTATCTCTTGTAGGTTCTGCAACAAGTTGGTGAGGTTGGTTTGTGATTTGCCAAATTGTCAATAAATCAATATTGACTTGCAACTTATCTTCCCAGACAATATTGATTTATTTGAGAGGTGGCACATTTCCAAAGCATGTCCTCGTAGCCCTCTGCATGGAAGCCCTGTTTCCATTTTCTTTTTGTATGTGTTTGAAAACTTATATTGCTGTTTTATTTCTTTATAATTTAGAAGTGTAATTTTGATTTTTTTTTAAACTAGATATCAGATGCTTTAATAAGACGAGTTCACTTTACGGAGGAACAATGGGGAAAAGGCATCTTACAACCTCGCATGAACACAGACTTTGATTTAACTCTCGACAATGCGCCGCTGCTACAAACTATTCATCAGCTGGACTTTGTACAAATGAAAGGTAAGGATAATACAATACCCCAGAAAGATGGAACCACGCTGTTTGTTATCAAATCTCTACAAGTGTATCCCAGTGTAACAATCCATGGAAATATTATTGAGCCAAATCAATCAGTACAATTTCTAGTTTGTCAAGCTGATGAAACTTTAATTTTAAAAAATCTCCATGTTTATTGATTTACAATAAACGTGGTCAAATGAACATTTGTTCTATATTCATTAAAGGTCCCCACATTGTAGAATAGAACACCGTATATCAGCAATAGGCAATCTGAATAAACTCTGTATGCAGAATAATCCTCCCTCTAGATTGCCTCTACCAGGTGCTTCAACCTCAGTCTCCAAAGAGTAGTTTCCATTACATTTAGTGTGAACACAGATGTGGTATCTTAAAAACAAATTTTTATGGTCACATAACAAGTAACAACAAATAATGAGGTTTAATAAGGACAGTGGATAGGAAGTCTCAAACCATTGATCATGTAGTGATACGTCAAACTTTACAAACATGTATGGAAGCAGAACTTGTTTATTTTACCTTTTACACAACATTACATAGAATGCACAGACCTATGTATGATCATTTGGTTCATTACACCGGTGTATAAAGCTTTCTTACTGGTCTCAAAACCGAGATGGAACTCCCTTAAGCGAACTAGTTGTTCTTAGGGAGTTGCTCTTATTACAAAATGGGGGACTGTGCAGATCACTTAACATTTGCACAAAGATTGGCAACTGTCTTTCTACTTTTACTGATGAAATTCAACCCCAAAAATGTAATGAGCTGATCAAAAATTTAGCAGCATTTTTAAATATATATATTTTATACTATATTATATTCATAGCGGTTCATTTTTTATGCTCGGCATCACGTGCAAAGAAAAAAAGGTTGATATTAAATCTTGAGTATTAGATGTGTGATTTACACAGCAATGTGTTTTGGTCCTTTGGGTGATTGGATTGTGCTTAGGTTGAGGGTTTGTCAGTGCAAAAGGAACACATTTTTATTTTCCACAGTTTTATCCTCATGGCTGACCTCAGAGAGATTGTACTGTGTGCAGCTTTGTGCTATGGGTCTGTGCCCAACAAGAATTCTTGCATTGTCTCTTTCACTTAACGTTGAGTGTACCAAAAATGAATTGATATCAGAATAATTAATTATTGAACGTTTTTCCACCTCACTATTAATCTAAATGTAATACTTTAGACCTATTTAAACTCAAGGAAACCAAGAGAGTTGAATTTCTAATGCCTTAACTGCCTGGAGAACGCTGTTGGTATAATTTCATGTTGAAGTGTATTAAAACCGGCAACATGCATTCAACTTGTGATCATTATCCTAACAGCTGTAATTCACAATTACAGTGCTGAGCACGGTTAATGAGAAAGCAGTTCAAAAGCAGTTAAGCAGTTCGTGTTTTGTTCTGCTAATTGAATTTGTTATTTCTACAGCTGTACCATTGCACACGGGAAGTGAAGTTCATTTCTTAATCAACTCCCTTGTGTTAATCGACTTACTTGTTTTCTCCCTGAATAACACGTTTCAGTTATTGTGAACTGGTGCGTCAATCTGACTCTGTGATGAGACATAGGACTTGGTATTTTCAACTCTAGATATCTGCTATCTTTTTGAGGGGGAGTGGGGGGGTTGGTCTATAGTTTTAATTTCCTCTTTGGATCTTCCCACAATCTTGCACCATCTGGAGGTGAGTTGGAGCTGTCTGTTCAAACAAATTAAAGACCACATGTCGGGCTGACTTGCCTTCTGGTTTGCCCTTGTTCCCTGTGGGAAGTACCTCGATTCGTTTGGGCTCCTTTCCAATGTATGAGTGATGAATATATAGTATTTTCATATTTGATTGAAGGAATGAAGGAATTTGGGTCAAAATAGTGAAATGAAAGAAAACAATGTACTGCAGTGAATTATTATTGGAAGTCACTGGACAAACAGGAACAGTTTTGAAAGATCAAATGGTGGGATTTTCTGACTTCTGGACAAATTAATTTAAAATAATTTACTGTATTAAATATAATATTAAATATAAGAATCAACTTAATCTCATCTTTAGCCAGGCAGACAGAAATATGCTGTGACTATTCTCTCACCTTGTCACTTTCCAGCACTAATGATCTAAATTGTCTTCGAGCAGGATGGAACTTCAACTCTCAAAAACAACAGTTCTTTCTCTCCTCTTTTCCTCCCCTCCCTCCACCCCACCCCCCCCCCCCCCCACCCACCCACCCACATCCCAAGAGTGCAGCTGCAGGTCAACACTAACTGTTGGAAAAAGATTGATCCTAGCAACGTTAGATGACAAATTGGAAATAGTTCCTGTGGTTTTCCAAAAGGGAACATTACACTAATTTCTGCTTAGTTTCCTCCCCAGTGCCATCAGCTCCTATGCTACAGCTGGAAGAATGTTGCACTCACAACAACAGTGTGACATTGTCCTGGAAACAGCCACCACTTTCAAGTGTTCAAGTAGAAGGCTACATTCTAGAGCTCGATGATGGAAATGGTGGCCAGTTTAGGGTGAGTATTTTAAAATGATGCAGATGGTACACAGCAATCCATATGAGCCAAGGTGGTGTGCATTTATTAGGAGAGAGCACTGTATTGACAAAACGTGTGCTTTCCCCACAAACTTCACATACAAGGGTGATAGGTTTTAGCATAAAACCCTGCGCTGGTGATATTGTTGTTGATATTCGAGATAAAAGGACAAGGTCTACAGTGCAGGATATAAGGAAGATTGAAAGTGGAGAAAGAAGATGAGCCAAAACTTAAGTGATTTGTTGAGGCCAAGCTTGAGTTTTAACAGCTTATAGATTGCATGAGGATAAAATAGGGGAAAAGATAATTCAGTCTGGATGTCCTCTGCGAAGAGGAAAACATTATAGAATAATGTATTTGATGTTGGGGAGCAATGGAGAGCGATAACAATGGAAGTGATGATAAAATGTGATCCAGAGAAAGGACAAAGGAGATGACCAGCTTCTTCTTGTTCTGTAGCTTGTTCTTCTTGTTCTGGAGCTGGTGTCAAATGCTTTCAGAGAAGAGAAAATTGAATTCTTCAGATTTTTGCAGGACTGCAAGGACTTTGATTTGATGAAGGTGTACTTTACGTTAAACTTTCTTCCTAAACAATATCTTGTTGCCTCAGTGCATTAAACAGTAAGATTTGAAAATAAACCTTATGAAATTTCCTCCTTATAAAATGCTAGGTTTATTAAAGGATGAACCTAAAAAGAAGCAGAGCAGCAGCACAATATGTTCATTTCCAGCACAATCCACTGCAGTGCTAAAATGTGTGTTCACACCTAGCATTTTACACAGTGAATTTCCAATCTCCATGATGCGATCTGCATGACAGGCAAATAAGCTTCCTTTATACACTGCTGGAAAGTAATTGAAAGTTAATCCAATAATTGCTGAACTGTGCCATTTTGGTTTCCCTGAATAGGAGGTGTATGTTGGAAAAGAAACGATGTGTACGGTTGATGGACTACATTTCAACAGCACATACAATGCTCGAGTTAAAGCCTTCAACAAGTCGGGAGTTGGGCCCTACAGCAAGACACTTGTGCTGCAGACTTCAGAGGGTGAGGTTTTGTCACAGATGCTTTAAACACTGACCTCATTTGGAATTGGGTTCAAAGAGAATACAATGCTCTAAAATAAGCAGAAAGCTTTGTTTTTTTAAAAAAATAGTATCTATTGCTTGTAAAGATGAAGTGGCTGAACTGAAAAACATTCTGCTCTAAAATAAGTAGAACGCTTTTATTTAAAAAAAAGTACTGCTTTTTTAGTATAAAGTAGTTAATTTGTGCAAACCATAGGTTAGAACAAATAAACTGTTCTTTCAGTTTATGAAATGCATATGGTAATAAGCTAACGCTGAGTTCTTAAGCAATACAGTATTGATCTATTTGTTTTTCAAGTGCATTTGCGGTTATTTTAATTGTAAATTGAACTATTAAATTTGTTTTTTTAAAAAGTTGAACTATGTATATGGTGGTGATACTTTTCCAAAAATGTATAATGTATTTTGAGCTGTTGGCTCTTATGAAATTTTAAAAAACTTTTGTTTGTACAACTAAATGAATTACTGTGATGTACTTGATTGCAAAGCATCGGAAGTTTTTTTTTCTAAAGTCGTCCCTGTTATATTTTACAGATATCACCTACCCATACAATCAGTGTAAGTTAGCCACAATTATAAATGTTTTGCTGCTTATGACGCTGTGATTAGCCACTTTCAGTGTGACCTGATCCCATTCTATGTGTTTGTCTGTCTGCCTATAAAATCATGAAAAAAGGGCGTAGATTTTTTTTTGATCAAATCCAAGTTAATGTATTGGAAAAATAAACTACTTGTGTAATTCCAAAACCATATGCAATTTTTTTTATGAGGTAAACTATGTATTGTTTAGGATCGTAAAAGTGACTGTGTATACCAGTCTTGTTTAATTCCTCTGCATTAAGGCTTCTGTTTGTTCTATGCTTTCTTTCTGTGAGTGGATGGAGTGCAATGATTCTAATGTCATTGTATTTCTGATGTGTGGCAATGTCGTGGAGGAAGCACAAACTAAGGTTTCAATGATGGCTGCTCTTGTAATGTTTTAAACAAGATTAAATCATTTTTAATGAAGTTAAGGGAGGACAATAACTAGTATATGTTAAAGTGAAATAAAATAATCTCTTGATATTTTTGTGGGAGGCACTTTAAAGAAACCTTTACTTTTTTAAAAAAAGTATTAATCTCCTGGCAAACTAAATATTCAGCACAATTAATCTGAAATATCTGGAACAAGATCATGACATTTTCTATTTACAGAAAATATGGTGTAAATATAAGGGGAGCTAGGGCAAAGCACAATCTGTCAGAGCTAAATCTGTCGTTCAGTAGAAATGCAAAAGTTCAATTAAAAAAAGACCTCTCTGGTATTGTAAATTGCATCCATCTGGTCCAATCTGGGGGTGGACTTTTTCAGTGTTGCTGACTTTTCCAACAGAATGTTCCAAAGGGCCTTAAATGGCAAATTCCACAATTTCTCAACACATTTGTTTTTTGCCTTTAAGAATTGGCTCCAGCTCACACCGGTAGAATTGTGAAGAAATAGCATGGGTCTGCTTTTCTCCTGCTGTTAAACTTGTTTGTAGTGACGACAAGCTGCATGAAATCCTCAGCAAGTTCAAATCCTAGCCTTCAAGGACATTTGCACACAGGCTTCTTCGAATAACTGGACTGTTTCCAGAATCTCCCAAGTCATCTGTTGAAAGAGGGAAGAAAATAATCTAGAAGTATTCTTTCCTGTGTTGCTCACATAAGCCTCTGACAGCCGAATTGGTGTATGGCATTGATGATGGCAATAGAGATGTTTTAAAGGTTAAATCATTCTGCCTTTTGATTGAGGAGGATCGCAAGGCCACGTGAGATGGGAAAAGAAAAATGCAAAAAACACAGTCATCAAATGGGAACCAGAATGTAAAATCCATCCCTAGGCTTTTCAGTACCACTGTTTCAACAAAATTCTATTGTGGTTCTCTGATACAAGAATTAATTAAACACTTCACATGCTCATTCGGATTAGTGTAACCATTAATTGCTGAAGAAATACAGAGCTTGGAAACAAAAAAAAGTTAATTTAAAAAATTCTTGCATTTGATTTACCGCCCATAATGTTGAATGTCGTGAAGAGCATCACAACATTTTTGTAAATTGCATTGACTATTATTACACGGTAGTCAATTTGCACTTAGTAATCCCACACAAACTGCCACATCAATATTATCTGGAGGATTGTTGGCCAGGACACCATGAGAAACTGTTTTGAAATATTGACATGGGATCCTTAACAACTGCAGATCTGAGTACAACCTCTCATTCAGAAGATGGACCCTCTAGCAGTGTATTAGCCTGGTAGACTGAACTCAAAAGTCCCAATGTGAACCCACAACTTTTTGACCCAGGAGCAAGTGTTGCCAACTGACCTCTCACCAATTATGCAGCTATCTGAGCAGCACCATCCAGGATTTAATAATATAATATTCCGTGCATTTTGATACAGAATCTTATTACTCTTATACATTTGCATTATTAATTTGCTGACAGCTGCAAAGTTCAAACCCTCACTTGTGTCTCAGTAGAACCAATTACTTGAGCAAATTGGGTCAGACTGTGCATCTCAGGGTCAGACTGTGCATCTCAGGACAAGCCAGGATATGGGGGAATGTTGCTTCAGTTTTAAAACATTTTTGTTAATGGGAATTCAAAAATTAAAGTAATTTATTGTGCCCCATCATGCACGTGCTTCTCAGTTTTGTAAAGAGAAACGGATATGATTATTGTGCAGATCTTGTTGACATCTATCCACGTGTTAATTCATAAAGAATATGATGGATATTTTCAATCTGTCCAGTTGCTGAATATACCGAATTAAGGCATTGCAATACTGTTTAGATAGAATGACAATATTTCTATGAATGTTATTTCAAATTATAATTTTCTAATGTTCAAGTCCGCCTGTGGCATTCAGTGAAATCTGGGACTCGGCCTCCATAGAAATTTGTGTGACTGAAAATGCACAACAAACCTGGTAGACAACTATATTCTCCGTTTCAGAAACAAAAGGTCTGCAAATCTACAATATAGGGCAGTACAGCAGGGACAACAAATTGGTACTCTGGCATAATGTTAGTCACAGTGGTAGGATGTAACTTCACTTTGTAATACCTGTTCATTATGCTATATAAGGTTCCAAGCGTAGGCTAGATGCTTGCCCACAGGGAACAAGTCACTTCAGGCCATTTATGCATTCTAGAGCACTTTCCAATGTGATCGCTAGAATATATTAGTTGTCACATTGTGGCCTTTCAATTTGCTTTTGAGAAGTAAGTGATAAATTAATCCATTGCACAGTCTCCTCCAAAGTATGAGTAAACTCATTATACTGCAGTGAGTTTACCCAATCTATAGGGTATTTGGATCTTAAACTGGTTGGTTTGCTGCCAGTACCAACTAAGAGCTTGAGGGAATAGAGTATTTTTAAATCTTATTATTTAAACTCTATTTTTAACTTTTATTCTCGGCTTTCAAAGCAATATTCCAGATTACTAATTCTCCTAGGATGCAATTAATTTTGTGTTTGGATGTTTCGGTGTACTGTCTTATACAGATACCGACAGTAGGTTCATGTAAAGCTGTGACAGCAGCAATAAGTCATTCACGAGAGAAAAGAGAGAAATGCATGTGGAGCAGTTTCTGTTGTGCATCACCCTGATGAGTATCCGATATCCAGTATTGAGATGGTAGGAGGAGCACGGTGAAACATATCCTTTCCATGCTGGATCTGCTTGATATCGAACTTCACTATAATTCAATTACAACATCAGATTTAATCGGGCTTCATTTGAATCATTAGCCAGTTAATGTGAAAGCTGAATTCTTCCCACACTGAACAGTGCAACAAGCTACTTTGTCCACATTTTTATAGCTACCACACTCCATTCTTCATTGCTTTCAACCTCAATATACAAACCAATACTCTGTCATCCGATGGGAGAAAACAGCAAAGGACAAAACCATTTGGGGAGTTCCACATTGCTTTTTTTTACTTCCAACTTTCAGCATAATCTTGTCCATTGCCCTCCTTCATTTGAAGGTGCCCTGCACTTAGTTAAATGTATGTTAAATACCTTTTATTGTGCCACCTCAATCTGCTTTGCAGCATCTCTGTGAATCAATAACGGAGGAGAGAGTCCTGTACAAAGACTTGCGTGCAACATGAAAAAGAGAAGACAGATGACTTTTGCAAGATAGCTGCAAGTGAAAATTCTTTTAAGGGACAATGTCCCATGAATGTGCTTGTTCCAATGATGAGCCCGATCTTTTCCTTTCTGACCTATTTGGCAGAGCTTGAAGCCAGTGCTAAGATGGTTTATGTCACAGCACGCTTCAATCTTGTGTGAATACAATTGAGTTTGGGAGAGATGGTTTCTTCTTTGTTCTCGTCACCTTGTGCAATAAATTCAAAATGCATTTGCAGTCATTCAGCATGTTTTCTAGGCAATGGATTCTTGAACCAATTAAACAAAGATTGAAGCTTGCTCTGGGAAAATAATCTATTGGTGTATTTGACTGATGAGTCCCACAGGGAATAAAGAAGGGGCTGCAGAATTAGGATTATGATGTTTAGGGGTTGATTTTATTCAGAGGAGAATTTGTGGAAAAAATGTAAAGGTTCAATGCAATGTTTGAAAGGAGTTCCTTGGTAAAGATTAATGATGTATGTGAGTTCTGTAATCTGTTGACAGTCCAAGGAGAAAATTAATTATTCTGATTGAAGTCTTTGGTAATCATTTATCAACAAATTGATTTGACACATTCAGTGAGTGATATTGGGAGATTAAATTTCTGTAGTGTATTTTAATTCTTACTCCCGGTGCCACAGTAAACATACAGAAAAAAGGGTCTGCTTGCTGAATGTGGAATATCAGACTCTGAAATTCAATTGCTTAAACTTTCAAATGTTCCTTTAGGTGTTTGCCCTAGACCCTGCTTAAAAAAAAGCCTGTGCCTAAATGACAAATTTCTTTTTGAGATCTCCTGACACAAAGTTTCAGAATATTCACTGAATGAATGAAGGTACAACATAGCTCCTCTAATTATGTTGTTAGCTGATTTCTGTCACGACATTGAGGTACTGCAGTTTGCCTCAATCTCTCCATAAGACTGCTAAGTAATTATATCTTGCGTTAGAATCTGTAATGTGGTTTTGTATGGTGCTATTCTAAGTAAGCATATCTTTTATTTTCTTTTACAGTTGCCTGGTTTACTTTTGATGCAGGGTCAGCTCACCCTGATATTCTGTTCTCTAATGACAACCTCACTGTTACCTGCAACAGCTATGATGATCGGGTAGTGCTGGGAAATACTGGGTTTTCCAAAGGTATCCATTATTGGGAGCTGTCTATTGACCGCTATGACAACCATCCCGATCCTGCATTTGGTGTGGCCCGTATAGATGTACTGAAAGATGTCATGTTAGGAAAAGATGACAACGCCTGGGCTATGTATGTTGATAATAACCGAAGCTGGTTTATGCACAACAACTCTCACACTAACAGGTAAAGTAAAACCGAAGAATTTTTGTTAAATCAGCATGTTAATGAATTCATCTGTAAACTGTGAAATTCTATTTACCAAAGTTGTTGTTTCATACTCATAACAAAACATTTTTTTTTAACAAACTGCAGAACTGAGGGAGGTATTATCAAAGGAGCTACAGTTGGGGTGTTGTTAGACTTCACTAGACGAACGCTTACCTTCTCTATTAATGATGAACAACAGGGACCTGTTGCCTTTGAGGATATGGAAGGCCTCTTCTTCCCAGCAGTAAGCTTGAATAGAAATGTGCAGGTGTGTGTGTGGGTGTGTTGTGCTACAGCACTGACATTTTCAAAATGCTGCTGCTCAGAAAATTCATCTGGTGCGTCTATTGAAAGAATTTTGAGATCTTCTCATTTTATATTTTCTAATCCAGAGTAACAAAATATTGTTTTGAATTTGCAACATGATCTTACACATTAGAGGATCCTTACACTTTGAGAAGCGAGCTGAAAAATCTATTTTCATATCAAATTGAGTATTAATTTTTAGTATTGCAAAATCTGGTTAATTAGAGAATAATTTAGCACAGTGAAAAGTGTATCTGAATACCGTATCTATTAAATTGTAATGCATTCATTATATCTTTGATTTCTTCGCAGGTAACACTCCACACTGGTTTGGATATCCCTCAATCTCCTGCTGCTGCTGCTGCTGCACGAAACAGCCACTAGCATCCTAATCCCGATCTTTGGGCAGATACCTGCTTTATATTGTCTTTTGGAATCTAAGTAGCAGGACCCTTTCCCTCCACTGTCACAATGATTCCAAAAATGTTTTGATCTTGCAAGACAACAGAAGTTTGCTAGCTGAGTGCTTAAAAGATTGGAGAGAAACCAAAACTTAAGTATTTTGCAGCTGAAAACTGTATGATTGTTATCTGAACATGTGGATTTGCTTTGCTGTTTAGTGCTGGCTGATATTCAAAAGGCATCGAGGCAGTCTGATGTGACTTCAAATGTCAGGGTTCTGATATGTTTTCGGGATTTTTTTTGTTATAACGCTCCGTCCGGTTGCTTTGCATTTGGTTCAGCTGCTGCTTTTGATAAGCAAGGAAAACAGTAATGCAGTGCAGAGTACATGTGGGAAAATGCTATATTCTCAGACATTTACAGTGGAAGGTATTCACAGTTGCTATTAACCTCATTCTTTCTCTTTCCTGTTGCCTTTGACTGACATCTCTGTACTCAACATCATTCCAAAACCTGTTTGAATTACCATGAGCTAACGTGCATGCTTTCAACAAAATTGTTCAATCAAGCTTACAGATTGGGAAGCATCAGTTGAAGTAAATACAGTAATGTGATTCAGAGGATTCTATTCTTCAGTTACAGCAACATGCATTTTATATAGCCTCCTTCACGTGAGGTAGCACTGTTTATACGTAGTATCCAGACCAATCAAACACAGTTCACTATTGATAGTTGCAATGTCCGTGCTGAGCACTTTTTAACTTTAGTTGCACGAGGGAGAAGCTAGGTTATAGAAGCAAGCACTGTCTGAGCTGCAATAATAAAACCCAGGGAACTGCACGTGTTCCTACACATGAGATTTCCAGGTACCACAAGGCTTCATTGAATGATTATTTCAGTGTTGTACTAGAAAGGTTTATACTTACTCATAATCATCCCAGTATAGTGCTCTCATCCCCGAAATAGAATTGGTCATTCTCTTCATGGCTGTTTGAGGGTCATTGCTATGCACAAGTATACTGCAAAATAAAGTATATTTGTGGGTTCAAGCCCCTGACGTGCGGCTTGAACCCACAACCTTCTAACTCCGAGGCAGAGTGCTACCACTGAGCCAGGCTGACACACAGTTGCACTTAATTCAGGAATACTTGAGAGCCGGTATGAAATAAAAGTACCTGAAATTAATTTTTAGAATTGAAAGTTTCTTACTACGGACAAACAAATAGACGATTGACTGCAGTGGTATAGTACCATCTCTGACTGCATCACTCCACTATCATTACAATGCCTTTTTTATTTAAATATTAATCAAATCTCAGGGTTCAGGCAATTCCAAACTACAATAGTTATAATTAATTACAATATCTGAACTTGACTGTATTGCAGCTTTGTATCCACCTGCCTGTGTACCAATTGTAAATGCCAAAAAGGGTGTCTTATTTACATTCTAATTTGCTCAGGAACGTGCAAACTCATACCTATCTTTGCCTAAGCGACTCATTAAAAGGTGCAAGTAATACTTACCGGTAATTCAAACAACCAGACATCAATTCAGAAGGACAATGCAATACTGTGTTTAACTTTCAGAACCTTAATTTTGGAGAAAATCTGAGGTGCTGTATCGAACTGTGCTAATATATGCATGCTGCATGCTGTTACTATTTTAATAGCTAATTTTTACTTGTTTTAAGACTTTACAACATTATATAGATTAAGGAGTGATCAGTATAGTTGCCAAAACTTGACAGTGTGCCAACCATAAGCTATTTGTAGAAGAGTAATAATAAAAACAGCTGTAGCATTGTTTCCTAAAAATTGTGTAGTAATGAACAAAAGGAATCTGAAAACGGAGAACGTTAGTGTTTGATATGTTTTTGAATGTTGGATTTGTTAATCTTTGATGCATTGTTTGCTAGGTTCTAGAATAATTTGATCTAATTTATTTGACTGGTACTATTTTTGCTTATTAATTGAGACCATTAGATTTCATTTATTACTGTATTATGTTGCAGAGCAACGGCGATCTGTAATTTGGCAGTTGAACGTGGCTGGACCACAAATTTCTCATTTTTCATAGTGACATTGGTGCTTATCCAGCTTCTAGATTTGTAGTAACATGTAAGCCCATGACCAGCAAGCTGATTACCATGTTGCTTACTATTGTGGAAAATCATGAAATTGCCAGTGTTTTGCTGTTCCAATAAACACCTTTTTGTAACGTGTCGCGAATTTTCTCCGTGTTTATTTGACCTGCTCTTTCTGTCTCGGGTAATGACGGCGTTGTTGCTGAACAAAAATCCGGAGCTTTTTCTGGTTTTCATCTTTTTTTTTAAAAAAAAAACAAGTAAAAGATCCGTTTGCAATTTTAACAGTGCGTCGGAAGGGGTGGGTTCACGGTGAGGAGGGGGCGGGGAGTGCGACTGCTCTCTGCTGTTATCCAGCTTGAATGTCACACCAAAATCTTATTTTATCCACCGAAACGTTAGGGAACCTGAATCAACCCTCGTCGAAGAAGTAAGGTTCAAGAAATTTGCTCCGTCTTAAGAGTGTAGAACTTAATCTGCGCAACTATTTTAAAAGTTCTACAGGACTCTTCCTTGTACTGTAGCGCGCAGACCCGAGGGGCAGAACGAGACGCTCGATCGTGCTGCGAATCCCTACGGGTTCGGTGGCTCTGAAGAGTTCAGTTCAGGAGCTTTGCTTAAAAAAATATATATAATTCTTTTTGGGGTGGGTTCGGGGTCCGGATGAACAACAACAACAACAACTTGCACTTAAATAGTGTCCTCCGCGAGGCTGTCGTCCCAGAGCCCGCGATGTGGTGTGCGGAACCCGCACCAGGTGGTTGTTGTTATTAATAATAATAACAATAATAATAATAATAATCCTTGAACCTGATATGGGCGCCTTATCACGTCTTAGAGACGGCGCCCTTTTCCCCGGGGCCAGTGAGGGGGGGGAGGAGGAGGGGGGGGGGGCGAGTAGGTCACGTGCGGGAGGCGCGCGAGATCAAGGCGACCAATCAGCGCGCTCCAGAGGCGGGGCAGCGCTCGCTTGCTTTTGAACCCGAGCGAAAACCGTTGGCGAGTAACGGTCGCGGCGCGAGGCGTGGGGGGGGGGCGGGGGGTCGCGAGGGGCTTCGCAGCCGGACAGCCGCTTCAAGATGGCTATCGTGGACAAGAAGAAGCAGATCAGCATCCGCGGCTTGGTCGGGGTGGACAACGTGGTGGAGTTGAAAACGGGCTTCAACCGTCACCTGCACTTCACTCTGGCGAAGGACCGGAACGTGGCTCAAGTGCAGCACTACTACCTGGCCCTCGCGCACACCATCAGCGACCTCTTGGTGGGGCGATGGATCCGCACTCAGCAGTACTACTACGAACAGAACCCTAAGGTAATGAGGGAGGGGGAGAGGTGAAGGGAGAAGGCGATCAGCACCAGCGCTGTGGACAGCGCCCACGAGGTAATCGGGTGAGTGCGGGGGGAGAAGATGAGGCGCCAGAGCTGTAAGTCGGTGTGGGAGAGTAGAGGGAACCATCAGACGAGCCTCGGGCTCTTTCAGTCGCGAGAGAAGAAGAAGACGACGAGGAGGAGGAGGAGACCTCAACATTTTTTTAAAACGGGATTGAAAAAAAGTAAAAGAGTTTCAAAGGTCAATGTCAGGACTGACACCGGTCCTCACAGAAGAGTAATGGATGACTGCTCGGAGCAGTGGGGGGTGGGGTGGGTGGGGGCAGGAAAACATACTTTGACGGATAGATTTTGTATTTGAATATTGATGTAATTTAAAATTGCTCACAGTTCACGCCCTGACGGGGTTTTTTTTTACAGAGAATTTACTATTTGTCCCTAGAGTTCTACATGGGTCGCACTCTGCAAAATACTATGATTAATTTGGGTCTGCAGAATGCTTGTGATGAAGCTATGTACCAGGTAGGTGATTTAAACATTAAAATATATCAACAACAAAATGACACTTCTAGAGAGCGCCTTTCACGGTCGGGAGGACGTCCCAAAGCGCTGAACAGTCAGGTGTCGGGGCCCGAACATGGGGGAGGGTTGGTGTACGGGTGAGGGAAGGCAGAGAGGTGGGAGGGAGACCAAAGGCACAGTCGAAGAGGAGGGTCTTGAGACCGGCCTTGAGGGAGGCGAGGGAGGAAGCGAGGCGAAGGGACCGTGGGATGGAGTTCCAGAGTGTGGGAGCAGAGTGATTGAAAGCCCGGCCACCGATGGTAGAGCGGGTCGGGCGGGAGACATGGAGCAGACCGGAGCCCGATGAACGGAGGGAGCGGACAGGTTGGTAGGGAGTTAGCAGGTCAGAGAGGTAGGAAGAGCCAACAAGTATTGCTTCTTCCTTTAAGAGTGGATCACTAGAGCTTACTTGTAGCTCTGTTAATATTTTAGAAAATTGAAGAAACTACAAGGCGTTTTTGCTGATTTGCTTGTGACATTAATATAGCATAGAAAAAGTATGAATGATGATGCAAATCACAAACACGCTCTTGGGCTTGGTCTCCTATAGGCTCCAGAAGCAAACGTTCATATGAGTGACATATTATATACCTGATCATGTGTCCATAGTGAAGTGTCTTCATATGTGAAGAGGATTATATTTTCTCTCATCCATCAACATTATACTTCAGGCCAGTAGGAACTTCAAGCACACAAGGCAGGCTGAGAAAACTGCCCCAAATTATATCACCTTTACTTTGCAATTTGAGTGTGAACCAGTAACAAGCACTTTGGAACATCCTCTCAACGTGAAAGGAATTGAGGAAATGTAATTTTTTATTGTATATATTATTGGGCAGGCATCTATCAACCTAAAGACATACATGAGTATTTCAGAAAGAATTGTGAAATAACTGTTAGTCTTATATTAGGAGTGATTAGTGATTCTTTTATAATCATTTTTCTCTAGATGGGCTTAAACATTGATGAACTGGCAGATGTTGAGGAGGATGCTGGTCTTGGCAATGGAGGTTTAGGCAGACTTGCAGGTGAGTGTGTGTCATGCTTATTCTTCTGGATGAGCTGATTCATAGCGGCATACATGTTTTCTCTTCCTTCCTTTCCCGCCACCCAACTCTCTTATATCACAGTTCCTCGTGCAAATAGATATCAGCTAACACAAAACAAATGGGGAATCAACCCGAGTCTTCCTGCATTCTCCACGGCTCCATTTAACAAACGGTAATGGGGCCAGAAGAGCTTTAGAAATGTTCACATTTTTAAAACATTGTTCATAATTTTCCAACAGCCTGTTTTCTTGATTCAATGGCAACACTGGGCCTCGCTGCATATGGATATGGCATAAGATATGAATATGGTATTTTCAACCAAAGGATTAAGGATGGTTGGCAGGTATGTTTTAGAATGAATGGATTTTCGCAATTTATTTTCTCCTGTTCTTATCTAATTTACTCTTGTATTTATTTGTAACTCAGTTCACATTTGTGTATTAATTTATCTTTGTAATCATGAAGTTTAGACACTGTAAATAAATTAAATAGGAGATCGAGCTAGAAATCTAAATTTATGTACAGGTTTATTGTTAGTTATTATAACGTTTTATTCAACACTTTTATTTTGGAATGAGCCTTGATATGTTTTCATTGCGTGTCTTTGAGTAAATGCATGTCAGTTTACAAGTGCCTACTTAAATTTGACAAACAGTAGATAGCACAATCTGATTGTTTTAAAAAAAATGAACACACCTGCAATAGTCTGATTTTTCAAGATTTCAATCCGAGAAATGTTTGTTCATCACAAGTTTGTGTACACAAGCAAGTCCAGTTCTGCAGGTAACCCATATTGAAAACTGATGAATTTGAGCAAATTAATAAATGTGACTCTTTCTCCTTGGTTATAGGTGGAGGAGCCTGATGACTGGTTGCGACTTGGCAATCCTTGGGAAAAGCGTCGTCTAGAATATGAAGTACCAGTTCATTTCTATGGCCGAGTAGAATATCATGGTGATAGAGCTCAGTGGGTGGATACAGAGGTAGGATTTCTTTTCGCCTTTATTTTGATACAGTGGAGACAGTGGCAGATCAGTACTGCTTTTCCTCACTCATGGCTGTTGCTTCTGAACGGGGAAGGGGGGTTGGGCACTTGCAGAATAATACAGAATAATACGCCTAATAATAATCCCTCCAAAACCAAAAACAATAATAAATTGGTCATTTTCAATCCACGACTGTTTGTGGGACATTGCTGTGCGCAATTGGCTGCCGCGTTCGCCCACAAATATACAGTCAATTCACTTTACAGTGTGTTCTGTGAAGCGCTTTGGGACGTCCTCCCGACGTGAAAAGCGCTATTTCAAATGCAAGGATTATTATTATTATTATTACTTATTGGCACGTGCACAAAACCTATAGTCTCATCACATAAGTGGCACAATGACATCAGATGGATTGTGCGTGTGCAAAATTTCATGCTAAATCAAGTTCTCTCACAGTTGTCGCAGTAAAAGGTGGTTATGTCAGGGGGTTTTTCCTTGCATTTGTTTTTTCCTTCCAATCTTCTTCCCACCTCTCCTTGCCACCTTCCCTAACTTCTTCAGAAACTTCAACTAATCAAGGATTTTGCATTCTGATTTTGCTTCCGAACAAGGCTCCACTGACCCATTATCACCAAGTTCCGTTAGCTCCCGCTCCCAGTATCTCAGGAGAAATAGTTTAAGATGCTTATTGTGGTGGTCAAATTGGTACCTTTACCACCTTTTACAATCTTTTCCAGCCCTGAGGTTTCCTCTTTTCCTCTGGAATTCCTCTTCCAAATCTTCTTGGGTTGCTATCTCTCCTTGTGCCTTCACAAACCTATAGAAACATCTTTTCAACTGAACCTTTGGTCGACAAAATTAAATATTGATGCAACAGCACCAGTTTTTCGTAAGTGCTCAGAGATATTCTTGTACAATATATGAAGAATGTTATTTAAATATAAATTGTTAAATGCATTTTGTTCTGCTGATAATCTGCAGATAACTTTTGCAACACCATATGATACTCCAGTGCCAGGATATCTAAACAATACTGTGAACACCATGAGGCTCTGGTCTTCCAAAGCACCAAATAGCTTCAATCTACAAAGCTGTAAGTGGTGCCAGAGATTTCTAGCTACGTGAGCTGTCTTTGACAATAAGTGTTTAGAATGGGATTTTTCTCATTATTTGCATGCACATTACGTAAATCCTTATATTGGAAAACCAAGAGGAATTTCTTGCCCATTAATTCTATAAACTGAAGCACTTTGATAGTGCTAAGTCATTATAATTATATGATTTAATTGATAAATAAATAGTTAATATTGTATATTTAAATTGAAAAATTCTAAACTGTTTCAATTTGCACCTTCCGATCCTAGAAAGTTCCAGTTAGAAATATTTGTGTTGTTAGATATATATATTTGTCTTCCTTGTTCTTGATGTAGGAAATTGTCTTTGCTGGGCTTTGTGTATTATTGAAACATAGTTCAAGTGTTTATCTGTTACTAGATTGTACATTTAACACAATTTAATTATTTTTCAACAGTTAATATTGGGGGTTATATTGACGCAGTGCTAGACAGAAACCAAGCTGAGAATATTAGTAGAGTCCTCTACCCTAATGATAATGTGAGTGTTGAGAATGTTAACGTGTATATCTATGTATTTGAATAATTAATCATTTATGGTTTATCATCAGCAATGCCTTGGAGTACTGTGGACCCTCCTGGCTCAGGAGGTGGACTACTGGGACTGCCACAGAGGTTTGACTCGAGTCCAACATTGGAGTCAGCTGAGCTCTAAGGAAACCCTGCTTACCTCCCCCATGAATCTTCACCCATTCCTCCCTCCCATTCGCTTCTCCTCTCCCTCATGTGATTCCACAATCTCACTCACCCCCTCCTGTGTGAAGTAGTTCCTCCTAAATTCTCATTTAGATGCCCTGGTCGCTATCTTATATTTGTGACCCTGGTTATGGACTCCCCATCCAGTGGAATCAACGTATTTATGTTAACTTTATCAACTTTATGATTTTAAACTCTTATATTAGGTTCCCTCTTAAACATATCGTCATCAGTGGAAAAAAGGCCTAACTAACCAGGGTGTCCTGATATGAGTAATTTGCCAGGCCTGGTATCGCCCTCATAAACCTGTGGCTGTACTCTTTGCATCACCCCTATATCCTTCTTATGGTGTGGAGACCAGAATAAGTAAGGATATCAAAGGTGTGGAGAAAAGCTTGGTAAATGGGAATACAGATTTGTTATGGTATATGGAATATCAACAGGTTGAATGACCTGTTCCTGATAATAGCTACTTGGACAAGGACAGATGTCATCTATAGAATCTTAACCCTATCAGGTCAGTACGTTTAGGACTAAATATACTATTCAAAGTCCTTATGATTGGATCATAATGGTCCATTTCATTACAGACTGCATCCACTCAACTAGAAATCTATGACTGGAACAGTGCTATGAGTTGTTTACCCCAAAACAAAGTTTCCATATTCTTTGCCAGTGAAATTAAGTGTTATTCAATCATTGGCATTGTAAAAAAAAATTAAAACCAGCCCTAATATTATATGCAAGGATTATTATTATATTAGACTGAGCCCTAAATGGTCTTGAATTATTGTTTCTTTTGTTCCCAGTTTTTTCAGGGAAAAGAGTTGAGACTAAAGCAGGAGTACTTTGTGGTATCTGCTTCTCTCCAAGATATTATGCGACGTTTCAAAAATTCCAAAAAAGGTTGCAAGGATAATGTTAAAGCATGCTTTGATTCATTCCCGGAAAAGGTGGGTTCAGACAACTCAGAGTGTGACTGTAATCAAAAAAAATTTATTTTAGGGAGGAGGAAGAACACGATTGTAGAGAGAGTTATCTTTTGCAACTGAAACGTTAAGTCTGCCTGTTCAGGTGGATGTTAAAGATCCTATGGCACTATTCAAAAAGAGAAGGGAGTTTCTCCTGGTGTTCTGGCCAACATTCTCCCAATTAAAATTGGTTACTAACTTCATTGCTGTTTGTGGGACATTGCTGTGCACAAATTGACTGCCATGTTTATCTACAAAATATAATCACTACACTTTACAGCGTATCCTGTGAAGACATCCATCTGGTATCTAAGTCACTATGTTATAAACAAAGGTTATTACTATTTGTAGGTGAATAGGGCAGTCAAATTGCACACAGCAATGTTCCACAAACAACAACAAAATTACGTTTGATTAGCGCCATTCATGTCGGGAGGACGTCTCAAAGCACTGGACAGACAGAGTTTGGGACCCAAGCTGGGTGTCAGGATCATGGAGGGTGGAGGCCAGGTGGTGAAGCAGTTATGAAATGTTGCCTGGAGGATTGTTGGCTAGGCAAGGTAATGATGAGCAAGAAGTGTTTCACTGTTGATTTATTTCAGAGATTCTTTATACCTTTGATAGGTGGCAATTCAGCTCAATGACACTCATCCTGCCTTGGCAATCCCTGAGCTCATGAGAATTTTAATGGACATCGAGAAGCTAGCGTGGGATCAGGTTAGAAATATAAAAAATAAGTTTTATTAAAGGATTAATAGTTCAGAATTTCAAGAGAAGAGGAAAAATGGTAACTAGATTTCTTGTCATCATGTAAGTAGTGTAACTAATCTCTGGAACTTGGAAGCATTGTTTTCCTAATTTCTGGTAATATAGCAATGGAAAATTGAAATATTCACACTAATACAGAAAGGAGTAAGCTTGAGTTTGGGTGAAAGTACATTGAATATTTAAAGACATATTTGTTATTTTTTAAACCCACTATATATATATACACACACATATAACCTTCTTGCTTTTGCAAAGAATGTACTTGAGAAATAATTATTGCACTTTTCAGGCCTGGGAAATCACCAAGCGCACATTTGCGTATACTAATCACACAGTTTTGCCTGAAGCCCTTGAACGCTGGCCAATTGACCTATTTGAGAAACTCTTACCAAGACACCTGCAGATTGTCTATGAGATTAACCACAAATTTCTAGAAGTAAGTATATGATCAGTTTCATGTCTTGAGTGCATGATCATTAAGTGCTGTGCTGTTTAATGCAACAGGGTATATATGTGTTTTGGACTGAGATATATACTTCATTAAAACAATGAAATTAGAGAAACTGGCTTTACATTTTGAGAAATGAATTAATTGTCAGCAAATCAATTGATCTTAGAATTTTTTAAAACTTTCTCTTGGAAATCTAAACTTCAATTGATGATGACTTACGATGGTTCAGGTTGGAGGGGCTAAATACTCTTGTACCTTATGCAAAATATCCTGTAAGTATTGTTTGCAATTCTGTAATCTAATTTTGCAATTTGCTGCTTTCCACAGAAAGTCAAAGCTCTATATCCGAACGATAATGATCGTTTAGGACGGATGTCCCTTGTAGAAGAAGAAGGGATGAAAAGAATAAATATGGCACACCTTTGCATTGTTGGTTCTCATGCAGTGAATGGTGTAGCCAGGATTCACTCTCAAATCATAAAGAAGAAAATGTAAGAAACTTTGTTAATGTCATTTCATTTTCATACATTGTAACCTGTTATCAATGGGGTTTAATTGATCTGAGTAAATATACAACTTTCATTATTGAATTGTTCCAGAATAAAAGCAACTTTAATCAAATCGTTATGGTATAGAGTACAAACAAGACTGACAATGAGACAGTCCCTCAGCACTGATTGCAATTGTGAATGTTTTGTGTGTATTTATTTCTGCATCTTTAAAGTATTGTTTTGGATCACCCACTGAACTAAGTAACTTGTCAGTGTCCATCGGTGAATATAATTGGCAAACCTAGCATGGAGATGTTGCTGAGCTCAGATATGTGAATTACATTTTTCAAATTATGAAAATTAAACCTCTTATTGTCAGTAACAGTTTTTTTTCTATGAATCAGTTTTAAAGACTTTAGTGAGATTGAACCGGCAAAGTTTCAGAATAAGACGAATGGAATCACTCCAAGGCGATGGCTCTTGCTCTGCAACCCAGGTCTGGCAGATATTATCGCTGAGGTATGTGGGGCACAGAGCAACTTTGTTCATAGTTTTAATGTTGGCCTTTTTGACAAATCTAGAAATGCTCCTCCATTGGTCTGTGAATTGACTCCAAAAACCTTAGCTACCACATATTTTATGAAACCTGTGGCCCCAGCAAATTATATTTAAAGTTTTTTTTAATTGCTTCCAATCCTCTGATATTATTCTGGAGAGCTCTGGAAAGTTGCAGTCAATGATTTCCGAATGATTACAGCTATTTGCAATATAACGTTTTAGTGGAAAGCATCAGAACTAAGAGATTTATCTGGTTTCAACCAGAGTCCTACAATCTGCTGTAAGCAGAATGTTGTAGATCTTCAAAATTGTGTTAATATAATAATAATAATCCTTGCATTTGATATAGTGCCTTATCATCACATTGTTGAGATGTCTCAAAGCGCTTCACCGAATATACTGTAAAGTGAATTGACTGTATATTTTGTGAGCGAAATGTGACAGCCAATTGCACACAGCCAATTAAGAACATAATGGTTCAGAATTGTAAAGAAACCTTTAACCTCAAACAGTTACCCTGGGCTGAAAACATTCTAAAAATGGCTGAGCAAATATACCATGGAAACTGTCAATTAACCTTGTTAATAGCCATTTAATAGTTGTTCAAATCAAGCACCTCAGCATCCAAATCCATAAAGCCATAAACTAAAGTTAGTTTGAGAACAATTCCAATCTTTTCATTTCTTACAGAAAATAGGACAAGACTATCTTAAAGACTTGGGTCAATTAAAAAAACTGCATGCCTTTATAAACGATGATCGTTTCATTCAGGAGATTGCAACGGTGAAACAGGTAGATGTTCTAAATTACTCAATTCTGCTGCTAAAAATGGAACTTATAACAAAGACTTTTACACATAATTGCTCTAAAGTTTAGTGACCATGTCCTGTAGATGAACACAGTAGCTAATTATGCACAGCATGGAGTGAATGACTTATTCATCTGGAGGATCATGGCCGGGACACTGGGAGAAATTTTGTCTTGTTTCATAGAGTGTCATTGGATCTTACGCCATCTGAACAGGGTTGGGTTAACAACTTCGCCAAAGGTCAGGCTTGCGACAATCAGCACTGCCCAGTACTGCAGTGAAATGTTTGCCTCAATTATCAATTCAAAGTCTGAAACCACAGAACTGTTTTAATTTTTTTTCTCCTTATCTCAACAGGAAAACAAAGCCAAGCTTGCTCGTTCCTTAGAAAAACAATACCACCTTAAGATAAATTTATCTTCCATCTTTGATGTGCAAGTGAAGAGAATCCATGAGTACAAACGACAGCTCATGAACGTCCTTTTCATGATTCTGATGTACAATAGTAAGTCTATTCACCGAACAGTTTAACTTTTTACTGGAGTTACTTATAAACGTTAGAGATGTTAGTGCTGAAACGAGAAACGTGTTTCCATTTTGGTAATACGTGCTTCTCGCAAGATCAGGTAGGGTCCCTCTACTCTCCCCAATATTAGAAAAGCATGCCCTAACTTCACTAATGTGACCTTTTAATTTCTCATATAACACACATTGACACATATTGAGCTGGAAAAAAAAATTGAAGCCCCAAATAAATCTATTTTTTTGTGTACTGAGGTACACACTGAGACTTTGTGGGCATTTGCCCACAACAAAATAACAAAATTACATTTGTGTAGCGCCTTTCACGTCGGGAGGACTTCCCAAGGCGCTAGTCACAGTTTCAAACCCAAGCTGGGGGGTCGGAATCAGGAAGTGTGGAGGACAGGGGGGGAAGCAGGGTGATCGAAAGCACGGTCGAAGAGGAGGGTCTTGAGATGGGTCTTAAAGGAGGCAAGTGAGGGACGAGGCAGAGGGACTGCGGGATAGAGTTCCAGAGGGTGGGGGCAGAGTGGCGGAAGGCCCGCCCACCAATAGTGGGGCAAGCGAGGCGGAGGACGTGAAGCAGGCCAGAGCCCCCTGAGCGGAGGGAGCAAGGATGGTAGGGGGTTGGGAGGTTGCATAGGTAGTGGGGAGCAAGACCATGAAGGGCTTTGAAGGTGAGGAACAGGATCTTGAACTGTATCCTCTGTTCGATGGGAAGCCAGTGGAGTCGGGCAAGAATGGGGGTGATAGGGTCACGGAGCCTAGTGCGGGAGAGGACACGGACTGCGGAGTTCTGGATGATCTGCAGCCTGTAGAGGGAAGCATTGGGGAGGCCGACAAGCAAGGAGTTTGCATAGTGAAGCCTCGATGTAATGAAAGTGTGTGTGGGGGTTTCGGCGCCCTGCGATGTGAGACAGTGACGGAGCTGAGCGATGTTGTGGAGGTGAGGGAATGCAGAGTGGGTCATGGCACAGATGTGGGGTAGAAAGGATAGTTGAGGGTTAAACAAGATACCAAGGTTCTGGACTGGCTTAGTAAGGTGGATGATGATGCTGTTAGTGCCTGAGGTGTGGAGGCGCTGACGAGAGTCAATCAGGAGAGCCTCGTTCTTGTTGACGTTCAACTGAAGAAAATTAGCTTTCATCCAGGATTTGGTGTCTGACAGACATTCTGTTAGGACAGCAGTGGTCCTGGAGTCGAGCCTGGAGGCAGAGAGGTACAGGTAGCTGTCATCCGCATATATGTGGAAGTTGACCCCATGTCTGCGGATTATGTCACCAAGAGGGAGCATATAGATAATCACAAAACACCCAGTCACTCCACTTTATAGTATATCCTGTGAAGCGCTTTAGGATGTCCCCCTGCATATGTCCCTAGACCAACTGTAAGGATTATTATTGCTTTCGTTTTTCAATCTGGGCTAGATTTAAATCCTGATACCCCAGAGGTTAATCACCAGTGTTTGTACATAGCTTTGTTTTTTCTTTTCCCCTTTTGTCTCTTTGTCTTGATTCCTCTAGAAAAGAATAGAAAAGTTACTGTATTAGAATTTATGATTCTAAAACATAAAACATTTTTTTGTCTTTGTTTTACATTTTGTTTCAGGGATTAAAACCAATCCCAACAAGCAATTTGTTCCAAGAACAGTTATGATCGGTGGAAAAGTAAGACATTTCTCTCTTCCATGACCTCCCAATAATAGTGACATTTGTTGGGAACAGTTCCAATGGCATATTCTATCAATATAAAAGGAAATTAATGAGTGTCTTTTGAATTTGTTTTACTCCACAAATAAATATTTGTGAGATGAGAAGCGCTGATAATTTGCATTGGTAAAAGAGCATAAGTAGTGCATAAAAATGTGCAAAACAGTATATAGTACGACGTTCTGTATGTTTTGTATCTACGCCAAGTGGCCATTTCTGTCTCTCAGTGGCCACACCTGTGACGACCTGTCAATTTGGGTTGGACAGCAATGATCTAATTACATGGTAGAATGGCTGAATGCCTCACTCTTATGCAACTGTATTTTTGTGGGAGTCTTGCAGTTTTATTTATTTAAAAATTAAGAAGTTGATTTTGTTCTTTAAAAAGTATCAAATGTTGAATAGCCAATAAACTATCTATAGATCTATTCTTATAGGAGTGTAATAATCTTTACATCTGGCCTATTCCAAATATATTTCTAGTATCAACACAATTGATGCTGTACATAGTGGAAATATATTGGACTTTTGTAATGAGCAATCGGTTCCATTTTTCCATATTTTTAAAATATAAATATCATTCTTTCCTAGGCTGCTCCTGGCTATCATATGGCTAAATTGATTATTAAACTCATCACTTCTGTGGCAGATGTGGTGAACCATGACCCTGTAATTGGAAACAAATTGAAAGTCATCTTCCTGGAGAACTACAAAGTCACTTTGGCTGAAAAGGGTATTAAAAAGGCTCAACAAGATTGTCAGATATATCATCTGTTGTTTCTTTCACAATGATAGGCTTTTTTTTTGTATTTCATCAGAAAATAAATTTGACTCTCACCTCTGGGTCAGATGTTCTGAGTTTAAGCTCCACGTCAGAACTTAATCTCATAGCCTAGGCTGACATCTCAACACAGTTCTGTAGGAGTGCTGCTTTGAGGGAGGTGCCATCCTTCAGACAAAGCAAAGTTTCCTGGTGGACATGAAAGATTTCATGACACTAATTGAAAAGAGGAAGAAATTTCTCCCAGTGTCCTAGCCAATCATTCACATCATAACTGCCATGTTTTCCCAGAAAGACAAATCATAATATTGACAATTATTACTGCAAAATGTTTCAAGGCATTATTGTAAAATACAAGTTCCTCCATATGTTAATAGTCTAGACTAAGAATTGAACAAGAACCTTACATTACTTTTCTGTCCTGTGTGTGCATATATAGTCATTCCAGCAACTGACCTGTCACAGCAGATCTCTACAGCTGGCACAGAGGCTTCTGGTACAGGAAATATGAAATTCATGTTGAACGGAGCCCTGACCATTGGCACTATGGATGGAGCAAATGTGGAAATGGCAGAGGAAGCTGGTGAAGAAAATTTGTTTATTTTTGGCATGAGAGTTGAAGATGTGGAAAAATTAGACTTAAGAGGGTGCGTTCATATGAATAATTTAACAAAATATGTTTTTAATTAAATCTGGGAAATTTATATTGCATACTAGAGAAACAGAATGTTGACAAAACCAGCGGAATAGTAAGAGTGCACAAAATGGAAAGTGACTAAAATGTTCTCCATTTTGAGTATAATTTGATCTCTCTTAACATTGCTTCACACCTACTTTAAAGAGAAAAAGATATTTAAATTGGTACATTGGAGTCCTGTAGCTCAGTGGTTAGAGCACTCGCTTTGCAAGCGAGAGACCTGAGTTCAATTCCAGGCAGAGGGCGAAACCTTGGGCAAGTTTCCTTACTCCACACAGAGCCTAATAATAATCCCTCCAAAACCAAAAACAATAATAAATTGGTCATTTTCAATCTACCACTGTTTGTGGGACATTGCTGTGCACAATTGGCTGCCGCATTCGCCCACAAATATACAGTCAATTCACTTTACAGTGTGTTCTGTGAAGCGCTTTGGGACATCCTCCCGACGTGAAAAGCGCTATATCAAATGCAAGGATTATTCCTCACCTACAAGGCCATTCACGGCCTTGCTCCCTCCTACCTCTCCGACCTACTATCCCCCTACCTACCTGCCCGTACCCTCCGTTCCTCTGGCTCCGGTCTGCTCCACGTCCCCCGCCCCAACCGCCCTACCATCGGTGGTCGGGCCTTCAGCCTCTCAGCCCCCAGGCTCTGGAACTCCATCCCCCAGTGCCTTCGCCTTGCTTCCTCCCTTTCCTCCTTCAAGGCCGGTCTCAAAACCTTTCTCTTTGACCGTGCCTTCAGCTCCCCTCTCGACTCTCTTCCCCCTCCTCGCTCCCTCCCTTCCCTCCCTCACCCTGACCATTTCCCCCTCCTCGCTCCCTCCCTTCCCTCCCCTCACCCTGACCATTTCCCCCCTGCTCGGGTCATGACCCAACTGTGCAGCGCCTTGGGACGTCCTCCTGACGTGAAAGGCGCTTTATAAATGGAATCTTGTTGTTGTTGTATTATTACATTTGAATTGCTTTTTATCTCGTATGACCATAATTAAGGTTCATTCCAAGCTTTTTGGGTAACAGCAAACCACAGAAGCAGACAACTGATGTGTTTGACTGATTAACAAATGAAAAGTTCAGAATCCTATGTTTCCTTACACAAAAACACAATTCATCATGTATGTTTTGATTCTTATTCTTATTTTGATTTCTTAAACTCACATATTTTTCTAGCAGATATGCAAATATGCTCCAATTTTACAAATGTAACATATAAGATGTGTTTACTTGTAATTACAAACTTTATTAATGAGACTTCATTTGCAATACCTCATTAAGTTCACTCATTTTCATTCTTTTCCCTCTTGGATTTGTATTAATTACAAAAGAAACGGTTTCTATGTGAAATGTATCTATTCTTTCAAAATTGTATGTACTGTATCATTTAATAATCACATTCCTATTTATCGCAACAGAACCCTCGCCTCGCAAGCGAGAGTCCTGGGTTTGATTCCCAGCAGGGCGAAACCTTGGGCAAGTTTCCTTGCTCCACATGCCTGATAATAATCCCTCAAGAAAAAAAACAATAATTTGGTCACTGAATCCACGACCGTGGGACACTGCTGTGAGCAATTGGCTGCCGCGTTTCACCCACAAATATACAGTCAATTCACTTTACAGGGTATTCTGTGAAGCTCTTTGAGACATTTAGAAGACGGGAAAAGCGCTGTATCAATGCAAGGATTATTATTATTATCTTGGCAATTTCTTCCAATAACCCTAATAGTGATCTTTTCTCCATTTCCAACCCATGCAAACTTATTCACCAAATACTGAGTCCCAAGAAGTTGTCTTATTTCTTATCTGTTGATTTTTTTCTAGATATGATGCTTCAGAATATTACAGAAAGATTCCAGAACTAAAAGAGGTGATTGATCAGATCAGCAGTGGATACTTTTCTCCAAAACAACCTGATCTTTTCAGAGATATTGTGAATATGCTTTTTCATCATGATAGGTAAGTCTCTTGTGAAGTTTTTCTTATATATACCTGTTCCTGAATATCCAATGACTGTCCTTGGCCTTTTTCTTATTTCTGCTCCCATTAATTATTTAATAGCCATGGGAAAACATATTGTAGGGTTCTATAAAAGCAAAGGGGGAGCCATCAACACCAATCATTTCATTCAGCAGGGAACAACAACCCAGAAAGAAGCTATCATTTGGCAGAAATATGTAAGCAGATGGCACCTAGAAGCTTGCCTCCTGTTTCATTTCAGGTTTGGCTTTTGATGGCAGGAAAGACCAAAATCAGAGGCCAAACCATCTTAAACCCGGTATTGAAGATACATGTTTGAAAATGCCACTTTAAAAGATATTTCCTTGCCTTTGTATATTTTAATATTTTTCAATGTGACTTTTTTTATGAGTAGGTTTAAAGTGTTTGCTGATTTCGAAGATTATGTCAAAGCCCAAGACAAAGTCAGCCATTTGTACTTGGTGAGAAAACTAGGATACTGGTGATCCTACATTCTATATCATATATTTATGGTTGTAAAATACATCAGGCAATAATTATTATAATCAAAGTATTATTTCTGTTCAGATAATAATATTAATTCTGACCATTCAGCTTTGCCTTATTTATGTAGATAAATAAAATTCCTTATGCACTTTCAACAAATTTGTCATTTGCCTACTTTCATTTCTTTACAGAACCAAAAGGAATGGACTAAAATGGTCATTAAAAATATTGCTTCTTCTGGGAAATTCTCCAGTGATCGAACTATCACTGATTATGCCAAAGAAATCTGGGGTGTGACACCTGGTGCCTTGAAAGTTCCTAACGCTCCCAACCAATCTTAAAAGCATTCCTTCATACAAATTAATATTAATATTGTTGTACTGTAAAAATTGTAGTACTCTGTTTTCTGCTTCAACTAAATAAAATATTATAATTTAATATGTTGTCTATGGCTGTTTGCAATTTATACTCAAATAGTTAGGAATTATAAGAGTTTAGTACAGATTTAAACCCTGTCATTGCTTTTTGTAGTTATTGAGGCTCAACGCAACCTATGTATAAAAGAGCATTATTTTTTTGTTTCTGACTTGGTAAAAGGGTGCCACAATCAGACTTGTTTGGAGTTCCAGCCCAAGGTGATAATTAACCACCAGCCACAGGCTAGTGAGCACCAGTGTGAAGCAAAGGAAAGTCTGGAGAAGATGGATATAAGAAAGGTAGAGCTTCCGTTTCAAAATAAACCTTTTTATTGAAACTATTGTGCAAGTTTTGTTATCTGGGCGTGACCCATGCTCTCCTACAGCCATCCTGTGCAAATACATGTGGAACACTGTCCCTTTTAAGAATCTCTTGTCTTGAGACGGTTGATCTTTATGCGCTCTGCTGATGTTGTTTATAAACTTCATTCTAGGCTATAATTTTTTTTATAGCAGGCTACTCACAGACACGTACTTATCAGTTTCTGTACAGTACATCTGTAGGAATCTAGAGAGGCCAGAAACGTTTTTAAACTAGCGCAGTACAATAATATGGAGAAATAGGAATTTACAGTGTTTTGAAATCCAGAACTTAAACTAAAGGGCCATTATTTATTAAGAATCAAATTTCAATGCATTTACAATTCCCCAAATTACATAAAACGGCTGTACAGTTTCTAACTGGCCTAAGTTGGCGACCCAAGGCTACTTCTGTACGTTAGAATTAATAATAATCCTTGCATTCTCCCTGTGCCTTCTCCCAACTTTCTGTTCAGTATCTAAACAATTGTGCAGAGACAAATTAGATGTTGTACCTAATCTTTAATACAAACTACAGTGCACCAGCTATGTCCAGCCAGTGGAACGATTTGCCATCGTACATGCCAAATATTTTTTTTAAATGTACACCACCAGGTTGTTCTGTACCATCGACATAAGTTCACTGTACCATAAGTTCAACATTTGGTAGTGCTCTTGAAGAACTCCCTGAAATGAAGAAAAACAAAGTGTAGATATACAGTAATTGGTTTAAATGCATAAACTATCAGAATATAAACTACCATTACTAGCCTATCCAGTGAATTGCATGCTGTTTTTAAAAAATAACACTTATTGCTGAATTTTATTCCATCCATCATAAACGAGAATACTATTTTAGCAAAGGAGAAAAGAAAACATATTGTTGCATGCCTGCTCATTATTTCAATAATTGAACAGTATCAGATATGAAGAAAATTAAAATACTTTTTCTAAAAAAAATTATGAACTAATTTGTGAGGAAACTTTATAAAATGGTTGCCCTAATTTTTTTTGTATTACACATTCGATTTCAAGCATAAAACTTTTCTTTCTTTGTATTTTTCATTTATACACTCAATTTATCGGAATTATAATACATACACCCAATTCAATCATTTGTCAGTTTGAAACCCTGGGACGTCCTCCCGACGTGAAAGGCACTACACAAATGTAATTTTGTTGTGGTTGTTCAATACTGCTGCTCATATGAGAGGAGCATTGGAGGCAATGTCCACTTGGTTGGAGAGTGGTCAGGAATGGGAGCCATATTTCTACTGTTTATACCCCTTCAGAAAAAAAACTCAGTCCTAAAATGGTTAGGCGAACCAGTGCTCCAATTAATTCTACAGATAAAAGTGGCTAATTTAGCACAGACATGTGGTGAAACCAGAGATCTTCCTAATCTTCTATGGTTTGGTGGTACACCATGAAGGGTTCTGTATATGCTTTACATCTCTCAAATTCAGCTGTTTATCAAGTGCAAATTTAGTTGGAAACTAAACTTTAATTGTGAAATTGTGCCATAAAAATTGCAATATATATTTGAGATAAAAGATATAATGGCTTACTTTAGAATTTCTGGCAATCGTGGGTCTCTATAAATTAAGTTGTGCTTATACCCAAGTATGCCAGGGAATGCAACAAACTTCACTTGTTCCTTGAATATCCGTGAATCATGCAGCGATCTGTAGAGCTACATATATATATCAAAAAGAAATTACAGATAATGTGGGTTGAGAAATGCTACTAAGGTGAAATTTAATTCGATTTGATCTCTAAAGTGCAAATACAAAAAGAAAGGTTTTGTAGAAATTATCACAACTCCTCCCAATTTTGATTTACGAATTTTCTCTCCACTTGTACAGCGAGTATTTTCCTTCAACTGCCATTGTATCATGATCCCATTTATTCAGCAGATTGTCTCTATGCATAATACTGTGAAAGCCACTGCATTCAAAGAGTAATGTGTCTTTCTACCTAATTTGAAAGATATGATGGGATCTCCTCCAATACCTCTGCGTAGCCTTGATAGAGTAAATGGCATACTGTTCAACCATGGAGCTGTCAGAACTGAGCTTGATCCTATCCCCCCGTGAGACTTCCAACAGGAGTTGATGGATAGCGATCAGGATAACCAGCTTGATTTCCCCTTCTCTATCTTTACAAATTGAATCCAATTGTAATGCCCCAACTGCTCCTCTAAGTTAGATCAGCTAACTCTGTTTTTTATGATTAATAAGTTGAGTGTAGCACAGATCAGGATTCATACCTGAAACCTTCTGATCTGTGTAATGTAGTGCTGCACCAATATCTGAACTTATAACTTCCCTACTCGCTGCACATTTATGATATAAGCCCTAGAAACAACTTCAGATGTTATAATAGCATTATGACACACATTATGATAAGATGAATTAATAATGTTGAAACTATGTAATGAGCTATTGTTAAAATGGATCAGTGGAACTTTTGCCAGCAGATTACCTTTATCTATAATATAGTAAAATAAATCACTTAATCAAAGAGTAATGTACCTTTCTACCCAATTCAAACGGTATGATGGGATCATCTTCTGCATGCAGAATCAACACAGGGCTAGATACTGACTTCAGACTAAAATAGAAGCACAGTGAAAAGAAATAGAGTGGTATCTGAGGAGTATTTAACACGCACACTCATGGTGACATGTCACACGAGCCACTATACATAGTGAAATATCCCAAAACGAGTATTATGAAATTATATACCCTCTACGCCCAGCTATTTCCAGATCATGTACAGGTGGTCAATACTTTAGCACACAAGTTACACCCTAATGTCAGAAAGTTCACAACTCATTTTAGACCATTTGGTCAATAAGAAGTGACCAAATCTGAGAAATAAATCAGCATTTAAAATACATAGTATTTTATATTCAGAGATTCTTCATGTTTTTAAAATATTTTTATAAGAAGATATTCAGATAACAATCAACTTACTTTTCAATGTTATGAAAAACAATATTATTTTCTGTTACTGGATCTAAGAAGAACCATTCAAATCCAGGAAACTGCTTGTAAATCTGTAAAAGGAAACAATCCTGTAAGCAGATATCAGGCAAGTGTGTTCCTACTCTATATTTTCACAAGCAATAACATGTCCTCCCCATATAATCAAAGTTTACAGTAAAGAGATAGCTTTTGATTACACCACAGACTTTCAGAATATGTCTTACGCAAGTAAAAATATTCTTTTAATATTTAATATTCTTCTAATAATACACCGGTGTTCTACCTGCGAGTCTAATCTATTATTATATTCAATAAGGCTTAAAAAGATTACTCTATCAAAATTATTACATTATCCTAGAAATTGGTGTTTATACCTATTAGTTGTAAAGATGGACAAACTGATGTTAGGGTAAAACAAACATGTGTTACGTTATTGAAATACAGTTCTGCTTTCAATAATATCAGAGAGGACAAAACAATGCCTTCAAATATTTATACGTTTGAAACGCAAAGTAGTTACAGTTTAAAAAGTATTGTCTTAATTGTTTTCACATTGAGTATAGCTACTAAACAACCCATTAGGTTACATACCACTGAAAATGGGTGACAGGTTACTTCTTCTCGTATAGTTGTAAATGGAGCTTCCAGTACAATTGCATCAGCCGGACGTCCTATTTAATCAAACCCACAATTCTGGTAAAGTTTCTTATTCAGGCTATTCATATTCAATAGGGGGAAAAACACTTATCTCAATGTTTCTTTAATAATGAAGCGCTTTGAGACATCTCAAAGTCGTGATAAGGCGCTACATCAAATTCAAGGATTATTATTATAATTTACCATTGCATAGCATTATTGAATCCAAGGAATATAGTTTTTACCTTTCTCTTGTAGCCTTCGTGCAGTGTTTGAGGCCACACTGTAAAATAAAGTTTTAAAAATTGTACTAATGTCTTTCAACATCAATTTGCTAACATGTGTGTTCTCCTTAAATACTCCATTCTGTGATCTCTGATAAGAGATTAGAATGGATGGTTTGAATCGTATTTTTCAACAGGAAGCACATTTATTGAGAAATAATTAGCAATTTATTCCTGAAAAATTCTATGGATAGTATGTACATAATGTACATTATTATTTATAAGGTCGTGATTTAACAGAAAACTTGCCCAGTGCCCAACGAGTGTCCCCAGAGACACACAAAACTTCTCCCACTCCGAGCTCTGGCCCACTCATAGAGGTGGACGGAATCCATAGTCAATCCTTCCTCACTAGGGTAACCTGTAGAATCTCCCCATCCTGAAATAAATCAAAGAATATTATACTGAAAAATGTTAATAAGAATACTTTTCAACAAATTAAGATGCTATGATTTGTATGTTTTCACTCTGCTATTGAGACAAAATTATGTCTAGTCAGAATGTTGGTGACTATACCTTATGGTAAATTATTACCATAGTTGAAAAATTATATTTTTTTGGTGTGTTTTCCTACCTCTATAGTCCATGGCTAGTACATGAAATCCATTTGCACTCAGCACCTTTTGTAGAAAGAAGGGACATTTTAGTTATTTTTTCCATCATAAATGCTACCAGCCCTTGTTTCCATAGCTACACTTTGCTCCTTCAGTGTTAGGTTCTTACAGTGCAAGTTTCAAATAATTCTACGTGGACTGATGATGTAGTTCCCCCATTAAACCACCAGGAGGTATGTTATACCTTGAAATGATCCCTATCCAGTTTTTCTTTTCCTCCACCAATGCCCATACAAAAATTCTCAGTAAACCTCAAGTGATCATTGGATTCAGCCTTAAGCTTCCTTTTCAGAAGTTCCACTCTCCAGTTCTACTTCTACTGGATCAACCTATTCTTGTTAAATATAAAATGCCAAATGATATTTTACATATCAAAAACAAGGATTGTTTATATAATGCAACCATCTTCTAATTTTAGGTGAACTGCACAAAATTGATATACAGCTATCACTGTTTGCTCACGGCATTTTAAAAAGTACAATTGAATTACAAATATGAATTGTTTGTGAAAATACCCTTTGGTTTTCATTTCTGAAAATGTCTAGTTATTAATGTGCAATATATGTCCCATTTATGTGAAATATATATTGAAATATAAAGGCTCCTGATTAAAAGCCTGCGCAATTTGATGAACTCTGAAATAATATCAATAATCCTTGTATAAAACTTTCATATCGGATGACATCTCAAAACTTTTTACAGAATTTACTGTAAGTGTGAGTTTTGTAGGAAAGCACATAATTTGATACTTACCAGACTCCACTTAAGTGGCTTAAATATCCCAATTTTCACAAAAAATGACCATGAGGTCAGGTAATCATTGAAGTGTGTAAAAAAAATTAGCAATTACCTTTACCAGTGCAACTCTGTAGCTTTCAGCCCTAAATTTAATAAGAATTTTAATTATTACATAAAACCACATCAAGTAGCAGACTTGCTATCTAGCAAACTTGATAGTAAACAAATGACATGTCCATTTAAAAATGGCATCACCTATTGCCTCCATTGCCATGGAGATAAACTATTACTGGATTACCATCTGACAGTGTAGCTTCATACCACTGCTGATCTTTCCCTCGAGTTTCCATCCACCTACTTTCTGGTACAGTATGCCTAGAAGAGAGTTCAAATTAAATAACCCTAATTATGCCAGCATGAAACAGGCGTTAGGAAAGAAAATGTTACATTTCAGAGTTCAAACAATCTCAACTACAAAGTCTTATGCATTTGGCTGTCAGACTCACTCTAATGTAGTGGAATGTAAATGCAATTCAACCAGTTATTTTCAGCAGTAATTGGTGATGTACTTTGATTCCACCCTCCCCCACCCGTCATCACCACCACCAAATTAAATCAATTTGGAGGCAAAATTAAAATGAGACAATTAAGAATGAGACTTTAAGATGAGTGTGTCTGTTCAGATGTGACCTATCAGTAGATACTATTTCAAAAAGCAAAAAGTTTCCCAAGTGCCTTAGATAATATCCCACCTCATCCTATTTGTCCCAGAACAAATTCATTGGTCATTCACTGATTGTTGACCGTGTGGCATTATTGATTAGATACAGTAGTGTATTTGTCTACACAAATAACTAATCTTCAAAGCAACTTATTATGTGAGGCACTCCGAGATGTTCCAACGTGAAAAGTTGCCACATCAGATGCAAGTGATTATTTACTCCCTGATATCTGATACTTACCAGACTCCAACTGTAACTCCTTCTTCGGGAGTGAGATATAGATTTACAGTGTGGTTTATAAACTTTCCAGGATGCTGCAGATCAATGAAAGGAGATCTGACTGCAAAATAAAAATCAATTGAATGATTGTGTGATTAATGCATAACCCCATAACAAAAGAATGAGTCATGTTCCATGAAATATAAGGATTAAGATGAATTAATATTCTGCTTTAACTTGGTTTTGGGGGAACTGGGTGAAGCTTTACTCTGCTTCCAGGCTGCTTTCGATTGTTACAGTGACGATGCCCTGAACTGTATCTTGACTAATTTAAGAAAACGCTTGATGCTGTAATGCAAGGACTACAGGATGGGAATTCTAGAAAGGTGAGATCAAATCGGCTGATGGGTCTTATTCAAACCCCATTTATGATCTTGTGATTTACTCTTGTCTTTTTCTCTTATCAATTGCAAAATCAAAGTAACTTATAAAGTAATAATGTATCGGCTTCAGATGAAATGCCTGAAGGTAGCGATTTATTTCTAAACAACACAAGAAACAAGTCCCTGGTATCTCAGTGTGTAAATGGGGCAATACTGAGCAATACAGATCAGAAAGATCCCTTTTTTAATCTCTGTTCTGTCCTGGGTTAATTATTAGACTAAAGAAGTGCAAATATAATTGTAAGATCTACTATTGCCAATTCCATTTCAGAAGTCTCTGTCTAGTACATGTTAAATTGTCCACCAACTCTGTATGTGTATACCTCTACACATCAAGAATGGCCATGGGTGAGGTATTTGAAAATCGTGGAACTATACCCCACTATAAGCCACCTTTGTGCTTATTTAAAGCACATTCACAATTGAATGCAAATTTGTATGAAAATTGATTTATACTTGCATAAATTAAAATAGATCATCATTGGTGCAATAACAGGATTTATCTTCATGGCAAATGGTATGGTGACATAAATAATTAAAACTGTTAAAACACACGCCTTGATGAGAAATATGAGGCTTCTGTGAATCCTGAAAAAATGGAAAGAAAGACATCAATCACATTTGTTAAATATGATCTTTTGTAATTAAATACAAGACATAATTACATTCGAAATGTGTATGTTCAATAGCAATTACTCATTTTGTAATTTGAACACTAATGTCTTCAGTGTCTTACAGAAACTTTCAAATTTAAGAAAGAATGATCTTCTTTCAAAACTGATAAAGTACATTTTGCACTTGCAATGATTTGCTCACTGGATTTTAACACAAGCACAACCGTCTGTGAATCATGGGGTGGAAGCTTCATAAGTAATGTGGGGGCTGGGATGGTTGTTAGGGTAGTTGTTATACTGGTTGTTATACGGTTGTTAGGGTAGATCCTGGGTTGTTAGGGACGGTTGTTAGGGTAGATCCCGGGTTGTTAGGGCGGTTATTAGGGCAGATCCTGGGTTGTTAGGACGGTTGTTAGGGTAGATCCCGGGTTGTTAGGGCGGTTATTAGGGCAGATCCTGAGTTGTTAGGACGGTTGTTAGGGTAGATCCTGGGTTGTTAAGGACGGTTGTTAGGGTAGATCCAGGGTTGTTAGGGACGGCTGTTAGGGTAGATCCTGGGTTGTTAGGACGGTTGTTAGGGTAGATCCCGGGTTGTTAGGATGGTTGTTAGGGTAGATCCAGGGTTGTTAGGGCGGTTGTTAGGGTAGATCCCGGGTTGTTAGGGCGGTTGTTAGGGCAGATCCCAGGTTGTTAGGGCAGATCCCGGGTTGTTAGGACGGTTGTTAGGGTAGATCCTTGGTTGTTAGGGTAGATCCTGGGTTGTTAGGGCGGTTGTTAGGGCAGATCCCGGGTTGTTAGGACGGTTGTTAGGGTAGATCCTTGGTTGTTAGGGCAGATCCAGGGTTGTTAGGGACGGTTGTTAGGGTAGATCCCGGGTTGTTAGGGCGGTTATTAGTGCAGATCCTGGGTTGTTAGGACGGTTGTTAGGGTAGATCCTGGGTTGTTAAGGACGGTTGTTAGGGTAGATCTAGGGTTGTTAGGACGGTTGTTAGGGTAGATCCCGGGTTGTTAGGACGGTTGTTAGGGTAGATCCTGGGTTGTTAGGGCGGTTGTTAGGGCAGATCCCAGGTTGTTAGGGCAGATCCCGGGTTGTTAGGACGGTTGTTAGGGTAGATCCTTGGTTGTTAGGGTAGATCCTGGGTTGTTAGGACGGGTTGTTAGGGTAGATCCCGGGTTGTTAGGACGGTTGTTAGGGTAGATCCTGGGTTGTTAGGGTAGATCCTGGGTTGTTAGGACGGGTTGTTAGGGTAGATCCCGGGTTGTTAGGGCGGTTGTTAGGGCAGATCCCGGGTTGTTGGGGTAAATCCCGGGTTGTTAGGGTAGATCCCGGGTTGTTAGGGCGGTTGTTAGGCAGATCCCGGGTTGTTAGGGCGGTTGTTAGGGCAGATCCCGGGTTGTTAGGGCGGTTGTTAGGGCAGATCCCGGGTTGTTAGGGCAGATCCCGGGTTGTTAGGGCGGTTGTTAGGGCAGTAACGGCCCCGCCTCCGCGCTGCCCCGGGATGGCCTGACCTGGCGGCCGCGGCCCAACTCATGGCGGGTGAACGGCTGCGGGCGGTTCGCTGACCGGGGGGTGTGGGTGTGGGGGGGTGTGGGGGAGGGGGGGGGAGATGAGAGACTGGGCGGCGGGTCCGGGGGTCCGGGGGACCGCGAGCGAACGTGGTTGGTGGTCCCTCCCCGCCCACTCCCCGGAGCCTCCGCACCCGGGGCTGAGGTTCCTACCAGCGCCGGGGACCGGGTCTCCCCGGGCCCATGGCTGACACCCCAGGCCCGGCCTCAGCCCGGGGCCTCCCCTCACCCCCCTCTCTCTCTCTCTGCCCTGAGCTCTGCCCTTTCTGCTGTGGAGGCAATTAATGTTATTATTATTATTATTATTATTGTTATTATTATTCCTGTGTGTGCATTTCCATGTGCCTTCAATATTAAATACACTATATGTGTATATATATATGTGTATATATAATCCTTGCAGTTGATGCAGCGCCTCGTCACGTCGTCGAGCCGTCTCGAAGCGCTTTCACGCAACGGACTGCAAAGCGCAACATCTTTACGTTCAGGTGTTTACCGTTCGCCCGTCTTGTGCGTGTGTGTGTGTGTGTGTGCGTAGTGATGGGAATTTAAGGTCAATGCGGTCCATATTTTTTTTTGGTTGGGGGGGGCGGGGGGTTAATGTGTGTTGTCAGCTGGAACCGCTTACCCACGAAGGTGGGAGTCCAGGCCGCTGCGTTCGTTAAAAAGAATAAAAATTGATGCCTTGGCGGAAAGACGTAGGTATGGGACCGAATGGGCCGAAGGGCCTTCTTCACCCCGAACCAATCTTGCAAGCTCTGCCTCGTTCCTGTGCGTTTTGACAGTTCCAACGGATCTAATACCTAACCAATCTAACCTGTTCCGGAGATAATAATCCTTCAAGAAACAATAATAATTTGGCCACTCAAATCCATGACTGTTTGCGGGACGCTGCCGTGCGCAATCGGCTGTCCGCGTTTCGCCCACAAATATACGGTCAATTCACTTTACAGTATATCCTGTGAAGCGCTTTGAGACGTTTAGAAGACGTGAAAAGCGCCGTATCAAATGCAAGGATTATTATTATTTATTGCATTGTCTGTACTGAGAAAATGTTAAAGCGGGAAGTAAATTCCAGAGCCTCGTAAATACTGTGCTGTATCATTGGTAAATTTAAATTTAAACTTCATTTAAATACACTCTGTCACCCTCCAATAGCACATGGTGGTGCTGGTGAGTTGAAACGTTTGTTCAGCTCTTCTAATACTGTCCTATCTGTAAGGACCAATTTCATTGCCAACCAGCCTCAATCCGTTATCACATCTTTGTGCAGCCATGTAGCGTTGTACAACGATTATTACTGAGGATCTCAGTTCTTGACCTTGGAACCTTTCAGGAATTCAGCCAATGCTATTTTAAGTTTCAATGCCATTGATTGTCTTCTGTTGATAATGCTGGATTATTTCATAAATGCTTAGAATTCCTCCCATGGCCTGTAAGGTATCAGATGATCAGCCTTTTAGTCATTGGACTGGTAAGGACGTTGGTTTATAGGCAGATCAGAATTTATTTAGGAGAACCACAGTTTGTGATTTGTGTTGCGAATGGCAAGATAATCTCTACAAGATAACCAGTGCAAAGATGTTGTGCCATCTGTCCATCTGTATCCAATGTCATCACTTATCTAAGAAGTATCTTTCGTTGGTGAGCGATACAGATCTGTTAACATGTGTGAAGTGTCAAATATTGATGTGATTTTTTTGCATCTTACATGGTGTAACATACACATGTGGACCTGACTAGCGATTTTTTGCGGTGAGTAGTTTGTGAAATGGTCTTTATTTTTGTCAGCTAAAATGTGCTCACATTTTATCCACTTCTAATTTCCTTCCTTCCTTCCTGACTATTGCTTATCATTTTAGATAATGACTAATTAGTTCTCTTATTCCAAGTGGCCTATCTTTATGTGCGATCACTCGACTGACTTCTGATGGGCTGGCTGGCTCTCTGATCATGGAGTGAATCTCCGCCCAGTCCAATTCTTGTTCTGATCCTACATCCTTCACCAGCACACTTTATTTCCAAATAGCAAATGGCTGGGATTGTGCCGACTGAGAGAAACAAATCTGTCACTGATCCGAAATCGAACCTGTAATTTTCTTGTCTGGAGGTCTTAGCATTACACCAGGAGGTTAAGTGATGTACTAGTCAACAGGGAAATAACAACAAGAAATTACATTTATATAGTACCTTTCATGTCGAGAGGATGTCCCAAGGTGCTGGACAGTCAATGATTTGCATCCGAGCTGGGAGTGGAGATTAGGAGAGGTGGAGGGCAGGGAGGGTGTGGGAAATGTCATCTTTTTCTGAAAAATAATCCTGCCTGTCAGGTACCTGCCACAGGTATTTTCATGTAATAGTAATTTATAAAACATCTATCAACAATGTGCAGTGTCAGACCTGTTCAGTCTTGTTTCCAATGAGAATTGTTGTTTGTGGTTTTGGCTAAGAAATTAGGCCGATTTCTCTAATGTCACATTTCTCTATATATTGGGAGGAAAATAGTCTGAGATCCAGGTCAACGTTGTCAAATACTGCAATAATAAATCTTTCTTTTCTCCAAATTTGGGCTTTGCAAGAGGACACCACAAAGCATTGGCAAATGACACAATGTATGATTGGAAGTACAGTATTATTGTAGAGCTGCATTTGTTTTCCAAAACAAGAAGTCTTAAGCAATGAAATATTTTTCATTTTTCGGTTGCAAAACAAAATGTTGTCAAAACAAAACAAAAGCAAAACAAAACACAAGGTCGGATCTTACTTTACCAGGAGACGAGTAGATCTTTTTTTTGATGTAAAAAGAATAGAAAGCAAATGAAATGAATCAAATAAATGGCATCTCATTGGAGGTATGTATTTTTTGAAATATTTTTTTTAGGGGGTGGGGGATGGGGGGAGAGAGAGAATAAAAAAAAGTGGTCTTCCAGTCCCCCAGAAGGCGCTAAAAAAAGAGCAGAACAAGATATTCTCTGCATTTTTTTATACACACACACACACTACAGCAATAACTGCTTGCGTGAGGCTATCACATGGGTTGTGGGGTTCACTCCTGACCTCTCTTACGTTAAAATGCGCAGAGGATGTAAGTATGAGGCGCCTCCTGTGACCAGAGCCTCTGAGAGCCTGGACTCAGAGTAATGCAAGTGGTCAGATCTCTCTCTCTCTCTCTCACACACACACACACACACACAGAGACAGAGAGGGACACAGAGACGGAGAGGGACAGGGACAGAGAGGGACACAGAGACAGGGAGAGACACAGAGGGACACAGAGAGAGAGACAGAGACAGAGAGGGACACAGAGACAGAGAGGGACAGAGACAGAGAGGGACACAGAGACAGAGAGGGACAGAGACAGAGAGGGACAGAGACACAGACAGAGAGAGGGACAGAGACACAGAGACAGAGGGACACAGAGACAGAGAGGGACACAGAGACAGAGAGGGACACAGAGACAGAGAGGGACAGAGACACAGACAGAGAGAGGGACAGAGACAGAGAGGGACAGAGAGAGGGACAGAGACACAGAGACAGAGAGGGACACAGAGACAGAGAGGGACACAGAGACAGAGAGGGACAGAGACAGAGAGACACAGAGGGACAGAGACAGAGAGGGACAGAGAGAGGGACAGAGACACAGAGACAGAGAGAGGGACAGGGACAGAGAGGGACACACAGCACTGGAAGACTAACAGCAGCTCCTCTCAGTCTCAGTCTCGGTCTGTCAGTCGGTCTCACTGAGCCCGGAGGCAGCCTTGGATGCCCCGGGGACTCAGCTCTCCTCTTCCCTCCTCCCCTTCCCATGTATCCCGTCGGGATCGTCAGGATTTTGTAACCTTCGGAGGCTGTCGGGGAGGAGATCGCGAGCGGTGCGGCCGCAAAGAGCTCAGAGCAGTCGGTAGGTGAAGGCGCTGTGTGTGAGCGGCCGCCGATGGTGATGGTGATGGTGGTGATGGTGATGGTGATGGTGGTGATGGTGATGGTGGTGATGGTGATGGTGGTGATGGTGATGGTGGTGGTGGTGATGGTGATGGTGGTGATGGTGATGGTGATGGTGATGGTGGTGGTGGTGATGGTGATGGTGGTGATGGTGATGGTGGTGATGGTGATGGTGGTGGTGGTGATGGTGATGGTGGTGATGGTGATGGTGGTGGTGGTGATGGTGATGGTGGTGATGGTGTTACAGCAAAACAAAATGTACATTGTAGCCAACGCAAAAGAGAGAGAGAGAGATAAAGTATCTGTGTGAAGTTCTTGTTCCAAGTGCGTGTTGTCCCCATCTCTCTCTCTCTCTCTCTCACTCACACTCTGTCTCTCTCTATCTCTCTATCTCTCACTCACACTCTGTCTCTCTCTCTATCTCTATCCCTCTCTGTCACACCCTCTCTCTCTCTCTCTCTCTCTCACACACTCTGTCTCTATCTCTCTCTCACTCTCTCTATCTCTCACTCTCTCTCACACTCTGTCTCTCACTCTCTGTCTCTCTGTCTCTCTCTCTCTCTCACACACACTCACACAGACGGGTTGCAAAAGCTTTACGTTTCTGGAGTGTTTTTTTTGGAGCTTTTTTTGGTGTTTTATTTTTATTTCCTGACTCTTAATCGCGGCTCTGTGTGTGTGTGTGTCTGTATGTGTCTGTGTGTGTGTCTGTGTGTGTGTGTGTCTGTGTGTGTGTGTCTGTATGTGTCTGTGTGTGTGTGTGTCTGTATGTGTGTGTCTGTGTGTGTGTCTGTGTGTCTGCAGCTGCATGGAATCGGTTTGGTAATGTATTTTGTGTTTGCTTTTGCTGAGAATGAATGATAAAGTGTTTCGAATCGTTCATCATTGCTTGGAATGAATGAATGCTCTGCCCTGAGCTTTGGGGAGTTAAGATAATATAAATATATATATATATGATGGTCTCTGGTTATATGCTTGACAGAGCCTTTGTGTGTCTCAAATGCAAACTTCTGGTGGGGGGGAAATTGCTCTCTTTCCTTTTAAGAACCAGCTTTTCTGATCCAAGTACGTGGATGATTTGTGAATGACTGTTTCTGGCCTGATACCAATTTTTAAATCCAGCAAAAGCAATGGCATTGGAGGCCATCCTTATTATTTCATATTTTCAGTTACCAGTTATTTTCAGTTGTCATTTATTGTTGGCCGGGCTGGTCACAATTTGATTTATATCAAGCTCAACGTTGCTAAGAAGATTTAGCACATTGCATGTCGTTTGCTTATTCCTATCTCAGTTCAACGGTGTCGAGATTGTCATTGCTGCATGTTTAAATATTGACATGATAAAAAAAATCTCTCGTGAGATATAAGGCTGGGTTAAGTTTATAATCTTTGTTTGTAAATCATTCCGCTTATTATTTTGATTTCATTGTGGCTGGGAAGCAGTTGCGATATGTTTTTATAAACATTCCCATAGTTTTACTACTGTTTATCTTTTTGAACTCGATGTTGTGGGTAATATTAAAAGTTGCGGCTTTATAATGTTACAAGTGGACCTTTTAAAATGACAATACCTTTCGGAAATTCTCCATTGTGGGTATATCACTTGGGAACAATAGTTTCAATGAAACCACTGTGATTGGACTCTTCCCCCACCCCACCTGTGTTGCAATTTTATCCTTTTGTTTTGTTCCCTCTCCCTTTCATGTGTTCACTTTTCAATTAGGGAAGTGGGATGAGTTTCTTTATGTTAATACAGCCAAAAGCTGGCCTTTTCAAGATCACAGAAGACAGCCTTGGTACAGATGCTATGACAAGAGCACGTGAAACCCTTACACGAAGGTCCATTTCATACCAAAGTGGAAACTAGGATGAGTATCCGGACTCTATGAATAGAAATCCATGTTCTTCTGGCTGAAAACAGAAAGGCATCTCTTAGCAAATCAAATGCCAACAATTTGTCATTGTGTAAAAGGGAAGTTACACTCTCCAGCAGAGCTTCTAATTAATGAATTGCATACCATTACTCCAATAGTGTCTCAGTTGAGGCACATTTTTAAATATTGTAATCATATTTTACCGGCTGGGTTCATTCGGTGTCTAGTTAACACTGCTTCATAAAGACCTGAGAGGCCACAGGTTTGATCCTGGTCTCTGCTAAGTTATCTCTGCCCACACTTCTGGTGAAGGGCAACATGATTAGACTTGATGACCTCAGGCTAAGGAGAAGGAAAAATCAGCGAGGATTCCAGTCACTGATGACTATCCCCTGGTGGAAAGTCTCCATTTGGTTACAGAATCAAAGCTTTGATGTCATTCATGTCTGACAGGCCTGTCAATGTTCATTTTTTATACTTGCAAGTGAAGAGGGTCTGGCACGTGAAGGTCTCAGATGTGAAAAATAACTACTTGGGTGATATACTAGCAGGCCAGTGGGACTGTTTCTCTACCCAAATCGACTGGAGGGAAATTATATTTATGGATTCTATGAAGTTTCTACTAAATAATAAAAGAACTGAATTGAAAGAATCTTTTGCTTTCAAATACCTCGCCATGCCTGTTAATGACCCAGTAGCAGACTTCTGTTGCCAAATCATATTGGGGATTCTCCTACTGATTGAAGTAAATGGGAAATTAATCAGCGTTGAGATGTTACCCTGCAGAATGCAACTTTAACATTAAATTGGAAGCATATCCTTTTGTTTTCCTTTTTTAGCGGTAAGTTGGGTGTCTGACACTTGTGTCGCCATGCTTAAGAGCATCCAAAACAAACCGAGTTCCACATATATATGCCACTTACACATGAAATTTTCTGTGTGTCTGTTGTGCGTCATGTTCATTACTGCTAGTTTTGAGGCAGGCAAGGAACAGACAGTATGTGTGGAGCTCCTCCTGATGGGATATTGTGAACATTTATGAAAATGCCTCTAACCTGCAAAATTATGAGCGAAAAGCAATCTGCCCTATTTATGTTTTTTTTGACAATAAAAGAGAAAACTCACAGGCCTGGTTGCCTCAGCATTTCAGGCAAAAAACAGCAGGCTGCCTGATGTCATCATCCTGTGACAAAAGACTCTAATGACCTCTCCTGAGCAGCTAATGTCTGCTGTTAGGGTGGGGACAAACATCTATAATGGAACTTGTTTATCCTGTGGAGATGGAATAATAAGAATAAATTTGTGCGAGGAACTGCTGAGAGCAGTGAGTCCTTGTATAGAGACAGAGGATTTTATTCAATTGTAGTATGAAACTAGGTAAAATTCCCGATGTCAAACAGGCAATTCACTTTACAGTACACTCTGTGAAGCGTTTTGAGACAACTGCTATCAAATCATTTGCAAGGTGATCCCATTGTGCACCCAGCAGTAGAACCTGAACTCCTATTCAGAAGATCCAGATTCCAATCCCGCTCTCCATTGCCTTATGTATGAAGAAAGAGACTTCTCAGTTTTCACAAGCTTTTTGCTGGACTACTAGATGGTGCTTCTTGTGGCATGGAGCGCCCCATTTTAGGGAGAGGAGATACTGTCAGGGTATAAGTTAGCACACAACCCTTGTGTATTAGACAGGCATTTCTATTTTGAATGCATAAGCTCCAAGTACAATAAGCAGGGTGATGGCAGTGTTTGTCCCATCTTCTCCTGAAGGCTCTGAATAATTCTGGTGTATAGCTATGCCAGGCACCAGATCCCATCAGCTAATTTGCCCATATGATCATACCAGCCAGACAGTGTGTATTTGACTATCGAGGCACTGGGACTGAGTCTGCTCCGACACTCACCTGATCTCCCTAATGCACACTTTCCAATGGAGAATAATAATCAGGAGGTTTCCCCTCACAACCCAACAGCTCTAAGGACGAGTGCAGTCACAGCTGTTGGTCTGCCTGAGATCTGTTAAATCACCCGAGAGATTGAACCTGAACCCTCTGGCCTGTATTTCTTGTGCAGCAATAAGCAAGTACGATAAATCAACATTTCATTCTTTGACATAATTAAAATTGGTACCGGGGCAGCCACCAATCTACTTTTGGGTGTGACCGCTGGCGGAAATTCTTGCCCACTAATTCACCAAAAATCTCATTTGCACATTATTTCTATAAATAGAACTAATTTATGCGCCACTGACATTGAGGATTGACATAACTTTCCCTTTGACCGCTCGCTCCCCTATCACAACATTGCAAATGGTGCTCGCATTTAATTTTCAGATTTGACAGTTTTGTAATGAAACCTTTGGTCTGAAAAAGGATCTGCAAGGTAATGTGCAACAAAGCTCTTTAATTGAAAATTCCTGTCCACTGTGTTTAATATTGGAATTGAATTAACCTTTGAGGTTCTAAAATCTGAATGCCCTTGTATGCTTTACAATTATTCGTATATCTTCTGCATCATGCATTTCTTTAGAATATTACATGAAATAGCGAACATTTTAAATTCCCCGAACATACTGAAATTAACAAGTTTTGTTTTTAAAAGGACTGTCCCAATCTTCAAGGCCATTTTACCGAAGATAAAGCTAAACAATTACTCTACAGGAGAGATGTGCTCCATTAGAGTTTCTATTTTTCTATCTCTAAAGCAGAAGTGCCTCATCGCTTTCTTAATCTATTAATGTTAAATCCATGAAACTAGAAATCCAAAGTCAGTAAATCAGGAAGGTTTAAAATACATTTATAGTTCCTTTTATAGTTCTAGATAATTGCCTTTCAAAATAAAAAAAACCCTGCTTCTCACTTCTGTGAAAGAAGGATGTTGGTTCGAGCCACACATTAGGACTTGAGTTCCACTGCACTTACATTGCGAGGGATGCCATCCTTGGGATTAGGTGGTTCTGCTTGCCAGTTTAGGATGATGTTAAAGATTCATTGGGCGAGGCCAATATTCCTTTATCATCCAAATTGACCCAAATGATTAATCATTCATTATTTCATTACCGTTTGTAGGATATTTCTGGTACAGAATAGCTGCCATTTATGTCTAGATCACATTCACTACAAAGTAACTCATTGTGCAAAACACTTCAAAATGGTTGGACATAAAGCATTATATCAAATGCAAGTACAAACTTGTCTTCAATAATCACTCAGAGGACTGGGCCAAAGTGGCCTTTATATAAGGGTAGTTTCTGAGTGAGGGTTTCTTGGTGTACGAACCAGGCTGTTAACGGGGATGGTTGCCAAATGGAGGTGGTTGCTTGAACAGGTTTGACTATTTGGATTCATAAAGGTGGCTTAGATGTTGAGAATGGTACATTACAGCACAGATATTTTCTGGGTTGACAGAGGCTCGATCTCTAGTCAGAACCTCTATAAAATGAGGACATCAAACCAGTCGATCGTGGGCACTGGTTGATGGCATGTAAGTGTCTATAGTTTGACACTGGTTTGTACTCGGGCCACAGGATAGTTGGTGTGCAAATTGCACAGTATCACGTGTGCAAACGGTGATACTTTGGTGAACATGTCTTTGAAGCATTTTGCTGGGATGTGCAGAGGGACTGTTGTCTCATATCTAACTAACTCTCTGTATCTAAGGTGAGATAAATACCAATGAGGAAGCAACTTTTCAAAAGTGACAGCATTGTTGTAGCTTATAAAACAGAAACTACCAACACAGTTGTGTTCTTCTAATGGGTTCACTCTTCATGCTAAGCTTCTTTAGAGGGCAATCTATTAGTTGGCTTAACAAAATAATAACTAACATTTAAAATACAGTCTGTCTCGGCTTTGTGAATGTCACAGCTCTGTGAAACATATTGCTTTCAGAGTACTTCATATGCCATTTGTCACTGGGTAATCGCTTGAGCCATTTGCCTGATTCCAATACTATCATTAGAATATTTTTCTTGCATGTCTGATAGATGATGATGTGCTCCATTTCATATTAATCTGCTTCAGAATAATTTGTTGAGAAACTGGCAGCTTCTTAGCAGGAGGTAGATTTGATATGTCTGAACATGTTATATGGCGTTTAGTTTTGCCCTTTGCCAAGCAAAACATAATATTCAATTAAATGTCATTTGAATTGATTTAGTAAGCTCACAGAAGGAATTATTTTACATCTTCTGTAATAAAACTACCAGAATACCTCCTGCCTTTCTGGCTATTAGCATTTTCGTGTTTATCCCTTCCTACTTCTGTTGCTCTGTGTAGTTGGGTGGAGTTGATTTGTGAGAATATTGGGTAATCGTTATTATTTCTTCTTCATAAACAGTGCCTGCAAGTCCCAGGCCTATTTAAATGCAGTTTGTTCAGGTCCATTTTTCTTTCACTGCCCTCATAATAAATGTCCTTTTCATTTCACACATGTATTGCGTTTGGGTAGCATTAATATTGATTAAGGGCAGCTCTGTGATCTGGACTGGTGTTAAACTGGCGAAACACATTTCAACTTAGGGCCCTCTATGTTCTTTCACTATGTCTCCCCTGTAACTAGAGGACTTATTGTATCTGACCAATGAGTGGCAGTGGGCAATGATTTTCCACCGGATTTTTAAATAAAATGTATTATTTAGCTAGTAGAGGACTAAAATGAAAATTTAGTGGAAAAACTGCAACAGTTGATTTGTTGCGCTGTGGTCTGTGAATTATCTGCAATCTGTCTCATCCTGTTGCACTTGACCTCTTATAGAGATTCACTGACAGAGGTCATGGGGATGTTCAGTCAGCTGGAGGTCAGGGCCCTCAGCAAATGTATGGGACTATTTTTATTTTATTTTAAACTCCTGAGCTAATTAGAATGGACAGTGCATCGTTTCCCTTTAGGAAGAAACTTTGCAGGTCGATAGACCTTGGAAACCACACTAGACAAGGAGATGTATATGATACAGAAAGCACACAAAGACAGTTCCCAGAAAAACACAGCTGGCCGGCAAGTGTGGTTTTGCTGTTCCTCACTTGTGCACCCCTTCCTCACAGGTCAGAGTCCATAGACAAACAAAATAGTGACTTTGATTCAACTGCACATGTGGTAAGTGGTTGAGGTGCAGTGTGTTTCTTGTATTCATTGTTTCAGCACATCTGTGAGTGGTAATTAGCTGTCACTACAGGAATGGAAATCATTGTTGAAGGTTGTTGCTCATATATTCGGAAAGTGAAGGAGTTTGTCCAATCGTTGTGGGCTCCTGAAGTACGAGAGGGTATTGAGGCTGCTGTGCATTGTCACCGAATTGACATGGTACTGCAGCTGCTGTCGTTCCTTCGGAAATCCTATTGCAAAACTTGTATCACTGTAAGCAGGTTGTCTTAGCCAGATGGGGTGGGGGTTGAGTTTATATCCAATTGATGGCAGCAGGCTTTCTGTGCTATGAATAGCACTGAGTTTACCTGTAGCTGAGCAAGTCTCCCACTGAAACAAGACGGTAGAAATATTCTTGCAGAAAGCAACCCCTTCATACTTTTGAGTTGGTCCCAGGTGGCAACAACCTTTGAATTCAAATTATCTCAGAAAAGGAATATAACACCTGAAACAAATGACAGATTTTAGTAACTGTGGGGTTTTGTGTCATGAAAGATAACTTGTGTGTATAAGTGAACATTAATAGAATTAATAAAATTCTTATCCACCCTCCTTAATAAAAGAACCTGCTTAGAGAACATAGTAAGTGTTGCTGAGGTGCAATGATGGTCAAAACAATTTTAAAAAAAGCTTTCCTTTCCATTCAGCCTCCCAGAGCTGTCAACATTGCATATGTAGGTGGAGTATGAATATGAATACGAATGAGACTGGTTGCAAGTCCATTCAAATGCATGTAACTCCTGTTACTGTGTGAGATGCAAAACAATGACTTTAATTGTGTCCATGTGGCCATTCATTTTCTTCACCAAGGCCTGGTTCATTTTGCTTGTTTTTTTTTCTCTCTAAACAGTTACCAAAGTTACCAAAACAAATGCTTGGTTGTTTACATTGTATGACAATCATTTTACCTGTTCCCTGCTAGACATCATCGGTCCGATGCCAAAAAACTGTCTGACGCTTAGATATGTGAAATCAGCCCCAGTGAGTTTGGCAGAGGAACAATGTGTACCATATTAATTTATTTGTTTTGGGCTATGTAGCAGAATGTTTAGAATGCAATGCAATAGAGCTGATCCAGATTGACTGATCTTAAGGTTGCCCTTGTACGAGAATGTGAAGCACGCAGAGAAGAAGAGATTGTTTCTGTTTCTGATATTCCAGTAAATGCTTTTGTTTCATCTGCCAACAGGTAGTGGGCTAGGTATGCTATGGGATGGACGAAGCTGAGCAGGATAAGTATGAAGCACGGCTGAAAGAGGTGTTTGATAGCTTTGACACCACAGGTACGGGCTCGCTGGGCCAAGAAGAGCTGACTGATCTCTGTCACATGCTACAGCTGCAAGAAGTTGCTCCAGTCCTACTGCAGACTCTCCTACAGGGAAATCTCTCAGGCAGGGTAAGGGCATCAGCTTCTCCTTCTCATTGTAACTGTTGAACTGTATCCGTAACATTTATAATCTCAATACATTCACATCTCAATCATAACTGCTCAGCTCTTGCAAGTTCTCACCTCATGAAGTAATCACGAAGTTCAAGTTTTATCATCTCCAAATCCATCCTGGATTGACGGCCGCCCTAGAGATTGATAATAATATTAATATTAATAATAATTCTTACATTTAATATAGTGGCCTGTCACGTCAGGAAGATGCCTCAGAAACAGTACTTTCCAACCGTTTGTGATATTCTTGATATTTGGAGGTTAGGCATCGGGAGATTAGTTGTATTTGTTATTTGTGGTGTCTTGGCTCTGGCCTTTCCAGGCGATAGATATGTAGATTAGCCCATTATTTATCTAGTTCACTAACCCACTTGGGAAAATGATGTTAACTCTCAACATATTATTTTGTGACATATTTGTAAGGCTGCGTAAGGTCAGTGAGTCATTACACTACAACGACGACAACAAGATTACATTTATATAGCACCTTTCACGTCGAGAGGACGTCCCAAGGCGCTGGAGAGTGTACAGCATTTCAGATACTACAATCAGTTAAGCTTGGTAAATGCAACACTACATTCTTTAGATAGCGACATGCAACTGATTGGATTTCAGAACAGACAGTACAAGAGTACAGTAAGATCTAGATTCAGAATGAGGATTTCACATCACCATGAAGTTGATTTCACCAGAAATTGTTGAAAGGATTTACAACAGTTTCCTTGGCTGATCTTGATTCTTTTCAAGTGTTTGCAAATACCTGCTCAGATCTCAGTGCTTTTAAAAATGTGATTTATAGTGTGGGATTTATAGCACAGAGAAAGGAACTAAAGAACAACTGCACATGCGCAAGATTGCAAGTGCACATTGTTTTTAAACGGCAATTCACCAGTAAGGTTAATAATATTAATAATGAATAATAATTACCATCCAGTGGTCAGCGTTTCATGAGTCAGTTGTTTCCTAAATTGGTGCTAGTGTCTCTAGAGGTGGTGACAAAACCTTCACTTTTTCTCTCTCTCAATGGGTACTTTATAGAATTTGGTGCCTTTCAAAATCTACCTGCAGAGTGTATTTACTGTACTTGCTCCTCAGGCAATGCAGAAGTTCCAGGTATCATTTCCTGCTTATTTCCATGTGAAACCAATGAAAGTGAAAGCTAGCTAGTGAGCTGCAATATGTTGACCTGGTGAGAAGACCATTAGCAAAATGCAGTTTCTTATGGGGTCAAGAAGAGATTTACGGTTGATCACACCTAAAACTAAAAGGTGCAATGAGTGATGTGGATCAGCAGGCTGGTTAGTTTTTCCGAAGCCATAAGTCACTATGGAAATCTTACTAGAGAATGTTGTAAACAAATGGTTACCTTCATTTAAATGTAACCTTGGCATAACCTTGGCAAATAGGTAGTAAATAAACTCTAATTCCTCATGCTTGGAATGTTTGTTCTACTTTTCTAAAAGTAGTTCTAGAAAGCCTTCATATCCTAGAGTGAGCGAGCCAGTATAAATGCTGGAGCTAAACCAACACACAAATTCAGTTAACACTTTAACAATAGGAAGATAATTTTATAGATGTACAATTTGTGCATCTTTATACCATGTAAGCATGGTCAACTTCTTGCACATTACACTTTTATTTAATAAGGGTAAAGTGTCCATGTTTTATTGATTAAGCAAAGGGTCAAAAAACAAATGCCAGCCTAAAAGTAGGTTAATGCTGTGCTGAAGGCATTTTAGTCAAAGTTGTCTGCTAGTAAAAAGGATTAATATTATCCATCACTAGTATTTAGGAGTGTCTTCTATGAAGAGTTGTGAGGCCTCCAATGTTTGCGCATCAGGGCAACTTTCAAGCGTCCCATCAGTAATGGGAGCCTATCAGAATATGAGTCATGAAGTTAATTTCATCTTCAGAGTAATTGACGGTTATTTCCAGAATAGTTCGTTAAACAATCTAGTGCTGTTGTGCTCTGTTCATTAAGCGCAGGAAATTTTGGAATGTGTCTTTATAATGGGATCTCCCATTGTGCAAGTACATCATATGATGGAATGAACAAAATAGCCTCATAAACCTTTTCAGTCGGAGCACTGGTCTAACCCGTATCTCTGAATGCAGATCTTGTGACTACGAAAACAACAGTTTACATTAATAAAGTGTGTTTCACATCAGAACGCAATCTCAAAGCACTTCACTAATGTGGGGGTGGGAATAGCTGAGGAAGATGAGTAACACCAATCTCTGGCTTCCATGGATTGTACAAGAAATATCTAAATATACTCGCTTGTTTTTTTTAGGGGAATTGAAGAACCTGAAAATTGCTCTTTGTACTAAGGCATTTAGGAGAGCAAAACATTTGCTTCAGATGCATCTTTCTCTCTGGGATTAAAAACTGCAGAACAACTTATCCTAGCTATGAGCTATGTTTGTGCTGGATACTAAAAAGAGTTTATGAAGAAAGAACCTGCTTTTGTTGCAGTCTAAGGAAAGCTCTGTTTGAATCTTTTGTACAGATTAGAGGTGGTCAACAATCGTGATCACAATTGCAGGGCAACAGCTGCTCCCCACATGCATTAAAATCTACGTTCCCAACCCCCTTTAACAGCTGGCCTGCCATAGCAAGAAGAGCAACAAAGGGCAGGGAAAAGCCAGGTGGAAGTTATTATTCCAGAAAGGCTTTGCTCCTCCTTAAAATTACCCTCTTAATCATACAGATCAAATCTGTTGTGCAAGTGGCTTTCACACACGCCAGTTCATTATTCCTCTCAGATTGCCTTGGATTTACAGAAAAAGTAAGTTAATATTGAATGTTATTTTAAAATCTCCCCCAAATTTCCACTTTCTGTTCCCTATTCCTATCTGAGTTGGGAAATGTTCCTTTTGGTAGATTGTTCTTAATGCAGTGTAGGTGAATATTATTGAACTTTAAAAGGGGTCTTTATTTGCACAAGGTAGCTTTTCCATGGTGTAATTGCAAATACTGTTGCACTTTTTCTAAACCAAATACACATTAGGTTGTCATGCAGTTGACTTTTGTCCACCTCAACGATACCCCCAGTTCCTATTAACGTTTCTCAAAACATTTTAGGGAGAAGTTAGGTAACTTGTTCCTTCCTTCTCTTGCTTCCCCATCCCTGTCATTAATTTTCTGTTGGTTCTCTGATTAGCCAGGCCCTTCTGATTTGTGAAGTAATCTCTTGAGGAGTTTATTTAGAAATGTTGCGACCAAAATTGCTTCCTGTTGAAGCGAGAGCCATCTGTCATGGTGCAGCTGCTCACGCTTCAGACCTGTGCTCTCCTGCTACAGCCTCGGCATGAATGCATTACACAGTGAATGCGCTGAATTACACACTGACAAGCCTGGGAGATGTCTGATTTAGTCCCAACAATAAGGATTCCTATTCAGTAAGACAAAACTACCCAGTAGGAGTGTTTACTTCTGTTTTGAAGGCAAGACAAGACACACTGTTGGGAGTATTCTCTCCTGGTCCTGCAACATCTGCTGTCATTTTGAGGATGACTGGATCAGTGAGTCACTGATGTGTCCTGGTGGTTGACCTTATTATTTGTCTATAACCTAGACTAAAAGCTCAGGGTATGAACTACTAAGATGCATTAATACTCTAGCAGAATAACCTAGAATACAGCCCTTGCATTTGTTACATTTAACAAAGAATCCCACAGACTCCCAATGCTATCAATGATATAACTTTAAAATCCTTACTGTAAATGATGTAAAATAATGATACCTTCTTGTATGTTAAGGTGTGTAACTCCAGCTTTTCCATTCTCATCTGTGTCTTAATGCTGGGCCAGGTGACGTGATTCAGTTATTGAATATGCCCAAACTTTAACAAAACTATGCATACACAATTGATCCATTGAAAAATGCAGTTTCCTCGTGCAATGTGTGTTCAGTGTCATTCTATTGCATGTTGCTGAAAGCAGTGTTGAAAATATAGCTTGATTTTTCTTCCATCAAACAACCTTATCCACCCCCTTACAGAGCTCCACTTTCACTTTAAAGCAGCATAAGTACAAGCTTCTAAGTGAGAGTCAAAGGCAGCTCCATGTATGTGTGAGTGGGAGATGAGATGCAGCAATATTTGAGCCCCGGAAGTTTACAGTGCAGAAGAAGGCCACTCATCCCGTTGTGTTTAACCTGACCCGAGAACAAAGCTGCTCTTCCAGATTTTAAGCTCTTTTTTGGGTGTGTGTGGGTGGTGGGGGTGTGGGGGGGTGTAGGGGAGGTTTATATGTCTAGTACTATGAAGATGTATAGATGTATTTCAAAAATGTATTTAACTGGGAATGGGCAAAGGAGCAGAGAATTTTTGGAATACATTCTTGTAAATTACTCCTTGAGGCAAATTTTAACAATCTGTTAAACATTCACTTATCAAAGGAAATCACAGTTATCACAGGGTTATTTTTGCTGTTTATAGTGTCCCGATTCTCTGTTGGATACTGTTCCCAATTCTTAAGTAGATGAAGGCATCCGAAGGATGACCGAATCTGGTCGTCACATCAGCTGTTCTTTTCTAGTTCAGTATAACTTTAAACCTCCCTGTTTATTGGCTTAAGACTATTTTAGGACTAGAATCCCAGACATTTTAAATTTGTTCCAGTGACTGGGGATCTGCTTCTTCTACCCAAAATAATGGGCAGAAATATGCTGCGTTGGGTGGTTCAACCATTTATTTTATAGTTTAGCAAAAATAGACTTTGTTCTACAGCAAATTTTCAGATTTGACTTTTAAATGACAATAACTGAGTAATCTTGATGTTGGATAATGTGTGTGTCCACTTAGCTTTTTTTTACTTCAACACCGATGGTGCAATTTGAAATAGTTTCAACAAAGTTTTTTCACATCTGAATCAGTAGTGATTTCCAGCGTGACCCAAGCCATGAAGCATGCTGCACTGGAGAGGTTCAAAGGTTGTTTCCCCAGCAGTTCATTGTTAACCACAGACTTCTTTCTAACTCCTTTTTTGAGTATGTAACACATTTATTCAGCACGCACTGTTGTAAATGAAATTCAGAAAATCAAACATCTGTCATGCCAGACTGCAGTCACTGGCAGCTGAATAGAAATCGGCTCCATATTGCACACAGAGAGCTCCGAGAAAACATTTGCTTAGCTGCAATGCAGTTTAAGACCCTCAGCTTGAGTTACAATGGACTCAGAAATAAAATCCTTTCATTTTGAGGAATGTTTGAGTTCAATACAAACCGTATCATTTCGCTCTGCTCCTTAAGTGGGGGGATTCAGCAATTTTTTTTTAAAAAAGCAAAAAAATCACTCTCTTTGGAATAAAATGAACCATGCTGACCCAACGAGAATGTTTGTGCATGCGTATAGTCCACTTTCCATTTCAAACAGATGATGACTTCAAATTAGCTATCTTTCTCCATGTGCTGAGCTATTTTTTGAATCGGCCAGGTGTTACAGTGATCATTTTGTACTGGCTTTGTGCAAATACCAGGCTCAGCCCTCGATGAATCTGCTTCCCAAAGGCAGAAGTATTTAAAGTAAGATTGCAATCTTACCAAACCCTTTAATCCACTTGCATTTGCTACAAAACAGCTGGGAATTTCAAGCCTAATTATGTTTTTTAGCTGTAGTGCAAAAGACTTAAGAGTGCAATCCTGCTCCACCAAGTGCGCAAAAATTAATTTCCAAAAATAAAATGACAAGTTTGAGTCTTTGTTTCAGAAGGGTTTGTTCTCTTAAAGCTCAGACCAGAGCAGAAAGTTGGGTTATGTTCAGCAATTTTATCAGAGCACAACCATAGCCCGATAATAACCATGAGGGTTTTAATATATAAGAAAGTAAAATAAAACCAGAGATTAACTGCAACTCAGAAAATTTGGAATCAAGTTTATACACATGAGTGAAAGGTTGAATTTGTATTTCTGACAAGTGTGACAGTTTGTATTGAGTGCTACATATTTAAATCCTTGAATAAAAATCCCTACAAGTGTTTTGCCCTCATTATGTTTGCTCTCTTCAGTGTAACTTAGTTACAAGCTCTTCTTATACAATTAGGGTGGGGTAAGCAATGTTTTCCCTTAATCCAGTCATTCCTGTTAAGCAAGCATTGACAAGTTGCTAATTATTCTTTTTCCCACATGGCATTTAAGATTATTTTTCTACCTGTTCAATTCTCTACACTCGTCTCTGAAGGTACTATCCCATGTAGGCATCTGGTGAGAATAGGATTTTGCTTGGTTCCATCGCCCCTTATGCTCGCCCTGTATGGAGAGTGCCTAGCTTCTGCCCAGTCCCTCTCCACAGCAACGTGCCAAGAGAGCGGTACAATGACAATTTACATTTATATTGGAGAAGTTAAATCTTCTCCTGGTTATTCATTGGCACCCTCACACATATATAACAGAATCTGATTGCAACTTGTTATTGCTGTGACCTTCCCCTTCTAATGCATTGTTTTAATACCTGTAATTTTCACATATGTGTTTCAGGTACATTTTGAACAGTTTAAAGAAGCTTTGATCCTTATTTTGTCAACTACCATCGAAGGAAATTTCTCAGGGGATGATGGCTACCAAGAACCAGGTATGGTTATATAACAATGTTAAAGGAATTTTAAGTTCTGAAAAAAAAATTCCAAGCTTGCTTCATGTAAATTTTCATACCCATTATAAATCGAGATTGAAATTTTGAACTTGAGTTTCTCAAATTCTGTTTTCCCTATAAGGTGCCTTCTTCTGAACACTGATAGCAAGGAGCTGAAGGAAATTGGACATTTGTTGTCACAAACATAGGACTATTAGTCTCTGCTGTGTACTGAACTGACAGACAGTAATCAGTGTTCTGTACACAAGCAAGGCCACTTAAGTTAACACTTAACTTGGACTGTGAGTGTAGGATTGGAGGAAACAAATATGTTAAAAAAACATCACAAGCTGGATTACAGAAAAAAGTAAGATGTATAAAACAGGTTTCTGGCCTCTTTTGCTGCCTCCCACCATGGTGATTAATTCTGGGTCATTTATAGAGGGTTGTCCTGCAACAGCTTTGAAAAGAATGGATTTAATGGGTCAAATGTCTTTTCTTGTATTATACATTAATGTAGCAAAGCATTAATAGCATCAGTACTGCAAGATTTACATTGATCTGATTGATATAAGTAGCTTACAGTATACAGTCCCATTTACCAAAAATACACAATAGCTGTGCAGTCTGATAATATCTGTACTTGCTTTGTATGACTTGCCAATCAATTATAAAAATAGGTTGAAGACCTTGACATTGACTAAAGCTTCATTGTAAATTGGTTTAAGTGGAGAATTTTGAAGAGCTAAGAACAAATGAAGGGACGTGTGTGTGTGTGTGCGCGTGCGTCAGCGTGTGTGCGCGGGTCAGTCAGTGTGTATGCGTCGGTCAGTGTGTTTGTGTGTCTATCTATCTTTGAGTGTGTGTGTCTCAGGGAGATAGAGACTGACCAGAGTGACTTATTTCCTTCCTTGCTCTGTATTCCCATACAATCCATTGACAAACCATCTATTGAACACCAAGTGCCCACATGGAGAGAGTACACCACCATATTATGATCTCTCGGTTTGCACTTAACGTTATAAAGTGTGTACTGATTCAGCCTCCCATGAATGGAAACTGATTGAACGCAGGGTTTTGTAGGAATAGCTTGGTTCAGGTGTTTCTCAGTGATGTCTGATGATTTATTCATAATATCAACTTTAGAAGCCTTGTCATGGTTTCACTTGATTTTTAAACGGGGCTTCTTGATGTGAAAGGCGCAAAAACAAATGTAATTTGTTGAGACTTAACTGGTTTTCTTTTCCTATACGCTTTGTTGTAGATCGTAACGTAGCAAACTAGAAAAATGAATATCAAAAGTTGCTTCTTGATGCATGATGTTGTGCTTCAGTTAAGCCAAACAAAACAGATCAGTTTCAGTGAAGCTCACTGAATCTTATTGGTTGTGGCAGCAGGGTTACAGGAGCTGTAACTCAGTGAACCATTGCGCATGCATCGGCACGCACGTGACATTACACAGATCATATGTGTTTGCACGTGTTGACATTGCACATTTGATCAGTAATTGCTTGGCTGCTGGGTCCAATGGAACTGAGGTAGTATTTCTGCTGAACAGCTTACTTCCTCTACATCTCAAGTGTTAGGGGTCGACTGAGGAATGGCTTCAATGCATGTGATGAAAATGGAAATTTTGCAAAACAAAATCCTGATGCAGTGTGCTTGCGTTTGAAAGTAAAGCCAAAGGCATATGTACCACTTTTTCAATACCACAAGGTGATTGCTTCTGAAAGGAAAGCCTTGTACATTAGTAACAAGAATAAATCAACAGCACCAGCTTGAGCCTGTATTGTTCTGTGTGACGTCAGCTCAAAGAGGAATGGATTTCACTGTATCCTGGTAACACACCTTCCTTAATTAGTCATGTCTGAGAGTGGAGAAATGGCAGTGAAAGAGAATTTAGCTTGGCAGCTGGAGCGGATATAGTAATAATATCCTTCCATTTCATATAGTTTCAAGTCATTGAGACTCCTCCAAGAGTAAATCATAGTGACTGTATTTGTTGGCGAATGCAATTCTTCAATCACACGTGTATTTAGCTGGAAAGGTAGATATTTTATCGATATGAATCTGCTGATGGTGGGAATGGGGGATGTGCAGCAGGCAGAGTTTGCTGAGCAGGAGAGTGAGGCTGGAGAAAATCAGAGGTAGTGAGGTGCGAGGGTGTGAAGGGTTTTGTGCGCAAGTGTGAGGATATTGAAATCGATCTACTCGGATCCATGGAGCCTGGCAAGGATGGGGGTTACGGGCAAGCAGAGTTTAGTGCAAGAAAGGATTTACATTTGTAATCCCTACTTAGATGTTTTGGATAAATGTTCTATCCAAGTCCTTAAAGAGACGAAAGTGAGATGGATTCTATTAAACTTAATTATTCTACTTCCTAAATAGTAGAAAACAAAAGGCACTCAGCTCCCCTAGCTTAGTACCCACAGACGAGTGGAAAACTCTGACTAGATCAATGGAAATTAGTGCCCACAGCCACAAAGTGCTTAACCTGTCTGAATGATGATCTCAATCCATTTCATTCAAGTTCAGATACATGTAACACTAGCTCGAGATCAAAGGGTTTTAATGAACCGCATCAGGTCTGGCTCCTGAGACACTCTCTTTACTGAAATCGAACATAAAATTGCTACTTTTTTGCTTGGTATTGAACCACCAGCTCATAGACAGTGCATCATCATTCAGGAGCTCTAATGCAAGTATTCGGATTGTAATGTGAAAAAGTTTATCCAAAGCTACAATTTAGTATTTCTAAATAGATAAACTAAACCCAGCTCAGCAGGATTTTCATGCTCACCCTTTGTGGCCACTTTAAGTTCTAGGCTGTCTACTGCTCAAATCCTCCCACTACAGCAGAGATAAGATTAGTTGTTACTTGGCCGGGCAACAAGTTGGAATTATTGCACAGCAGGAGAGCCCTGCATGTTGGTCATTGACTGTCTCGCTCCATTGCAAGTATAAGGCAGCATTGGCTGTGGTCACGGAGAGGTTATGGCAACCTTGAACTACTCCAACTATATTATTAACTTCTTATCAGATATGGCACGTTAAAGATCCCATGGCATTATTCAAAAAGAGAAGGAAGTTTCTCCTGGTGTCTTGGCCAATAATCCCCAATAAAATTAGTCATTCGCTTCATAACTGATGTTCGAACATTGCTGTGTGCAACTTGGCCGCTGTGTTCACCCACAAAATACGCGGTCACAACACTTTACAGTATATCCTATGAAGTGCTTTGCAATGTCTTCTGAATGTGAAACACTCTATACCAAATGCAAGGATTATTATTATTATTATTATCATAATACAATGTGTTTTAGCTATGTAGCTGGTTATGGTGAAGTATTTAATTTTTTCAAAAACAAATCGGGGTTATTTATGTCCATTTATCGATCTCGATTTCTCTTGTGTGTTTGAACCCAAATATTGAAAATGCCAAAGTTCAGTTTCCCATTACAAAATGTCACATTGACACGACTGCTATCCTGCGTGATTTTAGGTGATTGGTTACAATGTATTGTCTGTACACAGAATCCACAGAAGTGCAGCCAAAATATGTCAAGGATGGCAAGCGATACGGCCGAAGAACAGCGCCAGAATTCCAGGATTCGGTGGAAGAGTTCACGGAGGTTAAAGTCACAGAACCTATAGCTGATGGGTTGGGGCCTGAAGACGCGACATCTGTGGATGTTGAGGTAGGGCAAAATCATTTCTTTTTCACCTGTATCGATCGGATTGTTTTGAGCTTGCTTCATACCATTACATTTTCAGAGTCAACTGTATCCACGGCAAAAAAATTAACCGTAATGTTTTAATCATTGAACAACCAGTGAGATGACATGTTTGACCCACAGAACAAGGTGAAGTTCAGCAATGCTAAATAATAATGGTCTCATACAGACCACGTAACTAATATGGTGCTGAGCGTCCACACTGAAAGGACTTTTTTAAAATAATAACATTACGAAAAAAAACTTTCTAGAACGGAGTAGTGAGTCATTTTGATAGCTATCCCCTTGCCTTGGGTTAATACAACATTTACACTCATGTCTGTGTGGTGTCTTGTACGTTTACTTTACTGTTCGAGTGGCAGGATTGCCTGATAACTTTAAAGAGAATTGAAAGTGATGGATAGCGCTATTCCTTAAAGGAGACACAAGCCTACACAGAGTGAAGTAAACGAGCTCAGAGAAGACTGACCATGAAACCTTTTGTGAGCTGGTATGATCGCTATCACATCTCTCAGATTAAAAGAAAAATTGGCAACAATCCAAGTCCTTCTCCAGAAAGACCTGGAAATATTTACACAAGAGATTCGGCCATACAGAACTGCGCTACATTTGTTTCTTGGATAACTTCCTACTTCTTAACTTTGTTGAACATTTGGAGGCAAATGTGAAACTAATTGCAATTTTCCTTTTCACTAATTTAAATGAGCGAAAAACAGAGGGATGGGAGCGAATCTGATTATTCAGCCACAAATTACATATTGGCGCAAAACTGATACAGGGAAGTGCCAAGTATACACAGAATTATTTCTGGTCGATGCGCTCATTCAATATACTGCCATGTTACACGCAGTATGGAGGTTTTGTAAAGGAGCTCAGAGGGAAACCTTTTAAATCTTTAGTCTTTACGCAGTGTGTAATTAACACAGCAGTGGAAGCACAATGTAGATTCCCGGTGATGTTGCCACAATAGTAACAAAACGTGTTCTGTGAGTGCAGGATGCAAAAAAATGTATTTCCGTGCTTTGAAGAATAATTTGAATTAGTGCTGGACAAAGGCTGAAGTTGTGTCGTAACACCATTCCTGTGCCTAATAATGGCTTTGAAATGACCTGAGATTCAACTTGTACTAGTTTCAAACTGGACAGTGCTGCTTAAATGGCAGACTGTAAAGATATGCCCTTATTTTAAAGCTAGGTGTATAAATCACAGCAGTGATCTATTTATTGTCAGACGGTTTAGACATATCCTGGGCCTCGGGAAAATCTGTGTGCAAATGTATGTAGGTTGTGTGGCCACCCTATGCGTAGGTTGTTATATGGGTGCCCGTGAGTAGGTTTTATTAAGGGGTATGAAGGAAAGGGAAATGAGATTTTAAAAATCTCATCATGATCTAATAAACTGCCAGAACAGGCTCAATGTGCTGAATGGTTTCTGTGTTCCTTACCCTTGCAAAGTATTGCATCAACTCATTCATTTCTTTGAGAATAGGTTTGTGGGAAGAGAAATCGGAAGAATTCCTGAAACGAAAGCAATGAATCTTTGATTTTTTTTTAGGATGTTGAAAAATACTTTCTTTCATGGAGTTCCTAACGTATTTGCAGTGCGCTTTCATAGTGCATATTTGCAATGCATATTTTAATATTCTTGAGAATTACACGCTCCATTAATACCCAAAGCACAATGTGCAGTATTGTTCTGTAATTTGAGTGGCTCTCTGAAGGCTTAGCTTAATGGACCTAATGCTTTATGAAGCATGTTTCAAATTTATAGACTTGCTCAGAAATAAAGTATTTTCCTGAATATATTGTCAGAAGGCAGGCAGCAGCTCAACTTTGACCTACAGCTGATAGAAGTTGCTATGGTAATATCTGTCAAAGACAAAATAAAGGTGTAAATTATTCTCTCTGATTATTTATTTGGATTTTTCAGGACTAACCTTGGGTCCCTTTGTAGAATAACATCCAAATAAGTCTTTCCTCACACATTTATTTCAGGATAAATACAAAGAAGTTTTCCTGGCACGAAGGATGTATTGGAAAACATATTACAATGTTTAATCAAGTTTTAAGTGAAGAAAAAAAATGAATTCACTGGTGGCTGGAACCTGGTGACTTGGGACTGAGTTAATTGGAGCTGCCCGTTTTCTCTCCTCTGCACCTTATTCAAAACATTATAATTATCTAGAATTACATTGTTTCTCTAGTAGTATGTTACGTATTGCCCATGTTCCATCTAGCTTACCCAGTAAACTTCCCAAAATGTTCCTTGAACACATTTATCTCATCATCCTAATAATCTTCAATTTCCAGGGATGTGTAGTTCCTTTCAGAAACCCTTCACAGTTCCCCGTTGTACTGTACCACCTCTCCCAGCAGTTTGTTACACACCCTGTCACTGTACAGAAGTAGGTGGGTTTGACATTATCTGCTTTAAAAACTCCCTTTTTAATGTCCCATGACCGCTGTGTTACCACATACAGCACCAACAACAACATCTTGCATTTATATAGCGCCCCTTACACAGGGTAGAGTCCCAGAGCGCTTGACAGTGGCAGATCACGAGGCCGAGCCGAGGGGAAGGGGAGAGGTGATTGTAGGCACAGTCAAAGAGGAAGGTCTTCAGGGGATCGTTGGTGCAAATTCAGGTTTGAGACTTCTCACTGAAGTTTACATTTTTGGCTTCAGACTAAGAACAGCAACAACAACAACAAAATTACATTTGTATAGCTCCTTTCACGTCGGGAGGACGTCCCAAGGCGCTGGACAGTGTACAGCATTTCAGAATGCTCTTTGAGGGGACTAAAATGAGCTACCTGGTGCATTGAAGTTCTGAAGCTACATTTTCCTTCTAGGTACCCCGAGGAGCTTGTTGTTGTGTGGTTGCAGTCAATTACAGTAGTTGTCATGGAGCTCAATTCTTAGCAGACTTGGCTGGCAACAGGCAGACAAAAGGTGTGCCTTTGATGTGGGTTGAGGAAGATGAATTTCTTCATGAAGCCAGAATTTTTTTTTTTCTTCAGGTATAAATAAACAAATCCTATGAACGTGCTAGAAAGTATTTTTTTTAACGCCCCCCACTGTTGATTAAATAAAAGGCAGAGCTCAGAATACCAGTTTTATAGGCCAATCACTAGTACGATGACAGAGTATATAACCTGCGCTAATAGAAACTCAACATCAGAAGTGTTGTAGCCAAATGAATAGCAGTTGTGTCATTGCATGTGGGTTTCTGTTTCACATGAGCATCAGGTGATTGCTGGAGTGACAGTGGAGGGAGAGTGACTTGTTGAGTTAGTGAGTGGATGTAGCCAGACTGATAACTTTTTCTGGTGATACAAATACACATTTATATGGTCTTTCACGTTGGAACGACACCCCAAAGCACTAAACAGTCCATGATTTGCACCCTGGATAATACAGAATTATTATCTTGACGCACAGTTCTGTGCAATAGCACAAAGATTCCTAAGTGTCAAGGTGAATTTTTTTTTTGCCGCTATGTGATGTGTTGAAGATGGTGTTACCAAGGGTCTAGTTTACATTTACTGAGGCTGGGAAAGTGGAGCTTAATTTGTGATCTTTGTTGTGGGAATTTCAATTCCTGGTTTCTCAAAGTTCACATGTCTCGTGAATCCAAAATCCCCAAAGAGCAAAAAATGGCAGCCAGCAAATGTCAGTGGGAGATGGAAACCTGTTTTGCTCACAAGCCTTTTTTTACACGTTGCCCGCTTGTGATTTGAAAGTTGCACATAAATGCGACAAATCTGATTTGTGAAAGTCCTTTCTACTGGAAAGTTGTTTGTCACCAACTACCCCAAACATATATTGGTAGTTGCTTTGATATTCGCCCCCATGTCTTAGTTGTGGCATAATCTGACATTGTAATGCATCTTTCAAAACCAGGCTCAAATTCTGATCTACGGAGGATATTGTATTTCACTCAGATATTGAAAAGGTGTTCAAAAGTTCTAAGCCCGACCACAACTGTTGAGATGACTACTTACTGACCGAATGCTGAGATCTTTGTACACCGTGTACAGACAGACAGGCTTGAGGATGATGTTGCGATTTGCTAATTCTTTGAAATGGCCACAGTCCCAGTTAACAGAAGATAAGCAGCTGTAATGATGTATATATGCTACATCACAGTCCTCTCCATTGGAGTCCACAGAGAGACTCATTTGCTGCGTTCACAGGTCTGTAAGTAAATAATCCTATATTCAAATAGTGAACAATTGGATTTACAAATTGAAATTATTTCTATGATGGTACAAAGTTAAAGGCTCTAAATATTTAGTTTCTATCCATATCTTTGCACATTACTGTGATTATAGCGCATGCATCAGTCTTTGCATAATTTAGTGTAATGCTAATGAGGCACTGACAAAAGACTGGGCTTTTGTAACAATTATTTAGGTACCCTTAATTTCTGAATAAGGATCTGGCTCTATGAAACAGATGGTGAAGTGCAAAAGGTTGGTAGATTTATGCATAAAGGGTGAAAAAGGCTATGACAAGTAAACAATAGCAAGAGTAACATGTGCTTATTTTAGTGTATAGGACACGGGCTAGAATACTAAACCTGTGCCATCTGTTCTTTGGTTCAGCAGTGCATGTGTCCATCTGAATAATGCATATGCCGTGCTCTGCCTTCTGCACAGGCTTCAGTACAGAATGACCTGGATCAAACTATGCTGTCCCCTTGATCGTTCACAAAATAAACTACATGGCATTGAAATGCATGGTTCATAGCCCCAAGTGAGATTCATTTGTGCTGTTTGAACGCCCAAGCTTTCTGATCAGGCAGCCGTTTTGCCCTGTGAACTTTTTCACCCTCATCTATACAATGAAATTACTGGGAGCTGGTTTTCAATATGGTAATCCGAAGTACAAGATGTCTGAATGAATGTTTCTTGCAATATATCCAACAGCGGCAGTGATATAAATGGTATTAATGTCTTAATGTCTTACAGGCACAGCTAAGTCATTATACATTTATAATCCCTGCTACTTGTCAAGCAGGTTGCCTTAAATAATGAGAGTGAATCACTTCATGGCAGGGTTTTTAAGTAGCTGTAGCAATAAGATCACAAAGCACAGCGCCCACAACTATTTTCAGTTAGTTTTAAAGGCTGTTCTTAGTCTGACTGGAACAATCATTACAATTGTATAGATTGCCTTTTTCACCAGCAGTGTGTTAAGACCTGTGTGCTGAAATGCCGATACTCTGTAAAATTACAAAACTTGGCAGTTTGTGGTTATAATGGGATTTGCCTATTAGAAATGTATGCGATCATGGAATTTCTCTCTCTCTGTCCTCACCATGAGGTCAACTTGAATCTGCGTTTGTCATTTATCTTCTCGCACTCAGTAAAGTTGTCAATCTTACCAGTGCATTGGAATTTCCTGCATCTGGATTCTCATGCATTTTTCCCAACTGCCTGCAGTCAAATTACTAAGAATGGATTGTCTTTAATCTGTTATTTGTTTTTGGGATGGTTAAAAGATTTCTCTTGTAATCTTTGATCGTTTGGTTGATTGAACCTGATGATGTGCTGGTTGGTTCTGAACATTGTTTACATGATCTTCGTTCTGTAACACTTGGTCATCATTCTCGGGTATAATAAATAATAATCCTTCCATTTTATATAGCGCCTTTCACATCTCTAAACACTTCACAGGATATACTATAAAGTGTAGTGACAGTGTATTTAGTAACGAATGAGGCAGTTAATTTGCACAGAGCAATGTCCCACAAACCACCATGAAGTGAAGAACCAATTTTATTTGCTGGCCAGGGCACCGGGATAAACTCTTTCAATGCTGCCTTTAACACCTTCACTGAAATACTTATGGTCTGTTCTACGAGGTCCAACAGAAGCAATATAATATGCTGTAACCCCAGCCCTGGCATATCTAAAAGTGTTGTTTTGGGTTTACTATTTCAATCCTATTTAAAATTTTATATAAAGGTTTTGTTTCAAGGCTGAAGAACTGTAACTTACCTACTTGTTGCTCCTGGTGATGGGCCATTCATCGAGCATGGCAGTAGAAGAAGACACAGGTTTAGAGTTGTAAAGTGCAGTTTCAAGACAGATATTGGGAAGCATTTCTTTACCCAGAGGGTAATTAACGACTTGATTCAGTACTGTTTTGATCTACCTCTGAAGTGAGAACACCTACATATATATATATATGTGGTGGCCTATTAGTGTATTTCTCCTTCCCTCAAAGTCTTCAACTTAAGTGCATCCTTAGCTATGGAGTGTGCAGAGGAGCTGAACTGCTCTGAGCTGTACAATACTAAACAAAGTATTATTTGTTGCTTTAAGAATAAATAAGGTTTCTTCTGCTTATTGATTTATATTATGGTCCAAATGTCCTCTGAACCGCATTTATCTCTGTCACACAGCGCGCACTGGGTAATTGTTACCCTTTAAGCAGTGCACTGAACAGCAGAGATAAGCACTGCTCACAAAATGGGTTTTCTCGTTTGGAAATATGATGTAGATTTGTTTTGCCCAAAAGGAAATTATCACGATGACTCAATCGGAGGCTCCGTTAAATACTCTACTTGTTAGTGAGGGAAGGCATTTCAAGGCTCATGGCCAAATTGTACCACTATTAAATTACCTTAGGCCAGTGTAACGCTCAATAATAGGGTGTCTGATGTATTCCACCAGCTGCTCCATTAAAAAAAATCGCCACCGCGTTTAATCCTGTTTCTATGGAAACCATGCAGATTAAATGTGGTTTACCATTTTCAATTAGAAAGATGCCCATCTGCAGTTGCCCTGTTTTTTGGGGGGTTCAAAGAGACACTATTTCACTGACTGCTGTTGTGGACCTAATCCATCCAGCTTGCTCTCTGGGTGACGCTGCTGATGTGACAGCCTGTTTGATCAGATTGCTAGATGTAAGCAGTGTTTAAATTTAACCTTGGGGGTGGGTGGGGGAGGGAGGAAGAGTTAATGTATGTTCTGATCAAAGCTGAATACAGCTTTGTACTACCCAGCATTAATGAGAAAGTGTTTCTTTACAGTCAACATCGAGTCCAGGTCCCTGAACTGTCTTTTTTTATATATCCTTTTATATATCCTTAGGTATAAATAATTTTGCTTGAAAAGATCAGGATAACTGTAAACTACACATCAACGTGTTCCTCGTATGTATTCAGTCATTCATTTTTGTAACCATCAATTTATTTCAAACAAAACTATTTATTTTAAGAAGATGTTGGTGTAGAAATATTTTTTCAGGGGACATTCATAATTCATCCTATTTTTGCAAGAGTGATATTAGTAGAGAATGTAAAGCTCATACACATTTAATATTCACATTTATGAGCTTTGGCTGAAATGTAATTCAATGAACTGTTTGTATCCCACTAGGAAGCTCTTCTTCACTTTATTGCAACAGTCTCATGGTAAGCTGTAAGCAGAGATTGAAAGGAAACTGTTGGTTCAGCCTGCGGCGAATTTGTGACTTCATAATCTACCACCACGTGCATCTTTTTATAACCAGCAAATCAAACTGTTCAGACAAGGAGAGAGAGGAATGAATGTCTGTTGGTAGCAAGGTTTGGACACTGCGGCCTGCAGTAAAAAGTTGGCTTTCATCAGTCTTCATTTCGAATCTTTTAGATGCCTTAGGACATGGGACCGCATATCTCAACCCCTGCCTCAGGTTATGATTTAAGTAGTATTGACTTGCGTTCAAACAAAATATTGCAAGAGTAGAATTCTTGTATTGTAGACACCATGAATGGTGGAGGCGAAGTGAGGGTGGGGGGGAGAAAAATATTGCTGGTAATTTTATCACTGTGTTCTATGATGTTCAGTACATTGTCTTTGAAGACTAAGATAGTACAATGTGTGACCAGAACTGTTTCAAAAAGTCTTTCCGTCCTCAGAGCCCTGCTGTTTGGCCACGGAGTATATCGCTGGTTGTCATGGTAACAGCTGCTTTGGGCCCGCATGACGTAAATAATGTCTTCAGATTATTTTATAATGAATTGTTTTGGATTTTATTATTTTTCTTTAGAATTGGAAGACCTCCACAGATCAGGGTGAAGAATATGAGGCTGAAGGTAAGAATAAACTATTTAAACCAATTTAGAACAAAGTCTTTCTCAGATACTGGGTTCAAGCTTTTGTTTCAATTGGATATGTTGTGATATCATTTTAATGCAGGATTTAATTCCACTGAACCTTTTAGAAGAATTCATAACAGATATGTCAACTGGGATTAACCCCAGCAAGTCTACAATGACTCCGATCTCTGGGTGTTGAGTAACTCACCATATAATTGCTATTATTTAATAATAATCCTTGCATTTGATATAGAGTCTTTCATGTCAGAAGGACATCTCAAGGGGCTTCACAGGATTTATTGCAAAGTGTAGTGACTGTAAACTACACATCAACGTGTTCCTCGTATGTATTCAGTCATTCATTTTTGTAACCATCAATTTGTTTGTGGGACAGCAATGTCCCACAAACAGCCATGATGTGAATGATCAATTTTATCCGGGGCATTTTTAGCAGGACATGGGAGAAACTCATTTCTCTTTTCGAATTGTATCATGGGATCTTTAATGTCCACCTCAGCAGGCAAAAGGGACCTCAGTTTAATGTTTCATTCAAAGGACGGACTTCTGCTTAACGTCTCATCCGAAAGATGGTACCTCCAACAATGCACTGCGTTGGGAGTGTCAACCTCAACTGTGAGTTCAAAGTCCCGATGTGGGAATTGAACCCGAATGCTAACTCCGAGGTTACAGTGCTACCAACTAAACCAGGCTGACACATTGTCCTGCAGTGTACTTACAGATAGTCATATAGTTACTTTTTCATGCACGTATGTTAATGGTGGTTAGTGAAGATCCATTGGTTCCAATCCTAAAGCACGCCTTTGCTTATTAACAGGGAAACTCCTGTGCTTGTTTTTCCAGGACAGTTGCGGTTTTGGAACCCCGATGATTTGAACTCTTGCCAGAGCATGTTCAGTGCTGACCCAGATTGGATCGAGGAACGTCTTCAGGCCGTTTGTGAAGAGCTGGGTGTCACCAGAGATGATTATCCAAGCAGGAAAGAGTTGATTTCCATCTGTGACCAGATTGGCCTGCAGAATGTTGACACTGAGGTGAGATTATATCAATGTAAAATATTTAAGGAAATATCTCAGAATTTCTGTACAGGAAGAAATACATTTTTATTTTACACTTCAAATAAATAAGTTGGCTTTGATTTATTCCCCACTTACTTACCCTGTAACTCTCCTTGGCAAAGAAAATGTTCAACTCACAGACCTCTACAAGGTGACTGAGGTCCTCTTTGGTTCTGTACTTATAGTTTTATTAATTTTTTGATTCAAAATGTTTCGCTCTACTTGATGTCCCTTTGATGGAAAATCTGAGATATTGTAGACTGCAATCGCAGCCCCCCCCCCCCCCCCACCCAAACCCCACCCCCCACACATACTGGTTTTCTTTAGGCTATTTAAAACTATGCTGTATTTTGTCTTCAAACACATCATTTGTGTAACTTGATTTGTAACCGTCTATGGAGGCTCAAGCTCAGTGAATTTGCCAGCCGGTGTTGTGCATTGATGTGCACATCAATTGAGGTGTGGTTGTGCTGGGTCCAGGCATCGTATTCAACTGTGTTAAAACTGTACGGTATTTGGGATCAGAAGTGAATTTAGCCAGAATCCTCTGAGCTGCAGAGGGACATCCCTACAATAAGAGAGTTGAGTGCTCTGACAATGCAGATGTGCTGTAGCTGTAATAACCCTCCCAGTGGGATCTCTCCATCACATAACTAAGACCCATGGTGTGTGTATTATCAGAGCATTGCAAGATCTGTACACTGCTCTATTGTTTTGAGATGAATTTGTGTTGTTTCGTGGAACACTGTACCTTACCATCACCCTCAGCGTGGAGATTTGCTGGTTGTGAGAATGTGAAAGCTGACGACTTAATGAAGATTTAGAAGCTATTTAATCCAGAGTTTCACTGTAATTAGGCAAGATGTGTGGAGCTGGTCATGTGGCAGTGTTGACACCACGTGATCAAGTGCATCCATTTTGAGAACCTTCTGAACTCAATTTCCAACAATTCTTCACAAGTCTTGCACCAGAGAGCCCAACAAAATCCCCCAAATAAAACAGAAATTGCTGGAAACGTGTAGCAGGTTGATCAGCATGAGAAAGAAAAAGCGGTTAATGCTTGCTTTGACCTACAGTGCGTTTCCAGTGTTTTCTAATTTTTGCCAGCATTCACAGTATTTCCTTCCTTTTTTTTAATTAACCCCCCCCCACCCCCTTTCGCAGTAGATGAAATGAAGTGTAATAATAGCAATAAGAACATAAGAAATGCTAGACGAAAAAAGACCAAGGTCCATCTAGTTCGCCTTCCACCTTCCTGGTGGTTGCATGCACATATGTCCCTATGTACTGTATAGGTACACATAATAATCCTTTAATTTAGCACCGTACATATAACTTTGAACATCTCAAAGTGTTTCACCCAGCTTTGCTGTGAAGTGCAGTGACTGAGTATTTCTAGGTGATCTGGCAGCACAATAATGTCCCACAATTTCTTCTATGACGTAAATTTCTTTTGTTCTATGATTTATTCCTCCAGATGAAGGAAGGTCATTTTATACTGTCGCACTCTGACTATCATTTTCTGTTTACTCTGCACTCCAAAGTCTGCATTTATAAAAAGAGATTTGAAAATACTCTCCATTAGGGCAGATGAACCTAATACTGTGTTAGAAAGCTACATGTCTTCAAAATCAATTTGTTTAGGCATCAGCACAATGAATAGCTGATAGTTCAATCAATCTCTCAAGGTTGTGACTTAACGATCTCTAAGTTACACCAGAAATGCGCCAGAGTATGAATCTTTTGAAATCCGTTTTCCAGTCGAATTGTTCTTCATCAATTTTTTTTAAAAAAGTGACAATGCTGTAGGTGAAATACCATCAATTTTCACAATGAATTCATCTCATCCAGGTAATGATATTGTAAAATCTAAATAAACATTGGAACAAATGGAAGGGAAAACGCATTAAAACAATTTTTCTATTGTGAAGCTTTTAACTTTCAATTCTCATGGTTGATTCGCAACACAAATGTAAGGTAACTCTCTTCAAATGTAACTTAATAATAGCTTTCAGCTACTGAATAACCTTTGTGTTCAGGTAGAGGCCAGTAACAGCACTGACAGTGTTGTAGGCAGCCAAACATCTAGACAATCCCAGACATCCAGGACAGGAAGGAGAATGAGGGACCTTTAGAAAAATCTTTACAAATGCAGAATCTAGTTCTTCGACAGTCTGAGGAAACACTGGTGGTTTAGTTTCATTGGTTTACAATGATTCTTGGTTGTGTTGTTAGCAGATTTTATGTGGAACGGTGCTAGGATGCTCTGACTGCCCTCGGTGTGTCTATGTTCAAGGTGGGGGGGTGGAGGAGGGAATTATCTGAATTTCTGACTCATCATCATTATCCAGTGTCTCTATCTGGACACTGTGCCAGTGCGGATATTAGGATTCACGGTGAGGCTCTTCACAGTCACTTTATCAGCAAATACTCCCAACACATCCATGTGAAAAATAAGGTCCTGGAAAGCTGTTGTCATCTGTGGAATGGAACCTCAACAGGACTCGTTAAGTCTTCAGAAGAGGAGAAAAATGCAACTAAGAAGCAATTGCTCACAGTTAGTTCAATGTGCTTCTGTGTTTGTTCCCTTCATCGTAACTTATTGACTCCCTCTGGTGGTTAGCTGTGAGGACCGAACCCATGTTTTTATGCACTGTATGTCCTCTGGATCCTGGCACAAATGCTGGTTTGCACTGCACAAATTGTTTCTTTAAAGGTAACTGTGGCAATGCTAATGATAATATTGCCGAGCTCTCATAGCTGCTTGAGGTGAATCAGTGCATGTGGCAACATTTATGCAAACATATGCAACATTTCTGCATATAAATGTGGTATTTAAGTTTCATTGGTATGAAACACACATTAACAACAGATAACAAATATGTTCCTTTATGCTAAACCCAAGTTATTAATTACAAAATGCTCACTTCTATGTTGTAGGTTCTTGAAGAACTTGTTCAGAAACAAGAACAAGATGGTTTGTTGACTGTGGAGGACTTCTTCTACGGTCTCTTTAAAAATGGACAATCAGCACCTCCCTCTGCTTCCACTCCTTACAGGCAACTAAAGAGACATCACTCCTTGCAGGTAATTAAAGCGACATGTCTCCTTACGGGTAATTTATCATAACAACCTGGTGAGCCTGCATTCAGTTATCTTATCATAAGTTCCAGGATACAGGAAACAACAGGGAGATTTTTTAAAAGCTTTGTACATCTCATTACCGAGACCAGACACTACCTCCCTGAACAATACCTGGGATCAATGATTATTGTTCACTTCTGCCCCCTTCTAAGTTTAAATTTTTATGATGTTGCCTTAAGGTTCTCCTTCAACATTCTCCCCTCTTCTCAACCGAAGAGAAAGGCATTAACCAGGCTGACCACGACGGCTCTATTCATGGATGCTCAGTTGACTGTGAAGGTTGGGTTAGACTGACTGATATGTACTAAAATAGTACGTAGCTGGTCACTCACTCTGTGCCTCCACTGGATGGTGCAGTTGAGTTGTTGGGAGTTAATTGTGTGGGGATCCTGAAGGAAAAAAAACACATCATCACACTTTAAGGTGCAGCAAGTTGTTACACCAACACACTGTAATAATAATAATAATAATAATAATAATAATCCTTGCATTTGATATAGCGCTTTTCACGTCGGGAGGACGTCCCAAAGCGCTTACACTGAGCTGCTAGTTTAATTATTCTGCTGTTGACATGATTTGGATGAAACGTTAAACTGAGGACCCTTCTGCCTGTTCAGGTGGACGTTAAAGATCCCATGGCACTATTCGAAAAGAGAAGGGAGATTCTCCTGGTGTCCTGGCCAACAATCCCCTGAATGAAAATTGGTTGTTCACTCCATGGCTGTTTGTGGGACAATCCTGCCATGTTTGCCTACAAATACAGTCACTCCATTGCATAGTAAATCAAGTGAAGCGCTTTGAGTTGTCCTTCTGCTGCTACCCTGCGTGAGGGGCGCTATATAAATACCAGTTATTGTTGTAGGGCGCTATTATACATGTGAAGTTTTCCTGTGGCTGTTTTTTTGCTGTTGATTTGCTTCCTTGATGTCTCAGCATCTTTTGCCCCCCACCCCAACCTTTCCAGATGCCCTGTTGTTACATTACACACCTCATTGCTTTATTTTGCTCTAAATGAACCATGAGGTTGTTTTTTGTTATATACTTGTTTCCCTTCTTCTGTATTAGCCCTTTGATGAAAGTGGGCGGCGCACTGCTACCCCATCTGCAATGACTGGTACAATTGGCCTTCGCCTCTTCTCCTGTTTGGATGACGGGACAGGTTACACCTCGGCTGATCAAATCCTCGATGCCTGGCAAGAGGGGGGGATTGAGAACGGCCTTGAAATTTTAAAGGTAAAAAAAAAAAAATTTTTTTTTGTCGGTTTAAATTAGCTCCCATTTTAGCTTGATTTCTACCCAAAAAGTGCCCAGGTGTGGCCACTCTAGTCACATTGTGTTCAGCATTTTCCTTGTACGATGCCTAACGCGCTTGGTTACTGTTTCCAGACCTTGGATTTTGGCCCAGATGGCAAGGTCAATCTGACTGAACTCACCCTGGCTTTGGAGAACGAGCTGCTGATAACCAAGAATGGAATCCACCAAGCGGTTCTTGCCAGCTTCAAACATGAGATTAGACATTTAATGTGAGTGAATTGCTGCTTCAGTTTTTAGTTTGAACAAGAAAATCAAACGTGCGCAGATTCTGCTGCATGAGTTACTAGGCCAAGAGACCAGATGCCTTCAAGAGTTGTGTGGAGGCTTCAGTCACTGACCCAGATTTTATCTGCACAGCTTCATTGTGTTCTCATCTCCGCCTCCTCCTGAAACTTATCCAGGATCCTAATGCCAGGCCCTAAACATCGTCTTTTGATTATTTTTTTTCGTTCAGTGGAATTTTTAAAGGGTTGTATGCGACTGAAGGGAATGCCGATAAGGGCTCAGTTTGTTTCAATGGTTCTTGGAAAGTCATATTAATAGGAGGTATTGCCTGTCAACTTCAATTTGGCAGTGAAATCGCTGGTTTTAAAAAAAAAAACAATTTCTTGATGCTATAGTATTTTGGAATGTTATTAACACAGTTCAACGCAGTAAGAAGAGGTGACTGAAAGACAATAATAGTACAGAAATCTGTAATACAGTAAAACTCACATAAGTCATATCAGTCGAAATATGAGTTACAGACAAACTTGTGTAATTTTATACGATTGTCACGCAATAAACAAGTACCTTGTTTTCCGTGCATGTTTCAATGAAGTACAGTGTACAACTGTTACGATTTAGATAATACGACTAGTGCAAAGAAATCAAAGTGTTTTTGGTAGGAAACTGAATGGGACTTGGGTGCATGTACCCATACAATATCATACAATGATATGATTTATAAAGGGATGACTCATATGAGTTGTACTGTATTGAGGAATTATAGAGCAGTTGAATGGTCTACATCTACTTTCCCTTCAATAATTGGTGAAAAGAAATGAACCCGCCTGCAGGCACAATTTAATTCCCTTAATGATGTTGCTCAAAAATCATATCTAATATTTGCACCGATGTTTTATGATTTGAGTTGAATATAATGTGAGACAACTGAACACCATAAAAAAACAATCATGTTTGCCTTTCAGGGAACGGGTAGACCAGGTTTTAAGAGAAAAGGAAAAACTCCACACAGACTTGGATAAAGCAGATAGGTTGAAAAACCTGATGGCTTCTGAAGTAGATGATCATCACGCAGCTATTGAACGGCTCAATGAGTGCAATCTCCGGTAATTGACAATCTATGACTCCTTCACTTTTATTCCAGTCTCACCTTGCTTTCAAAGACTGCTGTAGATTTGTGATCTTGTGTCAAACCTGTTTATTGTGCATGAGGATACATTAGCTGGAAGTTTAGCTTCAAAGGGAATTTGTGTTGAACGCCCTTCCAATGCCCTTCTGTGATCGAGATATGGAACACAAGTTTGTGCTGAGATTCGCTTCACTGGTTCCTGAGCTTAGCCATGTGATTAAGGAAGGGAAAGAACTTTATTCATTGCTCGGGGAGAGTGAAGATAAGAGACAACTCACTGAGCACATAGTTCAAGGGAAAGCTGAGAATGTCCTCTAGATAAAATTCAGGACAATTGCCACAAAACTAGCTATTTATTTGAATAAGATAATCACTATAGCTATAACGTGCAGCAAGCACATTTTTTTTAACCACTACTATGAGTCGACTGGCGGAGCTCGCAGTGCTGATTCCACAATAGGTGGAAGCTTGGTCAATGAAATGTAAGATGCCGTTAACTATTTTACTGAGTTGTATGCATTTCTCTTGGATCAAATAACCATCATTATTGGAACATCAGAGGACATAAAGAAAGGATGAGTTGAGCAAGGTTGTGCACATGGATCATGTACAGCAGCAGCAACAACAACAAAATTACATTTATAGAGCGCCTTTCACATCAAGAGGGCGTCCCAAGGCGCTGAGTACAGCATACTCATATATGGATTCTTCCACATCTCCCCCATGCTCCACATTCCTAAAGTATAATTGGGAAAAGGCCAATCCTTCGGCAGAATGCATTGTTCATGACTTGGCTGTTGTTGGCTTTTCAGGAAGCTGGAACAGGAGCACAGGGAACGTCTTGCTGCCTTGAAGGCAGACCTAACCAAAGAAAAAGACCTGATTCTGCAGCAAGCCAGCAGGCAAAGTAGTGAGTTGGAGAAGGAGATTGAGAAGGTGAAAGCAGAGGAATCGTACCTCAGGGATCGACTTGCACTGTCTTTGAAGGTGAGAACTCTTTTTCATATCTAACTGTTATTTGACAAAGAAAGGCGAGGCTGTTGGCTGTAGCACAATTCCTATTTCAAAGCCTTGGCCGTGGGTCAGAGAATAAGTTTCTCCTTTCAAGTAAAGCCAATAGCTGAACATCGCTGTTTGAATTGAATTTGAGATGAATTACAGAGAAATGCTGACTCCAATTCCAGATCACAATGTTGCATTTACATGTCTGTTACAGTTGTACCTTTACTCAATGTAAAATTACTGTAAGCAGTTATACCCTGGTAGTTTTGCACACCAACTTGACATAGAATGAAAAATATAGCGGTGATCTGCACATTAGTAAAACTGTACACATGTGGAATTTGTGAAGTTTCCAGGTTTCATCATTATTATTATTTTACTTTCAATAGTACACTAAATGAATTCTGGATAACATGAGATTGTCTAAACAACTTTTAATGTTGTTTAAAGGAAAACAGTCGTCTGGAAAGAGAACTTTTGGAAAATGGAGAGAAACTGGTGGGGTTTGAGAACCAAGCTAAGAAACTGCAAAAGAACCTGGACAATGTTCTGAAGGAGAAGGTAGCTTTTTGTAACAAGGCAACTGTTTATTGGTCTATTGTGTTGGGGCTTGTGGTCTGAGCAATATTGGTACTTTTAGTAAAGCTGAGCCACTATACAAACATACAACTAGATGGATTCAAAATACGTTAGATCTGTTCCCATCCACTCTTACAGTTTGGAGACCTTGATCCAACCAGCGCTGAATTTTTCTTGCATGAGGAAAGATTTTCACGGTTGAGAAGGGAATATGAACAGCAGTGCAGGGTAAGTGAACCCAATATGTAATGTGAATAATTGTAAATAAATCTAACATATGATGTGAATTACGCAGGAAAGGAATTGGTCATGTTTAGATATGGCATTCTCAGCGAACCTCTGCTGTTAAAGTTGCAGAGTTTCAGCTACCCTAAAGAACGTGAGTAAATGCCCAGCAACTTTTTGACAAGTGTCTAATGAATAGGACTGAAATCCAGCCAAGAAAATGGCAAATCAAGCCACTTCATGTTTGAGGACAATTTCTTTATGTAGAAACTAAATTTTTATAGTCTGTTATACTGAGCAACTGCCTGGAATGCTCAGGAAACTCCTCTGCATGATTTAGTGTGAGAAAGATTAATTCAAGCTACGGCTGGCTGAAGCTGGGAACGTTGAGTAAATATTAATCTTTTCCTGTCCAAGAATTTTTTTTTAAACTCATTTCACAGTTATTGTGTATCTTTTGGGTATGAAGAGGTAGTTTCACTGTGCCTGTCTGGAGTTTGCAAAACCAACTAGTCCAGTGTTGAATGAAGATGAGGTGTTATCTTTGATGTTGAACCCCTTTGTTCATTGCGGAAGTTGAAAAGTGACTGCACCTAAATCAAATGTTTTGCAAGATGGATTTGTAAGACACCAGTAGCTCCCAGATGACAAGAGCAGGAATGCAATGCACTTGTTTGTAAGAGTATTAGATACTGACAAGACACAACTTGTGGAGTCCTGTAGCTCAGTGGTTAGAGCACTCGCTTTGCAAGCGAGAGACCTGAGTTCAATTCCAGGCAGAGGGCGAAACCTTGGGCAAGTTCCTTACTCCACACGCCTAATAATAATCCCTCCAAAACCAAAAACAATAATAAATTGGTCATTTTCAATCTACGACTGTTTGTGGGACATTGCTGTGCGCAATTGGCTGCCGCGTTTGCCCACAAATACAGTCAATTCACTTTACAGTGTGTTTTATGAAGCGCTTTGGGACGTCCTCCCGACGTGAAAAGCGCTATATCAAATGCAAGGATTATTATTATTATTATAACTTGGCCACTCCTTGCAGAAAATCAGAATCACGTTTGTTGTACTGTTATCAACTAAAGTCGATTGTTCTGTCTGGGCAGGACTGTGCTCACTGTTTTGAATCTCCTTGCTTAAATTAGGAGCTTCAGGATCGGATTGATGAGCTCCAGTCTGAGTTACAAGCATATCAGACCCAGGACAAAAGTTTTAAACAACTCTGGGGAAGTTCACTCTCAGACGAAATGGAGAACAAGACTGGCGCCATTGACTGTGATCAAGGTACAGCAGGAAGCTCTCAAACCAAACCCTTGCAGATCATTTGGCGAATTGCAATATTCAAGCACACTCAACATACCGTATAGGAGTGGGAAACGCATATTTGTGTTGTAGAGTTGTCAAGTTGTCACTCAATATACAAGGATAGATTGTTGTACTGAGGCGGTGGGGAGAGAAACTTTTAGGAAACATACTTTTAGTCAATATGAAAATATGCTGTTTGTCCAGTCTATGTGAACTATTGTGTTTTGTCCGCCTGGCTCGCCTTTGATGCATGGTATTAATGTGGATTTGAATCTGTTTAATTGTTGAAGCATAGTCAGTTGTTCAACTTTCTTTTTTAAACTGAGTGGTTGCGCTTTATGTTAAAATAAGGCTAAAATTTTCCCTCTTCATGGCAAAATAAAATTTTTCACAAATATGCATTCATCTATCTCGTTGAGAAAATTCTTTATTGTTCTATTCTAGGACTTCAATCTGAAGAATGCAATCCGTTGAATCTGAGTCTTGAGGCAGAAATGGTCATCGAGCAAATCAAAGAGCAACATCACCAGGCATTTGAAAGTTTGAAAGTCGATCTTGAAACTAAGGCAAGTAAATGACCGACTCGAACTGAAATAATTCATCATTGGAAAAGATTTGTCTGCTTGAAGGCTAAAATTATTAGTTTCTCTGGGAAATACTGTGCATTGTTCAAACAATTGTATTGTTTGGAATTCTGTTTTGACATCTGCTGAAGATCTGGGTGAACAAATTATTTTGTCACAATGAAACTCAGAGGATCTTTGACAAACTGTCACTTATTTACTCACTATTCAAACAATGCAAATAGCCTACTTAAGCATTCGAATGATCCATATTTTCGATAATCACATTTGCTGATGCAATAACTATGTTTTATGAAATTATACTGATTTCCTGTGCATCAATGATCCTTCATACCTGGTGATATTTGGCTTTCATCAGTTGAAAATGGTTGCAAATGTATTTGTGCCCATTTTTTTTTTAACAATGCCCTGTGGAGTAGTGTATGATCGGGATATTTTTCTGCATTTTTTCCAGGTACGTTTTTACGAGGCACAAATAGAAGAGACAAAACTCAAATATGAAACAGAGGAAAAAATTATTAAACAAAAGTGCAAGGAAGACATTTTGCAAATGGAAAAGCAAATAGATGATCTCAAAAGCCATATTTCCAAACTCCAAGGGGAGACCGAGTTCCTTAAAATGCTGCAGCAAACGACAGAATACAAGTGCGAAGAAGAGAAACGGGCAGTGCAGGATTGGTTTCATGAAGAAAAACGGCAACTGCAGGAACAATTCAAGCAAAAACACGAAGATACACTCAGGATTAAATTAGACGAAGAGAGACGGTCTCTTCACAATGAGAAAGAAATGCTGCTAGAAAAGCAGAAGAGTGCTGAAATTCAAATAGAGGCACAAAGAAAAGAACTGATAGAGACATTCCTACAAGAGAGAGCTGAACTGCAGCAGATCTACGAGGCACAAATTTCGAAGATCGAGCAAAATATGACACAAGAGAAAGAGGAGCTGCAAAGGGATCTCCTAGAAGAAAAGCAAAAGGAACTTTGCGAGGAAAGGTGAGGACCTTATAGGTGGAATCAAAGGTGGAATGATAGATTTAGAAGGTTATTCGAGAATCATAGGGAGGAGTACATGAGTTTTTCCTCTTTGGGATTTATTTGAAACAAATGCATTAGCTTTAGGTTATTAGCATTTTATTAATCAAAAAAAAATTGTGCAATTGTGATTTTTAAAAAATATATGTATAAATGTCAATCTGTAAATCATACACTTGAACAAACATTTTCTTGTCAAACTGTTGAATCTTCTGATCATGGGTCAAACGGCTCCAATTCCACTGTTTAGTTGGAAAAAGAGACCTGAAGGAATGTGCAGAGACTTGGAATGATCTTTGCTGTCTGTCTGGCTAGTTTGTAAGAGATCATAATTTTACCCACACAGTATACTGTACATTTTACAGTATATCCTGTGAAGCTCTTTGAGACATCTCAATGACGTGATAAGGTGCTATATCAAATGTGAAGATTATCATTATCATTTATTCCCAGTGGATTTCCTGGAAAGACATTGATTTAAGTTATTAAAATATTTAAAGCACACAGGAGTGACTAACACAACTAGCATTCGATGACAGAGACAGAGATACCTTCCTAGCCGCATAACATCACACTGCTGGAATATTTCCTTCAGATAATTTTTCGTTTTGCTGCTTGTATTGTAATGAAAAATTGTTTTTTTTAAAAATAGTGATACTTGTGATATTTCATCACATAGGAAAAACATGGAGAATGATTTTAACCAGAAGATTTCTGAGATGGAAGCCCAATATTCCAATGAACATCAAAAAATCATGCTTAAACTCAAAGCAGAAATGTCTGAACTTGAGCAGAAATACAAGCAAGAAATTATGGAACTCCGCGATCAGCTCTGGGAGGAAAAAGGTCAGTGGGAATTTGAAAAGGAGGAGATTCTACAGGAAAACGAAGAAGAAAAGGAGAGACTAAAGGATGCGCTAGAAAACAAAATAGCCCTACTTTCTCGTACGATAGCCCAGGAGAGGGAACTTGTGATAAAGTCAGGAAAAGAAGAAGTAAATATGCTTGCGTCCAAAAATCAGCAGCTGCAGAAAGAACTTGAGGAGCTACAAGCTGCTACCTCCAGTAGAGAGAGTAAGTTGTCAAATGAACTGATTTGTCTGAAGAAGGAAATGGAGAATCAATTACAAGTGAAGGACAAACAGTTGATTGAGGCTGAGGGGAAGTGGGAGCAGTCAAGAGTATTGCTTGAAGAGGTAAAAGCAGAATCTGAAAGGGAAAAAGCAGCACTGAACTTGGAGAAATGTAGCTTGAAAGAAACGTACAAGGCAATGATGGAAGACGTGGAGGCTTCTGCTCAAGCTCACGTGTCGCAGGAAGAATTTGAGAAAGAAAGAGCTGAGTTGAGATCTGAAATTTCCAGACTGCAAGAGACGACGAAAGATATGTTCAAGAACGCAGTAACCCTTTGTGCCGTGCAGAAAATCAATGAAGAGTTGGTGAGGGAAAATCAAGCAATGAACGGCAAGATCAGCCAACTGCAGGAGAAGGGACAAAAACTGGAAAAAGAAGCTCTGCTTCTTGCAGAACTGCAAACTGTTCACGAGCAAGTAAAAAGGGAGAACGAGGAGCTGGGCTCTGAATTGTTAGAGTTGCAGGAAAGGACTAAGGATTTAGAAGGGAAAGAATTGGCGCTTGCAAGCCTACAAAATGCTATTGAAATTCTTACAAACGAAAAGTCAGAAATAGTGAAACAAAATGCAGAGCTTCTGGAAAAAGCTAAACGGTTAGAAGAGAAAGTAGTTGTTCTTACAAACATAAGGAAAGCACAACAAGAGTTTGAGAAAGAAAGAGCACAAATAAATTCAGAGAATGTGAGCCTGAAAGAGAGGATAAGGGAACTAGAAGAAAAATCCCAGGAGCTCTCAATCCTTCAGACAACCATAGAACTGCTTGAATCCGAGAAGGCAGAAATAGTGGAAGAGCATCAAGAACTCCAAGAAAAGGGGAAAAGGTTAGAAGACAAGTTAGTATTTCTTACAGATTTAGAAAAGGCATATGAAGAGTCTGAGAGAGAAAGAGTAGAAGTAAGTGCAGAGAACGTCAGTCTTAAAGAAAGTACTAAAGAGTTGGAAGAGAAGGTTTTGTCCATTCCAGCATTACAGAAGAAGAACGCTCAAACTGAGAGAGAGAATGTTGAGTTGAAGGCTGCCATTGCTGAGCTGCAAGCACAATCTACTGAGATGCAACACCAGGCTAGAGTGAACAGGTAATGGTCATGTTTGACCTCTGAGGTTTCAGTAAATTTCCAGTCATTTGTGAGAAGCTATTTTGCTGTAATTTTAGTTGGCTAAAGTTTACAATTAACAATTTCATTTCTAATGCTTTTTTCTTCCAAAACGCATGGACAGCTGACTTCTGCTGTGAGATGTGGTAAGCCTGGAAACAATAATGGGTTGAGGTGGTGCATTTATTTTTAGATGCACTGATATGCATCATGTCTGTGGTGTCTGAATGCTTCAGATTGTTACTTTTTNGTTGTTGAATCAAAGTCTCAAAGTAAATGCTTGGAACTACTATTCTTAAAGATTGCTGCCAACATCATTATGAATGTCAATTGTGCTTTAAATTTCACAAATTTGATTTCTTAAAAGCAAAAGTTGCTAGCGGGCCATTAATCAGATAAGCAGTTTCACTGAAACTGACATAATGCATGACTAGTGATCCTCTGTAGGATCACAGCGATTCCTTAAAGGATAATTGTTGATTAGATAAGAGTATGTAAAAAACATAAAGTTGCAGAAATTGGGTCAACCTTCTGGCATTCCTAAACTCATTCCTCTCCCTACATAAGCAGCATTTACTCTGACATATTCCACCCTTCACACACGACTCTGAATAACGTGAGCGCGCCCCTGGCCACCAACTTGGATATTGCTAAATGGTGATTTTTTGGGGGGGTTGAGTAGGGAGGATGTTAATGCAGTGAATGGGTACTTTTTCCCAGTAAGAAAACGAGAGATATATGTCAACCAAAGGAAAGCAGTTAATGACAGCTTTTGTTAAACTGAGCAGGAAAAATAGAGTGGGGAATATTATGGAATGTGTAAAATGCACCACCTTTTGTGTGTTTCATAAAGCATGCCAGAAAGGTGATGTTCGTTCATCTTCATTGAGTGAAATGCATCACTGCATGCCTGATTATCTCAATATGACAGTCTTGCATGATTTCTTCATCACCTATTTGTTTACTTGCATGTTCATATCTTTCCCCCCCACCCTCCCCTACAAGATATCATCCACCATTACATTTTATTGCAGAACTGATTTTTTTGTTTATCCTATGAGGTTTCAGTAACGAGCATTTAGAGATGTCTTAATCTTACCCTTTCCATCTCCTTATAAGTGCCTTTCAGTTTGCACACATGTGCATGAAAATTGTAACAAATGCAACCTAATTTGAATATTCTTGTAGGAGCTGCAATCAGTTTGCATGAAGCATTTTAGTTTTCAATTCATCAAATTACATCCAGCAGACAGACTTGGCCACTTAACCACGTTAAACCTGTTGCAACATTCTTTCTTACACAGTGGTGAAGCTGAAGAGCTCACTGAGAAATATGCCACCTTGAAACATAAAATGACCACACTTATGGAGAAGGAAAGAAATTTTCATCAGAAAATAACAGAAATGAATGAAGCACAACAGGAATTAATGTAAGTTCTTCGAAATTCTCATGTGACTACGTTACATTCCCATTCTCGCCCGACTCTGCTGGCTCCCTATCCTTCAGAGGATCCAGTTCAAGATCCTGGTCCTCACCTACAAAGCCCACCATGGCCTCGCCCCACCCTACTTCTGCGACCTCCTAACCCCCTACCAACCCATCTGCTCAGCCGGCTCTGGCCTGCTCCATGTCCCCCGATCCATCCGCCCCACCATTGGCGAGAGAGCCTTCAGCCACTTTGCCTCCAACCTCTGGAATTCCATCCCCCAGTCACTCCGCCTCGCCCCCTCCTTAGTCTCCTTCAGGTCCCACCTCAAGACCCTCCTCTTCGACCATGCCATTGGCCAACCCCTTCCCCTCCCCTCCCTTCCCCCCCCACCCCCCTGACCTCAGCTCAGGTCTGAAATGCTGTACACTGTCCAGCGCCTTGTGATGTCCTCCCGACGTGAAAGGCACTATACAAATGTAATCTTGTTGTTGTTACATTCATAATACTCATATTTGGTGATTAGTAGCTTTCATTCAGCATAACCAGATGTATGCTTTTCAAACTACTGTGCTTACATTATTGTATTAAAGCTGAATACAAAGTTATGGGGGTTTGATCTTTTTACAGGCAACAAGAGGAGATTTTAAAAGCTGAAAATATGAATGCTCAGAGAATTATAGAAATGCTGAACAAACAGGTATGCTCTTGATAATTTCAGACATTTTAAATATTGGTTCATGCTGTATTGTCTACATGCCACTTGGATGAACTGTAAAAATCGACATTTAAAATATGCAGCATTATTACTGTATGATGATGATGTGCCAAATTCATCATTGAACAGGCCTGCTACTGTTTGGAGTCCTGATTCTGTAATGTTACTAATTCTTATTTTAAGTAGAATAATGCAGTGTTGACATTAAAATATAGGTCACTTGTTGCGTGTAGAATATTTTTAATTGATGGTCCTGTGCAGCTGAGGGATTAATAATCAGATTCAGTGGCAATCTATTTTCACATCCTGGCAGGAGTGGAAAATGTCTCAGTGATTAACAAAGGAAAAATCTGGGGCAGGATGTCTATAATCTTAGAATTAAAATTAATTGTGTGAGAAGACACTAATTTTTTTTGGTCATTTGCTGATTCTAATCCCCGAAACAGTCTGATAATTTTTTAAGAAAGTCATTTGCAGACGGTTGATAAACATCCCATAAACTATTACTGCAGGAATCGTTAACTATTTTGCTATTTTTGTTTGCAGTTTCCAGGTATTTAGCATCTTGTTTTGAATTGTATCAGATATAGAGTTGTGACTTGTACTATTAGTTACGTTAAACTGACTCTGCCGACTGTTCTCAAAACCTTTGTTCCAAACTGTACCCCAAATCAGATGGCGGAGACGAGATCCCGGAATCGGCAGCTGGATGCAGAGAACGAGAATCTTTGCCGAAAAAACTCTAAGAATCAAGCTGACGTGCAGGATCTGAACCGCCGACTCGCTGATCTACTGCGACAGAAGGAGAAAAAGATGGATAGGCAGCTGCTTGAAGAATGGGAGCTAGAGAAATCCCAAATAATGGAAGAAATGGAAAATAGCCGAGCAGAGGTAAATCATTGTGATTTTTGCCTCGTAACCCACCATAGTGGCCTAATCATTCAAAGTGACTTTTGAACACTTATACCTAAAGCCAAATTACTAATCGGCATTTATGATACCTATTTCATGTTGTGGGTAGCATTCATATAGTTGACTGACCACTTAAATGTATTTTTATTAAAGAACTGTGGGGAGAGAGAATATTTCCATATCCTTTCCTCCTGTTTTGCCTCAGAAATTGCTTCTCATCAGAGAGCCAAGAGGGTGGGATAGTGCAGTTTAACCTTCCAGCCTCTGCAGGTGTATTTGTTGTGGATTAGATATTCTGTTTGCACTCTCTTTCTCTTGTGGATTCTGGCCCTGCACATTATCATTCAGTGACGCTCTGTATGAAAACATAGCTTTGTGTGTTTTGGTAGTCATGACATTACATGTATCTTACTTATTTCCTGACAGTCATCCACTCTCATATCTGCTTTGGAGGCTGATTTGTCTGAAATGAAACTGAAGAAACACCTGCTGGAACAGGACAAGCTTCTCCTCAGCCAACAACTCGAAGATGTGAAATTTCAGGTAGAAGCGTCCCACAAATCTTCAGTGCAGTCATTTTGAAAAGCTCTTGTTGTCCAGGATTCATTGGAAATAAGTTTTTTTTAAATTCTAAGTATGTACTGTAATAAATATAGAATGTGTCCATTTGGAGAATACAAATACAATGAACATCAGTTTCTTGCCAATTTGTTTCATGCCAATTTGATATTTTTTTTAAGTACATATTACAATTCAGTGTTGATAATGATGAATCCGATTTGTACAAAGAACAACTGTCACTCATCTCCCATTACTTGATAACAAGATGTTCAATTGAATATCAAATTTTTAGAAAAGATTTTTTGTGCTTTTTTTCTCATGGGATTTGAATATGCTGCCAAGCCTTCATATTATTAACTTTAGTCGTTTTGCGCAAAGCAGTTCTCTGCTTATTTGATAGTGAGAATATTTGTTTGAGAAATGATAAGAGAATTGTTGTTATTTATTTCAGATATTGATACACTGGTTTCATACAGTTGCATGGAGTGATGCTTCATAGTTGTTGACATTCTTGTGATTTTAAACAGCTCGTGAATAGATTCTGCATTGATGCATTTATTAATGAGCTTCTTGTCTCTCAATAAGCTTAACAGCAGTTTCTTGTTTCTCCAGTTATCTGAATGTAATAGGCTGGAGAGTGAGGTCACTTCTCTAAAGTATACGAATGAAAAGTTAATACAGGAGAAAGAAACATTGAGCGATGAAGTGAACCGCTGTGTTGACAGGGTATGGAAATCACTGAAGCACTTTAAAGTTGATGAATACTAATTGGCATCATTTTTTTTAGACTGAATATGTAGCCCTCTATCAACAAATGCTTCTTATTATATACAGATTGCCAAAATGAATGTCATGGAGATGCAGGTAATCAGCTTGAGACAAGAGCAGCAGACTTTGCAACAACAAATCCATATGTTGACTACACAGCTGAATATGTCACAAGAAAAGGTATTGGAATATTTGTAGTTATATTTTGCCCACCTCTTCAGGACCCTACTCCCAGTGCAGCCGTCTCAATTGTGAAGTAATTGAAATCTCTATTATAACAGACACGCTTTTTATAGTTTTGATGTATAAACTTCAACATGTTTATCAGGCATAATTTTCCATCCTAAATTTTGCTATTCATATTTGATCCTCTTGTCCATCTTTCAGATACAGAGTCTGGAAGAAACCTTACAAAATGCTCATTTCCAGGCAGCGCGGTGTAAATCAGACTTCCGGGTCTCTCAACAGGAGAAGGAGGCCTTGAAACAGGAAGTGACGTCTTTGCACAAAGAACTACAGACCACCAAAGATGAGGTACAACGTGACTTTAATTCTATTTGATTCCTTCACGTAGCCTGTAACACTTCAAATAAGGTTGAAGCGTTCTTCAAGTCAGTAAAGCTGACGTGATTATGTGCACATTTGTTCAGAAGAGCGAATCTGAAACCTGATACTTCCCAATAAACATACAGCAATAACTTGTGCAATAGTAGCGATATTCAAGCATTCATTGTTGAAAAGAGGCAATAGTTACATTTTGTGTGCTACAAGCTTCTCATTTGTTAAGTTGATGCACTACGGACTGTTCGAACCAGTAGCTCCTACTTGGGATTCTCCACTTGGCTAGTTGCAGGTTACAGTGATGCTGTCAGAACACACTACATTCCCACAGGCAGAAAGAGGCAGTCAAAGGATGAACCATTGGAAGATGCTTCCGTTCCAGCTAAGCAGCTGGTCACAGAGTGGTATTGGCGTAGAACTAAAAGGATTTGCTCTTTAAAAGAGCCAGCACAGACATGATGTGCTGTAAATCCCAATGGTTCTATGACTGTAAGCCAAGAAATGGTTCATGCTTCGGGGAGATCTAACGAAACAAAAAAAAAGGATGCCCTTCCATATAGTTTTCTTCAACAAATCGTCTGATTTTTAAATAAGATCACGATATCTTTCTGTTAGAATCAGGTGCTAGAGCTGAACTTGAATTCTGCGGACTTCCAACACCAACATAAGAGGCTGTACCGGGATGACCTGGCTCGGCTGGTGGAGAAGGAACAACAACTGCTGAGGCAGGAGAACGAGAGGCTTCAGAGAGAGGCTCAGCACACAAAAGGAGAGCTGCAGCAGGCCAGGGAGAAGGTAACTAAGAGAGCGTCTTCAGACTTCCAGATGAATTGTTTCATATCTTGGTGGAAGGCATTTCTAGCAGTGCAGAATGCATTGATGCCTTAGAAGTGCCTGCAGCTATTGCCATCTAACTGAGTAGGCACTTCTAAGGAGAATGTAGCAGCAATTGAAGAGAATAAACGCATCCATCTAAATAGCCCACTAAACACAATGGCCTCTTTCATTTTTGAGACATGGGTTCAAATAACCATTTGCCTTTCAACCTGACTCGCAGAGCAAGATTGCAATCAGAGTTATAGAGGACTCCCAGCTCTCCAGTCCGAAATGAGATGGAATGGGAAACAGATGGGATTACACACTGCAATTTTGTTGTATTTTATACACTATTAGGATGGAGGAGGAAAAACAAAGGAATAATTTGTGATGGTACTGGAAGGAGTCTCCATTTACATTCCTTATTAAGGAATCCCATTTAGAAATACTATAAATTAGATCCAATGTGGTTTATAATGATGATCCTTGCATTGGATATGCTGCCCTTCACGCTGGGAGGACTCCTCAAAGTATTGCACAGGATGGGATGTTACTGTAAAGTGTAGTGACTGTGTGTTTTGTAGAAAAACATGGGTGGTCAGTTTGTACACAACAGTGACCCAACCAAGGGATTGACCAATTCAAAGGATTAGGCATTTGGTTGATTTTGTATGGTTTAAAATAGGATGTACAAATCCCACATTAGCAGTTCACTGCGAAGTTTCAATAGAACATTTTCTTGTTAAAATCAATACGTTTATGAAAGATATATAGTGAATTAACAATATTTTTTTCTCGTTTTGACAGATCAAATATCTAGATTCTACACTTTTAACCCTCAAACAGCAGAAGCACTACAATAAATCTGCCATGGTCAAAGCTGCTGAACAGGAGAAACTCAGCCTGAAGAGAGAATGTGACCAGATTCAGAAAGAACTGCTATCAGCCAACAGGAAGGTAAGGCATAAGATTAATAAAGGAAACATTTTTTTCCTCTCTAGGAATATCCAATTAGAAGGGCAGAGAAGCAAAAGAGTGAGCAAGGAAGCATGCCTGCATTTGAGTAAGATTTGTCTGTGAACAGTCTTCATGTACATTAAAGCTTTGTAAAGTGTTGATGGAGAAATAACTCTGGAAGAAACAAAGTTCAAGAAAGGATTCTTTAAACAAAATTAGAGGCTACTCGAGGTCATAAATAATGACCTTAAGTAACCTTTATTTAACAGTAGCCAATCTGTCCTCAATCCGAATCCAGTCTGAATGTCGTGCTTACATTAAATATTGAGTAGAATCTACACGTGGTCCTGATACTGCATTTATTCTCCTGACAGATAAGTCTGATGGGCTCACTCGAACAGGAGTTGGAAGTCCTCAAAGTGGAGAATGAAATGCTGCAAAACGAACAAGCCAAGCTGGAGAGCCAGTTAATGGAGACCCGTGACCAGGTGTGTTGGGTAAAACTGAAAGAGATATGTGACCAAATGATGTTCCATTTACTTGATATTCTTTAGCTCCTCATTGTTGCTCTTCTGAGAGACCAGCTAACACAGCACTGACCAGACATCAAATCTGAGACTTACCCAAGACTGAATCCATTGGCTGAATATCAATCCAAGCCCAGCATTTACCCACAAAAATCACAACCTTGGAGAAGTGTTGTATAGGCTACTTCCAGGTCAGCATGAGTAGAAACCAAACATTTGTTCAGATTCTTTAGCTCTTCTTTCTTTCATCGTGTTTGTGACTGATGTGTACACAGGATAAAGTGAATTAGGTACACAATGCACCAGAAAGATTTATTGCCCTGGGGCTCTGCCTAAGATAGTTTGTGAAGGCAGAAGGGCTTTTCATTTCAAATACTGTAGTTGCATATCACAGTGTTTACAAGGCTGTCATTTGACTGACTTCATTGTGACCTATAAACCAAACCAAATAAACTTGATCAGCTTGTTGAATTTTCAGCAATTAAAATCTTACTTTGAATTTAAGCAAATCTATGGACGTGGAGGTCATGATGTGAAGACCTTAAGGCTGTGGGTTAACCTGTGCCTTACTTATATATTTGTTGTATTCTTTGACATGAGTACTGTCCTCTCTTGTCTTTTGAAACATTGTTCCTTAGTGTAAAGTTGAAATTGTGTACCTTGAAGTTGAGGAAGTGATTGTTTACATTTACTGCTTCACAACTTTGCATCTTGACTTTCCTGCTGATTTGTATCGTTCCAAATTTTAATACATTTGCTGACAAAAGCATTTGATAAATGTACACATTGTTCGGAATGTGGATGAAATAACAAAAACAAATGTTTCTGTGGCATCCTTCATACCTTAATGCAGGTTTACAGTAGAATCCACTCAGTCACAGCAGTCGAAATTAAAGGGAAAAAATCAAATAGGGATATCTATATAAAACAGAAATGATGGAAATCCAAGCCGACCTTTCAGTATCTGAGAGAAATAATAATAAAAATCCTTGCATTTTGATATAGTCTTTGAGCTGTCTCAAAGTACTTCACAGAATATACTGTAAAGTGAATTGACTGTGTATTTTTGGGGCAAAACATGGCAGCCAATCGTGGATTGAGTGACCAATTTTTCGTTAATGAATTATTATCCCCGGAAATGCGATCGGGCAATCAACAAACAACCAAGTTTCTACTTACTGCTAGGTAAACAAAGGAGTGTGGAGTAAGGGAACTTGCCCAACATTTCACCCTGCCCGGGAATCCAACCCAAGTCTCTCGCTTGCGAGGCGAACGCTCTAACCACTGAGTTAAAGTTGTGAGTCAGCTGGAGAAGGTTGCTTCACCTGGAGAGGAAATATTGTTGTGTTCTTTTTATATCTAAAAAGAGAAGGAGGATTGCATCAGTAAAAATGCGTTATGAGAGAACCATGTGTATTAACTGGCATGAATGCAAGAACTCCCCAGTTGTGTGTTGCCCTGCAGTTGGCTTGAGTGTCATCTGGAATGTGATGTGCTGCCATTCAGGCCATTCAGGTCTAACTGGCTGATGTTTTTACACTCACTGAAGTTAGTCATCTTTTCAAAATCCTCTGGAAGATAACAACTTAACGCTCAAATAATGGGATTTGCAGTGTGATTCCAAAGTGGTGTAGTCATATGTGAGTTGCAAGGCAAATGTTTTTTTAAGCCAACTACAAGAATATGTTAGTTTGGTCTGTACATTGCGAATTCGTCTCATCTTCTAATCTAAAATATGACACAGTTTTCTGTTACATCTTTTATAAAGCTGACACTACTCGTGTGTAAAACGAACTGTTCTCGCAACCTCTGAGAACTGTTTTAACTCCAGGCATCCTAGAGAGCCTGCGGCAGAGACAGGAGACAGTGGTGGCTGCTGCTCATAGTCTGTATCAGATATCCCAACTGACATTAATGCAGCCAGTTGTGGTTTGACTGTTTATGTTCAAAGAAGAGTTTTCCACATCAATCCATTCCACGTGTCTCCTTGTTCTGATGCCACTTCAGTAATCCCAGTAATGTACAATATGTTCAAAATAACTTCACAATAAATGCGGTACAATAAAATGTGAATTCAAAGTCAGAACAGCCTGACTGTATATTTTATAACTCTGGATAAACCTTTGTCGCTGTTCACATGTCAGTCACTTTTAGTATTTACTTTAGTATGTGTTACTGTAACCCTTTGAGTACTGATTTTATTTCAGTTTCTGACAATGCTTCTAAATTCAGCGTCTCTTCAATCATGTGCTTGTTATGGTTCAATTCCTGCACCATAATTACACTTTTAGTGCTGTAAAATGTAGCATAAATGTCAGAGTGTTCAGCCACTAAATGACACAGCATTCCAATAGCAGACCTGAGGAAGTGCTCCTGGATCTCAAGTATATTCGGTGCCAGATTATGACCAACACCATAAATATATCTCTATAACTACCAGTGCAAGTTCACTCCAGTCACGTTTGGCTCCACAAATTAGGCACTCTGCTTTTCTCCAAAACACGTCAATAACTTGCATTTATATAGCGCCCTTCACACGAGTAGTGTCTCGGAGCGCTTGTGTGGCTCGACGCCAAGCTGGAAAGGGAGGGGAGGTGACCGAAGGCACAGTCGAAGAGGAAAAATCTTCGGGTGTGATTGAACATGTGCTACTCTGTGAACATGGATACACATGTGATACGAGACTGCCATGAATGTACCTGCACATGAGCATTGATGATACAGTTTTAATACAAATATGTATTTTTGTGGCAGAAAGTATAAGCTGGCCAGCATACATTTAACGTATCTCATACACATTTGCCAAATTGGTATAATAGGGTATCTAATTGGTCCCACAGTATTCCTTGTGATTTAGCAGAACTGACTTATTGTGGGGCTGTTTTGCCCGTCTCTTTACCCCTTTCCCTTCCCCGTTTCTTCACTTACCCCATCGCACCTCAGAATCCACTGAGGTGCTTAGTTAAATATTTTACTAAACAGGTCACCTATTTTAAAAAAACAAATGGAACACTAATTTGACTAAAGAGACAGATGTTCAGTGTAAGTAGGTAAGATATCAAAAAGAAAATACTTCTAACTGGAAACATCTGCAACATGTTTTCTTTGCATCTGCTTACCACATATGAACACGCACTCCTCATTGAATCTGCTTTACAAATTACTTAAATCTTTAGCTGTGACTTTATCATAGCAAGTGGATAACCACTGCAGAGAAGTGTTGGTGAATTGAATGGTTTTCATGTAGCTACAGGAGAATTTGTCAGTCTTCTTTATTAAAATCTGGGTTATAAACTGACCCTAAAGATGTGGCCAAGTGATGCTTTGGGCACCTCATCAATTTAAAAGTGGTTGATTTCAGAAACATTTGATCCGAGTTATTAATTTGTTTTTCTTCTATACTAAGCTGCTGCAGGCAAATTCGAGCCTGACATTTAGCCAGTCGCAGAATATCCGTGAGCTCCAGCAGCTGAAAGAACAGGTCTGCGGCATGGTGCCGCAAGAGCAAGTAACACAGCTCCAACAACGTCTGAGCCATGAGGAAATGCAGCGTCGTCAACTGCAAGAACAACTGGACAAACATGCTGCTGACAGCAACACGCAGCAGGTAAGGAGTGTTCCAAGTGAAAAGTGCCCAAGCTTCCAGTCCTATCGTAGTGGGTTTAGTAGAAATCCAAGCAATCACAAAACTGTGACAATACTTCGTTGACTATAATAGTACCATTTTGATACTTTTTTACCCCTTTTTTCACTGTTGGCCACGTAAACTCTGCAGAAACTCTCCTTTCAATATTAAAACAAGTATGATTTTGTGGTTGTGCTGCTGGATTTTTTTTCTTTACGTGCAGTTGGCGTTTTTTTGTAGTTGTAGCATGGGATATTGTGAGTCAATTCTTAAACACTACAGGGTGAAGTGTACCACTTACATTCTTTCTATGTAGGCCTTGCTACCGGACCAGCGAGCTGTGCATGCTGATACCTACAGGAGGATTGGGCACTTGTGAAGGCTTTGACAGTACACAGCAGTTTCTCATAAGTAGCCGGGCAAAACTATTGTAGTTGGTTGTGCATTGGGTGGGGGGAGAAAATAGTGTTCTAAATTATTTTTAATTTATTATGTTCTTGGTGTAGAAATGTGCTTCAATAAGACCTGTTAATGTAAGTCCATGTAAAAAAAATAAACTGCTAAGTGTAATATACATTGTTAAAATTTATTTAATGTAATATTTAACTTTTCTAGCATTATAGATATCTGGCACTTTTATGAATTGTAAATCAAGTTTTATAATTCCACATGAAATACACTAATTTAATCCCGTGACTTCAATTTCTAGTGTTTATTGTATCCCTAAAATCCAGGCAGTAAAGTATAATTGACAGTATTACTGCAACATGGATGATGGATAACATGTTCTCAAGTTTTGATTATTTGCTTGGGGTATAATCCATTCGCACACAACATTCATTTCCTTTACTCTGTGTATTTTAGGCTTTAATACTATATTTTCTGTCTGCTACAAACTCATCACAGACCCATTGCCTGAATGGAAAGATACACTGGACTTTATCTATGTAGTTATTTATGGTTTCCTGATTTGTCATGCATTGTCTTTTATTGTTATACTTTGTTTTGATAATAAATTTGTAATTTCTTATTAGTGTGTGTTTGATATTGATACAAAAGGACCGAGTATTGTTTTTTACAAGCCATCAACTCCTCAACGGAAATAATGCATGTTGAAATTGCTGCACCATGTTGATTAGCAACATTTCTCTGTTTCAACAATGGTAAAGGTTGATTCCATCTCTGCTGCTCTAAATGGCACTGCGAGCCTGCAAATCTCCAGATTGGGGTCTAATTAATAAAGGCACAATGTCTCGATTATTCACTGTGTAAACACAGATGTATTATATTATTATCATGTGCCGAGAGGAACTTGTAGGTGCTCTAAATTATATAATTGATAATTAATGAAAATCATTACTTAGTTACATAATTCATAAATCCTCTTTTATTGCTATTTATTACATAATCTCTCTGAACAATATGTTTATGTGTGGCACAGCGGTGCTTATATATGGTTAATACATAGCAACTAATAGACCTCCATTGTTCCCTTGTTAATTATAACTGTTACGTTATTTTTTCCACTGCTGATAAATCTTTTTAATATTTCCTCATGAAGATTTCAGTTTACCGGCTGTCTGCTTCATTCGGAAGACTACACATCCTTTTTTTTGTTATACTTTTGTTTTGACAATAAATTTGTAATTTATATTTTTTGTGTTTTGATATTGTAGTGTAGTCACCTGACTGATTTCCCATTTGGACGTTTGCTTGACAGTATAGCTTTTACTCCATGCACAACCATTGCATTATGTTTTGCTTTTGCTAGTTGCACTTTCCCCATATAGTGTGAGTGTGATTGTGCCACATCCCACTCTCTAGCTGAGAAGCTAAGCAGTAAAGCGTTCTGTTCCATAGCTCTGTCAATTCCACTGTGCATGTCACTGCTAAAAGGTGTATGAGAAGGGACATAGGTGATCAGCCCTACTTTATCCTCCTTTTCCCCCCTTCTGTGGGGTAGCAGACAGCTTTGAACCCAATGCTGATTGTTTGATAACCTATGCCTTACCATTTCATCATTAACTATGAAAACTTAGCTATTAACTTTTGACGTACTTTAAACTTGACCCATTGTTGATCACAATTTTTACTTCAAGATATCGTCTGACTTTGTTATTTTGTCATAATCAATCACAAGCGACATGGACATTAGTGATAACTGTAAATCGTGCATGTATATATCTTGAACAAACTGAAATCTTGTAAACTGCAGTTTTTGAATAAAAGAAGAAATCAACTGGCCCTAGAGATAAAAAAAAAAGGTGTTAGATCCTTAAAGGCATTATTGCTAGTGAGGCTTAGTTTACATGTACAGGATCTAATATTTTCATCTACTGTTTTTACACAATCAAATAGTTATTTTCAACAAGTCGACACTTTACTGACCTGAACAGGTTCTATCTAAATATCCCTGCATACCACGGGCCCTGTGCTCATTGGGTATACTATTTGCGGGAACTTGCTAAGCTCATATTTCTTCAATGTTTGCCGCCAAAGTACAACGCTACTTTGAACAAATGCAAATTGTACAAACCTTATTTGTTTTCTCGGCTTTCTTATTGTGTTAGAGAAAGATTTTTACATAACCACTTGATAAGACCTAACAATTTAGAGATGTCTACTTAGAATCAATAAGATCCTTACCAATGTATTTAACAGCATAAAAAGATGTAGGCCAGTTGTGTTTATGTTTTGCCCATGACATCACATTTGACTATGAACTCAATAATAGCTGATTGCTTCAAGTAACTGTTTCACTTCATTTTAATTATTTTTTAAAACATTTAGAGACCTTCATTTTATGTGAAAGGCACTATATAGTATCTAGCTACAAGTCTTTTTATGTATTCTAAATGTTGTTTATTTTTTTAAAAATATATTGCCAAGCAAAACATTTTTATTAATACCTTCAGTTCCTCCACAAATTAGAATCCATTGCTTATGCAGTGTGTCTCTCTTTTTGACTGTAAACAGAAATCAGTCTGATAAATATTTTCCTTTCAGGAAGGATATGAGCAACTGTTGAAAAGGACAGAAAGAATGCAAGATGTTGAAAATAAACTGAGGAATGTTAAGTTACTTCTTCAAGACAAAGTCAACCAACTGAAAGAACAGGTAAGTTACACTGTGTGTTAATAACTGAAAGTTTGTTTCAGCCACAATACAAAAACAGCAATGGCCATTTAACAAACAATAGAGTGTAATAATATTGTACAAAGGTGTGATTATTGTACAAAGGTGTAACTAAGTTTCTGTAATGAATTAGTTTGCCATTAAAGCAACCATCAGATCATTCTTTTGAACAATGGGAAAACTTTAATAACAATTTTGCTTTGCAGATGTCAAAGAATATTAAAGCAGATGAAATGATCAAGGACTTGTATGTTGAAAACGCACAGCTCCTCAAGGCACTGGAGATGTCTGAACAGCGGCACAAGACAACTGAGAAGAAAAATTACCTACTTGAAGAAAATATTGCAGGCCTTAATAAAATTCTCAAGGACCTATCAACATCATCACTTTCTGCTGCCTCAGCTCGTTACTCATCCTAACGTGTTATATTAATAAGGTCACAAGCTATAAAGTCCAAAGAAGGACATGTTTAGAAACACTTTTGCACTTTATATTTTAAATATCCCCTTAGCAAGTGATTGCTTTTCTTGGACTTCTGAATGTTTTGAGAATTACAAAACAAGAGAAAAGTACGCGTTAAATATTGCCCTAACCTTAACAGTATTACCGATGCCTTGAAAACACTGGTATACGTCACCCGTCAGTATTTAAGGATGTATTCAACAATCTGATGTGAAGGAGACGGATACTTTTTAAGAGAATATGAGGGAAATGTCTTTTTTATATAAAGCTGTCCTTTTTTTAAAAAAAAAGCATAAAGAGTTAGATGTGTTTTGATTAGTCTTTAAACATTCTATGTAGGCCAAAGATTAATGTGACTGGAACAACGCCAATTAAAATAGCTTTTTGTGATGTTAGTGTGAGGAAACAAGTGCATCTGTAGCTGGAACTAAGGCCTGCATTTCCTTTTATACAACCCAGTTGCAGAATATTATTATTGATAATTTAAATGTACAATGTTATAAATAGCTTGTATAGTTTATACATTTAAGTGTGGAACACTGACAAAAGGGCAACACTCTCTTGTAAAAGAATTGTAAATACTGAGTTTTTATTTGAAATTATACTATGCAGAACAATCAGATTAAACCTGTGACGGTATTTGCTTTTACATTTACATTTGTGTAAAACCAGCTGATGTGTGGTGCTTCAAGATGTATCATGCTGCCTAAAATGTAATTGTTCCTGTAAAAATGTTATTTGTCTTGAATACAGAAAACAACATTTATACCTCCATATTGAACATAACAGTATGGACAGATGCAGGTCATGTTTGCAAGCCATAAATATATATGTTAACCCACACATCTTATGTCTGGCTGACCTATGGGGTGCTTGGAAACCTCATTTGCCTAAAGCAATGGTTGTAAAATTATGTCCAAATAGAAATTAGAATTTGTGTCAGAAATATTGATGTTATGAAGAAATAAATTTTTTGATTGTGTTGGAGCAAATGTTGAAACTATAAAGAACCATAATTTAACCAAAGGACTCGCACTTCTTTTCAGAAACTCTTAATACTGAACTGCAATATCACTTCCATAAAATGCCATCCGTGCTAAAAGCTCCCAGGTAAGATAGGGCTAGTAGCCCATTGAACATTGGAACAATCAACAAAAAGTGAGACACCATATGAAGTTTCTGCACATTCAACAATTCTTTGATAGATGTGACTTTAAAATTACAATCTGAGATAGGCTCTGGGCTATATCATTCTTTCAACTTGAACATTTCTTCTCTTGGGTTTCATTCCAAACCACAAATTCTTTTCCAGTTAGGAGGCCAATTCTACTGATGCTCCATGACTTGCCATTGGTATGTTTTGGTCAATGCTGTTCAATGTTTTCAAAACACATTTTCATAAGATTCAATGCAACTGCATTGTCAAAAGGTTATTGGCTTATGGAACTTAGGGGAAAGGGAATATTACAACTGGATACAATTGGACTAAGAATGGAAAAGGACAATTGCAAATGAAACATTTCTTTCACGAAGGGGCAGTGAGCAGCAGCTCAAGGGGACTGGTCCTTGGACTCTTCGTTATCTCTGTAAAATGATGAATTGGGTCAAACATTATACAAAGGATTCAGAAAGATTCATCATACCATAACTGGTGAATGGTGCTGGCACAAGACTTTCAATCCTACTTCCAAAGATTGACTTGGGTCAGCACTCGCTTCAGTATTGGTGGACATAAATAATCAGCATTGTGCAATAATATACTTGAGGCTGTACTGTAAAGTGTAGTGACTGTGTTGTGGGAATTCTCTGGAATTCCATTCCCCAGTCACTCCGCCTCGCCCCCCCTCCTTAGCCTCCTTTAAGTTCCGCCTCAAGACCCTCCTCTTTGACCGTGCCATCGGCCACCCCCCCTTTACTCCCCCAACCCCAGCTCGGGTCTGAGATGCTGTACTCCGTCCAGCGCCTTGGGACGTGCTCCCGACGTGAGAGGCGCTGTGCAAATGTAATGTTGTTGTTGTTGTTGTGGGAGGTATGCAACGATGTAAGGGGGAAGGGTAAGTGCATTGAATGATAGGTGTATGGGCGGGCGGGCGAGGTGGGGGAAGAGTGCAATGTCCCGCACCAGGCTCCGTGACCCTATCGCCCCCAACTCCACCGGCTTCCCATCACACAGAGGGTACAGTTCAAGATCCGGGTCACCCCACTATCGGCGGTCGGGCCTTCCGCCGCTCCGCCCCCTCACCCTCTGGAACTCCACCCCGCAGTCCCTCCGCCTCGCACCCCCCCCCCCTCCCTCGCCACCTTCAACACCCTCCTCTTCGACCGCGCTTTCCGCCTCCCAGCGCCTTGGGACGTCCTGACGTGAAAGGCGCTACACACGTGCGATTGCGTTGTTGTTGTTGCTGCCGTCGTGGGTGAGGGCTGTAAGTGAACGATGGGGAGTCGGGAATGGAGGCTGTTGGCAGATGATTGGCTGCGGGATGTAAACCGCCGGCGCCGGCCAGGGTGGCCTGATTGGGCGGGTTCGCGCCCAATTGGGCGGGTTTTTTTTTTTTTTTTTTGTGTGTGCGTGCGCGCGCGCGCGAGAGCGAGAGGCTGTGCTCACCCGAAGCCCATCGGCGGGGCCGAGACGCGTGACGATCTTTGGGCTCGTACCGGGCGGGCTATTGGGCTACGAAGCGGGATGGATCCCTGTCGCCGCGGCTCCCAGGGTTCCGCGTGCTGCGCCGACTCAGACCGGAGGCGAGCAGCAGCGCGAGCGCCCGGCGACCAACCGCCAGAGCGCGAGCCCAGGGACCAGCCGCAGCAATACCAACACCCCCCCCCTCCCCCTCTCTCTCTCTCTCCCCGGGGATTGGTGACACCTCCCGTGTATATAACCAGCCTTAAGCTGGCGGCTGCGTCGGGCACTGACACCAACGCCAACCCGGGCCTCCCGACGACCTCCGGCGGCCTCGCTCAGCCCAGCGTCGTTATTCGGCGACGTGCGCAGTCGGGATTGGGTCCGCGCCGCTCCCGCAGTGATGTTGAGGGACGGGCGGCCCGAGTTCCAATGAAGGAAGGACGCAAGCGATGTTATCCCGGAAGAAAAGTAAAAACGAAGCGTCCAAACCGCCCGAGGTCCAGGGCAAATATGTCAAGAAGGAGACGTCCCCGATGCTGAGGAGTAAGTGAGGGTGAGGGTGAGGGGCGGCGGGCGGGCGGGCGGGCGGGCTCCCGGGTTGCGGGGTGGAAACCCGGGGCCGGTTCACCTGGTACAGGGAGGCGGGGAGACCGGCGACACTCCAGTCCTGGCCTTTTTTTTTAAAAAATTAAATTAAAATTTAAAACAAACGCTCCTGTACGCGCACTCTTTCCTCGGGCAGCTCCGGGCTGGCGCCACCGCTCCATCCCTGAGGGGATCAGTTGGCGCCGACGCTGCTCAAACTTAGCTGCGTCTCTCCCCCTCCCCACCTTTGCGGTGTTTTTTTATATATTTTTATATTTTTATTAAAAAATTTTTTTTTTTTATATAAGCGTTTGATGCCCTTTAAGGACTCGGGAACGTGTGTTAATTGAAAAGGGGGTTCGTGAGCTTAAAAGACAGAGACCGGTTACCCTTTTCCTCCCTGACTTCAAAACTTGCCTCGACTCGCGGTCACCAGTGATGTTGGGCCACGTTTTCCCTCCTCTTATCACCGGGACACCCTTGTGAAGTTGCTGCATAAACGCCTATCATTCTCCCCAAGTGATATTTCGTTTTTCCAACTGAAACGCTGTGTGATTAAAGCACCACTGTCTTAATTGCAGATCTGATGCCTTCGTTCATCCGCCACGGACCGACCATTCCGAGGCGCACTGACGTGTTAGCAGAAACGGGCTCGTCTGCTTACCCTTCGGCTGGTGATATGGTGGTTTCCCGAAACCAAAGTTTCCTACGGGGTCCTATCCAGAGGCCGGCCCGTGAAATCGTGAGGCAAGAGAGCAGCAGGCCTTCTGGACCTTCCTACGTTCCAAGAAATCTGTCTGAAGTCCCTCGAGAATATGGTACCTCATCTCAATCCTTTCCACCTGAGATAAACTCTGAGAATGGAGATGGCGGCCACTCGGGTGCCCGATATTACTATCCTGACCCATATTATGATGACGGGCAAAGGCATCGTCACTTGGCTGAGCGTTTCCGTGACGACCAAAGATTCTTTGATCATAATCACGATCCTTATTCACGGTTACCCCCGGGGCAGGGAAGACTGGCAGCGGGTAAGCTTTCTATCTGGGAATGAACATTTAGATTTAGGTTTTCCTATGAAGGGAATTAACAATTTAAATGTTTTTCTGACCTCTTTACTTCAGTTTAATGCAAAACTTTGCTGTTTTGCAGGATTTAACATACTTGGGTAATGATGTGTCACTGGACTTCTGTGTTGTGTTCCTCTATCATTGATTTACCATAGATTTTTTTTTAGCTCTTTTTGTTAACGACACAAATGCTGCGTTGAGCAACTAGTCTTTTGGCTAAGGAATGGGTTCTTCAACGTCCACACATTTGGATTTAGGGGAGCAATCTACATGCTGTAGATTTGAGTTTAAGTGGTGACACTGGGAAAGATGTAGCTATTTGTTCTGTACAATTTAGCAGCTTGCTGTGTTGTTTGCTTCTTGTCCTGCGTGACTGAGAATATGTCTTACAGCTCCACTGGTGCACATATCTGAAACACTTGGGCGATTTTCATGTTTAGATGCAGGTTTCACTAGTTTGTGAAAAGAGGCGTAAATTTGTAACTACTGGTAGAAATAGACATTAGAAATATCATGTGAAGCTTTGGGACATGCTCCCAACGTGAAAGTAAGGACAATTATTATTTATGATGCAGAATCCAAAGCACCAGCAACAATGTGTACGCAGCACCGTAAACGCTCACAATTCTCGTATATGATATAGTGCCTTATCAGGTCAAAACCTCTCAAAGCACTTTAGTTACTGTGTGTGTGAGGCCAGTAAGTCTCTCAAACAGCCGTGAAGTGAATAACCAATATTTTATCTGGAGGATTGTTTGCCAGGTCGCTAGAGAGAAATACTAATATTTTCAAATAATACCATCTTAAAAGTGAGACAGCATCTCAGTTTATCATATATTCTCAGTTTAACCAAAGGATGACATCCGCGACATTCTGACATTGCAGTGCTCCCCAACCTCCTCGATTGTGAGCTCAAAGCTGTGACATGGGACTTGCTCCTCTGAATCAGAAGGTTGTGGGTTCAAGTGCTACAGCTGAGCCAAAAATACTGCGCCGGTAGCCCTTTATTATATAATTAAATCATTGCTTTAAGGAAAGTAGGGAAGGAAACTGAATTAATAGCCCAGATTCAAAATCTGTAACTTACCTCATAAGCAAAAATTTTAAGTTTGAATTGAAAACTTTTAAGTAACTTTAAAATCTGTATAGGGAATGCAACGTCTAAAGTCTGAAATAGTTGTAATGGCAATAGTTTTCAGTCGTTCTTGACTGAACAGCTTCAGGCATACTTGGTTGACTTCCAAGCAAAGTGACAAAGAGCAACTGCAATAGAAATGTTTTTTTTTAAAAAGTGTTTAATTCCACTGATCGTTCTCAGTCAGAGTAGCACTGTAGGAAATGCGTATGATTAAAGCAATATGTGATCTTAATTGCATCCTGTCTTGAGCATGTGCCTTATGTTTTCAATCTTCTAGAAAAAGAAGCTTCAGTACTACTTGAGGACTAATTGTACATGGAAAAATAATCGAGTATTTTCGAACTTCAAGCTTGATGTATAAACAGAATGGTACACTGTTGTGAGACTGTTGCTTATAGACAGGGAAAAATAAGTTTCCAAAGTGTACATCGATCCAAACACTAACCTGATTTGGATGAAACTGGGATGGTTGTGGCTAATTCATTGTTAAGAACTTTAGTTTCATTTCACATATAGTTAAGAGGACTATGGGTTTGCTAACTGTTTGTCTTACACTAGTGTGTCATTATTCATAAATACTTCGGTATTGACAGGAAACAGATTCATGCTGTTTCTAATTCTTGACTATTTTATAGAACGTGCATGGTTGAAAGTTGTAATTAATATGACTTGAGTATTTAAGTGTCTTTTATTAACCGCAAATATTGTTGCGTACAATAGGTAGTTAGGCAGTAGCTTTTTCTCGTAAAAATACTCTGCACAAAAAATTGTTTGTGTTAAAGAACCCATGTTAGAGGAACATGCATTTTATGTAACTTGGAGCAAATCAAGACTTTCATACACCAATTCAATATTCTAAAATTCAAAACTCAATTTGAGTGAAAAGATATCAACAGTGAAATTAGATTTATCTTATTCATTGTGTCAATGTGAACAGAATCTTAATTAGCAGTTCTACCCAAAAATGAAATCGGTGCTGAATATCCTGGAGTTTTCTGCTTTTCTTTTCCCTTTCTTTAGTACTACTGACTGCTGTTACCCTTTATCTGTTGACTACAATCCTGTCCAATGTTAGCCAGAAGTATTTAGTATGGCCTATTTTCCTCCCATTTTTTGTAATACCAAGTAGTGTTGCCATAGGCTGGCTCTTAAATATTTATACACTTTTCATCACAGTGTTGGGGCTTGGGCCTCCCTATTTAGTGAGTGCCTGTATTCTACGATTCACATGTGGGGATTTAAGTATTGATCTGAGAAAAGGGAGAGGAAACAAATGAACTGTTAGGCTCTATCAAACATCATTTACATTTACACTTGCCTTATGGATGCGATAGTTCCACCTCCTAATAGCATTCCCTTTCCTTTTCTTGCAGGACAGCAAGAAAAGGAGAGGGAACATTGAAATGCAGCTCTGTCACCATCCCATTGGCAGGCAAGCTGCAGGTGGTGATCCAGTGACATGTGGAGGATCAAGTTCATTGAGCGCCACAGGTGAAGGGGAAGTTATCCCAGGCCGTACAATAAATGAATATTTTAGAGGATGGAGGAAATTGTATATTCTGAATGTTTTTGGACTATGGTGAGTTCAGATTATGTCTCAATCCTGTAAAACTGGATTCCATCATAGGGTTGGGTAAATTCTTTGTAGAACCTGGCATCACTGACAGTCATGAGGAGGGTTAATTTTTTTTAGGAATTCCATTTGTTTATTTTTACTAGCCATCTTCTCTGTTGTAGAAGGCTCTGTTCCAAGCACTCTAGGATGCTACCCTGCAGGTTGTTGTTGCATGTTATCTGCAAAATAGATCTGATGTGATTACCAAAGCCAAAGGGCAATTTTTTAAAATTTAAAATTCCGGGACTGCTCAGCAGTGGGTGCATTCTGGGTAACATAGTTGAACCCATTTATTGGATTTATGGGTTGCAAGGAAATCCATCAAATTATGATCGCTTGGCTGTTAATTTGTTTAATCTGTATTAGTGGCTCTGGGTGGTAGGAACCTGAGGGGAAGGAGAAAGCGAAGACAATGAATTTGCTCCTGTAGTTTTGTGGTTTGAAATTAGAGTGGCAGGAACAGGTATATAAAATACCCTAGGTAAATTAAGAACTAGTCTCAGTATATCATGCAGTAAGATATAACCTAGGTCATTCCTCAAGCCTGTTTTTGAAGGGTATTTGATGTTTCAATTCAATATCTGGGATGTTTTGACGACTGCACATATCCTTGACATTAAATTGGGTTGTTAATTTTACTGCTGAAATATTCTCCTTCATACAGAGCAACCACATTAATGTGTATGCGGTCCTGTTGCTTTGGTGGCTTAATGTACAACTCCAGGATCGACATGTCACTGCTGTCATGTGTTTCACACACGACATGAATGAAGCACCAATGATGTCACTTTCCTTGCAAAGTGACCTCAGCAGTGCTTCATACATATAGAGTGTGTTCACAGACACCAGGAAATGACATGACGATGTGGCACATGCACAGACTGAGAAACTGATGTCAACAACAAACTTGGCTTTGGTAATCACTTGATCAAGAGTTTGTTGTTGACATCATATCAAGGCTATTTTTAGTGCAGAAAGCTAGGTGTACCTGTTAGCAAACAAACTCGGTAGACCTGGACTATAAACAAGATAGAGCTATAACTGGGTTTCCCTGTATTAGGCAGTAGCTTTATTAACTAAACCATCAGGAGCCATTGATATCTCTTCAGTATGAAGATAGAAAGATTTAGAGAATTGTTGATTAAACAGTAAATGGTAAATGCTTTGAAATTTGTTGACCTAAAAACATTCTAATTAATTCTGTTGGAACCAGATCAACATTCTTTTCAACTTCCGTATTTCATTGTGTTGGAAAACAAAAAGGAATTTGTTGCTAAAGTCAGCTGCTCATTTTGTTTTTTTTNACAGAAAATTAATCTTTGAGTTAGTCTAAGAGATAAGACAGCATAAAAAGATGAAGTAGCTTAAACTTTATTTGCTTTTTATTAGTATCTTCAGTTGAATTCCAGTTTTGGCAAAGTTCTATTCTAAAGGTGGTTTTAGCACAACAATTGCCTCCTTTCAAATTTGGCATTTCTTCAATGCCAGCAATTTAGCATTTTTTTTTCTAAAATGTGTATAATCAACTAAATCCAGCTGCATATAATTTTCAGTTTAAGAGTTGAGCAATGTGAAATTGTACCAGCAATGTTCAAGGCAATAAGTTTCCTTCCTCCATTTGTTTAGTTTTCACATGGATTTTGGAAACAAATTTCCAGATGCACCATGTCTTATAGGAGATATGGTCTTCACGATGTTTCTCTTTATATAAGATCTTCAGAATTTTTTTTTCTCTATCTTTTCTTGCAACAGTTCAGTTCTTTTCTGGAGCTACTGAAGGAAGTGTCAATAGTGTGCTATTTTAGCTATCCTAACTTATTTTAATATTTATTAATTTAGCTCAAATGGGTGAATGATGTTTGACACTTTCTCGTTTCTGCTTTAGGCATAGGAAGAATTCCTTCAACTTCCTTAGGAAACCTGACAAATTATGGCACCGATGAAATGCCTCTTCCTCTTGGCTGGACAGTAGACTGGACTATTCGAGGAAGGAAATACTTTATAGATCATAATACTAACACAACTCATTGGAGTCATCCGCTTGAAAGAGAAGGTTTGCCACCTGGGTGGGAGAGAGTCGAATCGGCCGAATTTGGAGTTTACTATGTGGATCACATTAACAAGCGAGCTCAGTACAAGCATCCCTGTGCGCCCAGGTATAAAAAACTAATGAGTTTTATCCTGCAACCAAAGCTGCTTGATTTATTCTCAATGATTGTGAAACAAAATTAAAACCTAATTTTCTTTTAAGTTACCTCATAAGGTTTGTGTGAGTGTAATCAAATTGCTGGTTGAATTGTGCATTGAGTTATAAAGAAGTTCCATGAAGATATTGGTTAATTTTCATCTCAAACTTTTCATTTTGATGTAATTTCAGTAGAGAACATTTTATTTGTGTTGGATAAAAATGTGTGCAGGGAGCATTATGTTGATAAATCATTTCTTTAATTTGCAGTGTTCCTCGGTATGACCAACCTCCACCTCTTCCTCCTCCTGTCACGTACCAACCAAGACCCCCTGATCGAAACCAGCTCGTCCTAGTTCCGGCAAACCCATACCACACTGCAGAGATCCCAGATTGGCTGAAGGTCTATGCCAGGGCTCCAGTAAAGTAAGCATTTATATGGAAAACAATGCTGCTGAAAATACTTGCTCCAGCTGAATTTCACTTCATTCAGCACACTACCATTACTTCAAATCTCTCATTATAGGTTATTCAAATCTCAATCCCACAAGTGTCTAAACCAGTGGTGGCCAACAAAATAAATGTTTCATTGATTGAATAATTCTTGATTTATGGCAGTGGTGGCCCAACCTTTTTGGTTGACGGAACAAAAAATAAACTTTTTCTTCATTTATGGCATGAATCAATGCTATTTTGATATTTCCATGATTATTTTGTTGGCCAACCACTGGTCTAAAGCAACATTGCTACTTTGGGGTAAAACTTGCATAGTCTATATTGGCCTTGGAGTACACTGCACAATCTCCAAAAGAAATAAGTTTAATAATAATAATAATCCTTGCATTTGATATAGCGTTTTTCACGTCGGGAGGACGCCCCAAAGCGCTTCACAGAACACACTGTAAAGTGAATTGGCTGTATATTTGTGGGCGAACGCGGCAGCCAATTGCGCACAGCAATGTCCCACAAACAGTCGTAGATTGAAAATGACCAATTTATTATTGTTTTTGGTTTTGGAGAGATTATTATTAGGCGTGTGGAGTAAGGAAACTTGCCCAAGGTTTCGCCCTGACCTGCCTGGAATTGAACTCAGGTCTCTCGCTTGCAAAGCGAATGCTCTAACCACTGAGTTACAGGACTCCACAAGTTTGTATATTATAGGGGTGTCAGCTTGTCTTAGCTGGTAACACTCTTGCCTCTGAGTCAGAAAGTTGTGGGTTCAGGACCCACGATGATACTTTGAACTCACATACTCTAGGCTGACACTCCAGTTGCTGGATAGGGTGGGTCTTTGCTGCATTGTTGGAGATGTCAGACATTGGATGAGAGAGATTAAATTGAGGTCCCATCTGTATGTTCAGGTGGATACTAAAGATTCCATACTGCTATTGTAAAAGTGAAGGGTGTTTCTCTTGGTGTTCTGGACAACAATCTCCCAGATAAAATAGCGGTTTTGCTTCAATGGGTTTGTGGGACATTGTTTGCAAATTAAATGCCATGTTTGCCTAACAAATAGTCACTACAGATTACAGTAAATCCTGTGAAGCACTTTGAGATGTTCTCCCAATGTGAAAGGCACTATTATCAAATTGCAAGGATTCTTATTACACAAATATCTTGCATTTTTGAAAGTGTAATTATTTACATAATTCTAAAATGTAATAAAATTTCAGACTGTTATCTACTTTTTCAGTTTGCTCAAATCTTGCTGTACATATTTTCTATACTTTAAATGACTAGCTGGTTTAGGTTAAAATGTTCATGCATAGTTGGTCACCTTTGGTCTCTATCACTAATTTAGATATGATCACATTCTGAAATGGGAACTCTTCCAACTAGCAGACCTGGACACTTACCAAGGAATGTTAAAACTGCTCTTCATGAAGGAACTGGAAAGGATTGTGAAGTCCTATGAGGCATATAGACAAGCCCTTCTTACAGAACTTGAAAATCGCAAGCAAAGGCAACAGTGGTATGCACAACATAGCAAGAATTTTTGATAACCTGCGAATGTTTGATGACCTGCGTATGTGAATACTAGAAGATTTGTTTTCCTTCAAAGGACAATATTTTTGAGTCTAATTGAGACTTATTTTTTATTGCATTTCCTATTATAAAGTCATGAATTCAGCTCTGAAGGGAAAGGGGACTGTCCTTTCTAACTCCCAGCAACCTGACACAAAACATTTTATACTTCTATTAATGTTGACTTAACTGCCTTTTCTGTACAAATCAAATTTTTGCTCCAGAATCAATATTATAACCAGAAAGTCTGCTTTCTGTAGCTTTATGCGTGGTTTGAGTGTTTTTTTTAAAAAGAATGATTTAACTTAAAGAGTAAATTTTAATCAAATAAGCTAAAGCACACAACAGTGACTTGATAAGAGAACTGAAATATTTGTTTACATTCAAAGCCAAATTCCCTGGGGTTTTCTTGTTAACATTGGAAGCAATGTTTAATATTTTAACACCATTATTAAATGCCAACAATCATTGGTGTTACAAACATGACAAACCAGTTTTAAGATTGTAGACCTGAATGATTGGCTCTCCATGACTTGACATTTATTGCTTTGACTCCACATTTTGCACCTGATGAGGACAAATGAGAATTTTGGCTCATTTGCTATTGCTTTCAACTGATGTGGCAAAAACGATCTCAAAGTCTATTACAAAGAATCAGGGATACAATAAGACTAATTTGTAGTCTTGTTATCTGTTAACTAAAGTCATGTTTTTTGTAAAAATTGTAAATTGATAGCAGTAGACTATTTTCATAGATATCATGCATTTAAAATGAAAGATTGAAATTTCACACTAAGTGGTTTCATCAATTCAGTAGCATACAGGATTGCTATTTATTAATCCTTTTATTTAATGCAGTAATTACATGTGTAAACCCATAATACAAATAAACTTGATTACCGTATTAAAGGTGTGTTCCCTTTTTCAAATCCTATAATTGACCAGAACAATCATTTATTTCCAAGACTTGGGTTCTTTGTTTACAAAGAGCCTTAACCCATTCATACTTTTGTCCTGTCTACAGTAGTTTGGTTTTACACCAGCTACTGTTAAGTGTTATAGAGGTATTGAAGATGGAACTTTTCTGAGCAAGCTCATAGAAATAGCTCATTTTTCAAATTCTTTTCTGGTATCTGACCATTGAGTTAACCTGCTTGTTTCTACCTATTTGCCTCTTTCCCTCCCCCTCCCACACTGTTCTATATATGATTGTATATGACCACTGTGCTCTTTTTCCAAGGTTGACAGTATTGAGACCGTAGTCCTTTGCTGTAATTTTGTAAAAAAAATTAAATTTTATTCATAATATTTGATTAATTAATGCAAAGTCCGATCTTCATAATATGCATTATACCATATTCAAGATAAAAAACAGAATTTTTGTTTGCTGGGCATTTTTTTAAGAAAAGGAACTTTTTTTTTAAACCACCTACTTGTAAATGATTATTCAGGGATGTTGAGCAATTTCGGGGTTTGAAAATAACCAAAGGTGTTTTTTTATGTAAAAATCCTTACTGTTAGTTAAAGTTATGCAGCTTTCATGATTTCATAAAAAGTTGTCAGTTTTTACTAGCTATGCAACTTATTTGTTTCTGATTGTCAATTCTTTGCTATTTTCTGTGCTATGGATTTCTTTCCATAACAATAATAATCCTTGCATTTGATATAGCTCATCATCACAACTTATATACTGTAAATTGAATTGTGGGTGAAACGAAGCAGCCAATTGCACACAGTGGTGTCCCACAAACAGTTGTGGATTGAGTGACCAAAATATTTTAATTTTTCTGAAGATGTTATTATCAGTAGTAGTATTATTATAAGCAAGTGATTTAGTGAAACTGGCTTATTGCATGCCCATACTTTCAGCATTCCTTCTCCAGCTGTTTCCTTGGTCAAATATAAGGAGAGGATTGGTTCATAGTCGTTTCCTCCATCTACCTCCATTTCCCTAAGGAGCCTCAACATGGGCCCAACTTTCCTGTGCTGGTCAGAAGTATTTACAGTTGGTTGTAGTCGGCGACTAAAAGGACAGATTGGATAAGATTCATACCAGCACAAGATCTGAAATGGCGAAAGGGAAAAATGGCACTAAATTAGAAATTCATTGAGGGGGTTGGGGGGGAAATTGCATAAAGGACTGAAAGTTGTGGAAATATTGTACAAGAAAAACAGGTAGGAATGGCTACATGTGACATTTTTAAGCTGATAATAAAATCAAGCAATTGGGGAAGAGAATAACAACATTAGAGTTAATTGAGAATGCATAAAATTTCTCAAAGGACTAAATACTATTTAGGCGATTAAGGGGGCACTGAATTACGATTTCACTAAAAATGCATTCTCAGTATTTATGCTTGGGGCTATTGGGCACTTTATGAGTTTTACTTGGAAAGATGTTGGATTATAATACCTGCTTTAAATGCATAAAGTATATCATTCAAGCCAGGAAAAGCTCCCCATGGATGTTCAATGATGCTTGAAATTAAATAAATTTTAGGCTTAGATGAAGCTTACGTAGAAATAAATGAGTTGACTAGTATCCATTTGCAAACCCAGCTGCTTTTTTCTGGGATATGGTTCTCTGTTTCGATTTTTTTCCTGCATATCTGATGCATAGGTACTTTCTCTTTTCACATTATTACGTGCTAGTTAAGCATTTGCTAACTAGGTTGAAATTGTAAGAATTTTGAGACTGTCAAGCCAGGTACTCCAGCTTTTTATATTTATCCCTTGGGGACAAGTTGAACTTCCTGTTCTGCCACATGCTCTGAAATTTCAGTGTTTCCATTCTGTACAGGCACGCCATTATCCGGACTCAAACGAATGACAAGTTATTATTTTTTTCAAAGATGGTAGATTTTTAAATGTAATGTATTGTTTGCAAAGTCATATTTTTGCTCTCAATGAGAAGTGCCTCATTTAAACCAGAATTCAATCTGTAGCCCATCCAAAATGATTTCTTAAGACAGTTTTCATAAGGTAATAAAACAAAATGTTTTATTGTGTGTGTATGTGAACACATTCGAGTGTATCTGTGAGCAGAACTGTAGTTTTAAAAACAATACTGTATTGTGATCTATTAGGACAGTGAAATTGAAGAAAACATGTTTTAAACTTTAACGTTCAATAAATATCAAACATTTTAAATTTACAATGCAGAAATTAGACTAAATTATTGTGGAAGACAACAAATGTACTTTTGATTGGGGAAAACAATGTTTGAAATGATTTTTTAAAAAAATTAATTGTACTTTCTTGATGGAAGAACATTTGACTCGTACATATCAACACAGTTAACAAAATCATGCAAACCAGCACATCTGCACAGTACAATTTGCAACAGAAGTATATGTGAAAGCCTGCAGTGTTCATTGTTGATACATGGTTTCATTGCTTCTCCAGCATTTACAAGCTACCTTTAGCTTTTTTCCATTTAAACAGCACTTCTTGAGTTAGTGAAATGGGAATGCACATAATAATGAATGAACAGCTTGTTCGGCTGTACAGCCAGGGAATTCAGATAAATCATTTTTTCTTCCCTGTGTCTTTGTTGGTTTCTGTCTGTGCAGCAGGAAAGGTGTGGTGATATACGTGTCTGTGGCTTGTAGCAGCATCGTACAGCCTGAAAAGAGCCTTTAGGGAAAGAAATCACATTACTGTTACAAAATTAATCACTAAAATCTTGATTCAAATGTATTTCCTTAACAATTTCTAAACACAACTGTTAATATGAGGTGCGCTGCGATGTCATAATCCTTTGAAAAACGCTGATCCAGTTAGACTGCCATCGAATCTGTGGCCAACAAGATTGACCAGCTAAACGGACATATATGATGAATGTAGTCTTTTGAGGGAAATGAATAGACATTTTTTTAAGGGATTTTGTAATTTTCTGGGAAGTGTTTTGAAAACATGATTTAAGTTGCTAACATGAAGATGCACTGTTTTTGTTACCGAAGATACTTAGTGGCCAAAGGGAGTGAGTAACCCACCGTCTCAAAGGCTTTTGTATCTAATTCCTTTTTCCATTGTTTTGACGCAAGGATTGATATTATCTACAATGTTACTGTCGTGCAGTGTTTTTGATATTTGTAACTTAATTACTGGACATTAGTGAAGGTGCTTGACAGGGATTTTGCCAAAGAAACTAGAATAATCTAAGAGTCAGCTGACTTGTGCAGCATTACAATAACTAGATCTGTTGAATCAGACAACAGTTATCTGCTATTCATTGGCCTGTGATTTAAAAAAAAATTGAAAGCAGTTTCTGTATTAGAAATGCATCGTGCTTTCGTAGGTCTACCTGTCAAGAGCCCTTGATTGAGAAATGCCAGAGCTGTCTTGTTGACCCATAGACTTGAATGCCTTCTACTTTAGGGTACTGAAATTCAGATTCAATCTGAATAAATGTGATCGGTGTCCCCTGCTGCTCAACAGTGGTTTGAATAATTAAGATTGAAGGAACCAGCTGCAGTTCTAATTAAGTAAGTAAATGCTTGAATGTTGAATACCTTAAAATCCTCCACTAACAGCTAAAATTAAACACCAATTTTAATTCTCGTTCCAGTGAACATATATTGTTATGATTATTATAGGGTTTTTCCAACCTTTAGTTTTTCTAATCTTTGATTCAAAGATAATGGTCAACATCAGGATAATGTATTTATGTAAAATGTGGCTTGCTTTTAAGCATAAAATAGTAATGACGTATAATGGAAGTTATTTTCATCCTAATGCTCACTTTCAAGTGAGTAGTATTGCATTCAATTCTATTTCATTTTGAAATATTACTTGTTAACAAATTGGTGTACATTTGAAACAAAACTTGCTTTGTTTTGGCTTGCATGAAGAGGAGACAGAGTGAAGCGACTATCGTGTCTTAACAAACTTAATCATTGCCAACACATGGAATGTTTTTTTTCCAGATAAAAAGGGATTAAGAAGGTAGTTTTCATTGTTCACAGAAGAAATGTATCTACTTAATGTGTTGATGTGTTTATCACATTCAAAATGTCTCGTGCACAGAGTAATTGTTACTGTTCTGAACATGTTCAACAAATTTTCTTAAAATAGAAGAAAGTACTATTGTGTGATTTTCTCTTAGTTAATTTCAATTCGCTTGTCTGTTTAACATAAAATCATGGGATGGATTAATTCAGACTACTGTTGGATAATCAGACATGAGTTTGCAGCATTGCTATAAAACAGCAATATTAATTGTTTCAGAGAGTGAATATTAAGAGGATGTCGCTCAGACAGTCTTCACATCTGTAAGTGCCTGGTTACAAAGAATTGAGGACAGAGACCTGGAAGGAAGATGTTTGCTTAACCTCTTGGTAAGAGAACAACAGCTACAATGGGGAAAGAGAAATCAATTTGAAATGGGACTGTTAAAATAAATTTTCATAACTTCAAAACTAAGACTTCAATTCATTCCATTCATTTGGCCTTGTCAATTAGCTCTTGAATGTAGCTTTGCTTTACAAAGTATATACTTTCTGGTAATACATTCATAAGCTCCCTGTAATTAATTTAGGGCAGGATCATAGCTAACCCGAACTTACAAAAAAAGTTACCAAGAAACTGTTAAAACTAGAAATTAACCTACTTGGGCCTCATCGCAGTATCTTCCAACACGTACATTGTTATGCAAATCTGATTATCCAAGAATGTTCAGTTTTCAGAATCAGCTAGCACACAGTTCTGAAAACAAAACAATTTATAGATTTCTCCAATTTTCTCCCCTTCTCTCTTAAAGGTATTGCCTGGTGCCGCTGTATAATTCCATGGGCACTAGTAGTCTATCACCTTATTAGCCATTCTTATTATTTAAGGCCCAGCCTAATAATGGGCATTAGCGGGCTAGTCTACAGCTGTGAGCATCACAGCCAAGCCTGATTCTGTCCTCACCTGACATGTCTGCACATACACCTTTGGCAGAGTCACTGAACAGCTTTCATAAATGGGAATTTGTTCCCCTTTCTAGACTGGGACTCCTTAGATGAATAGTAGGTGCCCATTACCATCCCAGGCAAATCAATACAGATCAGGACCTAAACTTTCCTTCTCTGTAGAGCTTAAGAGCTCAGTAGTGGATACTTCATTTATCCACAGAACTATCAAGGCTGTAATGGATGTTATGAAAAGCTGCTGATGGGCTTGCAAAATTATATATGGCATCAAGCATAAAAACCTTTGTCATGTGTTTACACATCTCACTGTTATCTATCTTCTTTCCCCCCAAAGTGCACACACACACACACACTAGAGTTCACATGCTAGTCACAGCAATAAAGCAAAATGCAGGCAAGTGACCAATGAAAGTGGTTGCTCAAATCCAATCAGCAAAATCCAGGGGCTTACCTCATTGGTACTTCCCTATTGAATTGCAGAAAGGAAAGAGAGAGGGGTGGGGAGTGAAAAGAGAAATCTAATCTAAACACTTAAGTATAAAATTAGAGCAAACATCCTTAATGTGACTGGATTCTCAAAGAAGGTTTAACAAAATCCTAAAAAAGTATATTTTTACTCCATTTCCTTTATTTGCCTCAGCAACTTGTGTTACCTCCCTTAGCAGGGTTATTGTTATAATTTAAGACATAGGATTCTACGCTCACTGTTAATGCCACTTGTTTATTAACTAGAGAAGTGTTTCATATGAAACTGGTCAAAATATTCTCCATCTAGTGGTCACTCTCAAAACTGACGAGACTATTCCAATGACAGTCTTGTCGGTTTTGTCCACAACATATATACAGTCAATTTACAGTATATTTCTGTGAAGCGCTTTGAGATTTCTCAACAGTGCGATAAGGTGCTACATCAAATGCAAGGATTGTCGTCATTATTATTAATGAGGGTAGCTAAGGTAGGAAAAGGATTGGAGCTAACACTTTCATTAGAGCAATTGCAGTCTTAAGCAAATGCTTTTAATGATTATTTAAAAAACTTAACTAAAACTCTCTTGAAATCTTTTTTGAGTCTATTTGGTTGTATTTACTATTACAACAGATGCTCTCTGAAACTTGCCAAGGCAAAATAATACTTGTGTTAAGGCATGCATTCTTCAGTCTAAAATGCTCAATTATTCTCTTTATTTTAATCTTTTTAAAAAAAATTCCCATATTTATTCTGTCCTGCACTCTTCTATTTTAACTCCTTATTTCTCCGGGGCCTCAAGGCGATGGGAGTTTATTACTTCCCTCAATCTTTCTTTCCCCCTACATTCAACATCATCAAACATCAATACTTAAAATCATCTCTTTTCACCTTTGATTGTATCCTGCACGAGGGTTGTGGCCTAAAGAAAAGTTTCTCAGTTTAAAAACTAAGAATTAGTGTCTAAATCATTGTTGTTAAAGGTTCAAGAGCCAACAGAAAACTAGCTCTTTTAGACTAAAGAACTACAAACATATTGACAACAAACTACAATGAAAAACAAAATTAAACTATAATTATAATTACGATCATCATCCCAAACCAACACAGTTAATTCATTATTGTAACAATTTAACTTGGCAATTAATGTATAGAAATCAGAAAGATTTTATTCCAAATGATCAGAAACTAGATTGAAACTCTTAATCAAACTAAAATGAAATATCTTAACATTCTGAATCTGTCTTAATGATTTTAATAATTCAGTACTGTATTTTTTAAAAGTTACCATAGTAGTCCTTGTGACAAAATAAATAGAAAAAGTATATTTTAAAATCAATTGACTCACCTGGTCCCATAAGGCTCCCGCTACCTGGTCTATGACGGCTCCAAGCTCTCTGTATTCTCCAGAGTACCTAATATACGCCCAAGTGCACAGAGTAATCAGAGCCAGCCCCATTACCATGTTGCACAGACTAGCTATAATGTCCACTCCAATGAAGCCCGTCACTCCAGCTATTACATACATAATAAATATGACCACAAACAGAGTGGCAGGTGTGCGAGCAGCATGGAATATGTTCTTACTATCGTTGTGTTTTATGTAATTTATGTACAGCTCGTCGATTTCACTTTCTAGTTGTTGCAAATAACGACGACTAAATTCCTCTCCACCCATCTTCTTAACTCCACAAAATAATTTGATGGCTTGTTCCCTGAGTCCCAAGTGTTTGTTTTGGAGATCATTGGGTGCGAGGAATGGTCTATCCCCTCCACAAACCTGTAGAACAAACACATATTGGAGCAAGTATACAAGACATCCACACATAGACGACATGTATCATTGGATAGCAATCAGTAGTGGAATCCTTGATATCTTCCCTTCCTCAATCAGAGGTATTAAATTAATTGTATTTTCCCTCAGCTGAGAAACTAACTCAGCACAGCCCAGAGACAGACTCTGAGACCTTCCTTGATGATATGTCTCTGACACAAGTGGGAGTGCATTTGCCCACTGAGGCCCTGTTGGAAACTTCTGAATCAGAGATGAAACGCTCCATCAGTTCAGAGTTCCATCTAGTTTTCTGGAAGTCAGCTGGTAGCACTTGCCCACTAGTACGAATTACATCTGAAAGGGACTCAGACTCAAACCTTTTAAACAGAAGTCCATCACATCACCTTTTAGATTGTACATTACATAATCTAGACATACTTACTACAAACAGTGCTTTATTTTACGTTGGCATTTCCAAGATTTAAAAGTGTTAATGAAATGCTCTGTTAATGACTTGCATAAGATCGGTCCTGTTTGGAAACAAGTTCTCTCATGTTGAATCGCATGCTTTGATCTGAGTGCCAGAATGTTTCCCCCCACCCACCCAAGAAAGCAGGAAACATCAGAGAACGAAATTCCTGATTTGTTTCTGATGCCATTGTGCATGCCTCTCATAAGCTGTGTTACATTATTGTTCAACACAGGATTGTGACCTTGCGTTCAGTTCTAATATACAGCTGGTTCTTCAACCATAATGTCTTGTATTGTTAGAAAAAAAATAGGTCTCTGAAGTGAAACCGGGTCATAATCTAACAAATAAATGGCAGTTAGTCATTAAATATGTCTTGAAGAATTAACTGTACACATATAACTGCATCCATTTAAAAAAGTAAAGAATAAGGGTTTTTTATTAAAAATTGTTTTGCAGCTTAAGATGTGTAAAATAGCATTTTCAATGTTGTGCAAGAGTAAGGGTTGTTAATTGACATGTCTTTGAGTTTGTGTGACAGGGCTGTTGGTTGACTTAGATCAGTTATTACGTATGATTGTATGCTAATTAGTTAAAAATCCTACATCCATTACTTGATGAAAGATAACAATTTCCTCCTTGACACATTGGGTCCAGTTTCACTTTGCACTGCAAAGCACCACAAGCAAGTTGCTTTCTTTTGTGTTTTAAACACTGTTTCGTATGTGTTTTATCTTCTAATCCCACAAAGCATTAATCTTTCTAAAAATGAACTGCTGTGAAACACTGACGATATTCTCCAGAGATGTGCAAGTATTTTTATAAGTGACCTGTTAAAACTTTTTCTTTTGGATGTTGAATAGACAATTAATCAAAGGGTTTATTTTAGTATTCTAGCATACTATCTATTCTGGGGTTGGGTGATACTATCTTTTCTGAAGTAAAAAATTGCATTCACATTATCCAAGCCCATTTAATAACGCTGTTCTATGTGGAATATCATAATACAACAACAACAAAATTCCATTTATAGAGCGCCTTTCACGTCGGGAGGACGTCCCAAGTTGCTGGACAGTTGGGTCAGGACCCGAGCATTGGGGGCAAATGGTCAGGGTGAAGGGAAGGAGCGAGGAGGGGGGTAGAGAGTCGAGAGGGGAGCTGAAGGCACGGTCGAAGAAAAAGATCTTGAAACTGGCCTTGAAGGAAGAAAGGGAGGAAGCGGCGAAGGCACTGGGGGATGGAGTTCCAGAGCCTCGGGGCTGAGAGGCTGAAGGCTCGGCCATCGATGGTAGGGCGGTTGGGACGGGGGGTGTGGAGCAGACCGGAGCCAGAGGAACGGAGGGTACGAGCAGGTAGGGGGATAGTAGGTCAGAGAGGTAGGAGGGAGCAAGGCCGTGAATGGCCTTGTAGGTGAGGATACTTGTTCCTTGTCTGATGAATATACATTTTGATATTTAAAAGGGTGATAGATACAGTGCAGCTTTGTTAACACGTGCTTCACTATCGCACAAATTCAGTTGTAACACAAATGCAATGTGGATTCTGTTCACTGTGCACATGTCTGCAATTGCTTCCTGTACACCAGCTAGTTTCTGGTTCATTGGGTCACCCTCAATGTCACTTCCCGCTTTGCTCATTAACCAGCAAGTGACGGTAGTAACCCGATTGCCCAGAAGTCAGACATTTTTTTTCAGTCATTGCAGGAACCGGACAGGGAGAGAGTCAGCCGGACAGCCTGCTCACACGTGCAGTCAAACCCTTTCTATCGTGCCTCACCTTTTGGCGCTTTATGGATTCTAAACACCATGTTATTGCGGCACTTGGAAAGTAAGGGATGTGGAGAAAACGTAGGGAAAAGGGTGTTAAAATATGTGCTCTGAATCTAATGAAATGATGGAGTACAGCCTGCTCCTTGTTCCTAGATTCTTGCATTTGCTCCCAACTCACAAGATAAGACTGACAACAAATTGCTGTTTCAACATCGCTGAAGCTGTTCCAGAACTGTTCTGTCAGCTAATTCTGATTAAACCTGAAGAACATCAAAATAGAGATGGCTCAACTTTAAAGAGATTTAGTTCTCTTACCCCCTCCATTTGCTTGCTGTACAGATCCTTGGCTGCTGCTACAGCTGCTAGATTATTAGCCTCTGCTGTTGCCTAAAATGTAAAGGAAAAAGACAAATTATCTTACAGAGAAATCAAAGTCGAAGTAGTTATCTGTGGATACAAAAAACCTTTGTCCTTGACCTGCAATCAGATTTCATTTAATAAAAATTGGAGGAGTGGTTAGCGCACCCACATAACAGAAGCAAGTGAGAGAACCCGGGTTTGATTCCCGGGTGGGGAGAAATCTTAGGCAGGTTTCCTTACTCCACATGCCTCTGTTTACCTAGCAATAAGTAGGAACCGGTTAGTTGATTGGTAGATCACTTTTCATAGAATCATAGAATTATACAGCACAGAAGGAGGCCATTCGGCCCATCATATCTGTGCCAGCTCTTTGAAAAGAGCTATTCAATCCCACTCCCCCACTCTCTCCCCATAGCTCTGCAAACTTGTTCTCCCCAAATAATTATCTACTTCTCTCTTAAAAGTTGTTACTGAATCAGCTTCCACCACCCTTTCAGGCAATGCATTCCAGATCCCAACAACTCGCTGTGTGAAAAAAATTCTCCTCACCTCCCCTCTGTTTCTTTTAACAACTATTTTAAATCGGTGTCCTCGGGTTACCAACCCATCCGCCAGTGGAAATCGTTTCTCCTTGTTCACCCTATCAAATCTCCTCAGAATTTTGAAAACTATTAAGTCTCCTCTTAACCTTCTCTGCTCCAAGGAGAATAATCCCAGCTTCTCTGGCCTCTCTTGATAACTGAAGTCCCTCATTCCTGGTACTATCCTGGTAAATTTCCTTTGCACCCTCTCCAATGCCTTGACATCCTTCCTAAAGTGTGGGGCCCAGAACTGAACCCAGTCTCTCGCTGAGGCCAAAGCAGTGTTTTATAAAGGTTCATCATAGCTTCCTGACTTTTGTATTCTTTGCCTCTATTTATAAAGCCTAGTATCCTGTATGCTTTTTTAACAGCTTTATCTACCTGTCCTGCCATCTTCAAAGATTTACTTATATGAACCCCCAGATCTCTCTGTTCCTTCACCCCCTTTAAGATTGTACCATCAGCTTATATTGCCTCTCCTCATTCTTCCTCCAAAATGCGTCGCTTTGCATTTCTCCATATTAAACTTCATCTGCCACATGTCTGCCCATCTTACCAGTCTGTCTATACCCATTTGCAGTCTGCTACTATCCTCTTCACCGTTTACTACTTTTCCTAAATTATATTCCCTATACCCAAGTCCAGGTCATTTATATAGATCAAAAACAGCAGTGGTCCCAATACTGACCCCTGGGGCACACCACTGCACACTTCCCTCCAGTCAGAAAAACAACCGTTCAGCACCACTCTCTACTTTCTGTCTCCCAACCAGTCTGCATCCATGCTGCCACTGTCCCTTTAATACTGGGGCTTCTATTTTGCTTACAAGTGTCAAACACTTTTTGAAAATCCCTATAAACTACATCACCCTCTCAGTTACTTCATCAAAAAACTATCAGGTTTGTTAGACATGATTTGGGGATAATAATCGGGGGTAATAATCCCTCAAAAAATATTGGTCACCCAATCCACGACTGTTTGTGCGATATTGCTGTGAGCAACTGGTTGACGCGTTTATGCTTACATTTTTTTACATACAGAACAACCTTAATGCAGAAATATGTTTAATATACTTTTTTAAAAGATTTTTAAAAAGATTTTAAAAGACTAAGCAGAATTACAAAATGTGGCTTAATTTAAAATGTACATTTAAAAGTGTCTGGTTAGACAGTGAAATAGTTCTTAATAGTTGGCACCACCACCTGAATGGTTGCTCCTTTTCTACCTCTGAAACCTGTTGGGCATCTCTGAGGTCCTGGAAGAGATTTGCAGCAGTTGGACAGAAAAAATCCTGTAAATGATGTGGCAATGCCTCCCAAGTCCTCCTATTTTATTTATAACCATCAGCACAACTAAATGAGTCAGGCTATGAGTACTGCCACCCTAACCTTGCTTGTGAGCTTGGTTCTACCACAACGCTTTAGGTTGTTACCCTATTTCTGTCTGGGGGGGAATGGGTTTTCTTTCAGAAACTCATCTCTTTCTTAGCTTCTATCCCTCACCCATCTCACACTTCGTTGATTCCTTTTGGGTCAAGAGTCTTCTGTGTTCACATATTCTATGATGCACTATATTCCAGACCCCCACCACCCAACTGATTTCCTTTCCTGCTCCCCCTCTTTCCACACCTCCACCCCAATACATAACTGAACCTTGTGAGTAACCATCAACTGATCCTCAAACTGAACGCTCCTATAACCACAAAAATAATTTGAGGTCAGTTCCTCGTTCACCGAATGACTGACATACTGTAAAGGAACAAAAATAGGACCTTCACAATTGATAACATCTTATGTTGAAATATCTCCTGCAGCAAGGACTCACAGAAAGCTGTGAAATGACTCAATTTAATCTCTACACTTTTACCGAAGAATTTCCTGTTATTGCCGCCGTCAATCAGTGTGAAGTCACACGGAATGAGCAAATATATGATTGCAAAATCTGACACCAATTGAGAAAGGTAAGGCTATAATAATAATAATCCTTGCATTTAATATAGCGCTTTTCACGTCTTCTAGACGTCTCAAAGCACTTCACAGAATATACTGTAAAGTGAATTGACTATATTTGCAGGGGAAAGTGGCAGCTAATTGCGCACAGCAATATCCCATAAACAGTCATGGATTGAGCGACCAAATTATAATTTTTTTTAAAGGATTATTATCCCCGGAAAAGTGATCTGCCAATTGACTAACAACTACTTACTGCTAGGTGAACAGAGACGTGTGGATAAGGAAACTTGCCCAACATTTCGCACTGCCGGGAATCGAACCAGGATCTCTCGCTTGCCGGGCGAGTGTTCTAATCACTGGGCTACAGGACTCCTCCGCAAGGGAGTTTAACTCAAAGCAAAATATTAAAAGTATTAGGAATACTACAGTACCTGTAACATGGACTTGGGGTGTGGTAGCTCCTCTCCTTGATAGATCTTTATGTATGCCTAAAGTACAATTTAAATAAAAAAAAGTTGGATTTTGTTTGTAAATATGCACCAAATATAATCAAATAGTATTCAGCGTTAATTTTTCCTTATGTACAAGTGAAACAGTCATTGCCTGTATTTGAAGGGAATGATGGGAGGGGGAAAACAACTTGCAGCCATTATTAATCAGAAAACAGACATCCACAATCAATATTTATGGACAAAACCTCTTCTCCGTAAGCGGCTCCACTCAAGTGCATTGGCCACACAGAAAAAACTGTGCAATGTTAGTTGTGTACAATAAACAAGATGGACGTGGAAACTAGGTTTGGACTAGTTTAATTTTGCAAAAGTGAAGGTAGCGCCTTCTATTTTTGCTGAGACTTTGATTAGTCTATTTTCCCTCTTTTTTTAAAAAAAGTTATTGATCAGGATATTCTGGAATAAGGTTTCCTGTTACCACCACCCCACCCCCCCCCCACCCACCAAGGAAATCCTTTTCAAGGTCAAAACCCTTTTTGTTTTACCATTCCTCCATTTTACAATCATTTATCTTCACTCCTTCTGTATTCTGCAAAGACCCTGCTTAATAAGAGGTTTTTTCTCTCTCTCTCTCTCTCTCTCTCTCTCTAACCAAACAGCAGAAAGTGTGTGGGATTAGTACAGGATGACTCAGCTGCCTGTGTTATCCGTTTCCCCTTCATAGCACACATCAGATCAAGATCTTGCAATTTGAAGAATGTAAGTGGCTTAGAGGGTTGTTCAAGCACTTACCATATATGAGAAACTGAAAGTGTTAAAGATTAATTACCGTGCACTCAGAAAGCATGTCTCTTAAACTACAAGAATATATTTAGCTAATTTTAATGAAGCATCCCAGGTATAATTTTGGGATGCGAGTGTCATTTTAAAAATAAACTGACTTCGCTGAACGAGTGCGCCTTTTTCAACTGGGTCCTGCCATGTTTGCACATGCAGTTATTAAGTGTCACAACTACAGTCGAGAGCATGTAGGAGTTTGCACAGGGACAAATGTCAGCAAGAGAGTAGGCAAAGCTGTGCTGCCTGATAACAATTCACTCAGATTTTAATCTCTCCTGTTTTTAGAGCGGGGGAAGCAGTTCCTGCAAGTAAAACATCCAGAGACAATAAGGTAAGAAGAGCTTTTAAACGTCCACAGCCAAAACTATCAAATTATCAGCCTCCAGAGCGTGGTGGGAAGCGGACATAACAGATAATTGGAAAAAAGGAAATTTTAATAATGTTATTGATCTGAAACTATTCCGTTCATACCTTGAAATATTCCACAAGTCCTCGACCGGTTATTTTATTTCCATTGATTTCTTTCACCTCAAGATTCTCAGCACAAAGAAGCCAGGGAACCAGAACCTTTAGCTGTATTATAAAATCTTCATCTACCTCTAAACCAGAGGAAATAAATCATTTGTAAGGGTGAAACTAATATTTTTAATTCAAATATAAAAAAACTGCAGTAACAAAGGATATTTGTTTGAAGAATGTTGCAATAGTGTTTTTAATTCAAAGTACCAGAAGTCTTTGGATTTCTGTTCCATAATCAAGGTGGAAAAAACATTTTTGAAATGTCTTTTATTTAAAAAATGCACGACTTTTCATGAAGCTACACTTTTGATTTGTTTACTGTGTCACAAATGCAAATGAACGCATAAGTTCGGAGAAAGTACCTTTCAGTCGTCCGTCAAAGTTGGGATTGGTGGCCACTTTCAGCCCAGGGTGTGGCATCAGAAAGCAAGAAATGTTTGTGAAACAAGAGTAAATGTGTTTCCTGACATTCTGCAGCTCCTCGTGCTGGTTTTCTGAAATCTGGGATTGAACAAAAACAAAATTACATCTGTATAGCGCCTTTCACATCGGAAGAACAGTCAGGAGTTGGGATCAGGAGGGAGGGGTGGAGGGTAGGGATGGGAGGGTGACCAAAAATTGAATATTATGTTTTGAAACTATAGATATCAGTACATAATTTTAAAATGAAGTGGAATTGAAACACAGCTTGGCTATTTCTATAATAATCGCCACCACTGAGAAGTACTCGGAGATGTTATCCTCGGTGAAGGGAGTTATAGAGGTGCAAGTAGTTGTTGATGTTTGCCTGCAAAGGACCATCGTTTTCCACGTACCTTAAGACGTTTTTCCAGGAATTTCGTGCCTCCGTCAAGACCATAGTTGAATTCATAAGGAAAGCTCCAATCACGGACTAAAAATATAAGTGACTGCACACAAAAAGAAATCACCATTAATCTTTTTTTATACAACCTGAGCTTTATAAAAAATATCAGTGTTTTCAAACTGGGTTCCTGAATTTAAGAAAGCGCAGCACAATGTGAATCAAGAATAAAGGGACAACAGGTTATCCAGTTTAAGCCTCAAATTATTTTACTTTTATCAATATTTAATATATTTTTTTAGAAAGGCAAACACTGAACAGATAACATGTAGGCAGCGAAGTAGAAAACACTTGCAGTGAATTTGGGATACAGTGGGATGGATACCTCTTGTGGTGCACAATTAACTGATTAAAATTAAATTGTGCATTTGAACGTATGGAAAAATTAAAAAACCCTGAATAATTTCTGCTGCCAGTAATAGCTTTGATGTGCAAGCTAAGCATTTGAGCATTGATAAGCTTCCCACATTGTAAAGACAATAGCCTTTTTACAGTCACTCACTCACCTGAAATGGTTTCTGGAATGTTTCTTCCATGGCTAATCGACCATACTCGGTGAAAAGCTGGGTAGTGAAAGAGAGAGAACCCGAGTGACAAAGTTGCCTTCGTGATGCTGGTTCTGCTGGTTTTAATACTCTTATTTTATTTAATGTCGTCAATTTACCTGTAGATGTTGGAGATCATCCTCCTGAATATTTTGTGACAAGTTGTACACCTGAGAGGAGGGCGGAAAAGAATCTGATATGTAATGGCTTTATTGTGGGAATATTTAATAAGTATTTTGCTACCGAACTGATTCTAGATAATTTTTCAAATGCATTAGAGACTGTGGTATCTGGTTGTTATAGAGTTCACTCATTATACACTGAATAAAGCTGTTTGGCCTTAAAAGAATACGTAATGAGAAATACTTATACTACGTACGAGGATTCTTCTCACCAAACAAAGAGGTTAGCAACACAAAGTGAATTGCCAAGGAGCAGAAAGTACAACACCCATTTCCTGTGAGTGTAATTTGCAAAAAATGTCCAGAAAAAAAACGATGCAATCAAAAGCCACTCTTTATGTTCCCATCTGAAAAAAATGTTTTTCTTCAAAGTTCCAGTCAGCAATCAGCCCTAGAACAAAATGACACTAAAATATGTAAATTTAAAACGTAGGAAAACTTTTTTACTCGCCCAATGGTCTATTTGTCTTCCAGTAACCATACAGAAGGGAAGGTCCCAGGTTTAATCACTAGGCTGCGCTGAATTAGCTGATCTCACCCAAAACAGCCACTGGGGCTCCATAATTGGCCTTTGTGACTCTGGGCTAGTGAACAAGAAGAACCAGTTCAGAGCCTGATACCTGGAAAATGCTTGTGTGTAGATGTTGGGTGAGGACAGGTATTGAGTTTAGATATCATTGCCTATGGTCAAATATCCTGATATCACTTGGTGTCTGGGTACAACCTTAGAGAGAGACCATTTGTCCAAAGGACCAGAAGTCTGTCCGTGTCCATGGAGCTGATCCTTCTTGAGAGCAGGAGGAAAATGTATATTGAACCAAAATCCCTTCAATTATAGAGGTATGAAATTCGTCGCTTTCAGTAAGAAACATACTGAGATGCTTTTCCTGAATCATTCATGTGTAATGCATAATTCATTATAAATTTCATATACTTGTGGAGATAGGTTTGTCCATGGTCCCAGCTGAGCTATTTCAGCTTCATTTTATTTCAACATTATTTATTTATAGAGAAACCTGTTGACTTGATTTTCTTTTCTCCCCTCTTTCATTTTTAATTTATCTTATTGTTTATTCTATAACTTGTCTGTGCCAGTTACAATCTAGAGTGCAAATCGTTAATCTATTCCCAACACCGAGGACTTGCTGATGTCACTCAATAACAGGAACTTCATATTGATTTCTATACCAATGTTCTCAGATATGATAGTCTATATTTCTGGTATTATCACAGTGAGGGTCTGCTGTATATTAAAGTTTGTTATTGTGAAGGACTACTGTGTATATTAAAGATTATTACTCTGAGGGGTTATGTTGCTACAGACAAAGAAATGTTGTGTTTCCCAACATAACATTCACCTCATTTCTAACTGATCTGAAAAGTGGATACATTTTGTTTATGTGAAAGTCGCTATATAAATGTAAGATTGTCCCAGTGAGGAGCTTCATTGGAAATTGGAAACTCAGCAGCCCAAGAGAACGCAAATTTGCTGTGTCTATTGGCAATCTATGGTTAATATTTACTATGTGAAGCATTGGTTTGTGAACCACAAACGCATTAAATAAGGTTGATTTTACCTCTAATATTGTTTTATTTTGTTTGTGCCCTTAGGAACATTTTAAAAACGAATGTTAACAATAGTTAACGAAATGGAAAATGCAGTACTCGGTTATGTATAAACTGATTTGATTAATATTTAAACTGCCTGAATAACATAAATAATTTGTAACACATTAGCAGCCGATGAAATTTGAAGTCAATTTGGTTATAAGGTAACCAGTCAAACTATAAAGCTCCTTTGATATTTTCTGTATTTATAGGTGAGGAGGAGGAATCTGGATAATCTCAAACATCCAATGAACTGAACCACCTCCTCTTGATTGAGGGCAGCTTGAATGTCACGGGCGAAACCGGCAGGAAAGCATAAAAAATGGAAGTCAATTTACAAAAAGACAGGTAATGGAAATCTTAGGATTCAATGTCTTGCACAAAGCAGTCCTGCTTTACAAAAGGTTTATGCAATATGTACTAAGAATAGCTTTGATTAGTGCAGTCCTGTTGTAATGTAGTAACTGGCATCCATAAAATCCCAACCAGCGCTGAAACAGGTCCTGATCACCAGTCAGGGCATCCATATTCACTATGCACACACGCAGAGAGGCAAAACACTGGCTGGCATGCGGGAAGCCCAAACATGCCGCCTCCCAAGCTATTAAGTTGCTGTTGGCAGCAAACTGTGGAGTGGTTTCCTTTGGCCTCCTCAGGCCAGCCAACGTTTTAAAAGGAAGATGGAGCCGGTCCACACGTTCTGGATTTATTTGTGTAAGTCAATGTCGGGGTCCATCCCTATTAGCAAACCCACGTTCTACCACATGTATATAATACTTCCACTCTGCATTTCTCTATGCAATATTCTCTGTTTAACCAATTTTCCAAACACGAGAACATTGTGGAAGTACATATCAACAATAGCCACAGAGCTAAATCTCCTTTAATACAATGTAAATATTTTTCATCATGTTGAGTTAATGTTTACCTGGCTAGCCACCAGATATGCAAACGCCAAACAAAGAAAGACTCAGAAAGTCCCGTACCCAAACCTCTGAGGCTAAAGTTGGGTGGTGTTTGCCTGTCAGCAAAAAGTTAGTTTGCTTTTCAAATGCTTTCTGTTGGAAATGAAATGTTTGTTTCACTGGCCCCTCTGTTTGACGTGGTACAAATCTTTTACAGTGTCTTGTGAAAGGACCTACATAGTACAGTGTCAAATGGCATCAAACGTATTTATTTTTAGGCACTCCATCTACCGTATTCCTCTGTAACGTATTTGAAGTGAATCTAGTTTATAAAAAAGATATTTTTTAAAACTTTTGCAGCTACAAAATTTACAATGCATTTATGTCACAAAAAAGGCAGAATGCCTTTTTGTCACAAAAATACACAGCCACTGCACTTTACAGTAAACCCCGTGAAGTGCTTTTAGGCATCCTGATGTGAAAGGTGTCAGGATCATTCTTGTTTTTTTTGTTGCTCGTCTGTCAATGTATCCAGATTATTTGCCTTTGTTTTTAGTTCCAAATAATTCAGACGTTTTTTTTTAACCCTGAGGAGGTGACTGCAGTGTGTGTTCGGGTCAGGCAAACCTACTACCCTGAATTCTGGTACACAACCTGAATAATTCATTTACGTAAAGGAAAATCATTGACTCAGACATTTAAAGTGGTGAATCACATGAGTAGAAAGAGTGCCTCGGGTATTGTTAACTTACAGGTGTGTCAGGACTTGCACTGACACACCCTTGAATAACAGAATTTCTCACATTTTGTTTTTCAAATATTTTGGCTCCATTTGAATACAGTTAAGGACTCTTGCCCCCATAAGTGCATTCACTGTGACTGAACCAGGATCTCCTACCTGCATTGAGCTTATCATGGTGCTAAGTGCAAATACTGTGGCTGAGTCTCTGATGGTCGACTGGCTGTCAAATGTCCCCTGCGTGTCCATCAGCAGAACCGCAACCTGAAATTGAGAGACCATTTTCATTGTCTGACCTTCAGCCAATGTGTGCACCTTCAGCCTGACCTTCAGCTGGTGTACAAATGGTAGAATTACTTTTTCTGTCCTTCTTAAACAAAACTCTTATGGATATATACACAAGGATGACTAAACAGATGATATTTCAGTGCTTTGATTAGAAAAGATGACCTGAATGGTTAAACCTGAATAAAATGAACCATGTTAATTACTAAAATTACAACAATATCGTTAACCATAGGGAGTCTGAAGCTGACGACTGAAAGTGGCCATCTCTTAACTATCTCTATATGATGGGAAATCGTGTTAAGATAAACCCCACATCATCATCTTAAGTGTTTTGTTATATTTATGGGCTTCAACAATTTACTTTGACCTGGGTACCTGCTATTAAAGCAGCAACTGACTATCTTCTCCAATAATCGCTTGTTTCTTTGGGGATCCTAAAGGGGAGAGTGGTACACTCTGGCTCTGGAACGCTATCCCCCAGTGCCTTCGCCTTGCCTCCTCCCTTTCCTCCTTCAAGGCCGGTCTCAAGACCTTTCTCTTTGACCGAGCCTTCAGCTCCCTTCTCGACTCTCTACCCCCTCCTCACTCCCTCCCTTCCCTCACCCTGACCATTTCCCCCCTGCTCGGGTCCTGACCCAACTGTACAGCGCCTTGGGACGTCCTCCCAACGTGAAAGGCGCTCTATAAATGGAACCGTGTTCTTGTTGTTGTTGTTACAGGGCCCTACTTATTTCAATGCCCAGTCAAAGTTTAAGGGAAGATGATAAAGCAGTGAGTGGTGCTTGTGTTGACAGATATTATCTAACTGCCCCAAAGTACCCATGTAATAGTAAAATTTAACTGATTTGTTAAAACAAATATAAAATGTAAATCTAGTGTTCCATTGCCAAATGACTGAATGGTATCATACTCGAGGTGCAACAAACTGAAAAATAATGTTGGGCCTTAAATATAATCCAATGGCAATTTTAACAGTGATGGCACCACAGATTAGTGAAAAGGTTGTAGTTTCAAGCCCCACATTGGTACATGGAATCACATAGTTTAAGATGACACTCGATTGAGGTGCTGGGGGTGTGTGGCATTGTCAGGGGAGCCATCTTTCGGTTGAGATGTTAGAACGATCAAAGATTTGCTTAAGCCCTGGATGACTAAACAGATGATTGATCTGTACTTTGATTAGAAAAGAAGATGTGATGGAGTGGTTAAACCTCAATAAAACAAACCACTCTTCTGAAAGCTTTGCTTCAAATTTTTTTTCTCTGCATCTCCACCTTTTTTTGGGGCCCCTTAACAGCTGTTTCCTGTCAATATTCTTCCTCCCCACAGGCAGGAGGGCAGGAAGATCTGGCTTGTGGACTTTGCCACATTGCCATCAACACCGCTCTCAACAGCCAAAGGGAGATTTATTTCCGTTGGACAAGACAGGGTCCTGTCAGCCTTTTCTATCAGTAAAGTGAAGCACTCCTGTTAATTTTAATAGTCCAGCCAATATTGTAAAAATGTCATGGAAAAAAAGCAAGGCTGAGATTCAAATTCAAGTTCCTTCAACAGAAATCCAGCTCTCTGCATGTTATTTGTTTAATTGTACTTACCTTCTCTCCACTGGGTATGTCAACCAGAAACACCTCACTCCATATCTGAATCCCAGTCGTTTCACGCTCTGATCCTCCACGCCAGGAGAAACCAGTCAAGGGTTCATCGTAGTGACCTAGCCAAGTGTTCAGCTCCTAAATGACAGAAAGCATTTTAATGAAAATAGTTTGACACAAAACTTGAATGTTTACTTATACCCAATACCTGCTGAGAGTAGAAAGTCTGCAACCTTTGCTTGGGTACCATGTATCTGGGATTTTTTTAAAAAAAATAGACAGCCATAGGAAATCCCAGTAACGTAGTAAGTACCTAGCACAGCTTCTGCGACCAAAGGTCCTCTCCTGCAATTTGTCCGAATCTGGAAGGCGACCTAAATGGACCTTGGTCTTCTTTCCCAAATTCTTATGTTCTCTTAACTTTGGCTAAACCAGACTCCCTATAACCTGAAGTCTCTAAGAGATGCTGCCATGTAGTGTTAAAAGTCCCATTGAGAACAAAATTTACGCCTGTCATTGCAAATATAAAATCCAAAGTGTAAATAGTGTAAAAAGTAGAGGCATATTTATCGGTGTTGTCAATTGGTCAAGTACAATAGAATGCAAAACCTCCTGTCTGCAGTTTTTTTCCTCTATTTTCATCAATTTGCAAATCATGTAAAGAAGTATAAACATGTGAATAGTATACCAGGTAAAATGGAATTAAATATTTTTTAAAAGTGTGTTTCAACCTTTATACCAATAGCAGGCAGAAAATATTACCGTGAAATGCCTTAGATTTGGAGTTTCAGCATCTCTTAGAGACTTCAGGCTATAGGGAGTCTGCTGAGTTTAGCCAAAGTTAAGCGGAAGATTGGGACAAAATGCAGGAGAGAAAATTTGGCCACAGACACTGTGTTAGATGAGTATTTACTGCCTTGCTGGGATTTCCTACGGCTGCCTATTTTTTACTTTGTTTAAAAAAAATCCAATATCCCACTAAAATGTGTGAAAAAACTGTTTTCTTATATTAAAAAATGTGGGCAGTAAAAGCATACTACATTACAGTCCTTTACTTTCAACAAATATATTCATGTGGTCAGACAGAAAGGAAAATGTAAGATTTGTCCAAAAGCAAAATACTTTTAACAACACAGGAAACATTCTGCTGGGGAGGAAGTCTTGATGGATGAATAATACTGTGTTCTGTGTTACTAATGAAAACATATATTCATACTTAACTTGTATTTAAAAAAAAACTTTATTTTATTCATGTGTGTGTTTATATATATATATACATTATATATACACACACATTTATAAATAAATGTTTCGATTTCATAATTGAATGAATCCAGACCATTTTGCTGTGATGTACTTTATCAAATAACTTTTTTTCCAGGTCTCAGCTGCTGGTACAGCTTGCTCCAAACACTCTGCTCAAATGGCTCCGTGTCAACTAACAGGTAAGAGGATGGTCATCTCCTACAGCACAGTGTTTTCCAATTTAGTTTGGGTTGTTTTTTGTTTCTATTTAATAAATCATGTTGATGGTACACAGTGATATGCTATCACTGATGCAGTGTCGATGTTTCCCTAATTGTAAACTGGATTCCCAGTTTAACTGGGGGATTCTTGGCCGGGGCACTGGGAGAAACTCCCTTCTCTTTTTGAAAAAGTATCATGGGTTATTCAACTCCCACCTTAACAGATGACTGAGACACCATTTAAACTGCATAATTGGCAGCATATTTACTGCCACAATTGTGGCAATTTGTCGCCAATTGCATACTATAAACAGTATAAGTTAAATAGGCCACTCTCGCCCAAGTTTAAAACAATTCTTGTGGGGGGTTTTCCCTCCTCTCCCCAACTATTGAGAATGTCATGGCCTGATGACAAGCAGGTAAACAACGCCTAAATTTCTGCCAATGCAATTCACTAACCAGCTAGGAAAAGGTGCACAAGGCGTTACTTGAACTCAGATTTTTTTTCCCCGGCAGAAAACACATTTGCTTTGCATTCAATGGTGACCTCTTCTCCTGAGCCCACATCCTGTCGATTGCAAAGCCAGAAACACAGTCAAAGAGCGGAATTCAGGATATCTACAAACCACATGCTATTTGAGGTGTGCCTCTGCTGGAGGAAAATCTAAAAATAGGTTGAGTTCAGAACATTTCTTTATAGGTAAGCTTGCTTCATTCATTCAAGTGTAACAGAAAATTCAGTTATGGGACACTGAGCCATTAAATGATTTACCTTTTGTGTGAGTTGCAAATGCCTGCACTGCAAATAGTAATTTTTTTTCAAATTATTTTCCTGCCTAATGTCCCCTGCACTATGCGTAATAATAATAATCCTTGCATTTTGATACAGCGCTTTTCACGTCTTCTAGACGTCCCAAAGCGCTTCACAGAATATACTGTAAAGTGAATTGACTGTATATTTGTGGGCGAACGCGGCAGCCAATTGCACACAGCAATGTCCCACAAACAGACGTAGATTGAAAATAACCAATTTATTATTGTTTTTGTTTTTTTGGAGGGATTATTATTAGGCTCTGTGTGGAGTAAGGAAACTTGCCTAAGGTTTCACCCTCTGCCTGGAATTGAACTCAGGTCTCTCGCTTCCAACGCGAGTGCTCTAACTACTGAGCTACAGGACTCCACAGTTATTACTCTGACTGGAGGCCACATAGTCACCTGAGTATGGAATCTGCATCTATATAGTAATGTTTTTTCTTGTATCGGCAGACTGTACCTCTACCCCTCACAGACTCTCAACAGAGACCAGGTACAACGAACACCAACAAAAGTACATTTATAGAGCACCTTTCAGGTCAGGAGGATGTCCCAAAGCGCTGAACAGTCAGATGCTGGGGTCCGAGCATGGCGGAGGGTTGGTGTACGGGTGAGGGAAGACAGAGAGGTGGGAGGGAGACCAAAGGCACAATCGAAGAGAAGGGTCTTGAGACCGGCCTTGAGGGAGGCAAGAGAGGAAGCGAGGCGAAGGGACCATGGGATGGAGTTCCAGAGTGTGGGGGCAGAGAGGCTGAAAGCCCCGCCACCGATGGTAGGGCGGGTCGGGCGGGAGACATGGAGCTGAACGGAGGGTGTGGGCAGGTTGGTAGGGAGTCAGCAGGTCAGAGAGGAAGGAGGAGGGGCAAGGCCATGGATGGCCTTGAAAGGGAGGACAAGGATCTTGAATTCGATCCTCTGGGGGATGGGAAGCCAGTGGAGTCAGGCGAGGGTGGGAGTAATGGGGTCGCAGAGCCTGGTGCGTGAGAGTACACGAGCTGCAGAGTTTTGGATGACCTGCAGCTTGTGAAGGGAAGAGTTAGGAAGGCCGATAAGGAGGGAGTTCCCGTAGTCGAGCCTTGATGTGACCACTTAGTGGTCTAAGACATCAACGCACTCACTATATGATGCCCTATTTCAAATCCCAAACCCGGACACTCGAGCACAGATGGCGCAAAACCGAACTCCTGGTTCACCGCCAAATGTGGCTTGAGCACCTGCGTTCCTACTGCCTCTCCCTCTCTCTGGCCAAGACTGAAAGTGAAGCACTCCAAGACTCTGCCCCATGTGAAGGGCGCTGTACAAATAAACGTTGTTGGTGTTGCACGACCAGCACAGTTCAAGTTGCAACTTTGAAATGATTCTGTTTTTCTATGAAGACGTATCGTTTAATTTATAATCATTCTTGTTTTACCTGGCCGTACATGTATCTCAGCATGAAATCCATCAAGAACGACTTTCCTTTTCTGAAGGCACCTGCGACTGATAAAGCTACCACTTCCCGATCTCGAACTTCATCTGAGAGAAGGATCTTATTTAGAGCCTCTTCATCCAGTTCAAATGTGTGGTCATCGTTAACGACAAGAATCTGAACGGGTCGAGCTTTCTCCACAGGTTCATCTTCTGATGGCCAGCTGAAACTTCCCTCTGAAAACTCTCCTGTAAGCAAAGATGGGAAAGGATGTGAACAAAACGAAATAGAGGAACATCCTCATTTAGAATCTACCTACTGTTGAATCTACCTTGTGCCCAGCTAAGACGCCCACTGACGCTGGCTGGGAACAAATGGACCGTCCGACTAACCTGTGGCGAAGGACAGACCTGCATGCCGTTCACCAGATTGTAACTTCTCCTCAAAATGTAAGAGGGCTGGGATTTGGGTTTGTTCCTGCAATGATCCACCCACCGAGTTAGTGATCTCAGCTGTGCTGTTGTGGGCAGGTACTGACAAAACTAGAGATTTTGAATGGGAGAATCAGCCCTGGTTGATCAAACGCTTCCTTGGGAGCCAGCCCAATTGTAACATTAGCAGAGGAATGGGAGCAGGTTGTCTGTGCAGATAATCAGAAAAGATGCTGAAACCCCTTGAGATAGAGAAAAAAGAGAAAGGGTGTGCGTGTGGCTGTGTATATGTGGATGAGGTCAGAATGGGGCTCAGATATGTCCTCATAGTTGAATAGCATGTCAATACTATTATCTCAACCTACACAAGTAGCAATAGCTATTTTCTCAGGCTGTGCCTTGGAACCAAACATTAGTGAAGGAAGTTGCCTGCAAAACTCAGAATTTAAAAAAAAACTAATCCTTGCATTTGATACATAGTCTTTCACATGAGGAGGATGTCTCAACATGCTTCATAGAATTTAATATAGTGCAGTGACTTGGTATTTTGTAGGTAAACAGATGTATAACAAATACATAATTATTAATTAAAAGATACAATCAGAGTATTCACCCTTCCTAGCTGAATACATATCTTACCTATCTAGTAGAACAGTATGTGAAAAGATTATTGATGAAAACATAGCATTTCGGTGTGGGAACATGGTAACTTCAGTAGAATATTCTGGATCTCGAACTAGACAGTCATAAATCTAACTCCCTTTGGAGGATGGGAAACCATGCGACAATAGGGTGCTTCATTTCTAAATAGATCAATGATCAGGTAATGAAGGAACGCATCTCCTCCAACTCGTTACAGGCTGGTTTTGACAGTAATGATCATGGTATTTATGGTCTGGACTGTCTCTTCTGAATGTGGAAGTACAAAATTGTGCTGAAAACATGGGAACAATTATAAAAGACATTCATTCATTCAATGTTACATGAACGTAGTCTTGTAGTCATGGGGCCTTTGAAAGTATGTGCTGAAAAAGACCGAACAAAGGTCTTTTTCTCCTGAAACTAAATTTTTAAATCTTCCACTGCAGCCAGGGATCCCTGTTCTGCCATGTTTGTGTAAAGTGATGGATCTCTTGCAGTGAAGCCAATAGATGACCCAGTTGCTTAATATTGCGTTAAAAAATGCAGCTCTCAATTGATTTAGAGACAGCATAATTCAACGCTTCCTACTAAATATACTTTGCATCATTTACCACTGCCCTTTTGTTAGTGATATCAGCTTTCAGTTCAAGTTAATGCAGAGCTTCTTAATATAGAAATTTATGGCTGAGGATATTTCTTTTCAAAGCAAAATTATGTGACAAGTTTATACGAATGTCATAATGAGGCTGTAGGCTGTTTTGACTAACTATATCTGGCATCACGTCCTGACTAAGCTACAATGTTTTGCAGCTGAACTCCAACAAGACTGAAACCATCCTATTTGGTTTGCACGAGTACCTACATGCCTTTGGATCTGATTCAATCCACCTCCAACCTCCTTTCTGACTCAACCTTTCAAACCACATTAGCATTTTGCTTGATCCTTATCTGAGTTTCAAGCTCCACATCTTTTACCATCTCAATTATTGAGTGGTGCTGAAGAAGTTATCCATGCTTTCATCACCGCAAGATAGATTATCCTAGGCTATTGACCCCCACCCCCGCCTTATAGGAACAGGAATAGGCCATTCAGCCCCTCAAGCGTGTTCCGCCATTCTATTAGATCATGCTCCACTCACCAGATGCTTTAAGTGAACCAGAGGTTTTCTGCCCAAGTTCTCTCCTGCACAAGGCTCCTTGGACCCTTTGGCTCTTGGTACCTATCATATTCACATTTGATCCATACCTTGATCTTCAAATCATTCCATGATCTTGCCCCTCCTACCTATGTTCTCCATTCCTGCCCATTCCCCACTCTTCCAACTCTGTTCTATTACTCACTCCTCACTCCATCTCCAGCTGATTTGTCAATCACTGTGTACTTGTTCTTCTTCCAAAACCATTCTGCATTGCTAACTCTCTTGCTATCTTCAAAAGCATCCTAAAATAATGTGCCTTTGGTCAACATCTTTAAGCCTCTTATTCCCATTCGGTTTCCATCCCTATTATTCGTCAACCACTTTGAGCTATTCTTTCACTTTGAAGATGCTACATAATTGCACATTTTATCTTTGTTATTTTATCCTTTGCTATCTATACTTGAGAGCTTTCATCAACCTCCAAATACTCTTCCAGGTCAGCACTGATTTTTCCTCTATATCTGATATTTCCATTCTTCAGCCTCTCACCGCAAAGCAAAGGAGTGATGGGTGAAAGGAACAAAAAAAGGGAGAGAGAAAGTAAACAGACATAATAGGGAGAAACAACAAAGACAGCAGCTGGAAGAGGGCGCAAGGATGGATGATATAAATCAAATTGCTCATTGAATTCATAAGTGAATTTGGTATTTAGAATTATAAATTGACAGGTAAAAGGTCATCTAAAATGTAACCTGTAGATTAGAGGGTGGGGGAGGTGGGGGTTAACATCATTATGGATGGGGAGGAGTAAAGGTTTACATGTATGGAAATGTTTCCTTGACATAGACTTGCATTTTTTTTAAAAGATAGTGAATTTAAGACATGGGGGAGGTATTTGAGTGAGGGGGGTGTGTGGTGGGGGTGTGGATCGGATCAGGGGCCTGGTCTTCCCTGATCATGGATTGGGGAAGACTGGATTGGAAACAAAACTGGGATGTTGACCCCCCCCACACCCCCACCCCCACTCCTCCCTCCTCCCTCCCTCCATCGCTCCTCAAAGCGGTTTGTTCCATAAAGGGTGGATTTTACTGCAGGAAAATAACGCTCCTCTGCCAGCGGAGCCCTCGTCAAATTCCTGTGCATTTGGGTCAGACACTCACACACACACACACACACACACTCTCTCTCTGCACATTCCCCTTTCCCTGATATCGCATTAATTCGGATAACAGACAAGGGCCCGACTGTCTGTCTGTCTGTCTGTCTCCTGTGTTATTAATCCCGGGGGGTGGAGGGGGGGATTAATAACACAGCACTGCACGTCTCCAGCAATAACAAGACGCTGCAACTCAGCCTCCGAGTGAACATCGATCAGGAACAAAGCGTCGCTACAATCTGCGCTAATGGTTTGCAACGGATCGAGGAGCCCCTTATCCGCCTCTCTTACATTTCATTCATTAATGGATTAATGAATTAATTAATACTAAGGTGGCTCCATGGTTCTTCCCCCCCCCCCCCCAAACATCCAGCATCCTCCCCCCCCCACCCACCCCATCCCTCCCTCCCTCCCTCCTCTCTCTCTGCCCGAATTGCCTTTCTCAAGAAAGGTCAATATTTTCTGATCGCCATCAGCTTTTAGAGGAGAACAAATAACGCAGCGATCCACGAGTACACGTCCGACTTACCCCAACTGTTCCTGTCTCGCCGGTTCCTCGCTGTGTTTTTCTGTGCCATTTTGCAGGCGTGTGGGGCTGCGCTCGGAGGAGGAACCCTTGGAAAGGGCGTCTCTCTCTCTCTCTCTCTCTCCCTCTCTCTCTTTTTCTCCCCTCCCTCTCTCTCTCTCTCTCTCTCTCTCCCTCCCTCTCTCTCACCGAGGATGACGATGTAGTGGAGGATGGAGCCTTTCTGAGCTCAGGATTAAACCAACATAACTGGAAGGATTGTAGCGCACACACACTGCAATTACAGCAAGAAATAACCTGTGCAATACTGTACGAATGGATGGCGTCAAATACAATTAAACTCTTCAGAGGAGCAGAGAAAGTGGGTGGGAGGGAGGGAGGGTGGAAGGGTGGGAGGGGGTGTCAGTGTGTTGTCTCCCTCAAAGGGCACGAATTGATGGTGAGTTGTTTTTGGAGGGTGGAGAAAAAAGAGCATCATCTGCCAACAGGTACATTACAGCGCTTCCTCACCCAACTGTCTTCCTTTGTTAAATCCCGTGTCTTTGAATGACAGATTGTGGGGATGTGTTCATCAGCGGAGGGAGAGTTAGAAAGTGAAATGCAGTGTGTGTATTTATGCACATATATATATATATTATATATATTAGATATATACACAGTACATGATTTTAGTATTCATTATGACACAGCTAAGGATTTCTGAAATCAATCTGCAAATCATTACCGCCAATAAATAATGTCTTTAAAAATCTGTTACCATTAGAAAACTTCTGCGATTTTAATTAAAATGAAACATCTACAGTACAGCTTTTGTTGGGTGGTGGGTTTTTTTTGGGTGGAGGGAGGGAGGGAGGGCGGGGTGGGGGGGGGGTCTTATTTAATAGTATTCTTTTCATATGTCATTTCTCCCCCTTTTTAGGTATCTTATTACCAGATTTCACTAATGGCTTCATCCTGGATCTTGGACTTGGTTTTTCCCTTTTTTTTCTCCACACAAAATGATGCTTTCGTCACCCATTGGCTCGTTTGCCGTGGACCATCTATAAAGATGTTTGCACAGGAATTTATATTGTTTAATGAGCATGTTTTCAGGTGTTGGGCTCTCTTTGCTTTGAAAATTTACAGAAATGCAGGCAGCGGAGTACAGTATCTGTGCTGCAGTTGTAGGAAGCAAAACTGTGTTGGCATCAGGTTTCTCTCTGCATTACCTGATTGATGTGGTAGATGACAGGATGAAATGTAAGTCATCAGACTGAGAATTTGGGGAACGTGGTCTGCACACCATCTCATTGTATTTTAATGAATGCCAACCCTCCTTTCAGTAACAGTCTTTGTTTCCTGGTGCCAAATCTCTGCCCTTGGCCTTCCCACTCAGAGCTTTACTGTTAGATGTTATAAAACTGTTCTATCCTTTATATGCATTCAGACATTTTATTACTACATTCAGCAGCTTTCACTGGCAGTATAGAATGCTTTGTATATATCTTTAGTTCTTTTAGGCCAGCCATTTTGAAGTGCCTTTGTGAAGTTATTTTTGTGTTATCCTTTCCTTTTTTATAAATTGTTGGATTTATTTAAGCAATAATTTTGAAGTAAAATGTAACATCGATTTGTGTAAGTATTTTTATTTCGCTTACAAAATGCGCAATCAGTTCACTTTGCAATATATTCCGTGAAGCCCTTTGAGACGTCTCAAAGGCATGATTGGGCGCTATATCAAATGCAAGGATTATTATTATTTTTGTGTTTCATACATCAAGAATCTCAAAGCAGCTTACAGTTATTATTGTCACGGGAAGTGACTTTTTATAAGTTAGCGTAAGTGTCATCTAATTTCCATCAGCTGGCTTAGTTGAATATTAGCAATAAATTGCTATGTTAAAAATAGAAACTACTATGCTTAACAGTTCAGGTGTAAATATTTGCCCTGTGTGTGTCATTTAGGTCAATTGATAGTACTCTTACCTATAAGTCAAAAGGTTGTGGATTCAAGCCCCATACGAGGCCTTAAGCTCTAGTTCAAACAATATAAACCACTGTCCTCCAGTACAGACAGTTAATCCTGTATTCCGAATAAAGTAGTGACTGGTCAGAGTGGAAAATACAATAGAAAGAAATTACCACCCATGATCTGGAATAATTGAAAATCTCTCGATCTTGAATGCAATTTTATTAAAATAATATCCATCTGGAGTCCTGTAGCTCAGTAGCTTGCCTCGTAAGCGAGAGACCTGGGTTTGATTCTGAGCCAGGCGAAATGTTGGGCAAGTTAATTCATTATACTGTATATTCTGTGAAGTGCTTTGAGACGACTCAAAAAGTTGATAAGGTGCTATATCAAATGCAAGGATTATTATCCATTATATTATTGGCTGCAACATACAGTATTGATCACATTGAGTTGAATTGGAGGGTTTTTACAGCAGCCAGCTGCCAAAGGTTAATAATCAAATGTAATTTTGTATTGTATTGTACACAGGTAAGGAAAAGAGAGCTATGATAAGGCAGTAACCTGCAATGACATGAGGTATGCAGGTCGCTTTGTTCAATGTTATTGTTCAGGAAATAAGGCAGATAAGATACCAGCACCAAGTTCAACCTGTGCTACATGAAAGTGGTGATTTTCCTTCCAATTATAACAGGGTTTGCAGAAAAAGGCAGAGGAATAAGACTTAACAAATAGCTTTTAAATAGAGCTTGCATCTGCAGAATGGACCAAATGGCCCTCTGTGCTGAAAAGATATATGAATCTATTCAATACATGCTCAAGGTTTCAGGTACATTTTTCAGTCAAGGTCTTAAATGAATGAACAGAAGCACCATACTAGTTGTATTTCACCAAAATCTATTATGGGTTTACCAACCCAAAAATACTTATTAGAGTTGGATCTTGGAAAATTCAGTCTATGTCTGTTGGAGATGGGAGAGGAAATCCAGTGACAGGTTTCAGAAAATGGCTACACAATATTTATTTATGGAATGCATAAACTTAGGAATGGATTTACAGTCTTTTCTTATTATTCACAAAGAACAAAGAAATGCTCAGTATTTGTATGATTAACAAATCTGCTTTATAATTTTTTGCTTCCCTTTTGTTGATGGTGGTTAATTTAGTTGTCTTGTTGAGGATAAGCTGTATGTATCCATTCACTCCCTGGCACCTCCCTACCTCTCCGACCCACTCACTTCCCAATCCACCACTCAACTCCTCTGCTCGACTGGCACTGGCATCCTGCTCATCCCTCACACCCTCCGCTCCAACATCGGAGGTCGTGCTTTCAGACACTGGTCCAAAACTCTCCCTCAATCCCTCCACCTTGCCCCCCCTCTCTCTTTCAAGTCCCGCCTGAAAACTTTCCTCTTCGACCATGCTTAAGGCCACCTCCCCTCCACCCCCTGACTCGGAGTCAGGCTCCGCCACTGTTAAGTGCTCTGAGATGCTACCCTGCATGGAGAGCGTTATATAAGTGCAAGTTGTTGTTGTATCATTATGGCGAATTGCTATTATATGTCCTAACTTTGTCCATGTGGACATATCCACTTTTAAAAGGCATTGCCCCCCATTTGTAACTATTATTTTTATATGGAATATAGAGTAAAATGCCCAGAAGAAATTAGGAGACCTAATGAACCCAAAAATGAGTTATCCAAAGTACAGTATCTCGAAAGTACAAGTACTCAAATAGCCGGGATATTGAGTGGGTAACTCGTTACGTGAGTTTCAGTGTATTGTAGAAATGCAACAATGTTATACTCTACTTGTATATACAGTATTATGTTTTGTTATGCATTTATTTATTTAGCACTTGCAAGCAAACAGATATTTGGACTCAAATACAAACTTTATAAAACAAAACATTGACTTCTGTCCCCATTTACCTATAAATAATCTCAGGCATTGATTTTTTTCAATACATTTTGTGATCCATCGCTCATGTTCCAAATAAAATTAAGTTAAATAATTGCAGAACACCTCACATTTTTATAAGTTTTAAAAATATAGGTTCAACCGCGCCCTGATGATTCAGTCGGTAAATTATGTAGCATTGAGCAAACAGACCAGTAAAGTTCCTGATCTGCTGGTTCCTGATTAGTGCTGAGTTAGCTGATTGAATCAGTACAACAATTTGGCTCAGCATACTTGGGACAGGGAGCAGTAGAAAAACAAGTTGCAAATGCACATGTGTAGATAGAATATGAATTTGTCTCTACTGTAAAATTTTACCCCAGCATAACTCTTCAGAGTTGGGTTTAGGGAAGAAATTTGGAGATCAAATAGTAGTAGTTAATCATATCATATGCTATATGTTTTTCACTTAATAAATCTATCCAATCAAACTTCCTTAATTCCTATGTCATTTTTGTTTCCTCCAGAATGTTAGATTGCAGATTGCCCAATCCCATACATATGCACGCATGCACACAAAGACTTGGTCTAGCAACAGATGGGACACATGTTGAAACAGCAAGTTATCATGTTTATTAGACCCTTCCTAAGCAAGGAAACTGAAAAAGCTTCTCTCTTAATGTGGCATAAACAAGAATACTGTAAAACAGACTGAAGATGTATATCAAGCATGCATTCATACTTAATTTCAATAAATGTCAGATGTCTTAGAGGAATTAAGATAGCAATTCCATTGTATAAAATTTGAGAGAAAAGTTCACATGGTGTCATTTCCTCCTCTACAAGGAGGAGGAAGGCATATTCCAGTACAAAGATATGTTTTAGACTTGCCTGAGGAAGTTCTTCCAAAGGATATGTAGCTGGCCAACCACCAACAAAGTATTAGCATTTCATTTGGAATACAATAATCTGTGATGGAAGACAAACAATTATTATTCAGGCAACTAAAGTGCATGTAGGGTATTCTTCAAAACTTAAAATAGAGGTGTACAATATAGTACCAACAGACTGAATTAAAATGGTGTTAAGATATAATGTTTGTGAAATGCAGCATGAATATGCAGAATTGTTCGAGTTAAGGTAAAGAAGTTTGGTTGTGCAGTTTATCAGTGTAGTGTTATGGGTCTAACATAGCAATTGTTTAGAGTTCACAGGCTGGTGGATAACTGAGATTGCTTGAAACTAATTGAAACAGTATGACTCTTGCTTTGTAGTTTATAACACCAGAGTAGAACAAAGTTCCTATATTTCAGTTTTGTGTTATTTTCCCTGGTCATGTCTTCTTTGTGAATTTTACACCAATTAAAATACACCACATGTTTGATTGTGAGCTCAGATGCCAAATTGTTGGACTCTTTATGAATGTTGTATCGAGATTTTTTTTCTATCAGTGAGACATACTGTATGTTTTCCAAGGTAATGATGCTTTCCCCTTGACCTTCATCTTAAAAAAAACACTGAACGTTTGCCATCAGGGTCTTTCAAAATCCAATGGTGACTAATGTTAACATCCTTCTGGTTGTATTTCCGTTTAAAACATGTTTGGGTTAAGCAGTGAGTGCAGATGACTTTTAAACAAAAACAGGTTTTTGAAAAACAAATCGACAGAAACCGATGGAACAAAAGCAAAGTGTATTAAGTCACAATTACAGGTAATGCTTTTAAATCGGTGTGTGTTTTTTGAGACACAGTCGAACCCAAGTGCATTGGTGTGGTCACAGGTTGAATCCTTTCCAGTAGTTTTGTTTTTGTGATGTGGTGAACAACTTCATTCCCTTCGAAGAGATACACCAGTCTAACGCATTATCTTTCGCAGTGCCTCGTTTACAGTGGTAGGAATGAGAGATTTTTTAATGAACAGAAGGGTTCACAGGATGGCGACACTTATGGATGCAATGTTCCAGACATCACCAACGAAATTGGCCAAATGTCATAGAAGAAAACGAACATCTATAAATCATGAAAGAATCACCCGAGAGTGAAATCGGTCTCTGTGCTGCCGGGGAGTCGCACGATTTGATCCCCCACAACCTCTCAAAAAAAAAGTTTTTTTTTAAAAAAAAGAAAACAAACACAGATTTTTTTTTGTGTGTAACTCTTTGTGTCAACAAAGCAATTGCAATTGCAAAAAGCCAACAGCTGGAAAACGTAACAATCAGGTTAACGTGGGTATTAAACACACACACACACACACACAGATACACACACACATTGTTGAGAAGGATGGCAATAACAACAAGGAGGGGAGGAGAAAGGAGGGGAGGAGGTGGAGAGGGAGGAAGAAACACCCCCTGACAAAAAAAAATGACCGAAAAATCAACCCTGGTGTGAGCTGGTGTGAGGCAGCCCTGAGTGTGAATACGAGACCAGGGAGGGAATGAAAGAGAGAGATAAAGAAAGAGAGATAAAGAAAGAGAGAGCAGGGAGAGAGAAATAGAGAGAGGAGAGAGATACAGAGAGAGATAGAGAGCAAGGAGAGAGATAAAGAGAGAGAGAGAGCAGGGAGAGAGAGCCCTGTGTGTGAGTGTGTGAGAGAGACAGATAGAACAGGGTGTGTGTGTGTGAGAGAAAGACAGAGCACAGGGTGTGTGTATGAGAGACAGAGAGAGCACTGTATGTGTGAGATAGACAGACAAGAGAGCACAGGGTGTGTGTGTGTGAGAGACAGACAGACAGAGAACAGGGTGTGTGTGTGAGACAGACAGAGAGCACAGTGTGTGTGTGTGAGAGAGACAGACAGCACAGGGTGTGTGTGTGTGAGACAGTCAGAGAGAGCACAGGGTGTGTGTGTGAGACAGACAGAGAGAGCAGTGTGTGTGTGTGTGTGAGACAGACAGACAGCACTATGCGTGTGAGACAGACAGAGAGCACAGTGTGTGTGTGAGAGACAGACAGAGAGCACAGGGTGTGTGTGAGAGAGACAGACAGACAGACAGAGAGCACAGGGTGTGTGTGAGAGACAGACAGACAGAGAGCACTGTGTGTGTGAAAGACAGACAGACAGCACAGTGTGTGTGTGAGACAGAGCGCACAGTGTGTGTGTGTGAGACAGACAGAGAGCACAGTGTGTGTGTGACAGACAGAGAGCACAGTGTTTGAGAGACAGAGAGCATAGTGTGTGTGTGAGAGACAGACGGACAGAGAGCACAGTGTGTGTGAGACAGACAGACAGAGAGCACAGTGTGTGTGTGAGAGACAGACAGACAGAGAGCACAGTGTGTGTGAGAGACAGACAGACAGAGAGCACAGTGTGTGTGTGTGAGACAGACAGAGAGCAGTGTGTGTGTGTGTGTGAGACAGACAGAGAGCAGTGTGTGTGTGTGTGAGAGACAGACAGAGAGCACAGTGTGTGTGTGAGAGACAGACAGACAGAGAGCACAGTGTGTGTGTGACAGACAGACAGACAGAGAGCACAGTGTGTGTGTGAGAGACAGACAGACAGAGAGCACAGTGTGTGTGTGTGAGAGACAGACAGACAGAGAGCACAGTGTGTGTGTGAGAGACAGACAGACAGACAGAGAGCACAGTGTGTGTGTGAGAGACAGACAGACAGAGAGAGCACAGTGTGTGTGTGTGTGTGAGGGACAGACAGACAGAGAGCACAGTGTGTGTGTGTGAGAGACAGACAGACAGACAGAGAGCACAGTGTGTGTGTGTGTGAGAGACAGACAGACAGACAGAGAGCACAGTGTGTGTGTGTGAGAGACAGACAGACAGAGAGAGAGAGAGCACAGGGTGTGTCTTGGCCGCTGTTTGCAGGAGGGGTTGGACGCGGTGCAGCAGCAGCTGCCGCCGCTCGCGCCTGTGTCCTGTTGCCGCTCGAGACGGGGAGAGGAGGAGCGGCTTTGCGCGCGCGCGCGGGGGCCACGTTTGGAGGCCGCGCGTGGTTCAGCGCCTCTCAGTTGTAAATACAGTCCGAGGCCGTGATTTGATTTGGATTCGACTCGACTCGACTCAGAGAGAGAGAGAGAGAGAGAAAAAAAGAAAAGAAAAGAAAGAGGGAAGTAAAGACAGGACAGTCACACGGCTCTGGTACAGAAGGGAACAGCGGCCTCCACTTTCACCTCACGCTCCCCCCCCCCACCCCCTAAACCCCCCCCTCCTAACCCCGCCCTCCCCCTCCCTCCCGCCCTCCCCTCGACACGGCGACGGGCTGAGGGGGGCAGTCGGGAGGGAGCCGGAGGCCGCTCAGTCGGTCGACTCACTCACTCACACTCGCTCGGCTCTCAGCGCGCGCGGTACCGAGGCCCGTGGCGCCGGGGAGAGAGAGGGGGAGAGAGAGAAAGAGGGAGAGAGAGGGGAGAGGGGGGGATGAACCCCTCGGGCCGCGGCACCGGCACCGCCAGCGGCGGGGAGATCCAGCGGAAGAACCCGCAGCAGGACTTCGAGCTGATCCAACGGGTCGGCAGCGGCACTTACGGAGATGTCTACAAGGTGAGAGAGGGGGGGGAGTGGAGGGGGGGGAGGTCGGGGTTTCAGTCTCTTCTCTCCCCCCCAATGTTTTCTTTTTTGAAAAAAAAAGTTGTTTGTCAATGGGAATGATTTTTGTTGATGTGTCCGGTGGGGGTTCGCGCCTCGGAGCCCCCGGGGGGGGTTCGTGCCCCCGGGACCGGCGGCGGCGGCGGCGGCTTCTGTTTGTTTCGGAGCAAAAAAAGGCACTTGAACTCGCGACGTTTCCCCAAACTTACTGCGTGTGTGAGCCCGAGGGCTGACACCGCGCTCAGCACTGCGGCTGTAACGGGGGCACATATATATACACACACATATATATATGTGTATATATCTGTGTGTGTGTATATATATGTGTGTGTATGTGCATATATATGTATGTGTATATATATGTGTGTATGTGTATATATATGTGTGTGTATGTGTATATATATGTGTGTGTATATGTATGTGTGTGTATGTATATATATGTGTGTATGTGTATATATATGTGTGTATGTGTATATATATGTGTGTGTATGTGTGTATATATGTGTGTGTATATGTGTGTGTGTGTGTATATGTATATATATATGTGTGTGTGTGTGTTTCAGTTAATATGTCGAATTGGATTTTTATTGTTTTTTTAAAAAAGATACTCTTTTTTTAAAAACCTACAAACCTAATTTGACACTTCTTTCTCGCACCCTCTTCACCCCCCCCCCCCCCCCCCCCTCACTCACTCACTCACTCACTCACTCACTCACTCACCCTCTGGACAAACTTGCTTTGTGAGAAAGGGTTGTGTTGAGTGTGTGTGTGAGTGAGTGTGTATGTGTGTGTGAGTCCCTTCTGTCACTGGTTATCTCCTTCTGCGAGTTACTCGGACACTTTGTTTTGAAAGACAAAACAAAAAACGCCCATCTTTGCAAACTTGCGGTCCAGCTGAAGAATATTTTTGTTTTTCTTCGGTGAGAGTCACCATATTTTTTGAATGGTGCTCCCCAACCCAAAAAAAAATAAAATGTGAACGAACATGCAATAGGTTTCATGCATTTGCAAATTGGCACATGCTTGAAACCATTTACTGGAAGGAAAAAATACAGTATTTAAATTATTATTTCAGTAGAGTATTGAACCGGTGGCGGACAGCCTATATGATAAGAGATTAAACCTGTGTGGTTATTTATCCCTGAACTGCTTTTTTTTAAAAAAAAACTTGGCGAGTTGTTCGCATTATCTTGCACGCTGAAAGATTGCTTCTGTGCTTGCACAAGAACAGCTTTAAGTGTTTAACATTGACGTTGCAAGCGTTAATCAATTACAGCACGATATAAACGTCGTGACAGACTGATAATTTAAAGTAGCTTCTTGTTTATCTCCCCCCTCCATGGTTTAAATTAGTTCACTTGGTTGTTACAATAACTTGATGCTATTCAACTCGGAGACTTGAATTTTTTTTTAATGTGGGTTAAAGAAAAGTCCATTATTTAGTGTTCCAGTTCAGGCTGGAAGAAATGGAGTGGAGGAGGGAAGTCAGCTGGCTTTTTTTTAAATGTATGGTAGGGGTGGGGGGGCGGTGGGGAATATTAAAAAGCCAGGTGCTTCCCTAGAGGGAAGAGGGAAAGGAAAGCAAAGTGGACCATATTACAGACTGTGGTTAGTTACCAGAGTGTGAAACACCTGCCTTTACTCTTGATTTTGCAAAGCAAAGAAACTCCGTATATTATTGTAGTGTTGATTTTGTCCTTACTGTCTAATTGTAATTGGTGAATGCTCCACAACAAATGTTGAGATAGATGTCTGGGCCACACCGCCTCTTAACGTACTTGACTGTTCTTTCTAAAAGTCCATGGTTAACAGATCTTATTTTTGTAATGCTAAAAAGCTTATCATGGGGTTTGAGCAGCACAGAGTACTAGGCCATGAATTCTTCATCTCCATGATGCCGTTAACGTCTGGTGCAGAGATTGTTTTCTCTGTAGAATTAAACCAACTGTTCTTGCACATCATCAGGCAGCATTACCTGTCACGCTTTCATCCGGTAATAATAAAGTGACTACAAAAAAAACTGCGGTGTTACTGTTTCAGAAAAGTGTGTAAGCAATTTGACATTTTTTTGATCACTTGGGAGTAATTTGGAAAATAGTCATTGTTCCCCTTTTTTATATTCCTGCTCCTCCTGTTAGTATATCTAATGATTTCTAAGTATCAGTAAAATAAACTTAATTTACATACCTGGATTTTAACCGCCTGCATGTCCCTTTTGAATATCACAAGAGTCTTTCTTGAAGACTTTTTTTGTCTTTGAAAAAAAATTAAGTTTATGTAACGAATGTTTGCAAAATGTAAAGCCAATCCTAGATGAAGAAATTGGTTGCCACCTGCAAAGCATGTTTAGGACACTCCAGATAGTTGGGAGGAGGTAAATATGTCAGTCAAATCGGTAAATTGCTGATGACTCATATTTCATTTGCATTGTGTCAGATTTGTGCAAAGTCATAATTCAACAAGGAAAACTGAAGAGCTCAAAGCAGTCTTACTGGTATAATGGTCTGAGGATTGAAGTCCATGACAGCTGTGAGATGCAGTTGGGCAATGAGGGTGGAGATGTAGTTATGCAGTTTCAGTGTGGGAAGAATAATTTTGTTTTTTTATCACTGTGATAAGCTTGTGATCCAACAAATGTCACATGAGTTGAAAATCGTTTTCACCTATGCTAGGTGAAAGTGAAGTAGAGTTAGACCTTTGCGATAAATACTAAAATGAGATAGCCTTGTTGACACTATGCTAGCACACAAGTGTATTGCACAAAGTGTTCAGAAATGATTTTTGTAAATGATAAGATGCCTAACTCATCTGGGTTGTTTAAGAGAGGAAACATAAACTACTTAACCATTTGCAGTGGAAATATTGTCACTTTCACTCCTTCAGCAAATGTTCGGAGAGCTATTTGTAGAGGTCTGGATGTTATTTTTGCTTGATCACCATCTTCGGAAGTTGCTATTATTATCAACCTGTCTTGCACTGGATAGTTTACCATGTAAATTAGAATATTCATGCTAATTTGGCTTTTTGGGTGGAGTGGAAGAACAGTAATAATTCCTCCCACACCCCCACTGAAATATTTACCTGCTATAAATGCATCCAGCAAAATGCGTGCAAATCATTTAGAACACCATTATGATTCATAATACCTCAGGGCTAATAGAAATGTAAATGTTGGGTAAAACTCTCTTGATATGCGTTAATTGTTTTTTTAATTTTTAGGTGTGCTTCACCACACCCAGTGTCTATTATCTCAGTGCAGCGGCATCAAAAATTTCACTGCACTTGTCTTAATGGATTCCATATTATTACTTGCTTTAGAATAGCCTATATCATGACCAATAATTGATAAAAAGTATAATTAGATTTTTTTCGCCATCAATTATGTTTGAAAGGACTATTGGTATCATACCAAAATAAACACCTGTTTTAGTGTATTGTAACTACAGTAATGAGCACAATGTTTTCTGACCTAGTTCATGTCACTGGAAAATGCAACTTGTTTGTCGTTAATCTATGTAATTATTTTATCTGTATTCCTTATATTCCGCTTAGACATTTACTAATATGTTTATAGGAAACTGCTGTATGTCATTTTGTGTTCCAGAGTTACATTACACTTTTTCTACTAGTCATGATGCGTGTACCATAATTGAATTAAAGATGTGAATTCACGTAGAATTTTGGTAATGGGAATATATAATTTGTGACCACTAAAACAATTACATTATTAATGCTAATAATGTAGTATTATTCTATAATACTACATATAGAAGCTGATAGACCTTAAGAGAGAAGTCTACAGGAATCCAGTCAAACTGCATGAATAGTCTACATTGTAAACTGATGGTTTGCAAAATCATGAACAAGGTTTGAGCCAAGATTTAGTAATGCACTTTTAGTATTTATTTCTTCAGGGCAAAATTACTGATCTTTGTAAATTGTTGGTAAGCATCATTTTGCTTATCTTGCCTTATCTTACTGCATATGTATACAATACTGTAAAAAAATAAACGGCTGTTAGTAAACATTGTATCTTTTTCTTGGAAATCATGGTGTTGAAGTTTTATGCACTCCAACACCATCTCAGAATTTGTCAACGATAAGTAGTTAGTTAGTATTCCATGTTATGGCATTCGGTGAGCTGTTAGGCTAGCTACTGGAGCAGTTTACGTGCTTTAGGTTAGTATTATTTCCTTAATTTCTGTGTTGCAGATCACAAACATTTTGGTGTTTGTGCTCAACTTGTTTCCAATGTAGCTCACGTCTAGTTTCTGCATTCCTGTTTATACTTTGAATGAATGAGGAAAAATAATTGCACATAACTGTTTCGAAAGCAATAATTTTCTGGCCTGGTTTTGTTGGAGCTGTTCTTCAGTTTCTCTGCAGGTTATACTTGTGGCTCTATTGTAGCCACCGATTAAGAACTAAGCATATTTCTCAGACTGAGATCACAATTGAACTTACAACAAAGTTTCTAATAAATAGTGTTTTCTGTCACTCTAATACTACATATAGAAGCAAACTAAAACAGTGACCCAATAATAAATTTATGCATGGCGATCAGAAGAAAGATTATTCAAATTTGAAGAGTGTCAAATATTGTATACAACTTTGGAAAACCTAATTGAGTGTTTCTGTTGAACAACTCATTAAATTGCATATAACTTGTAGATTTTTAAAGTACTTCATAATCATTAAATTTTCAATGGATTGGTCTGATTTCAGATAAAATGGAAGGTGTTTTTGATCACTCCAGGTTGCCAACTACACATTTATTGTTAGGTCATTCTGTATTACACACCACCTTTGCCTTTTCAGTACTGCTGTAAAGGGTATACAATGGAATATATAAGATGTGAGGAATTCTACTGTGGAGTTTTAAGTTTATTATTCCACTTTGTGTGTCCAGCAAGTGTTTTCAGTAGCAATTACAACTCTGTATTGTGATCATCCATCTATGTCCCTGGTATTTTAATGAATTCAGCATACATCTTGTACAGTGATGTGTTGTCCGGCAGTGTTTAACTCAATAAGGACTTTGTTAACGGCGTATTGTACTTTAGGGAAGAGTGTCATTGTTTGAGAAGAATGCATAGAACAGCAATTGTTTTCTTGCAGAATGGTCCTGTCTTCAATGAATGGAGTTTGGAGTGAAATCAATTAAGCTTCTTTAAAAACAGATCTCTCACCCAAGGCCGCTCAGTTGTATTATTATTTATTATTTTGATAATAATAATGGAAACAGCCTAACCAAATCATGATACCTTTTTTATATGAAAAATGGTTTGGCCATTTCTTAGCTGTATTCTGTGGGTCCTTTGTCTAGACTTGCAGAACAGTACAAGTGAGGAATATATATTGGTAGCCACATTGTCCTCTGAATGTAAGAATAATTATATTAAAATAGAGCCGAATAGGCAACAATCAGCAATAGTTAAAGAAACTTATTTCTAACCATCTATCGAAACAATAGACACTATTGGACTTGTGGAGTCCTGTAGCTCAGTGGTGAGAGGATTCGCCTCGCAAGCCCGAGACCTGGGTTCAATTCTCGGCTGGGCAAAATGTTGGGCAAGTTAATTTAATTTACAGTATATTCTGTGAAGCTCTTCAAGGCGTCTCAAAGAGATGATGATATGCTATATGAAATGCAAGCATTATTATATATTATTGGCTGCTACATTCAGTATTGATCGCACTAAGTTGAACGGGAGGGTTTTTACAACAGCCGACTGGGAAAGATCAATAATCCTGTGTTTTGCTTTTCTGAATATCTGCATGATATTGTGGCTTATATACTGAGAGTTTAGAAAATGTTTGGAACTTAACTTGCACTTTGCCGAGCCTTAGCCAAGTATTAGAAGATTCTTTGGATCTGGATATTTTAAGTGATAGGAATCTGTCCAGAAAACTGGTGTCCAATATATACACAGTTTTGAAGCTCATGTTTTAGAGATATTCTACAATTAATAAGTTTTGATATCTGTTTTTCACTGGCCATCAATTGGTCAAAAAATTAGTTTTGCCTAAAAATGTTGGATCTGTTTTCTTACTGTTAATCAAGGCTTGATTACGGGAACTCCCTCATCATCGGCGTTCCCAACTCTTCCCTTCACAAGCTGCAGATCATCCAAAACTGCGGCTCGTGTACTCTCATGCACCAGGCTCCGTGACCCCATCACTCCCACCCTCGCCCGACTCCACTGGCTCCCCATCCCCCAGAGGATCGAGTTCAAGAGTTAGAAATAAGTTTTTTCATCCTCACCTTTAAGGCCATCCTTGCCCTTGCCCCCTCCTACCTCTCTGACCTGCTAACTCCCTATCAATCTGTCCGCTCCCTCCGTTCATTGGGCTCCGGTCTGCTCCATGTCTCCCGCCCGACCCGCCCTACCATCGGTGGCCGGGCTTTCAGCCTCCCTGCCCCCACACTCTGGAACTCCATCCCACGGTCCCTTCGCCTCGCTTCCTCCCTTGCCTCCTTCAAGGCCGGTCTCAAGACCCTCCTCTTCGACCGTGCCTTTGGTCTACCTCCCACCTCTCTGCCTTCTCTCCCCTACACCACCCCTCCCCCATGTTCGGGCCCCGACACCTGACTGTTCAGCACTTTGGGATGTCCTCCCGACGTGAAGGGCGCTCGATAAATGTAATTTTGTTGTTGTTGTTATTAACAGCCTCCACCCCCTCTCCCTGTAGATTTCATGCCAAAATTAGTTCGAAGAAAGTTTAGCTTTCTGTTGAAGGTCAAAACCTAAATATTACCATGCACCGATTACTCTTTGCATTTCCTGATAATGACATACTGTATAAGAGTTGTGTTTTACAATGTTTACATTATTTTTAAAAAAGTCAATTCATTATAATAGTCGCTTCTCATTACAGCAATAAATTGCTTTTCAGAATGTTTCAACTTTATAGTTCTTTATCAAATGGAAGGTTTATTATTATTACATCTGTTGTGTTGCAACCTGTTAAAAAAAAACTGGGAAATGTTTAGTGCACTCAAATGTAGCTGGGTGGATATACAGTAGTCAGTAGACTATTTCAACTGAGAATGATTGGTTTAAACTGAGCAGTTTCTTTCACCTACTCTTTTTTTGCCTTTGGAGTTTTAGTTGAGGCACAGTCTCTGTGTAAGCAAAGCTATTAAAAGATTTTGCATAAAAATGTAAGAACAAAGTTAGATAAGTTTATATTTTCTGCTACTCTGTAGTTTTTTAAACTGCTGCAAGAAAATATTGCATGAGGTAACATTTTACATTTTGGCTGAATTAACTGATAAAATTGCACTTTAAGGATTAAGGGAATATGTTGATTTCTCTGTGCACATTCTGTACTGATATAGAACACAAAGTTAGGGTCAAACATGAGGAACAGCTGGAATAATTTATCACAAATGGCTTCAAAGTCAAAGAAGTTCCACCATGGGTACATTTTTCATGTTAATATACAGGAGGATATCTACAGCAAATAGCCATTATTTCTACTGGCATTTATGTGCAGGTGATGGTATCTGTTCCAACAGAAAAGACATTCAGGTTTCTTCATAGCAATTTGAAAAGCTTTTTTCATTAGATGAATTTCTTAGGACCATTTGAATGTCCAATGAAATTGTAAGTTATATGCAGCAAAAGTTTTCAGTTGCACAATGCTTAGCAGGTTTGCTGTTAATGTGCATAATAGCCACGATTGCTTATTTATTAACACATTTGACTGTTAATGGATTTGACAATCTAAAATGCAGTTATGGAATGTAGAACGTAATCTTGTTTGAAATATTTCTATATTGGCAACTGATCTACAATGACTATACTGAGGAAAATATTAAAATTTTTAAAACCCTCAATTTTCTATTACAGGCAAGGAACCTACAGACAGGAGAGCTGGCTGCAGTTAAAATTATCAAACTGGAAGCAGGTAAGTCATAATTATGGCAAAAATAGGCATCCTTCAAGCAAATGTTTTGTAGGTTAGGTCAGAAGCATAATTTCTTTATCAAAGTGGTTTTAAAATAATTTGCCTGTACAGCTTAATTTGTATATGACAACTTTGACAAACTATGTAAAACTTATGAGGATAATGTATTTTGAAGATACATACTGCAGATGAGCTTTTTGTACCATGAAAAGAATTGCCTGAAAAATTCCAAGGTTTCAATGATTTTATCTTCTATAAAAACATAAGCCTCTTCTAAAGTTATATCGTACAATCTCTTATGGGGAGATTGTTTTCTTGCGTTTTACTAAGCTATACTGAGATCTCCCTGGTATGATTTCTTTGATAGAGAAATGTGTTCTTGGACATTGTGCTTCCTATCATTTTTGACTACAAGATTGTAGCAAAATCTTCATTGGATCTGTTGTGTTGATATAAACAGCTACTCTGTATTTTGTAATTTCAAGTAAATCATATATAATGGTGTCAAAGGACACAAGTAATTTTTAATATAAGCAGAAACTTGAATGGTGAAATGAAGTCATGTGTAATTTGGCCTCAATACAGGTTGATGAGCATTCTTAAGGAATGCTTCTCTCTCTCTTCCTTCTCCTCTTCCCCAATGCAAAGCAATAATTATACTAAATACTGTATTATAAGAATACACTGTGGACAAAAGGGTGGAGATGATTTGCCTAGTTATTGGTTCAGTTTACAGGTTAGTACTTGTTTGGTAGTGTAGATAAAACAACAGGGAAGGATGTCCTGGAGATTAGGCACTTACATGAGGTGCCAAAGCCATTTGATACTGAAAGTTTCCACACAGTTAAAATCTTCCCTCAGAGAAAAAGAATTATGGCATCTTGTCCCAACCAGGTTCAGTTGACAATTTAGCCTTTCAACATCAAGGTAATGTCAGGGGCTTCCATTGATTTTTTTTATTCTTTCCAACAAGAATCTACAGGATGAAGTTCTTCAAACCAGTTCCATTAGGAAGCAGCAATATCAGCAGTTAGTTCACTCTTAGCAGGAAGTACAGTTGGACAACAATTTTAATATCCATAATGAGAGCAGTGTGGAATATTACACTTCCTCACAAACTGCATGGATCTAAATTTGATGTTATATAAATTAATATTGTCTTTCTGGCTTCATATAATATTATTTCTGGCTTCATTTAGTTCATAATTCCTTATTTGGAAACATTTAACTTCAGTGAGGATTATGAATGAATGGCTTACCTTATGCTATGTTTATTGGTCTGTTTATGGTCCCAAATGTGCAAGTTAAATTCTAGGGTTGTATTCTGAATGATGCTGGAGCATAGTTGTCCCTGGAGGTGTTTTGGGCAAAACATCAATTAACTGCAGTACAAATAAAGTTGTATAACCAATTCAGGCTCTGTGCTAAAATGATTCCTTAAAAGATCTCGGCAACTTTTTTTTACTTCTGTGATGAATTATGTTTATTAAGGAGTGTATTCCGCTCTTTCAGTAACTACATAAACAAAACTGCCAACATTGAAATATTGTGCATGCCCAACTAAGTCTCTGATCTGGCCAATGGGAATGAAAAATATAAATCTGACATTATCTTCTACAATACTGCTGGAAGCAATATTGCTCTGTTTCCAATAGTACAAACCTGGAAAAATCAGTTTGTTGTGTTCATAATGATAGAGGTTCTGTAATAAAAGTGAGAGAATGCACTCTTTTGACATAACATATTACCATCATTTTACTACAACAGGGCAAAATTCTTGTTAGTCAGTAAAATCAACTCTAGATTTTGGAGAATAAAAACTTTCTACAGTGCTTGCAATGCATCCTGCTATTGGATATGTGCTTTGATCTGTAGTTAAAATACCTTTACTGGATTTCTAAAATACGGTAGACTGCCTAAATGCCACTTTTGCGCATTTCCTTTTTGTGGCTTCGATATTATATTTACACTACGGAGGTAGTCAGTCTCAGCATAAATTAAATCATTTTTGGTTACAATTATTTTGTTTTTGCTGCAGCATGCATCAAATTCATTTTAATGAGAGTCCAATGTAGAGTATTAAGAATAAGTAGGAAGTAGCCAGAAGTGAGGCAGAGGAGTTGGAGGGAACCGCTCTGTTAATGCCCATTCAGGGACTAGGATAAATGTAATGCTGCTCAGGACATGTTTGCAGTGTTCATGGAAGTCCTCATTATCGTTCCTGTTCTGAAAAGTAGAAGTTCTATTTAATTCTGGAGTGAGAGGTCTTGTTACCTAAACAAAGAATAAGCACCAGAAAATCTCTTAATTCCTGGTATTGTGTGGAAATGAAATTTTGGGTGAACTGGCCAACAGATAACTCATGATTTACTAAATTGTGTACTGCGTTTCTAGTCGCTAGCTCTTTTCACTTCACTCAATTTAACATGTTAAAATAATGGTAACATGTTAAGTTGTTTAAACAGAGGGCAAAATTCTTGTAAATGTTCAATAAAATCAACTTTATAGCTTTAGTATGCCTCAAGATTTTGGAGAATGAGAATTTTCTATATTGCCTGCAAATCAACCTGCTCGTGGGTATGTGCTTCGGTCTGTAGTTAAAATAATTTTACAGGACTTTTAAAATACACTAATTGTGGTGGACTGCCTTCAGCCACTACTCCACATTTCCTCTTTGTGGTTTCTCTTACATTTACACTATTTCTCCATTATGTTTACACTCAGCGTAAATGAAACCATTTGGGTTAGTTATTTAGTTTAATCATATTGCTGAGTAATTATAACTATGCTGTGTTGAAGTACATTGAGAATGCAATGACCAGGAGTAATTGTCACATTTGGACCACCATTTTGAGAATGCATCTGTAGCTTGGCAGATGTTTTGATCTTTGCTTTGGACCCGCTGGCATTCTAATGGATAATACAGTCATTCTCTGTTATAATATGCTTCGGTATAGCTCTGGTATGCCAGAAATGCAATACACTTCCAGTATTTGGCTCAGAAGGCCTCCTGGTGTCTGTCTAGTAGGGCCTCAGCAACTGTTGGTAATGTTTGCAGCATTCTTTGTAACCCTGATTGGTGCTTGCATATGCAGAGTGCAGAAAGCGATATCAGTAGCAAACTGACAACCCAGAAGCACAGAGCAGAGGCCATTGTACGTAAAGGGGCACTATTATAACATGCGGTCTGATTTTTAAGGACCCAAACCATTGCATTATAACAGTATCAGACTGTATAAATATTTCCAAACTGGCCTTTAAAAGGAAAGTTATTGATTTTGAAATAAACGTATTGGGTATGGTTTGTTATTCATTTAGTTAAAAAAACAGAATACTGAATGTAGTGATGATGATCTGATTGCATTTAGATAAGTTGATTTATGGTATTTTTTGCACTGTGTTGGTAATTCAAATTGCACTTTTTATTTTTCGGGGCAGATGAAGCAGAAGTGCATTGCGAATCCCTTCCCTTTATGGGTTCAAATGAGAGATTGTTATTGAGAAGTTGGTTTATGCTAGACTGTATTCCCATGGGTATGTCAGTATGTACCTGCCACGGAGGAAACACTGCTCAACCCTGAATTCTTCAGTAAGGAAATGGGCTTTGCTATGAAACCAGACATGACCACATCTGTGTGGTTTTCTGTTTGCAGAAATTTGACCTTTACAGTCATGGCCTAGAATTAGCAACATGATTTTAAGCATTTTACATTTCTGCTACTTTTTAACTCTATATACTACAATACTCTTCTTTACTCAGTGTTACTTTGTTTACTAGCCCACATTGAAATTGTACACAGTAATTGCATTGATAATGCATTTGGGGACTGTAGTTTTCACGATCCAGTTTTCTGTCTATTTAGAATTTTAGTACACTACTGATATTTTTCATGGAGCTCTTCCCTTAAGAGCAAAGATTATATTGCATGTTTGCTTTTGTGGTGCAACCTTGTTGAGATGGAGGCACAGAAACCTATCTGCTCAAAAATATTCAGATCAGAGCTACTTTTTCATTTCTGTTATGTGCAGTGGATCTAATTTACTGAAGGTCTGCAAATTTTTTTTTGTTTTGCTGTATAGATATTGATAGCATCAAATGACTTTAGTTTTGGTTGCTTTCACATTTTTCAGGCCTATCTTTTACCAACTAATCTTAAAATCTAGAAATGGGAAATTTGTTCCAAGTGTTTTACTAAATACATTTATAAATTGGATATCATTTTTAAAAAGGTTGAGAAATCAATAATAAAACTAATCATTCCTCTATAACAATGAATGGAATACAGAATGCCTTCTGGTAAAAGTTTTGTTTTGTCATGCGAGCCATATATAGAAATATGACACTTCAGTTTTGTATATTTTTGTACTAAGCAACTACAGTAGTCGGTGTATTATGATCAGTTCTAGTACAGTAGAGTCCTTTTACAGTGAAGTCATGTTTTGGTACTATATACTGGAATTACACGTCAAGAGTTTATTGCATCAGAAAGTAATGGTAATTCACCATTACTGACTGATTGAAAGCCAAGAGAAAGAGCGAGATCGAATTTAGTTCCAGCAATATTGCTCAGAAAATGATTTGAACAAAATCATTAAAAAGACGTAGCTTTCCATTTCAGTCTGTGAACCTTGCCAGGAACTAGTTGGTTATTTCTAAAACACGCTCCTCGCAGCAATAACTATTTTTAAAAAGTGGAATCGCAAGGTAAATTGGTGTGTAGACAGTAATTTAAATGCTCCATATAATGTGTAAAAACACTGAAATGATCCAGTTGCACAGCAGGGGAGTTCACAAACATATGGTCTCTTTAAAGAATTGTGTTAGCCTGGCAGGTATATTCTTTCATCCTTGTTTCTACCTTATAAAATGTTATAGCTCAGGGAGTTATTTCCACGTGAGTTGTTTCCACGTGACTGACGTTAGTGCCACATAGTTGCTCTTGGGGGAGGGGCCTGCATATAATAATAATAATCCTTTCATTTGATATAGTACTTTTCACATCTTCTAGACGTCTCAAAGCGCTTCACAGAATATACTATAAAGTGAATTGACTGTATATTTGTGGGCAAAATGTGGCAGCCACTTACGCACAGCAATATCCCACAAACAGTCGTGGATTGAAATGACCAATTTATTATTTTTTGAGGGATTATTATCAGGTGTGTGGAGTAAGGAAACTTGCCTAAGGAGTAACCCTGCCGGAAATCGAACCCAGGTCTCTCACTTGGAAAGCGAGTGCTCTGACCACTGAGCTACAGGACTCCATATCACAGTGCAGGGTTAATATAATTGCACACTTTTAATGTTCAAGTTTAATATTCAGTGCTCATATTTATGACCTATAAAAAGGATCAGCTTTTTGAGGTAGTGATTACATTCCTGTTTCTATAGCTATCTGTTGAGGCATTTTTGTTTAAAAAGGTATGTCTTTGTTTCTAAATTAAAAAGGTAGTAAAGCTTGTCTGTACCCCAACAGTCTTGTATTTATTTACAAGCAGGTTAAACACTGATCAAGCTTGAAGATTCTCTGTCTGAACAAAGTTAAATCATTAACTGCTCTTTTTGAAGTTCTTGGGAGTTCATGTTTTTGCCAAATTTTTATACACCCTTTCTCACCCCTGTCTAGCTTTAACAACTCAGCTGCTGTTGGGACATCTCTCAATCAGTTGGACCAGAATCTATGTTTATATGCCACATTACTTGAACATACTTGCTATGTTACTGGCCTGGAACAATCTTCATTAGTTCTTGGCTAGGTGTTTCTTATGAAGAGAAAATGGGTGAATAATTGACTTGTCGTGCTGCAAAGCAAGCTTCATATTGGTGAATATGAAAGGAGAATATGATTAATGTTTGCCTCAGTCAGTCCTGTTTTTGCAGTAATATGAAGCAATGTGGTAACATTACATGTGGAATTTATATATTAAAAAAAATCTTAACTCGGCTCCAGAAGGAATACATCCCTAATGTTAGTGAGATCAGTTATGGGGAACAACTTGATAAGCTGGAGCTGTTCAGGTTCAAAAATAAATATTTAACTACTTTAGTAGTTTAACAATACTTTAACAGACCGTAAATCTGGAACACTGCTTGTGGGCAAAATTGTTTTAGGAAACCGTAATACAGTACATTAGAGAAGATTTGAACGTTTGAGGGTGGGGTATTGGTCTTTTATTACTAAGGAAACTAAAACAATGAAAATGAAGTTGAATATCAATGGCCTTATAGCAGAACAAATCCTGCAGTTTCATTTAGCAATATTTTACCCCCAAAGTATTCTGCAAGCTGTTTCCTTAATTGTAAGGTACGGTGCTAACTTTTGGGATACTTCCTCAACAAGTACATGATTCAAAACCGTTGAGAAAATAGTTTAGAAGTATGCCGTGCATACATTTCCTTTTTTGGGGGAGGAGGAGGCGAAAGAAAATAATTCCTTACATGGAAACTTGAGTGGTCTTTTAACTCTTCTTTGTTTTTGAATAAATTTGCCAATTTTCTGTAAAAGCTCGGTCAAATCTGATTCTTCAACAAGATGAAATTATAAACAGAATAAGAGAACAGATATTCGTTAGCAAATAATTGCAGTAACACCACAAGATTTGCTGGAGTGCAGCCCAATTCTCCCTGTTTATGCTTCCACAGCTGCATGTCGACATTCTGTTTGGTTCAATGGTGAAGCCTTGCACACCATTTCTTGCTGCTGGAATGCTCGCTCCCTCGGACTGTCATTACACAGAGGACCTATAAAACCAGAATTAATCTTCACTTGCTGAATATGGGTTGCTGGAACACGTACAAAGCCATGGGAATCTGTGAATTTCCCATTGTTGCTCCCGTGCAATTGCTTTTTTCTTCTCGGCAGTCATAACGCAAAATTTTGTTAGGTCTCTGTTTTCATTACAGTGATATAATTGCACATGTTGTATAAATGAATGGAAGTAACAATCTTACTTGTGTTGTCCATTGCCAAAAACTATGATTTCTGTATGTCCAGCAGAAACCTATTTGCATCTAGGCCTACATATTTTTGACATAATTCTCTAGAACGCTCCATATTATGCAGTGCTTGGTTCAGTAACCTTTATCTAAACAGTCCTGCTGTGTTTTTATTTTCCACTTCCGTAGAAGCGATTTGAAACCATTCAGATAGACGCAGTGAACTATTGTGGAAACGGTAGATTGTTTGTCATTGGATGCTAAGTTCTATAATACTATTAGGATTATTTTGGTCTGCCCCTCCAGAACAGGGGAAAATATCAATTTGTATATACAATGCAACAAAATGTGCTGAGAACATAAGGATAAACTGAGACTGAAAACCAGAGAATAGGAGGAAGTGAATGTAAATACAAAACAATGGGGGCAGGGAAGGGACAGAAGAAAGCCAGTCAAGCAACTGAACATAAAATGGGGGTTGAATTTAAGATAGACATTTACTTTCAGTATTTCTCTTTGACTCTTTTTCTGAAAGTAACAATTCACTTTGAAACAATCACAGATTAGTTGGTAGCAGTAAGCATTTCTGTTAATTTATAAATGAAAAGTACAGTTTTAAATTTATAATATAATGTATGCGATTGTGTATTATACAGGATATTAACAAATCTTGAATTCCCACTTTTTTCAGGTGATGATTTTTCTGTTATACAGCAAGAAATCTTTATGGTTAAAGAATGTACACATTCCAACATTGTGGCCTACTTTGGAAGCTATCTAAGGTAAACTCAGTTTGATTTCTGAGAAAAGGGATTATTTTCACAGACAGTGTCTTCATAAATGTTGGCTGCCATAACCACAGGTTTCTAAGTTCCAGATCTGCTTGATTCTCAAATCTACTGTAGTTAAGTTCAGGCTACAGTGTTGCAACGATGACCATTTTTCATCTGCCTAATTGTAATCCTGCCTCATGTCAATTAGCTGTTTTCTTCATAGATGTGTAAAATACTAAACGAGGCAAGAAAGTACAGATAGATATAGGAATGAGTTCCAGTTTTTGATTAACAAACTTATTCAAATGGTTATTGATATATTTGGAGAGAAACTCTGTAACTTGTCACTTAATTCCTCCTTACTGCCATTTTCTAATGTACTGTATATTCTTTGTATATACAGTACTCAAATAAGCGATGTATCAAATGCAAAGTTTATCTTGCTAGTTGACTTTAAAAATGTGTAATTCTATAGCCTTTTGTGAATGTTTTTTTCATAATGTCGTTGAGAGATGCAAATGACACTAAGTTTAGAAAGAACAAAACAGAAGAGATGTGAAGAGGAAATGGATTTGTGAACCCAAAGAAAGGAAAATGCATAAGATGAAAGACAATTCAATATATCATTAGTTCAAAATATTCAATGTATTCATGCAAATATACCAAGAAATGTACAGAGACTGTTTTATTTTTTCTGTACTTCCTGTGGTGTTCACATTTGTGTGGGTTCATGAGAAAAGTCCAATCATTGTACAACTGCAGGAATGGGAACGATGTCTTGCTTGTAGCTAAATATAATTAGTTTTAATGATAAACCATGAGTGTTGTCAAACCATGTGAATATAATAAAGTTACAGGCACTTCTTTGGGATCCATTTTGACAAAAATCAATTAATATTTCAACACCATTAGCAGACACTGCAAGTATCTTTTGGCCTGCATTTAATTTCAATTGTTTTATTCTCCCTCTAATATTTAGATTACTACACACCATCAATCTTTTAATACATAATCCCGTACGCAATCTAGGCGTCAGGTTCGACCCCCATTTATCCTTCCTCCCCCACATCCGGTCCCTCACCAGCACTGCTTTCTTCTACCTCCGACACATCACCCGTCTCAGCCAATACCTCCCCACAAAAGCCGCTGGAACCCTGGTCCATGCCTTTGTCACCTCTTGGCTGGATTACTCTTAACACCCTCCTCGCGGTCTCCCATCCACAAAATCCAGATCATTCAAAACTCTGCCGCCCGCATTCTCACCCGCACTGTAAAGCACTCTGAGATGCCGTCCGGCGTGGAGGTCGCTATATAAATCCAAGTTGTTGTTGTTAATACATCCCCACCCCCCCCACCCCACACTGTCCTCCTTCCCAATGGAAAACCCTGGATGAGAGCTAACTTTCTTCAGTTGAATGTCAACAAGACCGAGGCTCTCCTGATTGGTTCCTGTCAGCGCCTCCACACCTCAGGCGCTGACAGTATCACCATCCATGGTTGCACACTCAACCTTGCTAAGCCAGTCCGTAACCTTGGGGTCTTGTTCAACCCTTAACTATTCGTTCTACCCCACATTTGCGCCATGACCCGCTCTGCCTTCCCCCACCTCTGCAGCGTCGCCCGGTTCCGACACTATCTCACACCACAGGCCGCTAAAACCCTCATACACGCTTTCATTACATCGAGGCTTGACTATGCAAACTCGCTGCTTGTCGGCCTTCCGAACACCTCCTCCACAGGCTGCAGATTATCCAGAATTATGCAGCCTGGGTGCTCTCCCGCACTAGGCTCCATGACCCTATCACCTCCATCCTTGCTCAAATCCACTGGCTTCCCATCACACAAGATCCTGGTCCTCACCTTCAAAGCCCTCCATGGTCTTGCTCTCCACTATCACTCCGACCTCCTAACCCCCTACCATTGCTCCCTCCGCTCAGCGGGCTCTGGCCTGCTTCATGTCCCCTGCTTTGCTTGCCCCACTATCGGCGGTCGGGCCTTCTGCCACTCTCCACCCACCCTCTGGAACTCCATCCCGCACTCCCTCCATCTCGCCCCCTCCCAAGACCCTCCTCTTTGACCGTGCTTTTGATCTCCCTGCTTCCTTCCCCCACCCCGACCCTCAGCTCAGATCCGAAACTTTGTCCCATGCCTTGGGGCGTCCTCCCGACGTGAAAGGCACTATATAAATGTAATTTTATTGTTGATACACCAGCATGTTACTATTTTGTTAAAGAATACACTTTAGAGACGAGTGGCGCACAGAAAATAATTGTGTTGCAGTTGCTTAACTTGTAACTGTTGCAGATTTTTTCTTTACCATCAATTAATTGTATTTGTGTATAAGGTGCTTTTTAAAAACAAATGTCATTTTCATGTCAACATTCACACAGAGATAGATCTGTAGAAGAAAGTGGGATGACTTGTGAAATGGTTAAAAAAAATTGTTCAGCTGTATGTCGACACTTTATTAATAGAATATTAAAATAATAAGGCAACTTTTATTCCATTACTTCTGTATTTCTACTGATGGAAAATTATACAAAGTAAGGAAAAAGATTTCCCTATCTGGATCACATTGCTGTTTTAATGTGAGAGTTGGAAGTAAGACTAGGTCTTTGGTTAACAGTACAAATTATCCCTTAAGTTCTTGGTATTATCCTTCATGTTTGCTTACTCGTGGCCAGGAAGTGGCCAGTGTTGAGGAACTGCATGAACCAATTTGATTTCAAATTCTGTCAGGTGAGTGGTGTGACAGCGAAGTTGGATCTCTAAATTGAATGAAAGCTGCAACCTTCAGAGGTGAAGTTTAAATTTATTAACAAAGCACTATTTTTTATAAAGGATACTTGCAGTAGTTGTGCACTTCAGAGGTATAACTGCAAAGCTCAACCCTTAGTTCTAGTTAACCCCTTGTTCAGAGCATTTAATAGATTAATCATTGCATTTTAAATTGTCTGAAATATCACTAATACATTTTCCTAAATGTTGCTGTATTATCAGCAATAAACTGTTAAATTTGGGAAATCCATTGCCTTTGAGTGCACTGTATGGTAATACCTTTACGTAATCTAAAGTGAGATTATCATCGATGGGGTCAAAATATAATCTCAGAAGCAAGTGCACCTTCACAATTTATCTATATGTACCTTTATTTTAGATGGTAGAGGACAAGCTATAATACAATTGATTTCAGCAGTTAAAGGTTGGGGCCATGATATTAAACTGTTAACCTACCTGAGGTATACAAGGGTACAGATTCTAATTTTCAGCAACAGTAGGAACAATATACAAGTATGTTAGGTGGGGAGGGACAAGTCAGCCAAGGTATCTTCCACATTTTTTTCTCTCCTGTAATTTCTTTGGGAATTGCCTATGTGGAAATTGGGTGTGAACAATATCAACAACAACAACAAGATTCCATTTATAGAGCGCCTTTCACGTCGGGAGGACGTGTTTCTATGGTAATATGCGTATGTCCTTTCTCTTTTCACCAGCCCTCCTGACGTGAAAGGCACTATACAAATGTAATTTGTTGTTGTTGCTGGTGCTTCAGTCTTATGAATGGTTATCAGACGGTAGCAGATGGCAAGGGATACAATCTCCACATGAATTGGTGGCTTCAGTACAGGGATTCAAATTGGAGGAAGAGTTTTTTTAAAAAAGAAAAAGCCTTGTGTAATTGTCTAAACAATTGAATTGCGAATAAGGTTATCATTTCTGTACTTGAGTGACAAATTTTACATGATCATCTTCCCACAAAACTGTTAAATTGGATTTTGTTTATTTTGTGCTGCTTCTGGTTATCTTAAAAAAATTCTGGTTGCATAGAACTCTCAGATTAAGTGCTTAGATAAGAAAACCGACTGAGGAGTAAGTGTTGCTGAAGCCAAGTTTTCTCTTAACCAGCTCCTATGTAAGACTTGCACACTAAAGTTAAGCTTTATTTTATTGCTTGGCAATGACGGATCTGATCAATTAGCCCAAATATCGAATGTGATTTTCTTTCATAAAAGTAATATTGAGGGACCCCTAAGGTTCTTTATCCTAGTCTCCTTAATGAACACCATCTGCTCTAAATAATGTCCTCTGAACTGTGAAAGAATTTTAAAAATAAATTAATCTGAGGTAAGAGTGGGGGGAAAACAAACCTAGGTCTTTTTCATTAATCCCCGAGAGGTCAAACCTCACTATCCAAGCCTTCTGGCAATAGGGGAATTAGCAAAATGGTGTCTATAAAATATTTAAAATATTTTGTCGCATTTCAAATATCTTGGTTTCTTGGAGGCTTCCCTGAAGCGCAGTGAGTTTGCTTGTTTATTAATTGGATAGCTGAACCCAACAGGCGAGACAGTTCCCAGTGTGTGCTAAATTAGCCACTCTCAGCTGGGGAGCAGCAGGAATGTGACAATTGGCCTGCAGACTTTGGTTCAGCAAAATCCACCAGGGCCCCTTTTTTTGATTGCCAGTCTCTCTTGCTGGAACTTGAAGAGCTTTGCATTTTGCCTTCAGTCCAAAATAAATATTTGTTCCATTAAATGCTAGGTGTTAATGAGCCTGACTAATAGCTTAGTCTACTATAAATGTGAAAAACTTGATCAACAGCTGTTTTTCAGTAACCTTTATTGCAGAGAAAAAAATCCGAGAATTGTGCGATTTAGAGATTTTGCCTTACTGAAAAGCTACAGATTTGGATAACATTTCTTATTCAGTATAATTTCTCTATAAAAACATTACTAGCAACTGCCATGTTTATAGAGGAGATTTAATGAGCAAAAGTTGAACATTTAAGCTAATGTCCACACATTTTTTGCAATTTAATTTTAGGTTACAACAGAGCAAGTATTTTCAGTTTGTGGCTTTAAGAAATGCAGTGTTGCTTTTCATGCTGCATGTCGATGATAGAAATGCATTTGTAGACATTGCTTTTTGTGTACAGTTGCAGTTCAATTGATCTTATAATACTAATATTCCATTTTGTTCAACAATTCTAGATTTTCAAAACGTTCTAATGGGTTTCCTCTTTTTTTCCAGCCGTGAAAAATTATGGATCTGTATGGAATACTGTGGTGGTGGATCACTTCAGGATATCTACCATAGTATGTTTTCTTGAATTCTTTTGTAGACCCCCCAGTACTGTTCAGGTTACGCATATATTTTAGTGAATTGAAGTTCTGAATGTATTGTGTTCAAAACTGAGGGAAACTCCTCTCCTGCCCCAATTTTAATTCATGTGCAGACCATTATTTTCTTGTTTGATATTAACTGAAAGTTTTATTTTTACATAATCCCTCTACCTTTATCATTACCAAGATCCTTCTTGCATTAAATTAGACTTATTTCATATTGTTGCTCCTAACTAACTTAATCATCACCTATTCCTCTGATTTTTAAAGAAATTTAGAATATCTATTATTCTAAATAGTGAAATATTCAGCACAGAGGCTTTTTCATTATATTGATGTATGAGGTTAATATTTTATGTTGCTGCATATTCAAGATTTTCAATTTTATTTTACACCCAGTAACAGGACCACTTTCAGAAATGCAGATAGCTTATGTTTCTAGAGAAACATTGCAGGTAGGACATATAGTTGTGAATGACTTACAAATTCTCAAAATTGTTATATAATTAAGTGAAAATTGCTGTTTTTTGCAACTCATTCTTATATTTTTAATTTTGTAACTGAAACCTTACTTTATAGGGCCTTGGCTATTTGCATAGTAAGGGAAAAATGCATCGAGATATTAAGGTAAGCTGTGCTACATTTTTATTGAGGACCTCTTGTGTGTACTGATGGAAGGATTACTCCTGTTCCTAAATGTTGTGCCCTTAACTATCAGACTTGACTTTGCTATTAAATGATCTGTTCGATCAACTCATTCCTTGAGTTAATCAAGCAGAGAAGAGGAATGAGGTTGACTTCTAGCACTTTTGGATATGGAGGGGGAAAAAAGTAAGGCCAAGAAATGATTAAAGATGCTGAACATGAATCATTTACCAACATTTAGTGTGAATTTACTTTTGTTTTTAAGGGAGCAAACATCTTACTGACAGACCATGGTGATGTAAAGTTAGGTAAGCTTGATAATAGAATTGATGAAGGGTCGTGGACCCGAAACGTTGACTCGCTTTCCTTTCTCTATAGATGCTGCCTGACCTCCTGAGTGTTCCCAGCGACTTCTGTTTTTGTAATACGTTTGTGTACTTTCACGTGAACATGTATTAGATTTTTTAAATGTTCTCTTGTATGTAATGATGGAAAGATTGTTCATATTCACCTTTAACTATCTAAAACTGACTGTTATTAAATGATCTGTTTGATCAAACTATTCCATTCAACCATTGAATCCTATTTTGTGCTTGTGTTTCAGCTGACTTTGGTGTTGCAGCAAAAATAACAGCTACCATGGCCAAGAGAAAGTCCTTCATTGGAACTCCATACTGGTAACTAATATGTCTGTTTCTAGTGTATGTTGCAATTAAGAAAATAATGTAAAGCTTAAATGTTGCCACTTGTTCCTAAGGAAACCCAGATGGTAATCAATGTTGCAAGAATGTACAGTAACTTCAGACCTCAGCCATGTCTGTCTTTCAGTGTGATCTAAATTGCAGAAATTAATGTAACTAAAGTTGTATGACTCCTGGTCTTTCTTCAGTTAACCTCAGCCTGAAATCAAAAACTTGGTTTTGAACTATCCTCTGACTGTCTCTATTAGCTTACACACTTTTAAATAAGTTTTATTTGCAATTTTGAGTCCCTTTACAGTATTTATTGAAAGTTGATAACAGGACCCAGCTTTTCATTTATTACTGAAAGTGTGTGTTTGTATTAAGACCCAATAAAGTATCAACAATCCTTAATCTGATTTCTAGCTGAAATTATTTTGTTTTTTCAAAACTGTTTACTCTGCTTGAGCGTTAATATTTGCTTTCTGTTTGATAGGATGGCTCCAGAAGTTGCTGCAGTCGAGAAGAATGGTGGCTACAACCAGTTGTGTGACATCTGGGCAGTAGGAATCACAGCAATCGAACTGGCAGAACTGCAGCCTCCCATGTTTGATTTGCACCCTATGAGGTAGGTTAACCAACCCTCTGATTACAAGCGGATGCAGGGAAATTCTATTTGCTCCATTTAAAAAAAAGTTTAATGCATTACGATGCTGAAATTAAATTTTAGTAGTAAAGCTATTTGAAAGTAAGGATTAATACTGATTATTAAATCTTTTTTGTGCTTATGGTGAGTTCAGTAAGATTTCAGCAACTTTGCATGGTTAGTAGGAGAAATAAATTTCAAGGTGGTGATCCTGTTTTGCTTTCACTTATTTTTTGTTAGGGCACTCTTCCTGATGTCTAAAAGTAGTTTTCAGCCTCCCAAGTTGAAAGATAAAATTAAATGGTGAGTACATTTGTATTTCATAAATTTGTTGTAATATGAGATTTTTAAAAAAAATCTTTAAAAGAGCAAGGAGTTTGAAGCCTTAAAATTTAAGCCAAAACCTCAAATTGTAAAGACATGAGGGAAGACATGACATAGTCCCTTTTGCCTTTGTTTTGGTTATATTTTGTTAACTGTTAGTGTATTGATTCAAAGCCTGCAACTGTGAATTTTGTATTTTTTTACATGAATTAACTGGATATTTTTCTACTTAGCATCATAGTGCCTCAACCCACTGATCTGTTTTTGTTTTAAAAGGAGCACCATATTCCATAGTTTTGTCAAAGTAGCATTGACAAAAAGTCCAAAGAAGAGACCGACAGCTGACAAGCTATTAACTGTAAGTAAATCTGTAGCTTTATTAAAGTATAACATTAGTTAGGTCTTTGACTCTTTGGAATTTTTAAAATATATACCAAGGTATGTAGCTTCATAAGGGTTAGTGGCAGTTACCGTGATATATGGCATGTTTATCTGCAAATAGTCACTGCATTTTACATTAAATCCTATGAAGCCCTTTGACATGTTTTTATGATGTGATAAAATGCTATATCAAATGTAAGGGCTATATTTTGTGTCATGTATATTGTATCAATAATTGAAAAATGCTATTCAAACATATTAATGCAACTTTTACTTTTCCACCGGTGTTAGTTTCTGAGTTTCCACATTTTATTTTTTTGTTAGCATCAATTTGTGACACAACCATCTTTATTGAGAGCATTGGCAGTAGAACTGTTGGACAAAGTCAATAATCCAGAAAATCATCACCATTTCGGCGAGGCAGATGACGATGACCTTGAGGTATGAAATTCAATAGCATTGGAGTTTTTAACCTCTGTTATCTCCACATATAACAAGTTTTAGGCTTAAAGCTAGCTGAAACAGAAATAATGGACCTTAGAATGACTTAAATTGGCAAATACCTGTTACACGGGTTATTTTATGTTGTTCCCTAAAGTTTGTGATCTGTTTGCTATAACTTTACAATACAGTTTTCTATTATATAATAGGAGCCAATTGCTTACTATTTTTAGTGATCAGTGTTTCATGATCTCTTCAGGAACTTGTGTGTACCACAGTGTTTCTTTATTTCCTTCTCTTATTTTGCAGGCACTTTCAGCTGTTCCACACACCATTCGTTCCACTCATAAGAACACAAGAGCAGAAAGAACACGATCAGAGATAAATTGTAAGCATTTCATCTGCCCTTGTTCCTGAACTTGTACAATTTCTGTATAATTTCACTGTAGAAATAGTTTAGATTGGTTGAAGTAATGCTTTAGGAGATAATTTGCTCTGTTGGGAGATGGTTGCCAGTGGAATCTGGCAGGAATGGGGTTTGTAATTCTTTGCTAACTGAAAAAAAATCTAATTACTTTACAGTTGACCAGGTGCAGTTTGAACCTCCTTTAAGAAAAGAAACTGAAGCTCATTGTGAAATGGTAGGTTAGCGCTTCTTGCTATTTTGTAAATCATTTGTTGAATAACACGGGTTTGCTTTGCAAACAATTTGACTTCTACACCATAGTCCAGAAATACAAGAGATTTGCCATTTAAGTTGGAATAGGGAAAAGGAATTTTAAAGGTGAGTGGAATTCTTGGATTATCCCCTACCTTATTCCAAAAACTTGAACACAGTTCTGTTGAAATATATGTATAAGCTATTGAAGTACCTGGAGCGGTTAAAGCTGCTTTTTCTTTAGTAAGGTAACTTTATAATGAAGGAAAACATGTCTTATAAATAATTTGCATCTAGTTCTGCACAGCAGTATTAGACCTATTCATACATCATGAACATTGACTGATTGGGAGTAATTTTGACAATGTATAGTATTTGTAAGAAATCAATTAATATTTATGGAGTTTATCAAAGGGATACTATAAAATTGCATTGTTGAATTGGGAAATCCAGCCTGGGGCCAATTAAATTAGGAGGGTTGGGAAAGCAAACAATGGGATCTCTACGTTTTGATGGAGTAGTAGAGTAAAAAGAATAGTGAAAACTTCAAAAGCAGATACAAATGGTCCCTTCTAGTTTCTTTTTACAATGCATTTTGTCATGTAGGACCAAGATGCTGAGTTTGGTTCATCATGGAGCCCATTTGCAGATGGAGTTGGTAACAAGTAAGTAATAGTTATTAATATAGGTGTTTGGGTGAAAATTATTCCCATTATTCTGGAGGAGGTATAATAGGAAGAAATTGGATTTCATTGAGGAGACACAAATTATGGCACAGAATGTTAGAATGCAACTTTTTTCATACTATTCTACACATTGAGTTCCGTACTTAAATTGTGTGTATGGCTAGGCACTTGATCTGGATAATGTTGTATAATTTGTGTGTTATTGTCTTCCTAAAGCCCATGGAGAAGCAAATTCAGTTTTTATTTATTACTTCAAGAGAAATTTTCTTCAGAAAATTCAGGAAAGTGAAAGGGTAGATTCTGAAGACCTGCATGACTTGTTGAATGGATTTTTCTCATTTCTTCATGTAAAATTGGTGAATTCATTTACTGTTGTTTTGGATATGTACTGTTTATTATGCAACATCTTGTCCCTAGTATAAGTGCAGAAGGCTGATGATAGGTAGACTCTTTACTGTCATGAACATAGAAAGATTGGTTTAGAGAAATGGTGAGAGGGAGATGATCGGAAAGAACACAGTTCCCTATAATTATTATCTAAAGTTTAAAATCAATAGTTCAATAGATTATACCAAAATATGAGAACTTGGAGGTTGAGTGCAGTTACTTTTGGAAGTTCATTCAGAATATGAAAACATTCTTTTAATAAAACAGTTTTAAAATTTAGACCTGCAAGATGTTAAATAAGAAAAACATAACTTGAATCAAAAATGTTTTGTTTGTTGGTGTCTCTTACTGTTGGTTTGATGTATGTAGTTATCAGTTGGCTGCAGTACACAGTTTAATTTCAAGTATAGTTTCTTTCTATCATCTCAAGCTTAATGCACATCTTGTGCATCTTACTACAAACTTCTCTCCCTCTTCTCTGTTCTGATTCTGAAGGAGTCTTCTTAAATGTGTTGAGGAGGAATTACAACAACGGTAACTCAATAGCTTGTCCAATGGCTACCATGTCTCCATCCACTGTAACGCTTGTGTTTTGTGGTAGATGCTGTGGCGGTTCTAGAGGTGGGTTAGGTGGACATTTTCTATCCTAAAGGTTTTTTCCCTGCTGGTCACAATGTGACTTTGATTATTACCCCTTCTCCCCATCCCCCATTCCAAGTGTCACCTACCCAATTTATATATCTAGAACCGTCTGTTACCCATCCCCCTCCCCTCCAATAGATGTAATTCATGTGTAATATTGTGCAGAAAATGTGATTTTCTTTTTGTTACATTCTAGTGAGTAGAATAAACAAATATTTCTAAATAACGGAGTTTCTAAAATATTTGTATATGTAATCACAAGATCCCCAAATTGCACATTGGAAGTGAAATATTCTGTAGCTAAAATTTCATGATACTAAACATTTTCTCCTCTTGTCCATGAACTCTCCAGCTCTGAAGACATTGATTGATATTCTATCATTTTCAAATAATAATGTGATTTCAAAAAGCATTGTTTAGCTACAGAATGGTTCAACTATTATTTACAGGCTATATTACAAATGTACAGTATTTAATTGAAATCAGTTGTGCTTTATTAGAATCATCAAACTACCCTTAATATCTTTTTGTTCCGTTTTGGTTTTTTTGCATCATTTAATCTGGCTGGAGTGATGAGCGTTGAGCAATGAAACGTAATCAATTTTTGAAAAAGTGATTTGCTTACTTCAGCTCCATTTAATGCAGAGAAGCCTCACTAAATTGAAGTGTTGTTTTACTGTGTATAATTAGAGTACAACGAAATTCACGAAAGATTAACCAGTTAAATGATAATTGTATTGATTAAGATATCATTATACTGCTGTGCGCAATTGGCTGTCACATTTCGCCCACAAAATATACAGACTTCACTTTACAGACGTGATAAGGTGCTAAATCAAATGCAAGGATTATTATTTTAATATATTCACTACAAATTAAATTTGTTTAGAAACAATTAAAGGAACATTGTATTTGTCCCATTTTGCAACAATTTAAAAGGTCTAATAACTTGTTATACGATGACTTGAGACAAGGTTCTTGTTGTATTGTCATATCCAAACTTTGCTCCAGTCCCTTCTCCCCTTAAATTTAGTAAGCAAAGTAGTGTCTCTACAAGTACCAGGGAAAGAAGGGAATGGCCAAACTGTCCCAAAAAATAGTGGGATTCAAAAGTTTGTCATGCAATGAATTCTTGATCTTTGCTGGGTGATATGGCAAAACATAGAGAGTTTCCATGTTAGCAGAAACGGTTCAAGGAATTGTGGAATATAGTTGCTTTGTGGCACAGATTTACCTACTACTTAAAAAAACTACATGAGGTCTCCAAACTTAGCAATTTTAGTCTTGGGGCCGGGGGGTGGGGAGGAGATGGTAAAGGTATTACCTTCATGTAATTTCTCCCCCCTCTCCCCCCAAATACTGAATATTGATCTAAAGTCACAATTGTATAACAGGTCTTATGTTCCATTAAATACTGTAATGTCAAATTTTAATTGTAATATTGAAGTTTCTTCTGTGCATGTGAACTATTTTAGTAGTATGCATGTTTTAGTAATTTCAAAACATCTGCTTTCACTTCATGTAGCTCCTTTAGATATGTTGTATTTTACATTTGTCTTTTTTACTTTTAAAGGGGGCACATAGCACACCTGGAAGAGGACTTTGATGATGAACTGTAAGTTAATTTCTTATAGTTAACTTAAATTTTATTTTGTAATAAACAAGTGTATCGAGTGCAGCTAGGTTTTTTTTAATGCCATAGCAAAAATATTTTCTTGTGGAAACTTGTCGTCAGTTCACTAAATACAATCTGGTTATTGTAAACTCATAGGGACTAACAAATTATTTGTGTAGACCTCATGCTCTCAAAGTTTATGCACCTATTTTGACTTCAGCCACATCAGAGACAGATGTTGCTTTTTATATAAAAGCTTCTTAATAACATTAGTGCATGGATTTCAGTATCTTGCTGTGCCACAGTGCAGAGTTTCTCCTGCGATTCTTTTTCCTCTTTCTAGGCTCAGTTAGACCATTGTGGTGGTGACAGTAATACAAGAGAACTCTGTTATAGCGTCCTTCAATATAGGGCTGGCTTGCCTACTATGGACCCATGTTAACTAGAAGCAACAACTTGCATTTATATAATGCCCCTCATGCAGGGTAGCGTCCTAGAGAAGCATAGGTACTAACAGATAATTAGCGTTCAGGTTGCTTCAAACCTGGAAGTTGGCCAAATCAGCTTGATATGAGGATGAGATGTTGAAATAAATATTCCAACCAATTGAATTATAATGATTTTTCAGTACTAAACATTTTTTGGGGGGAATGAAAGGATACTCCAAGGGGTAGCCAAACTGGACCACTTTCTCTGTTTCTACCAACTGATTGACTACTGATTCTGATGACCAGAAGGAGAAATGCTGTTTTTTTAATAAAAAAAGACAAATTTGTGATTTATTTTTGACACTGGCTTCTAATATTTTAATCTTTAAATAACTTGCTGTAAATGTATTGACTATTTAGTTAGTAAAATTGCTGTTTGCTTGTTTCATAAGCTCAACACTTAAACGAGGAGCTCCACCTCCACTGCCACCAAAGGTGAGGCTTTTCCTAAAATAAATTATGTTTTGTCTTACTTGCACACTTCTTATCGGCTGGTTGCCTGTTGACACTGAAATTAAATACAAAAATAATGTTGTAACACTATAATTTCATATTCTTTTAAAAAAAGTATTATTGAAGGAGATAGTATTTCTATAGGTGAGAGTCATCAATGATATCCTGCACAGTTTCTCCATATTAGAAGGGGTTACATTTGTGTGTTAAAATTTGTCTACTGGGCTTTTGAGCAGAGCTCTGGAAGGCTTCAGCCCATCATTTCTGTTGGGTATTCTGTTGTGATGCCATGGAGTAGGGCTGGAGAGTTGGAATATCCTTCAACTTGTCTATTTCACAGAATTGTCAACTTTTTGTGTTTATAATTAGCTACTTTTTTAAAAAATTAGCTATTTAAAAAATGGTAACCACAGGAAATTTCTACAGGGATTGCTGTTTCCAAGACTTAGAAAGAGAATTTTTTTTTATTTAAAAGGGGAGTGAGTTGAAGCTAATTTCAGCATGTCTGTTCCATACAGAGATTGTCAGGATTTAATATACTGGATAATACAATAGTTTTCTAAGTTGTACCAAGCAACAGCAGCCATTACTTCCAGCAGCACAACACAAGTCAGATGTAACAACTCTCAATGTTGTTTTCCAACAATTTGGCTGATTCCCCTGTATAGTCTCATATATATTATATAAGTTGTTATACATGTCAACAGGAGCTGTCTGGATTTTACTTGGATTTTCATTCTGTATAGGCTACATTCAAATCTGGATTTGAGAATTGGAGGATGTTCATGTATTTTCAATCTTGTCGTTTTAGGATGCTATGAACTGAAAAATCCAGAATCCTAAGTTCATGTTGCTTTTCATGAGTGTGACATTGTTATGTAGTACCATTTGAGTTTTATTTACTTTTCCCTTTACAATAATTTTTAATGTCACTATTCAAAACTGTTTTTGGATACAGGGATGTAACTATAAAACCCTTTGTTTTACTCCATAATAATACTGATTTGTATGTTTCAGCCAAGGGGGCACAGTGTCTCAGATGATGGTGTTTTAGGTGAAGAGAGGTCACGGACAGTCAAGCGGCAGCCTCATATGGAAAATGGCCCATCATCTGCACCTAGAAGACAGAGTACTCCCACAACGTTATATCGATCAGAAATTCTTGAAACGTCCCTTTCCAACAGTGTCAGTAGCCCAGGATTGCTTGATACAAGAGCCAATGACAGAGGTAATGAACATAAATGTGGAATGGTAGTTGACTGCACTTAAGACCATGTATTAGCAATTCTCACTGGACGTGTATTAATTTTTGAGTACTTCATTCATTGAAATCTTATCAGGAATAAACATTGCTCCACTTTGGAAGCTTGGATAAGTTTCAATTTACATTGAAATTATCAATTTCCGCAGGCCCTTGTGTAGGCTCCCGCTAGACTCCTAGCACATCTATCAATGCCGTGTTCAGCAGCCCATGTGGTGCCCACAGCTTAACACCTCGCTCGTGAGGCAGCATTTAATAAATGCACAAGGTGTCTAGTGGGTGTCTACGTGCGTGCCTGTGGAAATTTTAGATGTTGGGCCCGACCAACAAACCCCTACTCAGGGGCCACCCTAACAAAAAGACTACTTTGGTCTCGTCTCTGAGTAGTTGCTGAAAACAGATTTGACTGTATTTTGTCTGATTTGAGCAGTAAAATCTGTTTGTATTTGTTCAGGTATCGCAGAACAAATTTCACGTTTAAATGGTGAAAATCCCGAAGTAGGTGAACAGCCACCAGCAGTACCTCGGAGAAAAGAAAAAAGAGATTTTCTTGTATGTTTTCTTTGATTTAATGTATTGAATGAATGGAAAATCTTTCTCTAATTGTCATATTTTATGTAGATATAATCAATCCTGTGGGTTTCATTTAAAATTGAATTCTCTTGTACTCAAATTCTAATATTCAATGTGCAATAGTTCTGCTGTTGTTCCTGTTTCACGAGATGCCCCTTTAATACTTATAACATATTTTAGTATATTCTATATAATAGAGACAAAACTAACTCTCTACGTTTGATTTTTTTTTTTTTTTTTCTCTCTCCTCTCCCACAGAGGTCAGCAATTAATGGTCTTCCCCCAACTCCAAAAGTGCATGTAAGTAATACATTTAAATGCTGTACACGAAAGGTCATTTGTTTTTCTCTTTTCTCCACTCTCCAAAGGTGTAGGGCAGGGTCGTGTTCAATGGGTACCGGGAGTCTTGCTGTATTTTGCTCGAATAGCTATTTATTATTTGTACACCTAAACAATGAATGTCATTTGACCATTAGGAGTATTGTATCCTCTGAACTTGTCCTTGCCTCAGGTCCACACTTGACCCTTTCCCAGTAAAGGTCGCTGGATAGCAATCAGTGGAAACCATGGCTTTTCTTAGGGTAGTAATGTAAATTGTAGCACCCCAATACCCCCATAGCTAAATCAGATCGCAAGATTGGTTTGGCTGAAGAAGGCCCTTTGGCCCAATTGATCTCATCCTTCAAAAATCGCAATCTACCAACTTCCCATCTCAGCATCAAATTGTATTTAAATCAATCCAGTGTTCTCAATCACGCTTCCTTGCAATCTGTTGCAGTTGTTTGTTAACCATCTTGGTGCATCCTTAAGTATTATTCTGGGATACTTTGTCATCTGTTAGAATGAGGGATCCAAGTTATTATTAATAACATTATTAATAATATCAATTCTGTATTAATATTAAGGTTAAATCAGGAATTGAATAAATGTATTTATTCTTAAGTTAAATGTTTAGCAAACCATTTGAAAATTGGCATTTGTTTGACGAAGTCTTTAAGTGTTCTTTACAACAACATTCTTTAGTTGTTGTTCTTCAGAATTATTTTGAATAATTGAACAATTAATAATTGAATGTTTTTGAATGATTACGTTCTTCCAATTTAGATGGGGGCATGCTTTACAAAGGTATTTGATGGATGTCCTTTGAAGATTAGTTGTGCCACATCTTGGATACACCCTGAAACAAAAGGTAATCTAGTGAAATGAGGAAACAGATGATGAGAATGTTACAAAAATTGTCATACACTATTTGCTCTTTCATATTCCAATTGTGAAAATATAAACTTTTTTTAAAATTAGATCAGTACTTAATCTTTGGAACAGAAGAAGGTATATATACTTTAAATCTGAATGAACTACATGAAGCTTCAATGGAACAGGTAAGCCTACAATGCTTAATGATATAATTTTTCTCGAATACAAGAATAACCCAGTGTCCTGGTCTCAACCCACACTTCCATATTGATTCCTTATAAATTGGCACAATACATAATTCCTAAAATATGGAACAATTTTAATCCCTGACTGTCCAGCGCCTTGGTGTGTCCTCCTGACGCAAAAGGCACTATACAAATGTAGGTTGTTGTTGTAGTAATTTGGATGAAGAAAATAATGACCCTCAATTCACTCAACTGAATTAATCAGCAATAGTGATTGACTTACTCTTATTTTGTTTTTCTTTCTAATTTTTCTTAGCTGTTCCCAAGGAGATGTACATGGCTGTATGTTATCAATAATATTTTAATGTCTTTATCAGGTATGTACGCCTTGTTAAATCTGAGAATAATAACGCTGTATATATTTGGATTGTGAAACTATAATGTTACATTTGTCTTTAGAAATCAGTGGTTAATAAAGCAAAACATATTGAATGGGAAGACCTCATCTAGGGAATATGCAATTTCTATCCTGGTTTAGTACTATTTTACAGTTATTCCTACAATGGGTGTACTTGTACTTAGCTATTTGAAACACTCGTTTTGTGCTCTGACGCAGTGTTACCAGAGTATCTTCTTGAAGATCTAACTGGAATGAATTTGCAGCATCCAGGATTGTAGATAAATTGATATTGCAGAGCAATTGCCTTTTTCCTCGTCTGGTTACCATAAATTGAATTAGAATTTGTACCCATTTACATACATTCCTGAGTTTTCAGATTATTTCAAGATCAAAAAACCTGCATCTCTTATCTGCAACATTATTAGGACAACTTGAGAAACACACATGTAAGAACAAATTAGTATGTGTTTAGTCGTGGATCTCACTGTCACAATATAAGTGACATCAGCTGAGATCAGCTAATTCACCAAAGACCAGGGACCTGAGACATTTCTGCAATAGTTTGGCTCTGTCATCGGCATCCTACTTATTTGTCTATTACTAGGTATATTTTCCCACTGGGGATGGAAATAGAATCTCCACTTCCCTATACATGTTAACTTGATACAATTTAGTGTTAGCAATCTATCTATATCTCATATATATCTCATATACCTTTAAATTGGTTGATCTCTTCTAGCTTTTAAGTTTGTGATTTATTTTTAACCAATATAGTTGGGCGAGGGGAGAGAAACCAAGAAACTTAAAGTTGCAGATGATTAAATTAATGTTATACTTTATGTCTTTGACTATAGAAAATATGTTTGTCACTTGCATTCTAGATGTAACTAAAATCATCTGTGTGCTTCTCTTTACTGTTTACAATGGCTTTATGTCAAAATGTTTGTGTGTGAGATTTATTAATTGTCTTGTGTTCTCTTTCCATAATGGCTTTGCTCTACCTCCTATTTGCACTCTGGTCAATGTATACAGAAGGTAATCAAATTCAACAAATTATTTTCAATTTGTAGTGTATACATGCATGCTTTACCATGCTCCCCCTGGCTCGGGGTCAGACTCTACCACTGTCAAGCGCTACCCCACGTGAAGGTTGCTATATAAAATTCAAATTGTTGAAGTTGTGCATGCATTTCCACAAGCTATACCTATTCACATGTTTATGGGAGTATTGCATTGTAATAATATTCCTTCAAGGCTTTTCTTCTAAAGACTGCTGTCAAAAAGTAATTACTTAAGGAAATGCCTTCCTTTTTGCTGACTATTTTGCATCCAAATATTTTAGGACCTATTCCTTTTTCTTATTTATGTGTTTTTAAAGTTGTATTTAAAAGAGTTTCAATTCAGTTTGAATTTCAGTAATCTGCCTTAGTGTTTCCTACAATCTATTTGTTTCTATGCAATTGCAGGGAAGTCATTTCAGCTTTATTCACACAACCTGATTGCCTTGTTTGAACAAGCAAGGAAACCTGGGTTAGCATCCCATATGCAAACGCACCGATTTCCTGACAAGATAATACCTAGGTAACAAAACTGCTTTTTACAGGAATGTTGAGTGTCATTTAAAATTCTGCAATGGAGAAATTAGGTGTTTAACTTGAAATTCTCATCTTGTATAATTCCAGAAGGTTTGCCTTAACAACAAAAATTCCTGAAACAAAAGGCTGCCACAAATGTTGCATTGGTGAGTAAGAATATAATATTTTCCAACATTTGTGGAGTCCTGTAGCTCAGTGGTTAGAGCACTCGCTTTGCAAGAGAGAGACCTGAGTTCAATTCCAGGCAGGTCAGGGCGAAACCTTGGGCAAGTTTCCTTACTCCACACGCCTAATAATAATCCCTCCAAAAACAATAATAAATTGGTCATTTTCAATCTACGACTGTTTGTGGGACATTGCTGTGCGCAATTGGCTGCCGCGTTCGCCCACAAATATACAGTCAATTCACTTTACAGTGTGTTCTGTGAAGCGCTTTGGGACGTCCTCCCGACGTGAAAAGCGCTATATCAAATGCAAGGATTATTATTATTATTATTAGGTTAAACTTTGTAACTTGTTGATTGCAAATTGTGTCCAAAACTGCAGCCGTTGAAAAGGTATAGGATTTTTTCTGAGTTTTTCATAGTGGCACAACTTCAGGGTAGAGTACAGGAAGCTTTATTCTGCATCTGATCTTTACTATGTATAATTTGGGAATATTTCATTGTTGAATTAATTGACAAAGATGGAAAAAGTATCCTAATTAGCAGCACTAACATGCCTCACCTTGACGGTGCAAAAGTTCGTCAGATAAATTTTTTTAAAACTCGTATTGAGTTTCAAAATTATATCTGTAGTAATGTGCAGATCAGTATTTGAAAAATAGTACTTTTTGTTTTGAATGTAAAAAGCATTCCTCTTCCAAAAGTATATACATTTTTGTGAAACATTACTTGTATGTTACCCTTAATTACAGTGAGAAATCCATACACAGGACACAAATATCTCTGTGGAGCCCTGCAGTCAGGTATTGTCTTACTGCAGTGGTATGAGCCAATGCAAAAGTTCATGTTGATCAAGGTCAGTATTCAACGTTTACATTTTTAAGATGTTACTTTTATTACCCTTTTACCGCTGTCTTTTCCTTTAGTTTTTAAATTATTATTTGTAAATTTCATATGTGGAATACAGAACCATGTAGAACAAAACACTCAATGGACTTTTTTTCTTGCAGCACTTTGACTTTCCACTCCCAAATCCTCTTAAGGTGTTTGAAATGCTTGTGGTACCTGAACAGGAGTACCCAATGATCTGTGTAGCCATCAGCAAGGGTAGCGAACCCAACCAAGTAGTCCGGTTTCAGACAATAAACCTGAACTCCTCTTCTTCATGGTTTACAGAAATAGGTTCAGGTAAGCTATTGGTTAAGAAGTGCTTAATTGTTTACTTCCAACTTTTCCTTAAGGCAGTAACTCACACTGCATTAAAAGTGTCTTGCCAAAGGGCTATATTTTATCTGAGTTAAAGGGAAGCTGGGAGGAAAGATTATTTACTTCCAGGTAGCTTCTGGGGGTAAATGGCACTTTGTTTATTAGTATTACTCATTGAGTTTGGAAATAAATATAACTCAATGGAGTTGCTCAATCACCAAATTGGAAAAATAGATCAGCTGATCTCTTTCAAATGTTGTCATCAATTCAAATCAAAAGTGTTTTATTAAGCAATCTTTGTACATCTAAAGTGTTAAATGGTTATATAAATTACTTGGTGGTGTCTTTTATTCCCTAGGCAACTGCCAGGTAGATACGATCCAAGTAACCCAACTGGAAAGAGACACGGTGCTTGTCTGCATGGACAGTAAGTACCTGTCCTTTCCTTATTCTATGATTCAGATATTTTCTGTAACATCAAGAAATTAGAATTTTTTAACCCAGATTTGCTTCAAATGTACAATGAGACATGCTATTGTAAATTCAAACCTTATTTTTTTCCTTTTCAGAAAGTGTGAAAATCGTAAATCTACAAGGAAAATTGAAATCGAACAAAAAGTTGGCATCAGAACTGAGTTTCGACTTTTGCATTGAATCCGTAGGTAAGAAAAAATTAAACAGAATTATCTTAGATAAATTCAGTACATTCATTTTGTATCCCTCAGAATGAAATTTCATTTTGGAAAATTTGTTTGTGTGATTTGAAAATCCACTTTTTAAAAAATAACAGATACAATTCACCCACAAAATGCTGGAAATGTTACTTTTTAACAAGGCAAGTGGTGCTGAACAAAAAAAAACTTACTGCTATCTCTATGCATTTCTTTCTTACCTTTCTCATTTCAGTGTGCCTTCAAGACAGTATATTGGCCTTCTGGAAACATGGAATGCAGGGCAAAAGCTTTAAGTCAAATGAAGTAAGTTCAGTCTTACCTTCCAAAGTTAGTACATAGCTGGTAAATACCATTTTTAATTGGGTTTTGCACTTATAGAATATGTGTGTATTCTGAGGAAATTACTGGCTTCATTATACTATTAACAACAACAAAATTACATTTATAGAGCGCCTTTCATGATCGGGAGGATGTCCCAAAGCGCTGAACAGTCTTGTGTCGGGGCCCGAGCATGGGGGAGGGGTAGTGTAGGGGTGAGTGAAGGCAGAGAGGTGGGAGGGAGACCAAAGACATGGTTGAAGAGAAGGGTCTTGAGATCGGCCTTGAAGGAGGCAAGGGAGGAAGCGAGGCGAAGGGACCGTGGGATGGAGTTCCAGAGTGTGGGGGCAGAGAGGCTGAAAGCCCGGCCACCGATGGTAGGTCGGGCGGGAGACCTGGAGCAGGCCAGAGCCCGATGAACGGAGTGAGTGGGCAGGTTGGTAGGGAGTCAGCAGGTCAGAGAGGTAGGAGTTAAAGGTGAGGATGAGGATCTTGAACTCGATCCTTTGGAGGATGTGAAGTCAGTGGAGTCGGGTGAGGGTGGGAGTGATTAACATTAACATTACAATGTGCACAAATATTGATGAACTATTGACTGAATACCTTTCCAACAATATAATTATGACTGAGAACTTATTCTGAGGATTGGAAATACAAAACCGTATTTTACGGTGCAACGTGTTGGAGCATTGTTTTAATCTTCCTGAGTAACCAATTTTTTATAAAATCTCATTTTGACTCCAGTCCTTGCACTTTACAATAACCTTTGCAAAACTTTTTGACTGTTTTTTGAATAATTTCCACATGGCATCTGTCAGCTCCTTTTACAAGTGAATGCTTATGAACATTGCTCGCGTTTCTAAGTTAATAATGAATGGAGTTTTTTTTGTATGCTAGATTCATTACAAATAAAAAGTACTGAAAATATATTTTTAAAAACAATGGCCAGCCTTGTTGATATCCACTGGAGCGATGAAGCAATTTGGTTGGTTACCTTTTGGCTTGTGCTGATATGACTCTTGTCTACTCCTTCCCATTAATTATTTGGATAGATGTAAGGTATAATCTTATATTGTAAGGTATGGAACATGCATGGAATCACTTATTTACAGCAACGATTTGTTTAAGAGTAGGATTATGAATCATTTTCATGAATCATCAGTAATGTTTACCACAAGTCTTTTGTGAAGCACAGAGACTGTTAGTACAGTAGAATACAAATATGTTGATGGATTCTAAACAATCAGCAAGTCCCTAGTAACAGAATGCCAGGAGTAAATGTTGGCCTTTGATCATAATAATTTTCCAATTAAATTTATAAACGGAAAGTGCTCTTTGAAATGCAGATATTATCCTTCTGGAACACCCATCCTACTGTCCTCCTTTAATCGTCAAGCTGTTTAAAGTGTTAGACTATCAAAATGATCCGCACACAGCTAGTATTTTGGTTGTCTTTTTGTTTAAAATGATTGCTGTAGCAGCCTGACTAAGTGTATAAACAGAATTCAATTGATGTATTTATGTAAGTCATGGTTCTAAGTACATAGGTTGCATACCTTGTTTATTTGAAACAAAATGTGAATCTTAATTGTTTTACTTAGAAATGCATTTTCACGTTTGTTTAAATTAGGTTACTCAAGAAATATCTGATAAAAGTAGAGTCTTTCGTCTCTTAGGATCTGACAGGTAAGAAAGTTACCATCAACATTTCAGGTATCTACAGATAAACTATCCTTGTGTTGAATTTATAATGTGGTTAGTTTCTTCCTTATTACTGGACATACAATCCTAGGTTTGAGCGCGTTACTGCTCATAGAGCAGTTTAGTATTTTATAAGAGGTTGCATGTTTGATCCCCAGTGGAGGAATCCTGGTCTGTCTATAGGACTCGAACTTCCTACCCTCAAATGAGTAAATTAATTTTGAACGGGATAAAACATGGAAGCATCATGCATTAATCTGTTCTGTCTTGAGAGATATAAGTAAACTGTTAACTAGCTTTGCACACACATCCACTGAAACCTCAATAGCCTTGATGGTTGTCCAAACATTCCAGCTTACTTTTGTGACTTTGATATGCTGCTGAATTGTTTTACTAATTAGTCTTTATGGAAAATTCTGTTAGTTTCTAAAGTTGTGAAATATTTCGCTGTGTGCTATTTTAACTGCTATTGGTTTCATATTTTGAAAAAGTGTGGGAAAGGGGCTTGCACGGGTGGGTTAATGACTGTCTGCTAAATTATCAATGGTAATAAATTATGTCTTTTGAATTTTTTTTCATTTACTGGTAAAACCAAACCCATGTTGTTATTGATCGTTTAGGGTTGAGAATGTGACTGTTTTGATTGTGGTAATAGTGGTTCATAAATGCTGATTTTATATTTCAAATTGCAACAATAAATTGATATTGATATTCCTTTTGTTATTGCAGGGTTGTAGTGTTGGAAAGTCGACCTACTGACAATCCTACAGCACACAGCAATCTCTATATTCTAGCTGGCCATGAAAACAGTTACTAAGCAACACCAAGAAACTTGATCACAATGGCTGCTGATTGAAATGAGACGAACTTAAAACTGCTTCGGACGAGGAACATTCAGTGTTGAGGAATATATAAAAACATAATCCATGTTTTGGCTACATTGACCTATTTGTGTGTGTTTGATTATGCTTAGAGTCTATCAAAGTAAAGTTTTTTTTAAAAAAATAGCAAGTTAGTAAATGTGATAGCTGAACATGGCATTATTGAAAATGTCTTGCCACTGTGTGGTTGGTCAGTCATATCAAGTCTATTTCACCACAGCCATCACTAACAGCTACATTATAAACTGTGTCAAAGATCTTGTTTCTAATTGTGAAACTTTGGTAATTCACAGCAAAACGAAGGTATGCCGAAAACCTGAAAAAGTGCCAAAATGTGTACTCACACATTTCATAAATCTTTGCAGCAAAGTTCATTGGTCTGTGTTAATTGTAATACGTAAGGTCCATAGCTAACTTTTTAGTACCAGTTCTTTGAAAAACTGTCTTGCCTAATAGTTTTGTAGAGTTTAGTGCACCAGCTGCAAGATTGTACAGCATATAAAAAAAATCTGCCGTAGTGTAAAACTGAATATTTAAATGCTTTATTTATTAATCTGCCATCTATGAAAGATTATATACTTATGGGAAAAAAGGTAATCTTGTCATACAAATTTAGTCAAATTTACCTTAAAGAAGGTAAGGGCTGTTAGAAGGGGGTAAAAGATATTTTAGCTGTTTGGCTGGGCATATTGTAGTATATAATGTAGATGTTAACTCTTACACTGTTACTTTGTATAAAGGCACAATAATAAGCACTTTTTTGTACAACTTTAATTATTTGTGAGGTTTGGCTGTATAGATGCCATGGTAGAATTTTTTCATCAATCTTAAAGCTTTTCCTACATAATGTATATTGAAGGTGGGTTTTTATACCTTTAACATATAGTAATATTGGTCTGAAACTGACTGTAGTAATAAAATAGCGGGTCATAAATGTCAAAGATGTTTGAATATTTCAGAAAATTGGTGATACAAATTCTCTGTTGGTTGTCATTCTATTTCATCAATGTTTACTTTTCCCTTGAATTATAGCTTCTGAATGCAGGCCGTAGACATTTTTAGTAACAAATTCAGTTTCTACCTCACCCAAAGAATTTGTCATCCTTATTTTCTGCCACCTACTTTCTTTAGCCTGTTCTTTATACAACATCTGGTTGGAAAACTGCTCAGTGGTTTTTATTATTGTTCGCATTCTTCAATTTTACATGCTGTGCATTATAAAGGTTGGAATTAAAACACTATTTGTAGAACAAACTAATTTTAGTCGTATAATGTGCATCTGTAAATAATGTATAATAAAATATTCAGTGCATTGTTACATAAATTATCAATCCTTGTTTTGCAATATGTGAACAACAAGCAATCTGGTGTCTTTTGTGGTATAATGTACAACATCTTGAATATCATCTCGATCTGAAAACATTTTTTTTCAATTTGGTACGTACAGATTTTACTGAGTAACTTTAAAATTGCTTTGTTTCTTAAACTTAGGGTCCAAAATACAGTATTTGTATTATTCAATAACATCCAAGTACAGTAACATCCTTTTATTGGGATTTTGCTACACCATTGTTTAAGATCATAGATTTGTTTTTAAAAATCTTTGTTTTTGAGATCATATTAACTGGATATTAAAAATTCCATATGAAGTACAGTGATGCTAAATATTTAATAGTTTCTATTTCTAATTGGAAGTGCATGTTTATCACACAGCATGGATAATAGCTTCCTCTTTTTCTAAAGCGACAGTTGAGATCTATATCTCTACTTGGATATCTTCCAATTTCTAAATTTTTTTTAATTTAAATTTGCTTTGATCAAACAATAGGCATTCTGAGCAGCAACAATTCAGCTAAGTACTACTAGTCTCACAACAGAATTCCTAAATTGTAACAGTCGATTCAACATAGCAACAATTCCAATGCAATAATATGGTGATCCTATTCCTTGTCACAATTTTTGTCACAGTCTTTTATTAATTATTATGGTTGTTATAACTCTCTCAATATGCTGTGCCTAAATAGCTCTATTTGTAAATTCATGAAACTTGTCCCAGTAACGCAAACATTTTTGACATGCAGTGATAGACTCTTAAAACCAGTAGTAAACAATCTCACCCTTCATTTGTTATTTTCACTCTTCTCTTCCTCTTACCCCCCGTCCCACTGTGTGTGTGAAGGGTCTGTAATACAATCATTGTTTACTCCTAAAAAGTGTCTCAGTACTTTTTCAAAAATGAAGGGACATTTTTTATGATTAATGGCCATTTCTTGTGTTCTGTTCACTTCAGTCAATCATTTAGTGCATACATTTGCTTTAAGAAATCAGTGCAGTTCCTTTTAGCCAAAAACCCAGAGATGATGCAATTCCTTCATTAATTTTAGATTGAAAAGACTTGGTGATGGATTGTTCTAAAACACTTTGCAACTCCCTTGTACAATTTTGTTTCATGGCTCTACTCCCACATGTTGAAGCACTTTGACAGCCTCTACATTTTGGGAGAAGCTGCTACTGACAAACCAGTTCTTAGCAGCAGCAGCAGCAGTGTGATTTTTGTGTGCATAAGATTTTTTCTAAAAAGACAACAAAACCACTGTGAGGAGAAAGGTCAATTGCTAAGGAAGGAAGGAGAGGAATGCTAAAAGGGAGTCACAAAGTATCTCAATTAATTAAAAAACGAAACCCTGGTGGAATAGCCTGCTGGTACTCCAGAAGGGGTGGGTTGTTGAGTTTTCTGAGGATTTGCAGTTATCTTTGGATTCACCCCAACATGAGGCAGTGAGGGGAGGAAGGAGGGAAAAGTGAGAGAAAGAAATGCGAAGGTTTACTATTTCAGTGCCAAAATCAGTCCTCAGATTTGCAACAATAATGCTAACACCTTGCAGATCTCGAATTGGATTTTTCCGATCTCCAATGACAACTTGCTCTGGGACGCTACCCTACATGAGGGGCACTATATAAATGGAAGCTGTTGCTGTTATGTTCCATGCTTGTCAACCTTGCTGGTACAGACAGCATTATTTTTTTTTTAAATTATCTGTAGAAATTGTTCAAATATATTGCAACAGATGAATGGCATTTCACAATAACACGCACAAATCAGTTAAACCAGAACATTTCACTCAAAGACGATGTTGGGGCTGTGTTGGAGGAATGCAATGTAAATGGTGAGTGGGTCGGTAACCAGAGGAAGCGGATTCAAGATAATCGTCAAAAGAACCACAAGGGGAGAGGAGAATTTTTTTTAACCGGTTTTAACTTTTAGAGTTGTTACGATCTGGAATGGACTGCCCGAAAGGGCGGTGGAAGCCGATTCAATAATAATTTTCAAAAGGGAATTGGATGTTTACTTGAAAAGAAAAAAAAAAGACACTATCGTAAGACGGTTGAGAGGAAAGCGCTGGGGCACGGGGACGAATTGGATAGCTCTTTCAACCAGTCCGCGCGGCCACCGTGGGCCGAATGGCCTCCCTTCTGCGCTGTAAGATCTCGTCCTGAAGGTGAGAGGAGCAGCCCTGAGCGGTGATCTTGCACTGCTCTCTGTGTGCCAGGCGGTGGTGATGGCGGTGATGTTGACAACTCAAGTCAGATGGGTGTGTGTTGTTGTGGTGATGAGGAGAAAGCGAACCTGTTTGTGAGTGACAAATCCAACCAGAGTGAAGGAGACCTGAGATCAAATGACCAGCCCTCCCTCTCCCTCTCTCTCTCTCTCTCCCTCTCTCTCTCTCCATCCCTCCCTCTGGGTCTAAGGTAGGAAAGGTTTGAGCTCTCTTTCTGGGAGCACCATTTTATTGCTTTCCTTTGGGTGGGTGGGGGTGGTGATGGGGAAGGAGGAGGGGGTCAACCTGGTCCGAAAGCGATAGAAACCAGTGCTGAGCAAACGTTGCTGAACCCAAGCACTTGTCTGGGGGTCAGTGGCGAGAAGCTGCAGAGTCTGAACAGCGATGGTTCGCTGAAGACGAAATGTGTGTACGTGTGCAGTAGGTTCAATGCATTTCCTTTAATGATTTAAAAACTCTGCATAAAGTCTGCATTATTTTTTTTTGCAAAAAAAAAAGGGGATTCCACTCCACTTGCTCAGAGGGAGAGAGAGAGAGAGAGAGAGAGCATAAAGCAAACCCAAGCAGCTGTGACCACATGCGTTTCCATTGCAACGGTGTGTCTGTCGTTGGTTTTATTCGTCTTCTGAGTTTGCATCCTACATATTTCAGGTGTTTGTTTGTGTATCAAATCACTGGCACAGGGTCAAGTCGCCATTTTAAGAGGGATTCACTGAGCTCTGATACAAAGTGACAGGGAGAGAGGGAGAGAGAGGGGAAGCAAAGCAAAGCAAAGCAGGGTCCTCCCTCCCCCCCACCCCAGCCTCACAGCCCAGCAACCCACCTCCAGCCCAGCAACCCACCCCCCAACCCACCCCCAGTCCAGCAACCCACCCCCCAACCCACCCCCAGTCCAGCAACCCACCCCCCAACCCACCCCCAGTCCAGCAACTCACCCCCAGTCCAGCAACCCACCCCCAGTCCAGCAACCCACCCCCCAACCCACCCCCAGTCCAGCAACCCACCCCCCAACCCACCCCCAGTCCAACAGCTCAGCTCAACGATGGAGAAATACGAGAAAATCGGGAAGATCGGCGAAGGCTCTTACGGAATCGTGTTTAAATGTCGGAATAAAGACACCGGGCAGATCGTGGCCATCAAAAAGTTCGTGGAGTCTGAAGATGACCCGGTTATCAAAAAGATTGCGCTCAGAGAGATCCGAATGCTGAAGGTAAGTTTGTAAACCAAACCACTTGTGATCCCTATACACCAAACTACTGTGTAGCGTTTTCCCCCAAATGGGGTTTAACCATTTTATCTGTAAATCTATCTTTATTATCGTTTATTGAATACAATGGACGAGATTATACGTTTTGTTTTTTCTAAAGTAAATGGCAATGTTTTTTTGCACATAATAATAAATATCATGATAATAATTTGGTCACTCAAGCCATGACTGTTTCGCCCACAAAACGTATAGTCAATTCACTTTACGGTATATATTCTGTGAAGCGCTTTGAGACGTCTCAACGACATGATAAGGCGCTATATCAAATGCAAGGATTATTATTATTTACTATTGGAGAGATACATGTATTTCATATTAGGGCTTGGAGGGTGATCACAGGTTTACTTGCAGTTAAAATTCAGCTTCTCGGTGGATTTCCTTGCAACAGCAAACTCACTTCTATTGTCAAGCTTTAAGCACAGCAACAAAGTTGTGAAGTAGAAAACAATGCAGATATCTGTATTTATGATAAGCCTGTTGCAACTCATCCAATACTTTTATCAGCAGAAGTGTATGTAATTGGTAACCTGTTTCTTTTTGTGGTCCACGCAACACTGACTTATGCAAATAATGATTTCCCTTTCCCCCCCCCCCCTCTGATTACTATTTATATTTCTAATTCTATTTATTATTCATGGTGACCTACAAACCGTATGGGAAGAAAGTTACCTGAGGTGCAAAATTTAAAGTTCTGTGTTATATAAAATATCACAGCCATTTAACAGCTACAGCTGTCGAAGTTACTTTGACAACAATCCCTGTCTGTTCTGAAATAGTCTCGGTCATTCTCATTATTAATGTAGGAATAGGAAATGACAGTGTAAGACATCTTACTAAAAATATGTTTCTTAACGTTCAGCCAGACTTTGAAATAAAATTAGCTACAGCACGACCGGCTCCAGCCACACCTTCTGTTTGTCTTTTGGCTGCTTTGTTTCGTTTGGAAATTCAGGCCATTATTGTGCGAAATGCACATTGTTTAACCACAAATATAACTGCCTTGGTTACTGACACAACACAGAAGTACAGGAAGAAGAAGTAGTCACTTGGTTCTCAGAAGAGACCAATAGTAATGCTGATTCTGATCCTATCATTACCGAAAGTATGCTCATGATTACAGTATTAGCAAATACTTTTTTTAAAGTTAAAACAAGCTTTAATTTCTTTCTTTGCTGTTCCTTCAAATAATGTGTGCGGTTCATATTTTAAATGTTAAAGCAATTATTTTTGGATGTCCTTTTTTTCCCCCTCCTTCCCTTCTCTCCTCCCCTCTCTCTCGAACACACACACAATCTCATTCAGGTTAGTGGATACTTCCCATCTCTTCCGAGCCCTGGAATTGGAATTCCACTTGGTCTTTGGCCTGGTCCTGTAAGATTAAAATTATATTGCCTTAATAATTTAACCTCGTGGAAATTTATCAAAATCGGTTTGAATTTTGGAAGCCGTTTTCCGTATCTCTTAAAAAGACCCGGCTTCAAAATTAACACAGAAATGATGGGAGTTTTCACAATTTATGTTCAGTCTTACCATTTTAAGACAATGTGTCTTATTAGGTGGCATTTGAGTGTTGCCGATCCATTACTGGGGAACAGTTTGACAGGATGGCTATAGAATGATTCATTATTAACACCAGAAAGTTCAGAATGAAACTTGGAAATGGAACTATAAATTGTTCCTCAGCATTGACCAGAATCACTTTCTGATTTTTAGATAAGGTTTATCATATGATCCATGTGGGAATCACTCCTTCCCTTTTCAGTTCCCAGACCAATAGTGTTGTATTGTTTGAATGTTTCAATAGTTCTTTGATAAAATGTATGCGAATAAAAATCATTGCAATACTGTAAATGCTTAAGTCTGTTGATATGGATAACTGCAGGTACAAGTTCGGTTCCATCTGCTTTAAGTCTATGATGAGACCTGAAATATGTACAAACGATATCCTTAAATCGAACAATTTTGTCCTGTCTCATAGCATCACATCAGTTACTCTTAGAGACAGGACTATGATGTGATTTGAGATTCATCATGGCTGCATTGTGAAGAAAATGTCAGGGTCACCTTGATGGAAATAACTCTTTGAATAAGTTTTTTTGATGTTATTTATGATGACGAACTACCAATTGCAATTATAGTGGAGCTTTCTTATTGCCTGAATTGATTTGCTTGGCAAAACTCTATTCCATTATATAGGACACTTGTATTGCTGGACGAGCCCAGTCTCTCAGCTATAGCATTTGTATGTTCGTGCAGGGAGACCAGGGGAATCGGGAAATAAGGCCAATTTAAAAAAACACACACAGAAGTAATAGTGACACAGGCACACAGGACAGAAGGCCCTCTTTCTATACTGTAAATTTCTATATTTTGGTTACAAAAAAATCCCAGTTCTTTTCTCTGAGCACCACAGAGTATCTAACCCACTGAATCTTTTCACGATTTTTAAAAAAACTTGAATCTTGTTTTCCTTCCTCTACTGTTGGCTCAGGATGACAATGTCAGCACATCTGAGCTTCCAACTAATGAAAAGTTTAAGCTTTAGAGAAGTTAGGAAGTTAAGTTATTAGGTTACTAAACCAGCACCACATCTGGGACAGATTTTCTACTAGCAGATTGCTTCCTTATGCACGGATTTGTGCTTAACAACCAGTAGCTTTGAATATCAATATATTAAATACCAAATGCAAAAATATTCAAAGATGAATAAATATGACATTATTATGACATTACTTCAAATGTAAATGTCATTGAGTTAGCTGGCAAAAACATGTTTTATGAATGTGGTTCTATCCTGCTGTGGATTGCACTGCACGTTTCTGAATAATTGTTATCAAATACTAAACCATAACTAACCAGTAAACTGCTTCAAACTGAGCATCATGATAAGGTCGAGATCTGTTGGTTCAGTGCTGCTATTGCTAAGAAGAGATTGATGTCCGTAGTAAATATGCCAACCGTTAATAAATCAGTATTTTCCCTGATGTTGTGTAAGTAAGTAATGTGTTAGAAATTAGTGGGAGTCTCACATCAACTCAGTAGCCAGACAGCAATGTAGATATGACACAAATGACATGTTTCTGTGGCATCACTGGAAAGGGTTTGTTCAGAGGGTTGTGTTTATATTGAGGTAGCACTTGATCCACTCTTTCCAGAGATTCCCGAGTAATTTCCAAATGCACTTGCTTCATTACATTCAAATAATTATTATTTTCTAATATTTTAGTCAAAAGTATTCATACAATTTTAATTCTATCATAGAATCACATGGTATTTTTTTAAAAGTTATATTTTATGAATTTTGAAAAGGCTTTTGTGCAAAATCATTTCCATTCACAAATGTATGACCTATCCTGGAGGGTATCCTTCTAAACATTTTTTAAAAAAATTCACTCAATCCATGACTGTTTGTAGGCGCAATTGGTTGCCTATTTCAGCTACAAAATACAGTCAGTCCACTTCACAGTATATTCTGTGTTGCGCTTTTAGATGTCTCAATGATGAGATAAGGCGCTATGTCAAATGGAAGGATTATTATTATTAAACGCAAGTCAAGACCCATTAAAAGTGATTTTTTTTGCCACAAACTTGCACTTCAGTATCACATTATTAAAGGAGTGGGCTCAATTTATTTTCATTGACTGTACACTTAAAAAGGGGGTTGAAACAAAAGTTGAGCCACCATGGTTCTTGCGAATCTGCTGGCCTGTTTTTCTAACATAAACATATAAAGCGAGTATTAACCTTTGCTGGATTGAGAGTGCCTTTGCTGGACTCCTTTCAGCGTTCCAAACTCTGAAACATTAACTGTGTAATTCTAGCAGATGAAAGGGAGCCAAGTGAAGGCACATTCTATGGAGAGGTAAATGCCTCCAAGGGCCAATACAGTACGATGATTTTATGAATTGTTGCTCAACATTAAGAGCTGCCATGGAAACCGAACACTATCCGTTTGAGAGTGTATGTTGCACGCTTTTCTGTGCTTGTTCGGTTTCCATTAAGGTTGGAACCAGTTCTTACCCTGAGCAGGAGGACTTTGATCTATAAATAATAATTGCTTTCCGGGATTGCACACAGATGTCACAATATAAAGTAAATCTAAGATGTGACCAAAGAGAAAATTCTACTGTACTTAACGGGGCAGAATTTGACATAAAGTTCATACCACTTCAAAGTGAAAAACTAAATTCTGTTTGTTGTGCATCAAATGTTAATCAGATAGCTTTTTTCATCAGAAGTGCATTATCTGGCAAAATAATTTCATTGCAGGTAATAAAATGCCATTAATACAGAGCATTCAGTTCTGATGAAAGGCTCTGAGTGGTTCCAAATAGTTGCAGAAATCCAAAGAGTAAATACTGAATATAATTGATCCTTTTTTCATGAGGCAAATTGGGAAATCTCACTTTAAATAAATCAGACACCGAAAGGGAAACATCTCTTTTTTTTTCTTCAGACAAGAGAATTGCGTTTGTCCAATTCAAAATGTATTGTCAAACAAACTGAATTGAAACAATCATGTTTGTAAATTCCCAACATATTGTGTAAGCTTTTCAGACGACAGTATCAAATAATGACTTGATTCAAAGTTATTTTGATTTTTCAGTTTCGATTTGCCTTTGGTTGCTTTGATGAGCACAAGATAGTGGCTACAGCTGACTTGTGTTATAGTACTTAGAATAGTACTTGCATCCGAGACTGCACGTAAAGCGCTTTCACAGTACTTTATTTAGAAGTGTATTGACTGTTGTTGTGAAGGGAAACATGGCAGTCAGTCTGCACCAGGGACATCCCACAAACAGCATGAGATGAATGAGAAGATTCAAATCTTTTATTGCTTTGGAACATTTGGATGAGAGACTGGTAAATTTCCCTGCTCTTCCACAGGATCTTTATCTACCGTGCCTTTGGGGAGCCCAGTGGTGTTTAATTTATTGCAATGTTGCTAACAGATGAGCAATTGGTTAACGTGTCTACAGTGCTCTTCTCTATGGCTACCACTGTAATGAATTGTTTTAAGTGTTTTCTTTTAGAATAGAAGACAACCGGTCTTAAAGCACAGTGTACAGCTTGAGTGTTTTAATTGGCTTGAGATCTTGTATTCCAGCCCAGGGCATGCTAGTACCTTTATTATAGTTGCTAGTAGACAGGATAAAAGCAAGTCGAAGCCAATAGTGGCTGTTTGAAGGAATAGGCCAGGATTGAGACAAACAATGGCCTTATTCACAAGTACTCTTCTGAAAAGTATGGCCCACCTCAAACTCATCCATTAAGAAGCTTCCTTGTTAATCAGAGCCACTACTTTGCCATAAAAATGAACGTCTTGGGTGGTAAATGGTAAAGTGTGTAAGGGAGATATGGAAGGGAATTAAAACCCTGAACATTGTCTATTGATATCTGCTCTTAGACAATTAGATTACAAACAATTCATTTACTAAACAATAAAATTGCGTTATTTTTCAGTGAAATCAGATGATGTTTTGGGGGCTGCACAATGTGAAGGATGTTAATGCTGAGAAACTGGAACACTATGACACCTAATCTCTTCGAAGGAAACTTCTAACAAAGGGCAGAAAAACCTATTCTTTAGCAAGAGACAAATCGTGTGTGTATCAAAATGACAAAAACCTTATCAACCGTTTCTACTCTGGTGCCATCCGGTTCTTTGCTTCTAGTTTTCCGTCATCACATCCTCTTTAAACTTAGAATTTTTGATGTTATTTGTTTATCTGATACAATTTGAGTTCTGTAATTGGATAATAGTAAATAACAAGCTTTTCCCCCTCCCTTGCCCCAGCCTCTGGATTGCAGTTGGCCTAAAGGACATCATATTACATCATTGTGTCTTGTCACAACATCCTGGTTGACGTGAATGATGCAAACAGTACGTTAAGGAATTCATCTTGTACATGAATCTATTGAAAACTGAACCCCAAAACTTCTTGTTTTCAGCAACTCAAACATGCCAATCTGGTGAACTTGATTGAAGTGTTCAGAAAGAAACGGAAGCTACATTTAGTTTTTGAATACTGCGATCACACAGTGTTAAATGAACTGGACCGATACCCAAGAGGGTGAGTAATGCTGCATTGTGTACATCAAGGAGATGAAATGTGATCAAAGGCACATCTTGGTTTTCTCGGTCTTCAAACCAGCTTTTTCATGATTAGTATTGTGGTTTTAGAATCCGCTTTTCCAGAATATTTTAAAGGACGTGCTTCATTCTTTTTTTCAGAATTAAAAAGCAGCATTAAAAAAACAGACCATCTCGTCAAAAAACGTTTACTACATACAGTTTGGTTTTGACGCACAATATTGTTGCTTGTATAAGTAGAGATGAGTTAGTTTCTAGTATAGGAAAGTGTTACCAAACTCTGAACTGCTCGGTCGTTTGTTTTTGTGTATTGTTTATAATATGTTTCTATCCCTTCTTGCTATTTTGAAACTAGGTCCTTGTGCAGTTTTTAAATTTTACAACAAGGTCATTGGCAAACTCTAAGCTGCTTGTATGTATTTTGCATAGAAGATTGGTGAACTTTCTTTGATAACTTCTAAACGTGTTTTTTGTGAATAAGACGATGACTAATGTACACATCGGGATAATTGAAATTAGTAATAAAAGGGAAAGGCTGAACAGGGAAGGTTGCTGTTTATAAACCAGGCTCATGTAATAGAGTAATAAAAAGTGTATTATTCAAGCATATCCAAGTTGTAAATGTTGGCTCTGTAGGGGTTATTCATTTTCACCATCTTCTTGCCTGCTTCTACTTGTCTGCAATTGTCTTAGTTAGAGTTTATGTCCTTATTCCTGAATATTTCATTAAACATTCAACAGTTAATGTCACGTTACCCAAGAAATCTCATCAGGCACCAGACACCAATGTTTTCAGTGTTTCTGTGTCCTGTTCCAGACTTTTTGTTACATTTACAAATGTACTTCCATTCTCCACAATCTTATAAAAGCTAATGAGCTCAGTCTCTTTGTTCTCAGTTGTTAAAAAGGGACCTGCGTTTTTACGATCTCTTTACAGTCCGCAGTTCAAGTTGCAGATGGATTTCATGAGTAACTGCTTGGAGTTTCTACAAAAAGAGGTGTTGGACGTTGCAGGGCTTATTTTACTATCACTAAGCAAAGTAGAGGAGCAATTTAAAGCTGTACGTGAAGAACTTAGTCATGATATAAATTGGATAGCCTGCTGATGTTTGTCATGCAGCCCCTACGATAAAATGCTGATCATGTGCACAATATGATGTGGTTTAGAAAAAGGAAAGGATTGGCACTGTATACCATTATAGTGGATTTCAATCTATTTCCTGAGTAATTAACAATACGCACAAGCAACTTACGAAGAAGGTATAGATATAAATATCAATACATGAATCATATTATTTATTGCTGGAGCGTCCACATTGACAGTAACTTTGCTAATGACCCAGAATTAAAGACTGTTTTCACATTCCTTGTGATTTAGAATTAACTTAAATCACAAAAGCTTTCTTGCATTGGATAGTCAGAGAATGAGACTAGAAACAATAAAAATAAACCGCCCTTTATTCTGGAAGCTAAGTTTTGTAAAAGTAGTTTGATCATTGAACTGTGATGTTGCGATTGCAACGCTTCTCACCCTGAAACACGGGGAATGTGCAAGACAACCTGAGCAACATGAGTTGAATAGGATGTGTTGTGAAAATAAAATTAGGGGAAAAATCAATGATCTCAGAGGCTAGGGAGGCCAAAGGAAGAGATCAGGAGCATTGCAGCAGGATCTCTTTACCTTCACACAAAACTTCAGTAAGATGATGAAGTTAAACACAAAGCTATAGCTTTCATTGCAGCAACCTATAAGTGACTCACTTTGCATAGAACCACAGCCAATCTGCCCCTAGCCATGAAAGATGCATAAAGTTCCCTTTATTCTTGCAATTCTTGCTGTATCATTTGGTTAATGGTCTTAGATACATAGATGACTATACTTAGGAGCTTCTGCAAAATATAGAACAGTAACATTATAAAAAGCTTCAGTAAGGTTAACATAAATAGGCTGTTTCCACTGGTTGGAGAGTCCATAACCAGGGGACACACAAATATAAGGTAGCGAGTAGGGGATCAGAAAGCGAGTGTAGATGGAACTACTTCAGACTGTGACCTCACGTAAGATTGCCTGAAGAGGTGGTTGAATCCGATGGTATAGATGCATTGAAGGGGAAGCTTGACCTTCACGTGTGGGAGAGGGGAAGAGAAGGCAGTAAAGGAATGGATGGAGGTTCGTGTGATGTATAAATACCAGCACGGTCTGGTTGGACCGAGTGGCCTGTTTCGGTGCTATATTTTCTTTGTAAACCATAGGGAGGAGTTTCTGTTCTGTGTTGAGCAGCAACTCACAGACACACATCAGCTAAATCAAGAATAAAACTGTTGCTTTCTGAAAAGTGTGCTGTAGCATTAGCTCAGACAGGGAGGGGGGCTCTTATACCGTTTAGTTTTACTTTGTGCAAAGTCATTCTTGTTCAATTCCTATGTGCAGAACTGGTACAATAATGTCATTTGTACAATTCTCATTTTCACAGGGTACCAGAGTACCTGGTGAAGAAAATCACTTGGCAAACATTGCAAGGTGTAAACTTTTGTCATAAACACAATGTACGTATGAAGTTTTTTATTTCCTTGTAAGAAGCACACCTACTGTACACTTTCATTGTTTACTGATTTATTTTCGGAGTGATTTAAGAACTTCATGGGATTCAAATGGCATTATCAAACACATCTGATCTGCATTCTAGTGTGTAATTCCTTTATTTGGACTGAAGCCAGATGTAATCTGTTATCTATAAAATATATCAAACCAATCCCTTTGGATTGATTCAATCAATCTAATGATAATTTAGGTACAGTAAAATTTTCATAATTTATAGTCATCAGACCAATAAACATTCAGAATTGCCGCTTGGCTGAGGTACCATAAGGTGCCGGCCCCTGTGGAAACACACACTGTAACTGGCGTGAGTCAGGACTTCAAAAAGAGGGGAGGAGATTATAGTGAAACAAAAACAATCTCTTCCCTCCCTTCCTGGTGGGGTTATTGGCTATAAACCTGCTGCTTTCTGAAGTTTACTCTCAAGATCTAATGTCACCTGAACTCCACGATTGAATTAATCCTTTTGGACCCCACTCCCAAATGTCTATTTATTATACGCTATATGGGATCACTAAAGTGATAGTTCTTAAGGTTTAGTAGTATTTTGGCACTCTGTTCAAAAAGCTGTTAGAATTCTTTATTTTTATAATAAATTATATTCCCCCCCACCCCTAGTGTATACACAGAGACGTCAAACCGGAAAATATCTTGATTACAAAACATGGTGTGATTAAGCTTTGTGACTTTGGATTTGCCAGGTTACTGAGTGAGTATAAGTCTCTGCGTTAATGTGTTTAGCAGTTTTTAACTGTCCTACTATTATTGTTTTTACCTTGTGCACTTAGATAATCGTCTGTATGAAAAGTCCTATTGTGATTCCTTATTGTAGAATCTTGTGTTTTTAGCTGCTTGTTGAACAATTTGTTTAACCTTTATTTAATCGATCTATATGGTTAGTTCATTTATACAATGTCTACTGAATCACCTGTTCTGCATTGTCTGAGTAATGATAAAGTGCATTGGAGTGTCAGCCTAGACCGTGAGTTCAAAGTCCTGATACTGGGCTTGATGCTTGAACCCAAAATCGTCTGCGCCAGAGGTGAGAGTGCTACTAACTGAACCAGAACCCCATTTACATTGCAGTGCTATAAAACACGAATAGTCCAAAATATTCTGCATTTTTTAAAATATATGAAGCAGTTGATATTTTGTGTATTTTATCATGAACGGAAATGGTGAAAAGGCATTGCTTAAAGAGACCTTTAAGTACATAATTATTATTTGCAAAGTTTAGTGGCCAATTTCAGGTCCAAAAAATACAGATCGGGGCAATTTCTCCTAATCCATCCCCACTGCAGGTTCTGCAGTATCCTTGCGCTCAAAATCAAGAATAATTCAGATATGAAACATAATCGTCACTGACTCTGCAAAGTATCTGCTTGGTGGGCTGGGTATTTTATTGGCCTGATTTCTTTTTGGAAAAGAAGTATCCAGTTCATTACAGTTTCTTGCCATAAGAGTAAAACCAGCTTTTAAAATGTATTGCAATTTAGAGCATTTAACATTTCTGCTTAAATATGCGGTCAATCATTCGACGACAGGCTTGAGAATGACCTGGACTGTACTCGTTTCACAGCTGGTCCTGGAGACTACTACACAGATTATGTGGCCACTCGATGGTATCGTGCTCCAGAGCTGTTGGTCGGAGACACTCAGTACGGCCCTCCAGTGGATGTTTGGGCAATAGGTTGCGTCTTTGCAGAGTTGTTATTCGGCGCTCCCTTGTGGCCAGGGAAATCTGATGTGGATCAGCTTTACCTGATCAGAAAAACTTTTGGTGAGTGCCGCGGTTCCTAAAGCAAGAAAATTACACCAATCTGAGCGAAATAAAACGGCTAGGGCAATCTGCATGTCATGATGCACAAGCAGTTGACGCCCCCAAAACTTCATTCCCTAAGTTACATCTGCTTTCAGGGACAATCTGCAATCCAGGGAACCTGGGAAGAGTGTATCGAAAGTGTTTTTTTTTAATTGCCAAACAAAACCCTAAAAGGCATTATTCTGATTGTCGAATGGCCGTAGTGTACGAGTACTGCAATTTTTACTAAAACATCTGCTTTTACTTTTAAGACCAACTTTTAATACCAGTTGCAGTCGGCGTTATTTTCACAAAATCAGCTGCAACGGTAACGTGGACTGAAATAATGAGGTGAAATGACTGTGTCTTGGCCTTGAAATAAAACATTGAAAATACTTCAGATCTTGGATCTTCTATTTTGAAAATCTATCTGACTAAAGGTCAAGTTACAAATGGCATTGTTACCTAGATGTCTTGGAAAAATCAACCCTTTAGGTAATATTTTTCATAAAATAGATTTCCCACCTTTGAGTCTCTCTGTCCAGGGATATTTCTCCCTTCCCATTTCTGTCATTCCTCCCCCTCTGACATTACATCCATTTGCTGCACCTAAGACCAAGAATTGTATGAATGCAGAATAAAACCTATTCGAGGGTACTGGACGAACACCAACACACCTCCCAAATACGGTATTTAATATTTAAAGTGGAGGAAAACTTGCATTCTTTAAAAGTTAATGTCTGCTTTACAACCGAGGCCATACCCACCAGTCAATTGTTAGTTAAAACGGTACATGTAGTGAAACAATGAGGAACAATTGTAAACAGGAAATTCTGGCTGTGAAAGTTGAGTATGTGTTCGTGAGCAGTTGAATGAATGACTTGCTATTTGACGATATGTGACACGTGATTAAACAGTGTTGAAAAATTATTTTTATGTATTCTAAATTTAGGGATAAACCCGAGAACAAATATCTTCAAGCCAAACAAAATGAAAAACACTTCCATTCTGCTCTGCTCCCTCCCTCCTTCAATCGTAATGAGCACGAGTCATATTATACTTGTATTAGACCGAATAGCAACCACCAGTGGAGATATCTAACACATTTTATAAATGAGAGATGTACAAGTGATGATAAATATTGCAGTTTTTACATGGTCGTGGTGAATGGAATCGAAGTGATAGTGAGTGGCAGTCACCGCTTACCTTCAATATGCAAAAGATCCATCTGAACACAGTGAAATTAAAAAGTAGCAAATTTTATGAACTTTTCTATTGTTTTCTGCACATTTTGAATACACCAAGAAATATCAGCTCCAACAAATACTGTAACTGTTTATTTCAAGTTGTAAGTACAGTACATACTGTAAATATTACACTGTAAGATAATTGTGGCAGTCATATAAACTTCACGACTCTGCTCATCAGAGATAGTGCCATCTACGTTTACTCCCAAATTGTTTTATGATCATTATGAAGTTTTCTTAGTTTAGAAAATGGAAAAGTCTCAGTGGAATTCTATTTTTATTGAAACACCTGAATTGTGCCTTGGGACATCCTCCCGACGTGAAAGGCCTTATACAAATGTTGTTGTTGAATTCAGTTTCACTCAAATCTAAAAATCGGGCTTTAATTTTATTTAACCACCTTTGGTTTAATGCTTTGCACCAATTTTCTTCCCCTTGCGACCAGTTTTGATGCCTAATATATAAATATTTAGTATACAGCAGTGTATTTATTCTGCCTACAGGTGATCTCATTCCTCGGCACCAACAAGTCTTCAGTTCAAACCAGTTCTTCAGTGGAGTGAGCATCCCAGTGCCAGATAATCTGGTGAGGAATTCTTCTGATGCCCATGATCAGTCTGGGAGACACTGTTAACGTTTAGCACAATTGACGTTTACAGTTTGAGTGGTGGTGGTGGTGGTAGAAAAATATTTTGCAATCATTAAATTTAGGGTGTAAAGAGCAACAGATTTATGCACCATTTGTTTGACGATGGACACGTTAAAGAGATAATGTTGCATTGTTAGTCAAACTGTGTGCGTCTTAATTTTCAATGGATAAACAAATTGCCACAAAAATTGATAATCAATGCTTAAAAGTATGTCTGCAATCGTAGCTTTAACCCTGAAGCAAATCTAGCCTTGGACAAGACACAGGAAACAGTGATGTGATAGCTTTTCAACAGTATCAGCAAATGCAACACATTCCAAAAAGGTTACTTATTTTTCCAGTTTGTTTTACAGAATAGTTCACAACCAGAAAGTGCTCATAATGTGTTGTCCTCGGTCTGCCTGTTCCTAGGACTTTATGTGCACCTCTATTGAATTATGGAAAATTCTTGATTGAATTGTGGACAATTCTTGATTGAATTGTTGGAGGTGGGGGGGAGAGAATGTTTACATCATGCAACTGAGATTGAGTTGAAATTGAGAGTTCCGCAGGCCAATCAAAGTTAATTATTGCCTCAATAAATTTTGCCAATAGCTTCTGCAGTTAGAAAATGGAGGAGGAATTCAGAATAGTATTTTTGAGCACCATATTTGCTGCCTGTCATAATTATTCATCTCATAATTGTTTCTTCCCGAACAGTCTCTTACTGAAAAGGCAAATTTTGAGATGTTATAATAATATGGGTGTAATATACATACAATATAAATGATGTATAATTTACTTTTTTCACAGGAGCCTTTGGAAGTAAAATTTCCAAATATTTCTCTTCAAGCTCTTGGATTAATGAAGGTGAATCTTTTATGTTCAACCCTACTGTAATGAGCAATGTCAGTTAAAATTCCAACAGGGAAAATATTTGAGTATCCTCTCAAATACCAGGTAGCATAAAAACCTTCTGAAATAGTTTACAATATCTGCAATAGAAAGTGAGTCTTTGGATTTTATAATCTAAGATCCTGAGAATGTAGTTCTCTTGTAATTATGTTACTAGCTTCAAAACTATTGAATTTCTCTGAATATAAACTGTCAGCAAACTATAGAACTGTGGACGGAAATATAAATATATACCAAGAATATGCGGCAAGTATTGACATCTGAAATAAATGCTTTGATTATATATAGGGCTGTTTACACATGGATCCAGCAGATCGACTCAATTGTGAACAGTTGCTAGATCATCCGTACTTTCACAGCCTCAGGGAACAAATGGGAACTGGCAAAGATAAGGTGAAAGGGCCAAAGAGACGCGTGAGACCACCACACAGAAACTTGCCAGGGGTAAGAGAATTGGTCACATACTTAAGATAGTTGAATTTCAAGGAGAATGCTTCCCTGGATGCTCTTCTGGATAAGTACATCATCCTTGCAATTGATGTAGCACTTGTCAAAATGTCTCAAAGCTCTTCAGTTTTCTGTGAAGTGCAGTGCCTGTATTCGTAGGCAAAAGCAGCAGCTAATTTGCTCACAAACTGTCCTGGGATGAATGAGCAATTTCAGAGCATATATTATTTTTGGCTTTCAAATGATCAATGTTGGGTGGTGCAAGGTTTCTGACACTTAAAACAAGTCATTCTGATCATCCTCTATCTAAGTAACCTCAAATTGTACAACCATATTTCATTGAAGGGACTATATTCAATTTATACCCTTGTGAACACCAAAACTTCCGCAAAGATGTTGGGAACCTCTGTTCAATCAAACTCCCGGTAAGATGTATATGTCTGATGTTTAATGATAGAAAACGTACTACAAATTAGTTTCCCTGATTTTAAAGCTACACAAAATATTTTTAGTGAATGTAAAAGCATCATACCAGTTGCCCTACTTCATGTTTTTTTTCTTCTCTTGTACAGCCACAGTACTTACCACAGCTAACTGACAGCAATACATCCCCAGCCCTGGAAGGAAAGAATTATTTCAGGCAAAAATATAATTACCATCTGCCCAATATTTGACTAAATGGCAGCAACACCAACAAGGTACAGGGAATCCTCACCTGCACAACCAAGGCTTTGTTGTCTAAAGATGTTCATTTTAAGTTAAAGTAAAAAAACCTAAATTATTGCAAAGACTGTACCATATCATTACCCAGCCTCAGACAGACTATATGCACTTTGAAATCACTATCATCGGTTTTCTTTAACGTTCTACGATTTTAAAGGGAATGTACACTTACGTTAAATAACATTTATAATAAAAAGACCCAGGACAAACTGTTGTGGGTTTTGGTGCTACTTGTGTAGAACTGGACAGAAATAGCACTATCTTCTATGCACTAATACTACTGCTTAAAAGCTATTTACTATTTTAATCTGCAGATTAACTTGTTGGAATTTCTTGACTGTCACTTCAGTATTTGGTGTCAATTTACCTTGTAAAAGCGAGAGACTCACCAAGCATATACATAGCAAAAAGTAACTATTCAAGCAAATCAAACATACTGCCAACAGCATTCTTCCACAGCTAATGGGAACATCAGGCCAAGTATTTTGTTTCTAGTTTGAAGTTTGTACGACCTGTTTTGTTTAAGTTCACAAATATTGGGAGTCAAAAACTGTTAAGAGGGGGGAACAAGTTAGATTTATAACCAATAAGACTAACAGAATAGAAACAAAATCATTGTCTGCAGTGTTAGCTTGATATTCACATTAGTTGCAGTTTCTGAATTTGTCCAGTTTATTTACATTTCTGAACTCTCCATTTTTCGACTACCTTTTGCAAGCGCTGGCATTACCCAAGACATTTGAAACTTCTTGCTGCTATGTTGTATTTTTCCTCTTACTTTATCTTCAGTCTGTAATATTTTTGCCAGAGGTTTAGATTAAATTCTCGGCTCTAAATGAATGTTTCTCATAAAAAGCAAATCACTTTGGGGGTGGATTAGGTAGAGTAAACGCATGATCTATAGGGCTTGACTAGCCTACAGGCAAGTGACAATGTGTTACATGGACCACAGAATATGTTTTTAGTCGACTTGGCAAAACAAAATTGCTGAAGTTCTTCTAGCTACAGTATTTACTTCTATTTGTAAATCTGCTACCCCAGTCAATGTTCACACCAATTCTGATACAATGAAAAGGTCCAGGGCCACAAATTGTTTTGTAAAATTATATTGTGATCATTAATACAGTATTTGTAAAGTTGATGTATCACATTTAAGTCACTCTGTGAATGTTGAGAAAACTGCACCAGATGCAATATTGTATTAAAGATTTTTTTATATAAAAATGTGTTGATCTATAAAATCAATTATCCAAATGTTGATATAAAAGTACTAGAGATATTGTTTTGAAGTGCTATAATGAAGTTACCATTGTAACCCACCAATTATAGAATTTGCAATACTTTATAGTAAATTAATATTTGATTTGTTTTTCAAAATCTCTATTCATATATTCCATTTATTAACAGTTAAAGCTGTTTGCACTGAAATCAGTCAATTTGAAGACATCAGTTTTGTTGAAATATTTTGATAGCTGACAGTATGTTGCTTCTTATTGTCTTTGTTGTACTTGGTTATTTCAAATAAAGTGATTCAAATGATGCTCGAGTATTTATGCAGATAGTGAGGAACTCCAAAAAGCAAAAATAAACACACTGGCAGGCTTTGATCATGGTTTATAAATACAGTTCAAAGCACTTAACATCTTTCCACTGTTATAATCTTAATTCAAAGAGCGTACATGATATTTTCTGATACCTAAATCAACTTCTATTTCCAACTTCAATTTTAGTAAGGTTAGAGCATCTTAATTTTTACTTTGTGAGACAGATTTATGGCTGAAACATAGCTAATTTCATTGTATAAAGTTACTGCATACATGTTGATTTGCACTCTTAATTGTCATTTTTTTATTCATATAGTGGGCCAGCATTTAAATGTTATATCAGTATACAGCAAATCTCTAAACTGTAGCCTTAGGCAAGATCAACCTTCACTTCACAAGCAGGTAGGGCTGTTTTCAGTATCTGAATGGTTTTTTCTTTTTCTCTGATCCCAGGAAGATCACTCAGAAACAAATAGTTCAAGTTCCTATGACAAAAATTGTTTTAAACAATTCATTATATACTTTGTACATAAAGAAATTAGTCAATTTATTAAACTCTACTTTAAATCCCAACGTGTTCACTCCATAATGAAGTGTAGCATTACAGCAGATTGAAATGATATTTCAGCTCGAAGGTTATTTCATCTTAAATCTTGTGGAGTCCTGTAGCTCAGTGGTTAGAGCACTCGCTTTGCAAGTGAGAGACCTGAGTTCAATTCCAGGCAGAGGGCGAAACCTTGGGCAAGTTTCCTTACTCCACACAGAGCCTAATAATAATCCCTCCAAAGCCAAAAACAATAATAAATTGGTCATTTTCAATCTACGACTGTTTGTGGGACATTGCTGTGCGCAATTGGCTGCCGCGTTCGCCCACAAATATACAGTCAATTCACTTTACAGTGTGTTCTGTGAAGCGCTTTGGGACGTCCTCCTGACGTGAAAACCGCTATATCAAATGGAAGGATTATTATTATTATAAATCGGAGTGTAAATAACACACCTCCAACTCTGACCACACTCATAGAGTGCACAGTACTGCACTCCAGCCAGATAACAATGTGGAGAACACTAAAAGTGGATCACAAACAATTTGCATTTATATAATAACACTTTTCAGCCAGGATATTGTCTCGGAGCACTGGGCAGTGAACACTCCATTTGAAATGATGGGGCAGATACTTACTTTAGGTGGTTTATAGCTAGGATTCCCTTGTCTGTGACATTCCCACAGGAAATAATTTCCAGCCGCAGCAGGCTCTTTTGAATATTTTGTATGTTGCATAATCTCACGATACATTCATCTTGAATATACATACACTTCTGGAATTTAATTTCTTTAACATGTTCTAAATATTCTGCAACAAAATATGTACATGAAATTGTTAAAAGGAATCATTTACTGGTCTTTTAACAAAAGCTTTCTTTACAATTAAAAGGGGAACCTCAGCACAAAGCTCCCTTTTGGAATAACAAACACGGGCAATTATGTTAAGAGGTTATGTTAATTCTTAGGATGTTATGATTTGCTTTAAAAATACACAAGTATATGGAACAATCTCTAGAAAAACTGATCCGAGACAAAGTAAGTTCAAAATAAGATCCCCATATCTTCTTTTCTGCAGATTTCAAATTCACATACGGAATGAGGGTATCCTGTCTGAGAATTGGGAATGATTTCAGAACATAGTATAGGATGAAACTTTTTTTTACCCTGTTTTGTTGTCACACCATTTACATCAAATAACACGTTTTTTTAAAAAATCCAATTGCTTGAGGTTCTTTTGTTTTAAAAATACGACGGGTCCCTTCTTAAGCTGCGGTAATCGTGTTAATTCTGAAGCTTTGCTCATCGCCAAGTGTTAGAAAGAAACGTCATGGAAAACGATAGCGTGTTTAATAGCAATTATTTGCTAAAAGCAGTAAAATAGTTCAAAACAAGCAGTAAATAAAGCGATGGCCCGAGCGGAGTAAGTGCAATACCTAGGTAGTCAAATCCTTTCGCCATGATGCATGAATCAGTGGCATCGATTGCTTCGATTTTGAATGTTTTCAAGGGGCCGATTGGTTGATTATTGTAATCGTAGTGCCAAGTTTCAAAGTTTTTGTAACGTACCCCAGCCCCACAGCGAAGCAACCATTCAGCTGCTGCGATGTCGGGGCCGACAGCCTTTATGCGGTCGGGATCCACGCTGTCATTGGAAAAAGAAAAGGGGGGGAAAATACACCGGATTATACACGAGGCCAATAAGAGAAATAAAGCAAATCGAAAGGTGTTTTTTTTTAAATGGTTGACCCTCACATGTTAAAAACCGCATTCAGCCATCCCCAGAATGTCCTGCGACCACCAGCCGCGCTGGGCATGAGCTTCACGGCACGGAAACAAGACGTCTTGGTGAACAACATGCTGGGCTGGTGACTGGACTAGAACTGAGAGGAAATATATAGATACAGAGAGATAGAGACAGACAGGGCTGGTCCAGGGGAGGTCAGAAACACACAAGAATGACAAGGCACATATTTATATAATTTCATTCGCCCCCACACCCCCACCACCCCATTCCCCCCTCCTCCCCATCCCCCCCCTCCCCATTCCCCCCCACCTCCCCCTTCCCCCCCCTCCCCATTCCCCCCCCACCTCCCCATTCCCCCCCCACCTCCCCATTCCCCCCCTCCCCATTCCCCCCCACCTCCCCCTCCCCATTCCCCCCCCACCTCCCCATTCCCCCCCCACCTCCCCATTCCCCCCCCACCTCCCCATTCCCCCCCCCTCCCCCTCCCCATTCCCCCCCCTCCCCATTCCCCCCCCACCTCCCCATTCCCCCCCCACCTCCCCATTCCCCCCCCCACTCCCCCTCCCCATTCCCCCCCCTCCCCATTCCCCCCCCACCTCCCCATTCCCCCCCTCCCCAATCCCCCCTCCCCATTCCCCCCCACCTCCCATTCCCCCCCCTCCCCATCTCCCCCTCCCCATTCCCCCCCTTCCCATTCCTCCACCTCCCCATTCCCCCCCCTCCCCATTCCCCCTCCCCCCCCACCTCCCCATTCCCCCTCTCCCCATTCCCCTCCCCCACCTCCCCATTCCCCCTCCCCTTCACCTCCCCATTCCCCCCACCTCCCCTCCCCCCCCCACCTCCCCAACCCCCATCTCTTTCGTCTCCACCCCTCCCCCACTGAGATCTCTCCTCTCACACACACTCCCCATCTTTCTCCCCGCGCCCCTCTCTCCCTCTCCCTCTCTCTCGGGTCTTTTTGTTGTTGTTTTGTCTCACTTTCATTTCTCTTCTCTCGAAGCCCCTGTGTCCCTCTCTCTCTCTCTCTCTGTCTGTCTGTCTGTCTCGCGAGCCCACTCGCCCTCGGGGGCGGGGCTGCTGATGTCAGGGGGCGGGGCTGCTGATGTCAGGGGGCGGGGCTGCTGATGTCAGGGGGCGGGGCTGCTGATGTCAGGGGGCGGGGCTGCTGATGTCAGGGGGCGGGGCGCCAGGAGGCGGGGCTGGAGGGCGATGCTGTCGGTTGCTCGAGCGGCGGTCGGCAGGTCGCTGGCGGCGGGGAGAGGAGGCCGCCTCCTGGTCCCGAGGCTCCGGGCGTCCCGGTGAGAGGAAAACACAGGTCAGTGGCGGGGCGGAGCGGAGCGGAGCTGCCCGGTACACGGGCCGCGTGTCCCGCTCCGATCCCGCAGGCGGCGGCGGCGGCTGATGTAGAGCAGCGACGGGAGACTCGGTCGGTGACGGGGCCGCAGCCGTTGGGGGCTTCGGCCTCCTGACCCGGGGCTCGGGTACCCGCCGCCGGAGGGACTAACTCGTGGGGGTTCTGCTGTTCAGTATCCCTCCCCCCGGGGCTGAGGGTAATGCGGGGACGTTTGTTTTGGTGACGAGTTCCCACTGTTATTATTTATAATTGTGGCTCAGGGGGAGGGGGGGGAGAGGAGGGGAGGGGGAGTGGGGGGGAGAGGAGGAGGGGGAGAGGAGGGTGAGGGAGGAGGGGAGGGGGAGGGGGAGGAGGGGGATGAACCAGTTCAGTTTTGACTCATTACTGTATTTGGACCCTACACTGGATGTGGTTTGTTTGGGGGGAGGAGGAGAGATGTGGTGTTCATCATTATCTGAAGTGGCCTTTAACTACTTTACGGGGTACAACTGTAAATCATTCTTGCATTTGATTTTGTGTCTGTAATGGTTAAAAACAACTCACCAAAGTGCTTTGCGGCTAATCCCTGTCCGGTGCGGTGACTTTTTTTTTCCCCCCGGCAAGTGCCGCAGCCCATTGGCGCCTGGATCTTTAATGTCCGTCGGAACAGGCAGATGGGTCCTCGGTTTAATATCTCAGCTGAAGTACTGTATCGCTGACAACGCAGTCCGACATTGCGAGTCTAACCATCGCTTGTCCTTCCCTATCCAGGTCTTATGATGTTGCCATTGTCGGAGGAGGAATTGTGGGTCTGGCATCTGCCAGAGAACTTCTACAGAGACATCCGAAGTTGACCTACGTTGTACTGGAAAAGGAAAACGAACTGGGTACGTTTTGGAAGAAAAGTTCCAGACGGAAAAAAATAGTTTTATGCAACAGTCTTTTAATAATGCAGTGCAACCGAATGTTTTCTTTATTTGTTCATAATAGTTCTGGCCTTAAGCTAGTAAGGTATCAGAAAGTTCTGACCTTGTCCTCACAAGATTACGATTTATCTTTTAGGCCAATTGAGCTCATCTTTCCAGTATGTCCACTCTTATTGTCTTCTCATGAATCAAGCTGTTTAAATGAGTTCAACGTTTTTATTGTTGTATTACACCTTGTCAGGGAAATATCCTGACTCCTGAATATCTTTCCTGTAATGCTACAATTGAGATTAGGAATTTTCTTATTTTGCCACAGCACTTTAAGCCATCAACTCTCAATGCCACTAAGTGTGACATGTCCTCAGAGATTCAATACTCTGACAATATTATTAGTTCATAAGATTATGCAATTTGTAAAATTCAGTGATTACTATTCAGTAGAATTAGCTGGTTTATGATGGAATTTCTCTTTAATAACTTGCCTATTATATACTTTTCTCTTTAGCTTTTCATCAGAGTGGACACAACAGTGGCGTTATTCACTCTGGAATTTACTACACACCAGGGTCTCTGAAAGCCAAGCTGTGTGTCCGAGGTGCTAACCTTAGCTATGATTATTGTGACAAGAAAGGTATTCCCTACAAGAAATGTGGCAAAGTGAGTATTACTCTCACTTTTTCCTGTTACTATGAATGACGGGTTTGGTTTTCACGTATATATACAAAATTATTGCAATCTGTATACAATTATGCAATGCTTTGTAAGTACAGAAAATTGAACATAAAGTGTTAAAAACATTGAATTGATTATAAGTAAATTCAGGTATTGTGATTAAATTACACCATACTGTATTTGTAGACGCTATAATGTTGTAACTATTGTTTTTATCACAGTCACCAAACCTGACTTATAATTCTCTTCTTCTCGCGAAAGCTTATTGTTGCTGTTGAACAAGAAGAAATCCCACGGTTGAAAGTTTTGTATGAGCGTGGATTGCAGAACAATGTGAAAGACCTCAAACTTATTGACAAGAAAGGAATCCAGGAAAGGGAGCCATACTGCAGGGTAGTGTTTTCTAACTAAATAGTTTGGTTATTTTCATGAAAAAAATCTTAGTTTTTGTTTTCAGAATGAAACCTAATTGTGTAGGTTTTTTTGTAATGTCACCAGAAGTGAACCCTATTCAGAAATAATTAGGTATTTAATGCAAAATAGTTGAATATTGAAGAGGGTTTATTAATATTCTGCAAGTAACTTTAAACGTTTTCATCAAATATTCTTAATTTGTAACGCTTACAAGCACTGGTTTTAAAAAATAATTTTGGCTTTTTTGCTTTGAATACAGTACTTAAAGTGGCCATCCATAATCTAAGGAGAGGAGGTGCTATCAAACATGTGACACAATTACATTTGATGCATTGATCTGTATTGATCATCTTTGTTTTCAATTACTGCAAAAATTCTTAACTCTTGCCCATTATTATATAGGGTCTGATGGCTGTGGATTCTCCAAACACAGGGATTGTAGATTGGAGACGAGTGGCCCTCTCTTATGCAAAGGATTTTTGTGATGCAGGTGGGACTGTACAAACCCAGTTTGAAGTAACTGACTTTCATATGGCTAAAGAAAGTCCTGAAGGAAGTAAAGATGGTAAGAATTGGCCAGACTTTCTGAGGTCTCATCAATTAACATTAGCAGATGAACTACCCACGTTTGAGAAGTTTTGAGCGCAGTTAGTGTTTAAGCAGAAATTATTTTAACTACAAAGCTATTATACATTACTATTTGAATCGTGGTCACTTAAAGTTCAGGTTTTAAAGTGACGCTTAAAATACATATATCTATACAGAGTAGGGCTTCTTGTGCGGTCTTTCATTTAACAATTGCTGCAGACGTTCTTGCTATAAAACCTTAGCTGTATAGTCAAAATAGTCACTTCTTTTCATGTTTGGTTAGAGAAATAACTTTTATTGTCTTTATTCCAGGTCTAAAATATCCAATAACAATTGTGAGTTCAAAGGTAAGCATTTTCATTATGTTCAACAATAAAATTGGGTAGATATGGATAATGAGGATTAGCAATGTGTTTCTCAGCTCAATTTCAAACAAAAATATCCTCAAATAGATTCTGGAGTTTGGTAACTAACCCAGATAAAAATGTAGTGGATAATACACTCACTGATTTACCTTGGATGTGATGAGCTTGTAATTCTCTACCAGTTATAATCATTTCTTGCATGAAGCTAACATCCCATTGAATGCAGGTCCACAGCATGTAATTCTTCGTAAATCAGCACTAATTGTTCATCTCATTTCAAAAGCCCTTTCAAAAGGATGACTAGTGCAGGAAGTGGAGTGATGTGAGAAGAAATCATAATTCGGCTTAAGGCGTGTTAGAACAGTGGCGCGTTGTTAACATTGTTATAGTGCAGGAAGCAAAGCCACTTTGCTTTTGGCTGTATGAACTCAGAATCACAATAAACAGGAGGAACTTCCTCACTGGCTCAGTTAGCAAACAGGTTGCCTGCCATTATAGAAATCAAGAAAGTTTCAAATTTGAACCCTGGACTGCTGAGGTGGCCCGTCTCTAATGACCTGGATATGAATTAACTTCCAAAGGAGGTAATGGGGTTTAAAGTGCCGCAAAGCATTGGGATTTGGTTCTTCTGTCAGGTGCAGTTTAATGCCAAACTGTTGGAGTGCCACAGCTCCATGCCTGAACAAACTTGTATCTTATTAAATACTTTGATAAATGTTACCGTCAAAAAATGAGGTAGCCAGCGTGAATGGGTGTTTTGCTACTCAGTTCATCTGGACAATGGAGGGGGAAAATCACCCCAATGACTGCCCAATAATCAATGCTGGAGAATGTGCAACACCAATGGGGGAAGGACAAGATCAGACTTGGCTCTCATTGCATAACATGCTAACCCTTGCTTTCTGGGCTCGTGTGCAAATGGTTATTTGGATGGGATGAGATCAGTTGAGAAAATTGACTGGGAGAAAGGCAAGTTAACACTTGTGATCCAAACCCTTTGTCCCTCAAAGAAGTGTTTCTTCACCCCTCTCCCTGCTTAGTAACTCGAGATAGAATCAGCTGAAATCAATTACTCACCTTACAGTAAATCTCCAGTTTAAACCAACTTCCTAACCACCATGTTTGCTTTTAAACATTTTTTTTACTACTTTTACAGTTTCAAACCACTAATTTATAGAACTACATAGAGAATCTCAGTAGCTAGTGCGAACTTGAATTTCTCCATCATGTTACCTGTGGTTATTCAATTTATTTGGTGTGTTGTGTTTGTTTATTTTAACAGGGAACAGAAGTCCGGTGCAGCTATGTTCTGACATGTGGAGGTCTCTATTCAGACAGACTGTCTGAGAAATCAGGGTGCAGTCGTGTGCCACGTATTGTACCATTCCGAGGCGATTACCTGGTGTTAAAACCAGAAAAACACTATCTGGTCAAAGGCAATATTTATCCTGTATGTCTTTGGGATTCTACGTTAATAATGTTTTTTTTAGATTCGACTAAATGTAATTTTTTTAACAAATAGTATTTTATGAAAATGTTGGGTTTTTTAAACATTATTTTATTTATAACCGTGCTTAAGCATAAGATACCCTTCTGTTGGGGGTGGGGGCAGGGCATTCCAACAGCTTGGTGTTTAACAGCACCTTACTCCCCACCAGAAGAACTATGTCCAGTGCTCCCTGCCGCTTCGAACCTCATCTCCTTGTGAAGTGAGCTTTCTTAATTCATATCCACATCACTAGAGGGAGCACTGTACAGTTAGACAGCGGGTTTGAGGTGGATGGAAAGTGTGATTTCGACAAACCACTTGCTATAAAATGTTGCCTTCTGTTGGGAGATGTTAAAAGTAATATTTCTTATCCAGCTCTATTTCTGATTCAGATGCTTTGTTAAAATGTGTCAGTGTTTTGTTCATCGTAATTTGTGTTTAAATATCTTCACATGTAATACCTTTGTGATTGTGTGTGTGTTTGACCCAGATGTTATATTCACTGTACTCCTGCAAAATTGCAACTGTCCCACTTTTACATGCCGCAAGATAGTTTGATTTTGGTGATAATACTGGCGGCATACAGATTACTGATTGTAACTTGACAGGTGTGCGGGGAAATTGGATCTATTTATTTGTTCTTTAATCAAGAAAAGGGATTCTACAAATTCAAAATGATGAATAGATTAAGTAATACATTCAAAGGAAATAACATTTGCAAACCATCTTCTGTGCTTTGTCAGTATACTGTTGAGCTGAGTTAGGACTCAGACATCCAGCTTGCCTCCTAGGTGTAGGAATCTGCCTATTATGAGTCTTTCACTATCTATGTTTTCATAGGTTCCAGACCCGAGGTTTCCTTTCCTTGGCGTACACTTTACACCCAGAATTGATGGCAGTATGTGGCTTGGGCCCAATGCAGTTTTAGCACTTAGACGGGAGGGTTACAACTTGTTTGATTTCAAGATGGATGAATTTATCGATGCAGTAAGCTTCAAGTATGTACCAGATTTCAGAGCTGAGCATGCCTAGAATATTATTAACTGGGCAATTAAACATTGACATGTTAAGCTACATGTCAACATGCAGGAAAGCAAAGTTAAATCTGCCCCATTTATTTTCTTTTAATATACGGAATTTACTGTGCTTTTTGTTACCTGTGATGTGAGTATCACCCATTTCCCATATGTACATTCCTAAGTATGCTGGTACATTCTTTCCTTATTGTCATTATAATTTATATCACACGTTCCAATAACACTTTGAATTGCTTAATTGCACACCCGAATGCGTATTGTTTGCCATGACATCAACAAGTGGCAAACAAAGAACGAAAATCGCCATAAAGAATGATGATTGTACAGTATTTCAGAGATATAACACATTTTGGGGTTCAGGCGACTTATTATGCAACAATTTCTACGCTACTTCAGTTATATGTATACTGTATTTTGTAAGGTTACTTCATTTTAATATTTATTATTTTTAAAAGAAATAACTAAATGCATTTACGATTTGGAAAGGCATGTAACCCTATCTAAATCTTCAATTATTTTCATAAGATTTGCCAAAACTACAACAGACTTCTTCTTTTCCTCTTTGCTAGTGGGCTTCAAAAATTAGTACTGGCAAATCTAGTGTTTGGCTTGACTGAAACATACAGAGGCTTGTTCATTAGTGCCCAGGTGAAACAACTTCAACGCTACATACCAGAGATCACCGTGAATGATGTAATAAGGTGAGAAGCAGATATGTATGAAACACATTGAATATCTGTCCCTTTGATTTCAGATAATTTTATTTTCACAAAGGTTTGGTCTGTTTTTGCATTGGTTTCTTCTGACGAATACAGTTGTTTGCATTTACCAGGAAAAAAATGATTATTTTGGATCTCCTGAGTTGCTGTTAAATTAACTACTAGTGCAGAGCAGATTTATATGTTAGGGTGAAGGAACATTTCTACGGTAAATTCCTGTAAGTATTTGTGTAATTAGGCTGAATATTAAAAGGAACATCTTTAAAATTAAAAGAAATGAAATGTTTATGTGCTGTTGTTTATCAGCTTGGATCATTATTATTTGAAACTAAAACTGAGCATTCAAACTAAAAGGTAGTCTTCTACATAAAATGGCCACTTCCTTGTGAGCACAGGTCCATCAATACTGTCATCACTAATCTCCATGGAGCAATCAATCAATCCCACTTTATCTATAACAACACTGAAGTGAGTGCTGTTTAACCTTTATTTACGAATTTCAAATCTCAAAATTTTTACTATACTGAGCTTTCCCAGTTTTTCCTTAAAATACATAGCTCATTATGGTAAAGACTGGCACTCAGTTTGGTGGAGGGACATTCAAAGATACAGCGTCTTAGAATTGAAACCTATTAGACCAGATGACTCAAGACAGACTGTTGTTCCAATTGAAGGAGGAAAGTGGGAAAACAAAATTACAAAATGTAATTTCTCAAAAGAAAGGACATTTATGTCTATTTGGAGTAAACTGTTTTATCTTGATAATAAAACTATCTCTGTATTCATGGTTATTTAAGCATCTTTTTAATATTGATAAGAAATAATCACTTTTGTATCTTTTAAATCCTATTTACTTTTACAGTAGCAAATTTAAGTTCACAACTGGTAGTTGATTCAAAATAAAATAGCCTGTACGTACCAACCATTAGTTAGCTTGATCTCTATTCAGATTGAAAACTGTGTATACGATAAATATAATATATGGTTAATCTAACCTTTTTTACTCAACCAAAATGTAAAACTGCTAATTTGATGCAATCTGATATACTTATTGTTTTGTATGTTACGGTACTTTAACTTCCGGTGTGGGCTGTATTTCTGCAGGGGGCCATCAGGAGTAAGAGCCCAAGCCTTGAACCCCGATGGCAGCCTGGTAGATGACTTTGTGTTTGACGGAGGCTTTGGAGCTATTGGAAGTCGTGTTCTTCACGTCCGAAATGCTCCCTCACCTGCAGCAACTTCATCTCTAGCTATTGGTGAAATGATTGCCGACGAGGCCGAAAAAAAGTTCACTTTCTAATTTTAAATACTGTAAAGTTATTTACATTTTGTAAAATGTCAATAAGTGGGATAATTAATTCCACTCCGTATGAATTAGGTAGGACATGTTAAAAACTCAGGAAGATTAGATAAGTATATGTAAACAAACTAAATTATATGTTTTAGCCCATATCTTAATTTGAGAGAGAAATGCTACAGGTTTGATTATATTTCAAATATTTTTTTAAAAATGAATTGATTTGCAATACTGTTATAAAAGTTCAATGCATTTTTTGAGTATCGTTAAGATTTTATTGAAGAGTAATGGTGCGTGGGATAAATGTTTGTACAACGGTGGGACTTTTGCACTGATATAAAAGTAATGATGACCGTTTTATATTTTGATACTGCAGTTTGTTCAGTTGGACAGCACCGTTTATAGACCTTGTGCTTCTAAATGTGCCTGGATGGAGTGTGTAAGATGAGGGTGAACTACTTGTGTTTGTAATAGAGTGATTTTTAGATTGCAACAAACTACCTGATCCTGAAGTGTGCAACTCTACTGTATTTGCATATGATCTTTTTGTGTCAATCTCTACTGTGAATAAAATGAATAATTACACAAGTATGTTCAATTCTGAAATACAATTAAAGGGCTGTGCCTGATTGTTTGAGCCAGAAAAGGTACTGGACTTGGAGGACGATAGGCAAGAGAGGCAAAATGGTTCATTAAAACCGCACTGCTTGTACTAACATTAGTTGCTTATTTCCTGTGCTGTGGGTTAAGCCAGATCCTGCTCCTGGTGATTTTTGTTGACCTGCAGAGCATCAGTTTGAGGCGCCAGGTTTGGAATGTAGACTTGAATCTAGGCATATGCAAACATTGCTGCACTTTGTCCTGCTGTCTCAAGTGTGGTTGGAAAGGCTGTACTGTTTTCCCATTTTATTAACGAGAACAGGATCCGTAGTGTGGTGACCACAAGGGAAATCAATGAAAAAACTAAGACTTGGATGGAAATGCAGTACTTTATCATTCAAAGTGGTAATTTTTTGTTTCAGCAAAATTAATTGTGAGGAATTCAGATTGAGAGATTTAGATGCATGCCAACATATGGTTTCAAAAAGGAACAAGACAAATTACCATCACAGGAAGGGGGTTGGACGAAGAAGGCCCTCTGTGCCATATGATCTCATCCTTGCAAAATACCCATTCTACTGTTTTCCTATTACAGTATCAATGAATCCAGTTTCCTCCTGGCAACCATTCTTCCTAGTAAATTGTTCCAGTTGTTAATTACTTCAGGTATGCTTTGTGAAATTATTCTCTAGAAATACTTCCAGTGATGTTCTGAAATTGCCCTTTGCAAACCTACCCATCAACTAAGGATTCAGAATTATTGCATTTATGAATTAAACACTGAAAATTTAGATGGGCAACTTTTTTAATGAGATGAGTATCCGACAAGAGTGCCATGTTAGGAGTATCCAAAACAGGCTGTGTTCCACATATGTATGGCACCTAAGACGTGGTTGGCGAGATGAAACCAATCTATTAATGCCTCAATTTTTAAATATGTAACATAATCCCTTTTGTCTAAGCCTCTTCAAAACTTCTAAATTGTTTACTTTTAGGTCAAATAATGCTAGTATAGTAAACTAACCAGTTAAATATACAATAAATGTAAGAACAAAGTGTGTGGACTTTTTTGGAACTGCAGGTTTCCCTCAAAGGTGAAACAAAATCAAATGGAATAAAGTGACTCAGAAATATGATGTAATAACTGAATTGAGCAACGACGGATTGTGTTTGACAACCACACAGTAAGAGGTACTCCCTGTACTACCAAGATAATAATCATAATAATCCTTGCATTTAATATAGCCCTTATCACATCTTTGTGACGTCTCAAAGCGCTTCACAGAATATACTGTAAAGTGAATTGACTGTATATTTTGGGGGTGAAATGTGGCAGCCAATTCTGCACAGCAGTGTCCCACGTATAGTTCTGGATAGAGTGACCGAATTTTTTTTGAAGGAATTATTACCACTGAAAAGTGATCTGTCAATCGCCTAACAACCAGCTTCCTATTCAAGACCCACCTGAAAACCTTCCTCTTCGACCATACTTACGGCCACCTTCTCCCCCTCCCCCCCCCACCAGCTCAGAGTCACACTCTGCCACTGTAAAGCACTCTGAAACCCTGGGTGGAGGGCGCTATATAAATGCAAGTTGTTGTTTTGCTGCTAGGTAAACGATGCGGAGAAAGGAAATTTCCCCAACTTTTTGCCCTGACAGAAATCAAATCCAGGTTTCTCGCTTGCGAGGCGAGTGCTCTAACCACTGATCTATAGAACTCCTACAAGCTCACTGATTACCTCTGGAGACATGTTAGTTTCAATGTTGTGATCAACAAACAATACAATTCATCTAATGCATGTATTTTTGTTCATCACACAATATAACTATCTACACTTGTGATTTTTCCCTCAATTTTCTATGATATGGTTACCATTCTGCTTCTATTGCCATCAATTATATCTGTTGTCATTAGTTCCAGGTTTTACCCATTGAAAGTCATAGCTTTATTTGTCTGCGATTGACCGCTCTTTGTGTTCAGCTATCCAGTATTTTAGCAGGTGTGAGATTCAGGGTTGAGCTCTGCTGATGGCCCAATGTTTTTTCTCTTCAACCGTGCCTTCGGCTCCCCTCTCGACTCTCTACCCCCTCCTCGCTCCCTCCCTTCCCTCCCCTCACCCTGACCATTTCCCCCCTGCTCGGGTCCCGACCCAACTGTCCAGTGCCTTGGGACGTCCTCCTGACGTGAAAGGCGCTCTATAAATGAAATGAATGGGGAAAGGCACTGCCTGGTGCAACACCAAGTCATTCCATATTAGAAGTGAGTCGAGGTGCTGAAAATCACCTTTGGGGTCATGAGGTTCCCACTCCTGATCATTGTCCAGTGGCCCTTCCTTGAACTTCAAGCAAGTGGACATTGTGTGCAAATAGAATTGGGTTCAGTCAGATATCCTTCAGCGCCTTGGGACGTCCTCCTGACATGAAAGGCGCTGTACAAATGTACTTTGTTGTTGTTGATTAAATAGCATTCCAACAGAAAATCTGTCAGTCACTCGTTTCAAATGCACACAACATTTCATATTGATACATTTTGTTGCCACCTGTTTGATCTTATTAATTTGGAAGTGTTATAAATACACATCATTAATAATTTTGATTTGCATTTATCTTTTAATCTTCACGTAAATAAACAGCTTTTATTCTCAGCCATGGACTCAGAAGCATCAGCAGGTTGAATTGATGGTTTTTTTTAGTAATCAGACATGAGATGTGTAAACTTAGTGAAAAAAACATCTGAAAGTTGAAGTATGCAACTGAAATTTGAACTTGGTCAAAACAGCCTCATGTAGAACCGCAGCTTTAACTATTTTAATAGGAGGTGACTCAATAAGCATGTGTTGAAGATGCAAGCAATCATTTAAAGAACTGAAAAGAGGAAACTGTTAGAAATCACACTATTTGCCATTATGATGAGACATGGTGGAAAACTAGAATACAACAAGAAAAAAAATGCACAGTATTCACTGTGCATTCTTTTACTACAAAAGGTTTTAACCAGTAACAAAGGTTACTGGACAATGTTCTTGACTATATTAAAAACATGAAAAACACAATCTGGGAGGTCACTTTATGCAACACAGCAATGCAAGGTTAACTTTTAGAGGTTATATTTGTGAATGTCACAAGTTGGTGTTCATCAAAGGACATTTCTGGGTAAGGCCAAATTCCTATTTTGAAATTATTGTAACACTCCTGAGCAAGATGCTCGGAAAACTATGCAGATTATTCTGCAGAAATTTCCCATGATATTCTGTAATATAGGATCTCTGCAGTAGCAAGTTCTTGTATTTGCCAGTTATAAAGTAGATGTTTGAATCCTTTTTGTAATGTGGCTGCTACAGCAGTAAAATGCTAGAGTCTGATGTGGCAATATCAACCTTGATTTCTGTTTGTTTGGTCCCAAATACAGCAGTTGTTACCTATTGCCCAGAACAAATAGCAGGAATGTTAAGATGGCTGTGTATGGCCAGATGTGTGTGTTTTTCTTGATGGAGCTGACCGTCCGAATTTTCAACCTGGTGCAGATTACTTGGCTTTTAGCTACCAGTTGATCTGATCTTTTTTGGGGATACCTGAAAGATTCATATCCTGCAATATATTTGTGTTTTTTATGTATACCTACACAATAAACATAATTGATCCACTGACAATGAAATATTGTTTCTCTAACTGCACATAAAGCTTCTGTGATCAAGATGCTAAGATATTCTTGAACACAGTCGGTCAGTCGGTCAAGGTTCCGACTAATCTCATTAAACTGCTCCTTCGCTGTCCTGGCAAGGATATTCTTTGTGTCCTTTGGTTTCTCAAATTTCCACTTGTGGTTAGATATCAAGCTACTAAATACTAATACAGTAGTTGCTATCAAGAATGTTGAATAACCATAGTTAATAAAAATGAGTCTTCAGTCTTCAGTAAAACAACCCTCTAGGAACCTAGCGGGAAAATTAGATCTAAAAAAAGTAACCTCAGATCGAATTAATTTTATGTTTTGCTGTACTCTAGGCCTGATGCATTTTTTTCTCTGAGCAAGGTGACCCTTAGAATGTATTTGATCCGGGTATTTATTTGTTTAAGTATTATATATACAACAGGTGTGCTAAGATTCAATACGTGGAGATTAGCTGTACCTGAAATGCTGTACAGTATTTGGTGTACATAAACCAATCGATTATCAGTTTGCTAGATGTAAAATACCCCTTTTAAAACGGCTTATTTTTGTAATTAATATTTAAGTGTTGTCTCCTGTTGGACATTTAAAGCACGGGGAACAGTTACAATTATCATAATAATCCTTGCATTAATACAGTACCTTTACGTTAAGAGGACACGTGAAAGTGCTTCACGGGATGTACTGTAAAATGTAGCAACTATGCATTGTGTGGGCAATAATAATACTTGCATTTGATATGGCGCCTCCTCACGTCTTCACGACGTCTCAAAGCGCTTCTCAGAGCGCAAAGTGAATCGACTGTATATTTTGTGGGGCGAAACGCGGCAGCCAGTTGCGCACGGCGCGGTGTCCCACAAACATTCCTTGCGTTTGATAAGGGGGGGGGCCGCCTTATCACGTCGCCAAAGGGCTTGGCGGGGTTTGTTTTTTAAAAAAAACCCAAGCGTCGTGACCGTCCAACAACAACAACAACTTGCATCGACGTCGCGCCCCCCCTTTCCGCTCGACCCGGGACGACCTGCGATTTTTTTTTGGGTGGGGGGGGTGGGTCGATTTTACTTTTTTTTAAAAAAAAGATAACACCTGAAACTAAAGGTCAAGCGACGAGATAGTGGGGCAATGACCAATTCTGTTTCCCCCCCCCCACTCCCCCCCTTTTCTTTTGGGGGGTGGGGGGGGGTACGTGCAAAGAAAGCGCTGGTGACCCACGGTGGCTGGAGCAGCAGCACAGCACCAGCAGGAGGAGGAGGTGGTGGTGGAGGAGACGGTGACTGTGCTGCTGCTGCTGCTGCTGACGGCCTCACAACGCTCGTGTGTCCTTCCGCATTTGGGTGAAGAAGTGCGTCAGAGGGGGAGTCTCTCTCTCTCTCTCTCTGTGTGTGTCTCTCCGCCCCCTCCCCCCCCCGGCGCGTGCGTACTGCGGCCGCTGCGGTAAAGAGAACCGCGAGCGTGAGAGGGCGAGTGAGTGAGTGAGCGCGAGAGGGAGAGCTCGAGCGCGAGTGACGGGCTCTGATTCTGATTCCATTCGGTTGGAAGGAAAATGGAGCCGCCGCGGCAGAGGCTGTGAGGACTGAGGACTGAGGAGGAGGAGGAGGAGGGAGAGAGAGGAAAGGAGGAGGTGGTGGTGGTGGTAGTGGAGGAGGAGGAGGAGGAGTGAAGAAGAGGAGGAGGAGTGAAGAAGAGGAGGAGATCGTCTTGTCAGCCTGTCTTGTCCTTGTCTGGTCTGTGTGACGGCGGACGGCGGTCGTAGGCGGCTCGGGCCCTGTTAACATAACTCTGTGCCCCCTTTCCCTCCCCCTTCCTCTCTCACCCCCACCCTCACCCGTCTCTCCTCCCCCCCCCAAAAAAAAGAAGCGAAAGAGTAGTGACAGAGGACTTTTTACAGTCTACGGTCGTCGGGGTATTTTTTGTGTGTGTGTGTGTGTGTGTGTGTGAAATTTAAATGGGTTTCGAAAAAAAAACCCTGAAAAAAAACCGCCGGTTAATTCGCGCGGTTTAAAAAACATTAAAAAAAAACACACACAACACACACACACACACACAACACCGTCTGGTGTCCAAGCGAGAAAAACCGTCCCGGAGAGAGAGAGAGAGAGAGAGAGAGAAAAAGAAAAAAAAAAAATTAATTTTTTTAAATTAATTTTTTAAAAAATATATATATCCCTGATCTCCCCCCACCCCCCCTTTTTTTTTCCTCCCTCCTCCTCCTCTTTCCACAACAAAACGATCCTCTTCTCCCCCCCCCCCCCCCAAAAAAAATAATAATCCGATGTGAGAAGTAATAGTGGAATGACTTTAAGCTCCAGAGCTCGGAGCAGGAAAGATCAATAACTTTTTTTTTCTTCGGCGGCGGCCGCTTTCCTCCTCCTCCTCGCCCTCCTCCTCCTCCTCCTCCTTCTTCTTCTCCTCCTCCCTCTCCTCTTCCTCCTCCCTCTCCTCTTCCTCCTCCCTTTCTCGGCTGCGACGACGTGAGGAGAAGCAGCGGAGAGACTCCCGTTTTCTTTTGACGTTTCGCGTCGCCGCCGCCCATCGCCGTCGCCGCCGCCGCCGCCACAACAAAAACAACGACGTGCGAACCCCCCCCCCGCCCCCCCCAAAAAAAAATAATCGACGGAACCAAAAAGAAAAGGAGAAGAGAATTATCTTCGGTTGTGTGTGTGTGTGTGTGTTTTTGAGGGGTGGGTGGGGGGGGGGGGGGGTCTGAGTCTGGCGGCCGCGGGTCTTGGGGGGGGGGAAGCTGAGGCCGATGCCGAGTTGCTGGGTGTCCATGAGCCATGCAGCAGCCTTACGATTTCTTCAGCGAGGAGAACCATCTGAAATGGCGGGGGCTGTTCTTACCGGCTTTGAAAAAGGTAAAAAAAAAGGGGGGGGAAACCCCCCCCACACACACACATACACCCCATCGAACTGAACTTGTGTGTGGGTTTTTTTTTTTGGGGGGGGAGAGGGGGTTTGGCAGTGTGCGGGTGGTGGTAGAGGAGGGTGTGGGGGGCGCCTGGGGTGGGGGGTGGGGGGGAAGGGGGGGAGCAGAGGTTAATGGTGGTCAAGTGTATTTGGAGTGCAACTTGTAGCGCACGATCAGATAGACCGGCCTCACGACACTGGCCTCAAGTCACTGGCCTCAAAGTGCACTCACGTAGCGAGAGAGAGAGAGAGAGAGAGCATTTGCAGTAATGGGTACAAGTGCAGTGCAATTTCAAGAGGAATTACACACTCACACACACACACCAAAAAAACTTGTGGTAGTTATCTTGCTACTGACAAAATCCAACGATCAGCATTCACCATGTTTCTATGTTAAACGCATCCGTCAACTTGCTTCTGGAAATGTTCCCCCCCCCCCCCCCCCCGCTTGCACATTAACCGGGTTGCCGTGTTTGAACTGACACCCAGTTTAAATCCTGGGAATCCCGATGATGTGTAGTTTGTATTTATTTGTTTCCGGCAACTTCAATGCTTGACCAGACGTGTAGAAACTGAGATGTGTAATTAACGTAACGATGAAAACAATTCTGATGTTATTGCAAACCACCAGTACATTACCCAATGTAGTATTTATGTAATAGCATTTGATCAACAGAAAGATGCTCAACCATTCTGTTTGAGAGTGCGAGATGAAGAAAAAGACGCCTTCGATATTTTGTACAATTTTTTTGTGATGTTTACAATTAATCTAAGACAGGCACATTTCCAGTAAAGTGAATCAAAATGACTGCATTGAAATGTTAAGGGTAGGGTTGCTTTTTTGAACTATATTTTCATGTAGCTGAGTATAATGTAAACTATAAATTATTACTGATAGCTTTCCGCAGTCACACTTCATAGCAGATTTTTTAAATATATATTTCTGTAGAAATAAAACGGGCTATGGATCAGAGATATTGAGGTTTAGGACTTCAGTAATGATCAATATTGTTGCCGATGACCATATATCGCATTTCATGGTCTAGTAGTGATAGACTGTATAATTTATAATTGTAGTCTGTACCACAGAAGACTAGTGTTTGCAATTTGATCTGTATAAAGCACTAATAAAATTCGAATTTGCTATTTAAATAGTACTTTTAAAATCTTTAAAAGTAACATGAAACATGAACTTGAAGAACAGCCATCCACAGCATGGTTAGATACTGGCCAATTATTTCTCCCCAGTTGTATATAGAAGTATTGCTGCTAGGAGTTTTTTTAAAAAAATATAGGAACTGTTCCTTTCAGGAACGTATTCTATGATGCACCATCAGATGAGCTCATCAGAAGGTGAACCATCGACCAAAAGCCCTGTCGATCTTGATGGCCTGACTGCTGTATGGTGTCATAGGTAGTGGTGGAGAACACTGAATATGAAAGCATTACAAATGATAGTGCCAGCTGTCTTTATAATTCGCAGTGTCCTGGAGTGGCAGATTGCTCATGATTAACTTACATGTGTTGCTGATCTCAGCTGTACTGTCAGAAGTGTGGAATGGTGGCCAGGTGCTTCCTCAAAGAAAGTGTTTGGGGGTGGGGGGGGGATTCCAATAGTCATTTTTTTTTTGCAACTTCTAGTTTCAAGCCAGAATTAACAGATTCTAAGAGAAGGTAATACCTTGTGCTGTTTTGCAATGGTGCTTGCACTTATGAATACCCAATACCCAAAGGTATAAATCTTCCCTTGCAGAAAGAGACCAACAGCAAAAAAAAGTAAACCAGTGTAAATTTTAACATTTTATTCCAAGTACAGTGTAAATGTTATGTAACTATTACTGAAGTGGTTTTCATTTTGTGTGGGCATACTTCGATTCATTGCAAGAACAGTATTTAGTTTGCAAATAAAAGGAATTTGTACATGGATTGTTTATTAACAATGACGTAGAGCATACATTGCCTTGAAAATTTGCCTTTTCACCCCCTTTTGTGGTTCCACTGGCAAAGCTATTAGTGACCCGCTGTTACCTTTGTACATGTACAATTCAGCGGCCTACCAGGAGATGATCATAAAGTAATTTCATAATAATTTCTTGTGTGGGGAAGTATCTGGTTGGCCTCTGCTTAGTCTATCACTTAGTGATGTGAAACTGGGTATTAAAGCAGTCTCTCACACTGAAGAAATGAATGCGCCATTTTTGTACTGTGAAGCCTGAGTATTTCTTAACCCCCCCCCCCTCCTTTTTTCTACGGAGAACTGAATAGTACCTGTCTGTAGGCTGTTAATGAAAATATTTAAATGAGGAAATAAGATGTTTCTTGTAACCATCTGATCTGGTCTGTTTTTTTTAATTTAGAAAAGACGTTATATCTCAATGTTAATCTTTGTTCTTCTATGCAGGAATTCAAAAACATTGAGAATGCAATCTTTTCAAAATATTTATGCATTTTTCAGACATCATCTGGAAAAATTGTCTTTGAAATTTTGTAATCGTATGCAGTTGTATACTCAAAAATGGAATTCTACTTTAATCCTTTTTGTGCTCTATAAAATTTTGTCGGGTGGTAGTTGAGGAGAGAGCGTGAGTTAAAATGGAAAACGTAGACCAGGCAATAATGTAATGTAGAAAAATTGTGTAAAAGAAACAATACACTGTTAGTTTATATTCCAGGACTCTCGTAGGTCATTGAATGTCTTCCGCCTTTGTAAACGGCATTTTCTTTTCTTGCTTCCTTTTTTGATTTTTCTGGGATAAAGGCCAAGGGCTCAGCAGCCTACCAGTACCTTGCCCAAACGGCCAATTGTTAAATGTGTGAGCCTGGATAGTGTATTTTCTTTTTGATTGTGGAGCAACAGAGCCAAGCTTAATCTGATCCATGTTATTCAGTAAACATCATTGGACAATATTCGGGCATATGAACCTTCAATAAATATTCTGGATTAAGGCTGCTAAAGTTTATTGTAATGCCTGTACTGCTACTCCCAATACACAGTCCATGACTAGAAAATAGGACCTTCCTGGTGTCTATGGCAGTACCATACCAGCTCATTCAATTACCTGACCACACATTGGCTAAATGGAATTTTCGGTTGCTCAGGGATCTTGTGAGATTCTTACACAAATTAAATTTATAGATTACATTAAAACTATAAAATAAACCTCAAAGCTATTTCATAATGTTGCAATTGAAATAAACTATAAGAAAAGCTGAAGTATTCCAAGTGGAACCAATTATGAATGTTTAGATATTCAAGAAAAGAAATGCATCTGTTTATTGTTTCGCTCACAAAATATACAGTCAGTTCACTTTACAGTATATTCTGTGAAGCGCTTTGAGACATCTCAAAGACGTGATAAGATGCTATATCAAATGCAAGGATTATTATACAGAATATTCCTAAATTATATGCTATGGTTGTATGTAAATTATGGTAGTTCTTTGTATGCAGAGACAAACATGATTTCTAATAGTATATTATCACTTCTATCCTTTTGATTTTACAAATTTCACATTTTTAAATAAATCTGCTTCATCTTTTAAAAGTTAAACATTTGATCATTTAACTGTACATCTACATTTCTTGGTAAAACTATACGATTGCAAACATTACATTCGTAAAATAACCTAGTGGTAGAACATATGTCTAGTTTTGGAAAGTATTTATCTGAACTTCTACTACTGTGATTTTTTTTATCGACCAATGTAAACGGTAGTATAATTAAATGCTGTGTGTTTTCATTCGTATTGGCTCAAGTGAAATTTCACTTTATTTGGAAATTGATTCCTTTCTACTCTCTTGGAAGAACATTTAATGTTTGTTTAAAATTGCATTTGCAGTGAGTGGTAACATCTTTATGATAATATGATCAAGGTATTGAAGGAAGAAGCTGATGAAGGTATCAAATGAAAGTTGAAATGCATTTAGTGGCACACATAAAATAGATTTTTTTTGAATATAACTATAGCAACCGATCACACTGGAACCAGTTACAAGAGTTTTTTTTAAAAAATTAACATGTCCTGTCTTTCCCTCCCTCTGCCTATACACATTCAAGTGGTATAAGTAGATGAATTAATGAAGTGCCTTTGCAGTTTACATTTACCTGAGAGGTTAGCATTTTGCAGTATTTTACTCCAGCTTGTTTCAGTCAAAATCATTGTTAGATTTTATTCAACCTTCATTAAGCGATTGTAAGAAATTGTTGAGTTCTTTTTGTAGAACCCAATGAAGATGTGTGATATGGTAAGTTTTAAGTTTTTTTGTTAATTGTTCTGTAATGAAAGGTGAGAAATTTAAGATAATCACAAGGTTTGTGTTGTTTCTACGCAGAGTATGTTCATATACAATCTATATTTAGATTATGATGGGGTTTGTAGTAGTTACCCAATTAGTCCTGGGTTTTAGTTGATACAGCCTTATGAGGGCACTGAGATGCTTTCTCTTGCAACCAGAACAGATCTGAGATCAGAGTACATAATATTTTGAGTAATGTATGGAGATGATGGTTATCTTTCTCATGAATCTGAGCTGCTACTTACTTTTGGTGTGTTCAGTTTAAACTGAATTTTGTGCAGTTGTTTTGTTTATAATGATAATAGTATGTTTATTTGGCCTCTGCTACCATAATGAGGAGATGCAATTGCCTCAAACTGAATACAGCAAAAAGCTGATTGCTTCACTGTTACAATCTCACTCATTGTCACATGGAACAGTTTCAATTTATGTAATTGTTTTTGTATTTCAATTGGGAGAAAATAAATCTTGCCTAAATTGTATAAACTATACATTTTATATTTCTATTCAGAAAATATGTATTTCACACAATTCAATGTTTTACAATTTTTTTGTTTTGTATGATTGCTTATAATTATTTCAAGTAGCAGTTTGAACTATTGAAATATTTGTGAATGTTACCTGTCCAGGTAATTTTAGAGAGCAAATATGTTTAATCTTTAATGCAAAATATCTACAATATGAACTGAATACATTATTTTTTTCAGTTCTGGGTAGTTACTGTACTAGAACTTGAAGCTAGTCTGGCTTCTTAAATACTAAATTATAACTGCCAACTTCATGATGACTGAATAGCTTTGCCTTGTTGTGCAATGTTTGTAATTTCCCCATAGCAGCATTGGCATATGGCCACAATAAAACTACTGATTAATGCCATGAGACAAAGTTGAAGTGGAAACATTTTCAGTGCTATTTGCTTAATCGAAACTTGTCCCTGTGATCAGACAAAAATGTGATGAGTCTAGAGCTACTTTTCTTCCTCCTTCCCCCAGTTGCTACATTAAGTGTATCTACAGGAGCAATATCACACTTATGTCATGTGTACAAATCTGAAGTAGTATGAGTGATATTTTCTTACAGTACACATGTCAATTTTTAAAATCGAATTTTCGGTGTTTTTGCACCTCAGATGCCCTTTCTGACAACCTATTCCAGTTGTTGGTTGTTTTCCTTAGAATCAGTCCTAAACTTGCCCTTTAGAACCTTTGAACTGTGTCCTCTGACATGGATTATCTGAAGGTAAGGTTCTCTGTAAAGTTAAGCATCTTTTATACCTTCATAAGGTCCTCTCTGAGGTGCAATCAGAATAGATCCAACATTTTCTCTTTACTGTCCTTGAGTCTGAACATACTTTCATTGGTGCCTTATTTGGCATCTGTTAAATTTGTTGCTGTGACTTTTTGTCAAATAAGATCAGTCGAAAATTTTGCATTCCAGCAATTGTATCTTGTAACTTAAATTGAACTGTCGTGAACAAAGTTATGAACATGATATGGTGCTACCTTTTGTTCCTTGTTGTGTAGAGATCAGTGTGTGACAGCTATTTAGTAAAATAGGTCTTTGAGGGCTGCTGAATAATAAACTGCAATAGCAAGACGTGTTGGATAGAAGCAAAGGTTTGCAACATCAGCAGTTTGACATAGGTTACATAAGTTCAATCTGTAGCCATTGTAATGGGGAGAAAGCAAAGGATTAGAAACTGCTTGCATTGGCCAAAAGGCTTGGAAGAATTCCCTTCCATTTTCAGTTTCTCACAATTTCCTTTCTTATAAAGACTTGCTTTGCATTTTTATGAGTCACATGATTATTTATACTGTTGTTCCTTTCCTTGTGACATATCCAGTGCTGCTTTTCTCGTGACCATCCAGTGTTTCTTTCACCTTGATCTAAATAAACTCAAGATTCAGTTGAATGAGCAGAAAAGTAAACTTAAATTGACACTCGTTACTTATTTAAAATTCAGTTTTAGGCTACATCAGTAAATTTAAATAGTAAATGAGATAACGTAAACTTTTGTTTCCCCAAAACATTGTTTAATAAATTTGTAGTTAGAATTAATATTATCTATGTACAGTAGTCAGTGTATCATGGCATCCATTCTTGGAGGACAATCATTAAGCAGTTATCAAAAAAGTTTGGTTATTGGGAAATAATATGGCAATATTTTATAAACAAATTGTATGATGGTAATATAAGGTGCACATCATATTCAAGATCTATTAATCAGATTACGTAATATGTGATTTCACATTGTGCTCAATAGTTTGTTCATTTGGTAAGCTTATGTAATTTTATACCATGCCATTAAACATGTTTGTAGGACTGAATTTACTGTTGATTTTGTTTTTGTGTTAAGAAGTAAAGTTAGTGCAGTTTATTTTCTCTGTCACTGGAAATAGAGAGTATTGCATAAAGTCTACATGTTTGTTTGTGGAGAAGAAAGTTAAATGGATGCTGTGTCAGGTTTGAATTCTACTGCCCGCATAATTTTGAATCCATTTCAATAATACCCTTGCCTGCAAAGACCTGACCATTGGCACTATGTCACATGCATATTGGAATTTATGAAGACAGTGCTGCCACGCCACCCTCTGATAATATAATGTCAACTATCTAAGCAAGAGATAGACAGATGTAGCATCCAACAGTTGGTCACGTACTCAATCATACACAAAATGCATTCCTCACCTCTGCTACAATCTTTTTCTTTTAAAAAATGTAATAGATTAAACTCATTGTAAAAAAAGATTCCTTTGTAATACCTGCATCATTATGCTGGTGGCATGTAGCTTAAAGCAGTATGTATTATATATATATATATATTTTCATTATGAATGCCTTATTAACTTCAGAGTTTTGGGGGAGCAATTGGAAAATGTTTATTTAAATGTATATTTTTCTGGTTTTAGAATGTGGTCAGTTGCTTTGACGATATATTCACAAAAATGTATAACCTAAATCCAAGGACAATTTCTTCAAAATTTCTTGAACAGGAAAATAGGGCAATCCTAAAAATACTTTATAAAGACATTGTACTATGAAAATATTGATCAATGTATGAAAATATCCTTGAAAACAACTTATATTTGTGACAAGGCACTTATGTTTTCGTCGCAAAAAATGAAAAATAGAAGAAAAGTCCTGAATTATGTTTCACAAGTCAAAACTGTTAAATAAATGTTAAATAAAACTGCTGCTAGTACATATTCAGCTCTAGATTTAAAAAAAAACTAAGTATTGATCAATGTTACGTCGCTTGTTCTTTTTAGTGAACTTTAGGATATGAGAATCCATTTACGATCTGGTGATGATTACATTATGACATTGAGTGTATTTCAAGGGTCAGATTATGTTTTTATGTGGCACATCCATTGGTTCTCGGCACAGGGAGTTGAGATGCTTGGCTCCCTCATGGATCAGGGGAGCAAACTGCATGAGTCCAGATGAAGGGAAGCCAGGAATTCGGAGTCCTTGAGGAAGGAGGGGTTGATGTGCTAATGTTTGTACAGATGGGCAGGTTATTCATGGGTTTGAAACATTTATATTAATAGTTTTTTTTTTTTAAATACAGGTTCAGAGACAGGTTCATCCAACCCTTTTAGCAAAAGAAGATGCTCTCCATTACATAGAAGAATTAATTCTTCAGTTACTGAATATACTCTGTATTGCGCAACCACGAACAGTTCAAGATGTGGAGGTACAATATTGATCATTTGTAATTTTTGAAGTTTTAAGAAGCAATTGTAGGTTATATTTGCTTTGCACGCTGCTTTAGATCTCCATCAGTTTTGGGAGAGATGCTTTGTTAAATTGTGTAGATGGCTGAAATGTTATGAGGTTGGGTAATTGTTGACACTTCTGACTACTTTATCCTCCATGGATCCGAAATGACCTATTCATGTCATTAGTTGCTTGTTCTGTTCAACTGATATTTTGATTTATATTTATATAAGATCATAATAAACCCACTCAGGGTTACTAACTGGCTTTATTGAAGAACTAACTGTAACTGGCAGTTTACTAATTTCCGAGTTACAGGTGAAGTGTACAGGTCATTGAGTATTATAATTTAAATTAACATTATCCAATTAACACTAAATAGATCAATTAAAATAGAGGTTGCTGACTCCCTTGTGGCACTGATACCTTTTGAAGTCTGCCTACTGAAAAGTAGTGAATTAAACAGATATTTGTAATGGCTTAATGCATTGCAGCTGTAAAACAACTGCTGAAGTAAACTACAGTACTTCGTTAGGATGTTGTCCTACACAGGAAATTATATTACATGGAAAATGCTCGATTTCTAGTTAATATATGGCATTTATTAAAAACAAATTTTTCACACAAAGTGTTGTGGAAATCTAGAATTCTCTTCCCAAAGACTGTGGATGCTCTGTCAATTGAAACTTTCAAGACTGAGATTGATAGATATTTGTTAGATAAGGGTATCGGGAGAAATGGAGCTGAGATACCGATTGATCAGCCATGATCCAATAGAATGCTGGAACAGGCTCGAGGGGTTGAATGGCCTACTCCTGTTCCTATATTCCAATTCAACCCATCAAGGCACTCTATCATGTATTCTACACCTCAATTTGATCACCAGGTTACCGTCTTGGTCAGTTGCTTTGCACAAACCTAGCCCCATCAGCACTGAAGCCATTCTGCTTTGTGGAATCTCTGATTATCTCAGTCTTTAATGTTCTATAAATACCTGTTAGCCAAATATTCCTCCAACTCGTTTTGAAAAAATATTAACTTCAATTACTTTTGCTAGGAATCTATTCCACATCCACTATGAAAATGGTAGGCGGTTAAAGTTTCTTCTTCTCGGTAGTTTTGGTTGAATCTTCTTAATTTCAAACTTGAGTCTGAATTATGTGCACACTGTCCAAATCGTACAAGCAGTACATATCAATATCCTCTACACTTTTCAGTATTTGGGTATCTTGTTACTTTTCAATTTAATTTTATCTGCCTAAAGCAAATTATACTGAGTGAATCATAAATCATGGAATCCTGATTGTCAATTTTCTCTGAACTCTTTCCCATGCATTAGTGTGATTTCACAAGAGGTCCAAAAAAAGTCTGCTGCTGAGTGTAGTGACAATGAGGATGTGCATGACAGTGGCAGTTATAAAGTTAGATGCCTCTAAAATTTTCAGTGAATGGTATAAAAAAAACAAATCCTTGTCTTTTCTACAAAGAACATACTTTTGTCACTCTTATATTTTCTGGTCAGTCCGTTTAAAATTTTTTCTTCATAGGAGCGTGTTCAAAAGACTTTCCCGCATCCAATTGACAAATGGGCTATTGCTGATGCACAGTCTGCTATTGAAAAACGCAGACGACGGAACCCTCTTCTTCTGCCAGTGGACAAAATACATCCTTTATTGAAGGTTACTTTTTTTTATGTCAAGCTTGTTCTTGTCATGTAGCTATGAGGTTCAGAATAAATTGTACCTTAACATATGTATCTTTACTTTGGTATAATTACATTTATGAATGTTTGACCTTGAAAAAATATTGACATTTATACTCTGAATGAGAAGGTTCCAATAAGTTGCTGGGGACTGTAGTGACTTCTATATTAGCAATCCCAACAACCAATTGGCACTTTCAAAGTCCCAGCTAGCTGCCACATTTGCCTACATAGTGTTCTTTATGCTTCAATTGCTCAAAACACTTGTATGGTTTTATGTGATGAGGCACTGTATTGAATGTAATTATTGTTTCTGGAAAATTCCATAAATCTCAAAAAAAAGTACTTCAGCTAAATTATAACAGAGGTATCATCATCTGATATTTATTATCCAATTATTAAATATTATTAATTATTATTAATTGAGTGACAAAATTATTATTATGTTTTATTTATTTGGAGGGATTATTACCCCCGGAAAAACGATCCCCCAATTGACTAACAAGCTTATTCATACTTACTGCTAGATAAACAGAGACGTGTGGAGTAAGGAGACTTGCCCAACGTTTCAATCCACCTGGAAATCAAACCCAGGTCTTTTCGCCTGTGAGGCGAGTGCTCTAACTGCTAAGCTACAGGACTCCACATCGTATAACAAATATCATATTAAAGAGCTTTCCTGGGAAAACAATTCAAATCAAAACTTTATAGTCTGTGATGCAGCAAACTAATGCGATAATGGTGGAAATTCAAAAAAGATCAATATTAACTGTGCAAGAGAATTTACTGTAACTGCTTAAATTATTAATGCTATATTGAAAGACCTTAAATTTCAATATGAACTACTCTGTATAAATATCTTTATATTAAGGTTAATCCTGATGCTTTTTTTTAAAAAAAACATCTATTTTAAAAGTAATCTTAAGGATAATTGAGAAGAAATATTGCCCGAAAATTTTCAACACTACCAAATCTGTATTCTTTATTCTTTGAGAAATGCTAACTTTGTAGGAGTGTTTATAGATTCTTGAATACTTACATATTAAATGTGCAGAGCTGTCATATCATTTTAGCATCATTATTCTGATCCATTCTTTGTAGGTAATAATTTTGAATTGAGGGCAATGCAAATTTCAGATTTTATGTAAGATTGGAATTTCTAGGAGCATGTCTAGTGATTTAATTTATGAAAGAAATGCATATGTATGATAATTATAACATTGGTTGGTCAATATTTATGAATGCTTTAGCTTAAAAAAATTTGAGTAGCATTATAAACAAATTATTTATTGCAGAAATTTATATGAGATAGCTCACATCTCTGATTGGTTTCCAGAAAGTAATTATTTATTTTAAGTTCCTTATATAAAATAAACTATTTTCTGTAACATTTCTTTAATAGTTTTATGTTTAACTATAAATAAACTTTAAGACCAAATATAACAAAATATAATTAAGTTGGCCTGAAATGTGATGCAAGGAATTGTAACCTTTAATTACACTGACGTGGTTATTGATTTATTTGTAGAAAATAAACAATTGTAATCATTTATCTTTTTCAGGAAGTGCTCGGTTATAAAGTGGATTACCAGGTTTCTCTGTATATAGTGGCTGTGCTGGAATACATTTCGGCTGACATCTTAAAACTGGCTGGCAACTATGTCGGTAATATTCGACACTATGATATTTCACAACAGGACATTAAAGTGTCTATGTGTGCAGACAAGGTGAGGTTGATTTGGATTGTCTTGACTCCATTGTATCTTAGAAGTGTGTTTCAAAATAATTAGAATTTTTTTTAACTGTAGAATGAATTGTACAATGTTTATTAAGGCTCTGATTTGAATAGTAGACTCACCACTGCTTTCTCAGTGCAGTTGGATAGGCTACTGATCATACTAGTGTGGTCCATATCCCAAGAAAGTTTAAACCATGCTTGTTTGACCATGCCTTCGATCATCTCTCTCTTTCCAGCTCGGAGTCATACCACACTGCTGTTAGCGCTTTGAGCCCTATTCATGTGAAGGGCACTTTATAATCGCAAGTTGTTGTTGAGGAGCGCAAAGCTAATTTGAGCTCTGAACTGATTTCCTACAAAAGGAAACAACGTGTTAAAAAATTGTGAGGATTGCAGACTAATAGTTTGAGAAAATGGATCAGAAGGATGTATTCTTTATTTTTAACATATAGTATAGCCCATGTTCATGAAAGGAAACAGGACATACAATTAAATTAAGTCAGAACTATTTCACACAACGGATAGCGGGCACAAAATAAACTGGCAATCTCATTGAAGCATGTTTTATAAAACTTGTAATGACTTCTAGGATAATTTTGGACTTGGTTTATCATTTGGCAGAATCAAAATCCAAGTTCAAAGTTACTATTATTTTTGCAGTGTTTTGAATTTAAGAACGTAAACATAAAATCAGAAAGGGCCATTCTATTTTTTCCTATTATTTTTCCTCTTTAGTTTTTGCCTCTTATGTAAAGAAAATTAAATGTTTCAATTTATTCTCTTCAGGTCTTGATGGACATGTTTGACCAGGATGATGATATTGGCGTGTCTTTATTGGGAGATGATGAACCAGGTGCTACAGGTGAACAAGGTTACTATGACCTGGTGAAAGCTGAAATTGCAGAGGAGAGGCAATATCTACGGGAACTGAACCTGATTATAAAGGTCTTTAGAGAGGCATTTATATCCAACAACAAGCTCTTTACTGCACGTGTAAGTTTTATTTATATAATGGATTCTGTAACCAAGACATTATGGTTGAAATGTTAAATTGCTGCTTTTTATTTCATAAATATTTTGATGATAGCAAGATTCAAAAGTGAATTAGATATACATTTTAAAAAATGAAGAATATAAAAGTCAGAGTAGATAGCTCTAGGGGTGCAGCTAACACTAGGATGGTATCAATAACTGAATCGGCTCCTCCTAAGCTGCTGTTTCTCTAATGCTATGTTCAAATGGAGATCCTAGCATCATTTTATTAATAAACTGAAGCAGGAATTATTTTTTCAGTATTTCAGCACATGCTGCTTTTATGTAAAACAAGTTCTAGAATGTAGGAGTTCTTAGATTTAGAGATCGATATGCCAAAAGAATCCTGTGGCCAGTTAAATGATGGGCTAGATGGGCTTTTTATCTACTATTGCCTGATATTGTTACGGTTGTTGTCTGCATTGAAAAAAGTTGAGCTATAAAACTCACGGAGAGATATGCAAATAAAACACTTGATTTACATTTTGCTTGATTTACAAAGGCGAAACCTCAAATCCTTTTTTGGAATTCAGTTTTGTTATTGTTATTAAGAAAAGGGCACAGTTAACGTTATAAACTGCATAAAATACATACATAACTCTTCAACAATTATTAGTAAACAAAATTTTTATATGAAAATGTAATGCCTAGCAAGGAAACTTTTATATTGATCATTTTATTCAAATGCACAAATGCATAGCAGTTCCTCTTAAATTATGCAAAGCATTTGGCTATCGGTACTTAGGGGTATGAATAATTCAATAGTACTAAAATGATCTAAATTAATTGCTCCATATATGAAATACTCTTGATTGAATGGCAGGAAAGGGTAATTGAATACACCATTAATACATCAAACTGATGGATGTCTTGAAATTACTATTCTGTGCTGTTAGAATTCTGGTAAAGGTTAAATATGAACAGCAAATAAGTAGTTTTGGATAATGGGCATCCATACAATAGTCCAGGGAAAGGGTGATTGAAATTATACCAGGGCCAGAATGATTGGTACATATACAGTATTTCCACAAAGCGCTTAAATATAATTTCATGCTTCATGTTCCTCACACTGTTCATTTGCATTTTAGGCAATAACTATCAGGAGCATTAGAGTTGAGGGAAGCTGGGATTCAAACATTTGAACCTGACTGGTTTGGGTTTAATTATACTGCTAGACCTACCATTACAAAACTCCACACATAGCCTCAATTCCAAACTGTGATGGAAGGGGAGGTTAAAGATTCCCTTTCTGGGCTATTGCCAGTCTGATTAGTGCTTCACAGAAAATTGTCAGGTGAATGCCAGGTATTTCCCTGCATTGAGGAAGGAAAAAAATAAAATGGGATGCCATCTCATAACTGTTCTTTGGGGAATAAGCCATCTATCCATCCCATTGGTGACAGAGGTACATGACTTTGATGAACCTATTAAGAGTATTCATTTTTTTTAGAGTATCTGATGGTAGAAGCTCAGTAAATATGCAATTTGAGGCTGATGGCCTGCTTATCTGTGACCTTAATATTGTTTTCCAATAGGATATTGAAGTGATCTTCAGTAATATCTTAGACATTCATGAATTGACTGTGAAGCTACTAGGTTTAATGGAGGACACTGTTGAGATGACAGATGAAAGCAGCCCTCATCCATTGGTGGGCAGCTGCTTTGAGGATCTAGCAGAGGTACGGTATAATAATTAGTCGTAATTTGTTCTTGGTCTGGAACCTGGTCTTGTGAAGAAATTAAGATTTGAATTAAAATCCACTAAATTGTAGCATTTAAATTTTGTTACAGTAATAACTATAATAGCTACTTTCACAAGCTAGACATACAGACTCTGAATTGGGCTTTAATTTGGCGTCTGAAGGTACATAACAACAATTGATTGCGTATGGTGTTTTCGTTTAAGCGCTCCAAGAAGCTACCCTTTATTGAAGGGCATGATGTAAATGCAAGTTGTTACTGTTGTGTTTTCCTGTGTAGCAAATGCCTAGGCCGTGTTCAGTATCTTCTGGAGTTTCAAATATAATTATTAACTTGTTTTAGAAACTGACCACTAATAGTTTTAAGATTGGAGTTGTTCTTCAAAGACCAAAGCAATTAGCAATTTGTAAATTGATTGAAAAAAATGTAAAACATAAATTTAGCAAGCAAGTTTAGAGCCGTGGTAACAAAACAAATGTTGACATTTTTCCTTCTGTGTAGGAGCAAGTATTTGATCCCTATGAAATCTGTGCCCAAGATATTCTTTCATCACAGTTTCATGAACACTTCAACAATTTGATGTCCAGGCCAGCAGTAGCATTTTATCTTCAGGTAAACCCATTTAAGCAGAATCTTATCATTACACTGAATGGCCTCCTTCAGTTCCTGTTTCCTGTTTTCAAAACCATTTAATTATTGCGTGTCCTGCTATTTTTGGTTTTAAATTTAAATAAGTTATTTCCACATTATGCTTGCAAACATCAGAAGCATAATTTCTGGAAACAAGAACTGAATGTGAAGTTAGGTGGTGCTAATTTTAAATGAGCATACAGACAGAATAGAGGTCCATACAGTGCATAAGAACACCCAGAGAAACATGTATCCTCATTTAGAAAACACCGGTGCAGGTCTGTGACTCAGTAAATCCATCTGTGAATAAGATTGCTTTATCTGAACTGCCCTAAAAACAATTAAAAAACAAAGCAACATACAGAGTGGAACAGGGAACTGGAACAGGGTAACCTAAAGAACACACTGTTTCTTTCATTATGTCGGGAACTTTTGGTTGAAAACTATTAACTTTCCTTTGAGATGCCAATGATCAAGAGAGATCGATTTAAAAAAAAATTGTGTAGCAAAATAATTGTGGAAGCTAGAAATCGCTTATTAATACAATTAAATTGGTACAGTAGTATGTTAAAATCAGTCTATTCAACATTATAACTAAATAATGTTTGAAGTTCAACATTATAACTAAATAATATTTGAAGCATATGCTTTTAAATCGATACCTTTGCACTGATTTTTGATTTACCTGAAACATTTTTCTGTTCAGTTTTTAATTGATCAATGAATGACTTTTTTACTTTTTCTCTATACTTTCACAAATGCAATGCGATATAAATAATGATCAGTTGAAGTAAACTTTAGATTCTGATTGCTTATACGCATATTTAGGGTTTGGTGTCTTCCTGTCATTTCGAGCTTCTATTCTACTCTATGGAATTTACAAAGTGTTGTTGCATTCATATTGTAGAGTTACGATGTACAAATATTCAATTAGGTCTATTCCTTTGGGCAATGCTATTTCCATTTGTGCTCATGCATCTACAGATGCTCGCACTGTCTCTATTGTTCCCATTAGTGATTTGTGTGTGGGCAAGTTATTGTATATTTGTCTTGCATCTAACTAATGCTTGAATGAAAGATGTAATCCAGATCTTTACCTCTTTCAGTAATTTCCTCTAGCTAATTGTGAATACTAAAGCCCTGCTACAACCAAGTCTTAATTTTGAACAGTAAAAGGAAAGGTTTAATTCTCCAATGAGAGGCAGGCTAAGGAAAGATGAGTCAGTCTCAAACCAGATTTTTGCCATCAATCAGCTTTTGACTGATGTTAAGTGATGTCCGGTTTAGAAACAATTCTGGCAGCTAAAGTGATCTTTGTTCAGGGGCCGGGAGTTCAGTAGGTTAGGAAAATGAACTGATTTTCTTGGTGATATTTCGTAATCCATCAAAATGAACTCTATTGTGGAGATAAGACTACAAAACAGATAATTTGAGAAGAACCGATCCAAAAAAGGTGCCTTGATTATCCAAATGTCTCCCTGAATGGATTGATAGCCAGAAAGATATTTCTCCTTGAAGTTGGGTGTTTAAGAAAGAACTATCTGCGGTACTTACTTTTCACCTTCCTTGTAAATAATAAACATAAAATAATACATGTAAAATGAGCATAGTGTGGAAAGATTAATGTAATCAGGACAAGGGCATGCTGGATGAGAAAACTAATACTAGCCATTTAGCAGGAGATGAATTTTCTTTGTCAGACAAACCCAGTTAATGGCAGTTAAGTGAAAATTTGAGCATGCATCCACATAGCCTAAGAAAACTGAATGGTTCCATAAAGTCTGACATTATCTGCTTTCCATGATCAGAGGTTAAAACTATTCAATATTTCTTGGCTACTGCATTGAGTTTGGTTGCAGTAGAATTCTTAGAAACTGACGAAATCCACTGATTTACTGTCTCTTATGGGAGGCTACGATTGTTAGTGATGCATTGACTTCAGATATTTTGCCCTGTCTCATATTGCTTCAGTGTGTTTAATAACTGACCCCATATTGCAGTGGGATTACCTGATCAGCTTCCCAATGTAATAGCAAGTTAAAGAATGTAAAGATAAAAGGATATGTGTTAAATTTTTCATCTCCCAAGTGTTACAACTAGATTATATCTTTTTTTCTATGATCAGTATGAAGTTGTAAATGTATTAAAAAAAAGTATTGCATTACTGATTCTAGGGTGTAATTACTGGCTCCTTAGCTATTTAGTACAATAATTTACAAGTTTTCAAATGCTAATTAAATATTATTTTTGGGTTTCAGTCAATCGCTGAAGGATTCAAAGAAGCTGTTCAGTATGTACTACCCCGCCTACTTTTAGTCCCAGTCTATCACTGTTTGCATTACTTTGAGTTATTGCAGGTAAGACATTAGGCAGGTAAAATATTTTAGTCATTCTGAAACTAGGAAGCGTATTTTTTTTAATCCATGCCATGTTCTATAGTTTTTGTTCTAGCTTTCTTTATGCTTTGTACTAGGTGCTTTATGCTTCAAATGTTAGCCTCAGTTAGTAGCACTTGAGTCAGAAGGTTCTAAGTTCAATCCCTGCTTTGAGACTTTGAGCTCACGGCATTCATGGCTATTTGTGGGATATTGCTACGTGCAAGTTACCCATTGCAGTTGTCTGCAAGTGCAGTCACTAGACTTAACAGTAAATCTTGTGAAGCACATTGAGATGTCTTATGTGATGAGGCTCTATATAAAATGAAAGTATTATTATTATTGCTAAATTATATTTTCCCCATCTGAAAAGGTTATTGACCTGTGCTGCCATCTTCTGACAGTCCAGTGTATTAAACCTGATTTCGAATTTATTATTAAATCTAAAGATATAATTATTAGCATACCATTATTCTGGTGATAAAATTACTTAAAATCTACTGAAGGGTTTCTTGTAACACTTCATATTTTTATTTCAAGAAAGCAATTCTAAACTGATTGAATTCTTAAGTGCAATTTACATTATTGTACACTATTTAGACAGAAATTGTTGACTTGTACATGAACACTACTTTAAGATCACTTTTTATGAAACTGAGGTTAATCATACTTTACATGTGTTTTTCTTTAGAAAAGAGGAATATTTGTAACTGTATTCAATGTTTGAGCCAAAAACTTCAGTAATTTAAATTTGTACGGGGATGTTTTCATTGTATACTCTGATTTGCTTGCTGATGTTTGGCAATCTAAATCGTACATTCATAAGTTTTTCTGCAGATCAACCTAATGTGTGACTTGGATAAACTTTGTTTTAAGGTTTTTGGCTTATCAGTGATGCACTTCTTTGTGTTTTTTTGAAAAGTAAGACAAATCTCGGTGTGGCGTCCTTTATGTATACATATTTAGCTTAATTAAAATACTGTGCCAAGTTTTCAACATATGCCAGTACTCGGCATTATTGCAGACTAGTACCTTAAAATAGGTCACAAATCTTTGTACTTTCTGTGTAAATTGTAGCAATTACAAGAGAGAAGTAAAGATGAAGAGGACCGCGAGTGTTTGAAACAAGCCATCACTGCCCTATTGAACCTGCAGTGTAGTATGGAACGCATCTACAATAAACATCTACCTAAACGCAGAGCTGGGTAGGCTAAAGTACTCGTTTTCTTCTGAGTGACCAGGATACTGCATGGTATTGCCAAATCAATTGACTTTATACTTTCCAAAAGTGATGCTCAAACTGGTCAGGTGTCTGTAATGTATAACATACAGTTCTTCTTGCTTCAGCGATGGGGATAGTGCAGAGGAAAGCCACAGCCAGTTTTAAAAAGATGAGGAATGACTAAATAGGTTTGTCTTCTTCAGCCTCAAAAAAAACGCTTTGAAACTTCTTAATGACGTGATAAGGCACTATATCAAATTCAAGGATTATTATTATTTTGTCACAGAGTCAGACTGCTTTAAAATGCAAATTTATGGGGTTTTAGTTCAAAATATACATAATGTGCACTATGTAATTTATATACGTTCCATCATAAATATACATTTGCTATGGGGTAAATTTATTTTCTCTATTGTCCCTTTATTTATGGCAGTTGACACAAGTTTGGTATAGTAATATGGTAAATCCAAGTCAACGTTTCTGGTTTTAGCCCTGTTGAAAATTGATTGTTACTAAAAATTGGGGCAAGACAAAAAGTTGGAACTAATCTTAGTTTGTATTTCTTTGTGCTGATAGTGCTGTAGTCTATTGTTATCCATCTTGTATTATTGAAATCTGTTTACAGAATTGTGAAGAGTTCTAGCTATGCAGAGTCTTAAACTAAAAGGACTATCGAGAGTATATTAGTATGCTGCCCACTTCTGGGATCTGAATTCAACACAAGATTATAGTGTTTTTTGTCCTCTATTGACTAAAAGGGTAGCTAAGTCAAATAAGTTGTTTCAGGCAATGGCAACCCAGTTGCTGTGTTCTTACACCCACTAGCACAAAACTACCCACCAATTAAAGCTGATTTTTAAGCCTCACTCAGAAAGACCGTAGGATGTAACGGAAATATTCATGCTGAAATTTCTAGGTGCTCTGTTTCTTGTTCTCATTCTGTTATACAGAGAAATGTCTTATTTTGTTGAACCATTTTCTGTTTTGTAGTGAACCTTTACCTCGTCTCTACAACCGCCAGATTAGGAGTAAGCACCTTGCAATCAAGAAAATGAATGAAATCCAAAAAAATATTGATGGGTGGGAGGGGAAAGATATTGGACAGTGTTGCAATGAATTTATAATGGAAGGAACACTAACACGAATCGGAGCAAAGCATGAGCGACATATTTTTTTCTTTGATGGTTTGATGATCAGCTGCAGGACCAATCATGGACAGTCGAGGCTTCCTGGCTGTAGCAATGTTGAATACAGACTCAAAGAGAAATTCCTGATGCGCAAAGTACAAATAATTGATAAGGATGACACTTTTGAATACAAACATGCCTTTGAGATCCTCTCCAAGGATGAAAACAGCGTAATATTTGCTGCCAAATCCGCAGAAGAAAAAAACAACTGGATGTCTGCTTTGATTTCACTTCAGTATCGCAGTACCCTGGAGCGGATGTTGGACACCGTTCTTTTAAATGAGGAAAAGGAGCAACCACTGAGATTGCCAAGTCCTGACATTTATAACTTTGCAGAAGAAGATTCTGAAGAGAATATAGTTTTTGAAGAGAACCTGCAAACAAAGTCTGGAATACCTATCATAAAAGCAGGCACTGTGCTAAAATTAATTGAGAGACTGACGTACCACATGTATGCAGGTAAATGGATTGGGACTTTGCTGGACTGAATGGGGACCTCAGCGTCTAAATGTAGCAATACAAAACTTTTTTTCAAGTGTTCAATTTTACTTTCAACAATTTATGGCACTTTTTTGTTTGTGTACCAGGAGTGATGTGGAATTTAAGGTACATCTGGCAGAGCAATCGCTGCTTTCAATTGAGGGAGATTTCTTCCTTGGAGGTGAATATTCCAGGGAAGTTTTACAGCAAGAGGGAAAGAAGCCCTCTGTCTCAAAGGAGACACTGATACTGGTGGATACACTAGTTGGGAACTACTGATCTTGAAGTGTCAGAAACCCTAAACTTTAATCTTGTTTCTGTCAGATGTTGTTCGATCTGCACAATTCCAGAATTCTGTTTACACAATAGTGTTTCATTTGTGTATGATAGTTAAGTTCCAGAATTGCTGTTTTGGGACTTGGTATTTGTAGTTATTTTGTTCAAGTTGTTGTGTATTATCACTACTCGTGTTCTTTTCTGCATTGCAGCCAAACTTGTAATCTGCTTATCCTTTTTTTCCATTATAAATCAGCTCTAATTATTTGAGCTGTTGATTTCTGATAAATATCCTCTACTTCCTTCCTGTACAATTAGAGCTGTAGAGTTATAAGCTTTAAGTATTTTGTTCACTAAAAAAAAATTTGCTTACAGATCCTAATTTTGTGCGTACTTTTCTGACTACATACCGTTCGTTCTGCAAACCCCAGGAATTGCTGGACCTGTTGATAAAAAGGTGAGTAAATAGAGTAAATGTTTAAGAGATTCTGTAAAGGTGTAATTTTCAATGCTCTGTAAAACATTGGTATCTTTTGTCAATACATTTTTGTAGAATTTAGAACATAGTTTAAATTTTCCTCCTTCTGTTGAATTTCAACCAAAAGGAAACACTCAAAAGTGGTCAGGTTTACATGGATGGAGGGCAATTTGATGGTAGAGATGTATTTAGTTACCTCGTGGAAATATTCTACACGGAGCACACCATTCGCCTGTTTTACCTGTGGCATTGTACACATATTCTGACTGCCATTTCAAAGCGGCATTGGTCAAAGAGGAGTTTGCCTGCTTGCTACCTTAACTCCGGTTGGCATATGGGAAGAAAATGGAAGGAGCCTAAACCTCAAGTCATTTTAATATAGACTTAGCGTATAACAATAATTTTACTAAGCTCAGTAATGCATGTTATGTTTTTTGTTCAGCAATATGGAATATAGTGAGCACCACAATTACTTTGGGAGGTTATACATTGATTATGCTTTATGGATTTCCTTTGTATAGTCTATTGATTTTGCAAATACAGACAGATTCCTGATGCTTTAACAATCTATGGTAAAAACTGAAAACGTCATTATTTATTATTCTAAAATGCATGTTGGGTTACTACATTGATGCTTTGTAGTATTACAGTTTGATTCATAGCCAGTCATTGTCAATTATCCCAACTTTTTTNATAATGCAGATCAGAAATAAAGATCCTTGGTGAAGTAATATTTTTAAAAATAACATTTTAAGTGGCCTAGGATTACATATCTAAAGAGTATCAAAGTCCAGACATTTTGTGTGGTCATTCCCTGTAATGCAAACTCTTCTGAATACAGTGATATTTTTTAATTCTTAATGGTCTTCGTGAAGTACCCATTATGTGCCACTAAATTGAATTTAATTTATGGAAAAACGAAAAATCCTTTATTGTGAAGATGAAAGATGTCAGTTATGCCTTGATACCATTTTATATATTTTTGGTTGAATCTTGTTGTTTTGCACAGGTTTGACATCCTTGATCCAGAGCCCACTGAGTCAGATAAGCTTGCTATAGAGAAGGGTGAGCAACCAATTAGTGCAGAGCTGAAACGGTTTCGAAAGGAATATGTCCAGCCTGTGCAACTCAGGTTTGTTCACATTATTTTAAAAATATACTGAGGCCATGTTAATACTGTTGCTGTTTTCATCATCACTACAGTTCAGAGTGAAGTGTTTTGAGAGTATGTCATGGATGTCCAAACCGCTTCAGTAATTTGCAATAAATGCCCTTAAATACAGGAGCTGTGATTGCTTATTGCATCCACTGCCGTGTGACTTCAGCGCTTGAAAAGAGCCTCTAAAAATTGAGAAAGTTTTACATGACACCTTCAAGAATCAGTAGGCAAGGCTTCATAGTTAGTTTACGAATACAATTCATGAATCCAACCCAACAGACACAAGAGTTCAATTTTGGAACACCTTTTAAAGAGACTCAGTTTTTCATTCAGGTGAGGGAAGTTTCCCTCTGTGCCTTCTTTCCAAATCAGTGACTTCTGGTCGTTTTACAACTGAGATGGTAAATTTGAATATTTCTATGAACAGAACATTTCAAAACTAGATGGGGGAAGGAAGTCATACAGCAGATTTCAGACAAATCACAGGAGGCTCTATGTTTGACCCCACAAAGTATCACCAGTAGCAATCTAAGCGAGGTCCAACTCAGAATGCATTAATAATGATCCTATCACACCTCCGAATTGATGGACTCTCTGGGGACCTCCCATGTCTTGGAGGTACTACTGATTTGCGTTGCCTCTTTTAGATTAGTTCCCTGACCTAATCCTACTGTACTCAGAGAGTATGTCCATTGCTTGGATCTTGTTTGAACTTTAAACTCTCTTGTGTACCTTGGACTTCCATTGGAGATGCTGATTGAGCATACAGTATAATCAAATAATTGACATTCTGGTCTACAGCCTCTGGCATTCCATTCTGGGCCAAGTGACCTAGTTTTGGCTGTACATTTGTAAATCTGATGGGGAAAATACTGTGTATAGATATTAGCTCCAAAGAAGTGCTTTGAGACATCTCAACGACACGATAAGGCAATCAAAATGCAAGGATTATTTTTATTATTAAAGTTGTGAATCTGGTCTCGTTTTATAGAATAACTGGAGTGTTGTCGAATAATATAAACCAAACACTTCCTGTTCCTTTTCTCCTCCTCATTCCATGTCAACTCCACTATTATTAATAGAACTGGTTTGAGGAAGACTTGGACACAGAGTCCTGTCATTTTCATCCACTATTCTGAGTGACTGGTTCCTCTTTCCCACCAAAACCTCTGATGTAGAGAGAAAATAGTCATAGTCCCGTTTGGTGGGAATCTGCTGCTGCTTCTTACTGGCTGTTGCTCATTACTAGACCACTTTCTGAAAGCTTGTATATGCTTCCCCAAACTATAATCTCTTATGCATGAGTGAATATTGCGTACAATTATGGTTGTACACATTGAATTATATAATTTGCATGATTTTTTATTGCTTGTATATTTCCTGATTCACAATTCTGAAAAATATTTTGGAAAAAGGGTGTACCTTCTGAAAACCTGTATCCTCTGAATATAGGTGAGAAAGTACTATGTTTTATTTTTTAAAAAGATAGTGAATTCTGCTCCTCTATTTCAATGATGAAATGATGAAATAGAGGAGCATCATTCACCTGGTTATAGTAAATGAATTATATAATTGAAGGGATTCTGTATTTTGCACAAAAAACTTGTTTTCTATCTTAGGGTACTAAATGTGTTTCGACATTGGGTAGAGCATCATTTCTACGACTTTGAGCGAGATAATATGCTACTCAATAATTTGGAAGCTTTCATCTCCCGTGTGCGAGGTATGCTGTTTATTGAAATCACTTACTGGTGAATAACTGTATGTTAAGTCTAAGAGCTTTAGAAGTTCACAGAATTCCAGGATCTAGGTTAGAGCTGATCCAGAGCCCCTAACCCCAGAAAAGGTTAGTACTTGTGCAGGTAGCAGGTTCTGAACTATTTCATGCAAAATATAAGGGGATCCCTTGTTCCTTTTACATTTTCAGTTCATGTTCTGCGAGTGTAATAATTCAGCGATCAAGGTATTCGCTTATGCCAGGAACAATGTCACCTAATCAAGTGGCAGACTTTTAAATTTTAAAACAATTCACTTATTTTTGCTTTATCTTTCCTGTTTAGCCCCAATTTTGTTTTTCCTTTTTATTTCCCTCATTATTATTATAACAATTCCGGCTGTTCTTTATACAAAAATGTTTTGCTTTTTTTTTGTTTTTTGCTCAACTTCCCAGGTCCCACTTTTGACGTTAAAGGTGGGATCCAATACAAAAATTTCATTCAGCTAACCTGGAAGATTGAAGCTTGACCTAATAGTGTCATCCTGGCATCAAACCAGAAAACCCTACAGCTGGATGAGTTATCTATTTATTCATCAGCCAGAAGCTGAATCGAACCTAATAAAATAACCTGTGGCACTCTCTGGAGTTGATGAATGCCACAGTTGGCAGACAATATTCCAAACTTGATTTTATGCTTGGTTGGATACATTTGAAATTACACTTAATTAAGTGTGTCAGCCTGGCTCAGTGGTAACTCTTATCTCTGAGTCAGAAGGTTGTGGTTCAAGGCCCACATCGGGATTTAGAATTGCATAGTCTAAGCTGACACTCCATTGCAGTGCTAGGGGAGTGTTGCATTGTCGGAGGTGCTGTCTTTCGGATGAGACATTAAACCAAGGACCCGTCTGCCTGTTCAGGTGAACATTAATGATCCCATAGTACTAATCGAAATTAGAAGGGAGTTCTCCAGGGTGACTGACCAACAACCTCCTAAGTAAAATCACTCATTCACTCTGGCTGTTTGTGGGATATTGCTGTGCACAAACTAGCTAGGGCATTACGCCCACAAATATACAGTCAATTCACTTTACATATCCTGTGAAGCGCTTTGAGATGTCTCAATTCCATGATAAGGCGCTATATCAAATGCAATGGTTTTATTAAAATATTCTGGATGTTTAATACTGTGAATGATGTGGATTGATTAAATATTTTATTTTTACAGGGAAAGCCATGAAGAAGTGGGTAGAATCGATTACAAAAATTATCAATCGAAAAAGACAAACTCAAGTAAATGGAATCAGCCATGCTATAACTTTTGAGAGTCCACCACCTCAAATTGAATGGCATATTTGTCGACCTGGACAAATTGAGATATTTGACCTCATGACTCTTCATCCAATTGAAATAGCACGACAGCTTACACTTTTAGAATCCGATCTTTATAGGTAAATAACTATTGTTAAATAGGTTTTTTTTTGGTATGTGGTTTGTTTTATTAAAGTTAAACTTCCAGCATCATTGACATAACCGAAGATATCACACATCACTAGATGGAATAATTATATCTATTTGATTCAAACAACAAAACATTGGCTTGGTTGTATCTCAATAATGACAGTTTTCACTGTATTTATTACAACCAGAGTTATATGCTGCCTTGCTTATTCTTTTAGCTCTCCTTCTGCTCTGTTTCTATTTTTTATAAAAATTGATGAATTCTTGTTATTTTTAAGACTGATTTTGGATTATTGGGTTAACCCTACAGTTCACTTGGCTAACATCATTGTTATATACTCAGCGATGCAAATTTAGGGCATCTACACCTTATCTCTTTTTAATATCAAAGATTTTCTGAACAATCATAGGGAAGAAGGAAGTAAGTATTGAATAGGATTAATTGAAAACTAACGTTTTTGCAATTTAATTGCCAAGACCCAATTCGTGTTGGTCATGTTTTTGAAATCTTTAGTTATTTTAACATTTCCATGTTTTAACAGGGCTGTTCAACCATCAGAACTTGTAGGAAGTGTCTGGACTAAAGAAAATAAAGAGATAAATTCTCCCAATTTGTTGAAAATGATTCGTCAAACTACCAACCTTACTCTCTGGTTTGAAAAGTAAGTAGAACTATAATTTTTAAAACGCCAAGAATTCTGGGAATAAAAGGAGAAACGCAATCCATGTTACTTTTACAAAATGCCTACTTTTTCTGAAAGTTCAGAAAGCATGCATTACATGCCAAGCTGGATGTTTCTTCTGAAAGTTGCTATTTGTTAATAACTAATCTGAATTAAATCTATGGTCTGCCTTATTAAATAAAACCTCTTTGCTCCAAGATTCTGCCTCTCTTCAGAACAAATTGATTTTGTTAGTTTTACAAATTCAGAATTCACGTATATTAGCATTTGGCTTGAAAATCAGTTGCAATACACAGGTATCATGTGAGTTTTAAATATTGTGTAGGTATTGGGAAGCTCCACTGAGGAAAGAATAGTTTAAATCAAAGCGCATGAAATTATAGTAACAATATTTCCAGGAGTTTTTTTTAACCACATTCATTTAAAGTGTATAACATTTGGCTTTGTGTGTATGTATATTTCAAAGGATAATAATAATAATTCTTGCATTTGATATAGCGCTTTTCACTTTGGGAGGACGTCCCAAAGCGCTTCACAGAACACACTGCAAAGTGAATTGACTGTATATTTGTGGGCGAACACGGCAGCCAATTGCGCACAGCAATGTCCCACAAACAGTTGTAGATTGAAAATGACCAATTTATTATTGTTTTTGGTTTTGGAGGGATTATTATTAGGCTCTGTGTGGAGTAAGGAAACTTGCCCAAGGTTTCGCCCTCTGCCTGGAATTGAACCCAGGTCTCTCACTTGCAAAGCGAGTGCTCTAACCACTGAGCTACAGGACTCCACTGAGCTACAGGATGGTATTGTCAAATAAGTGTTGCAGATTGTAATTAAATTCTGAACGTCATGTTGCTGTGAGATTGTTCAATAATAGTTTAGATTGTAAAATATTAACGTTGTACGTGTAGAACATCAGTGGACTTACTTGATATTCTATGTTGTGATTTATCTTGTTTTGTTTTAAACTCAGATGTATTGTCGAGGCTGAACATTTTGAGGAAAGGGTGGCGGTTTTCAGTCGAATAATAGAGATCCTACAGGTTTTTCAGGAGTTAAACAATTTCAATGGTGTGTTGGAGATAATCAGTGCAGTTAACTCTGTGCCAGTTTATAGGTTGGATCATACTTTTGAGGTGAGTGGTCTACATGTTTGTTAATTTTACAAGTTGCAATTAATATCTATGCTACATTCTATGTAGTGTTGTAGTTTGTTCAATACTGCATTTTTCAGATGTTATTTTGCCTAAATCAGTTTGTTGATTCTTGTGGTTCATGTGAAAAAACGGGTTCTTGAATATTTATAATTATCTGAAAATCTAAAACAATTAACAAAAAACCTTTCTAGCCATGCAATAAACTTGTGAGCCATAAGCTTATTATATAATAAAATAACTTGGACAGGGATGCGTCTCTGCCCTCCGGAACTCCTTTCCACTACCTGTTTTGATTCATCTTCCCCTGCTTTCAAGGCCCTACTAAATATATATTTTTCAATTCTGCTTTTATTTAATACTCTTAATCCTCCCTCTCACAATGTTTAAGAGCTCTGAGAATTTTATTCGATGTGAAAAGTGCTATGTAACTGCATCAGCACCTTGGGACATTCTTCCTATGTGAAAGGTGCTGTACAAATGTAATTTTGTTGATGTTGAAAGCTTTATTAAGCACCTTCTTATATTTGTTTACACAGGCAGTGCCTGAAAGAAAGAAAAAAGTTTTAGAAGAAGCAGTGGAACTAAGCCAAGACCACTTCAAGAAGTACTTAGCTAAACTCAAGTCAATAAACCCACCTTGTGTGCCTTTCTTTGGTAGGCAGTTCCACTATTTAACAGTAGTTCTTCATTATAATTAAGCCACTTGCTCACTGTGTGTATGTGTGTGTAGGGGGTGGTATATAAATATGTATAATATATTATAACCCGTTATATATTAAACATCGATTTTCCTGCTAGTTTTAAGTGAAGTCCTTTCTCACACAAGTGGGCATGCTTTTTTCCCCTTTTTTGTCTTTACCACTCGGCAGTAAACTAATTAAATTCGTTTTTATTGATTTTACATATGCTGTAGTTTATTTATGTCAACACATTATGCTTTTCATTCTGTAGGTATTTATTTGACAAATATTCTGAAGACAGAAGAAGGAAATCCAGATTTCCTAAAAAGATGTGGGAAAGAATTAATAAATTTCAGCAAAAGAAGGAAAGTTGCTGAAATCACAGGTGAAATCCAGCAGTACCAAAACCAGCCGTACTGCCTCCAAGTGGAAACAGGTATAAAGGTATCTACCATAGTCATGTTAACATTTCTATTAAACAAATTGCATTTTATAACCATTTTGAGAATCTGGTTCAGTATAGATTGCCTTTAAACTATTTGTCTTTATGCGTAGAAATTCTTTGAAAATCTGAATCCAATGGGAAGCATGACTGAAAAAGAGTTTACAGACTATTTATTCAACAAGTCCTTGGAAATTGAACCACGTAATTGTAAACAACCACCAAGATTTGTAAGTAATCCAAAATGACTTTCTTTTAAGTAATGTTTTATCTTCAGTTGAGCAGAAACGTAACAACATAACAATAACGTATAGTCAGGCTAATTCTCGAACCTTGTACACGCATTGCCACTTCTTACTTTCTTCAGGCCTGACAGAAAATTTCTTATTTCCAGTTATTAGTTCATTTCAAAATTTACATGTTAGAAATGGCAAATGTACATATTGTACATACTTGCAGCTAAAAACATAAAATCTTGACTGTAGTAATTTTAAATGCTTTCAAGTATTTCAGCAACTAGATGAGTGGCTGTTATTAGAGTCTTTATTTATTCTGGACATAGACATAATGGAAATAATATACAAAATGGCATGACACCACCCAACAGTTTGTGGTAATGCTGTGTCTTCCTTTAATATCCTGTTTTGCAACAGTGAATGTTTGTGTACAAATATGATAAACAATAACTGAGCAATTAGGGCATATGCTTGCTTGCTTTGATCGAGAACACAGATAATTAAGAAACTTAAAAAACTGCTTGCAGTTTCACGAGTTAATGAAGTGATGTCTTTATTGTTGTCACTGAATATGTGAATCCAGGTCTGCTTAATTATTTTAAATATGATATTAAAAAAATCACTGCAGTGGGATTTTAATGTGTGAAGAGAACAGCCATATTTCCTAAGTGCAAAATACATCTTCATGTAGACTGGAACAGGCATATAAAGTTGATGAAAGTTCCTTTTGAATGGTTAACAATAAATCTGATCTGATTTTTCTTTAGCCAAGGAAAACAACATATCACTTAAAATCTCCTGGATTAAGACCTAACCCCACGAGACATGCCTCTACCTCTGGCACGTTAAGAAATCCCATGCCGTTAGAACGGGAGCCACGCAAGATCAGCTTCAGTAGAATTCCTGAAACTGAGAATGAATCAACTGTATCTGTTCCAAACTCCCCTAACACTCCTTCAACCCCACCTGTATCTGCTTCCTCTGATCTCAGTGTATTTGGTGATATGGACCTGACTAGCTCCAGCAGTGAGTGCTATTTTGTACTATATTATGTCACTTCAATCATTATTCACCCAGTTTATCCTCAAATCATAATGTTTAACTGAATTGTTTTGAAGTTAGAATCTTTCTTGCCTAGATTTTTGTCATACTTGCCAGCAATGTTTGCATTACTAAAGGAAAACTAGTTTACAACATGTAGTAATTTTTTGCACAGATTGGCAAGTAGAATATATGATGTATGTTAAATGTTCATAAAGCTTGACTGTCTGTGGCTGTTGTTTGTCTTCTTCAATCATTCCTGTGTTTTTTGTAGGCAGTTCAAGTTCCAGCTGCTCCACAGTCTTTGCTCCTGTTCACATTGCTGGCGGTATGTCAGCTCATGTTGGGTTCTTTAGCTTTTTTTTTGATTGATTCAGTTTCATTTACTGGGTGTCTTTATCATTGTCTACTTGGTCTTTCTTGCTTGCATGTCAGTGTTTTGTCTTTCTTTACCTGATTCAGTCATCCTTAATTCTGAGTGCTAAATTTCCTCTACAGTTCAAGGAACATGAATACTTCTCTCAAAACTTTTGTTTGTACAGAAAGACAACTTTTACAGCTCCAAACCCTTAATTAATTCTTCATTGTTTGTTACTATTGTAATTAACTCTACATCACTCAGAGAGTTGAAACTTATTTGTATTACATAGTGCAGACATGATTTGTAATTTAAAGTTTTTTTTCTGATAAAAGACAAAGAATAGTTATCACAGGTACAGCATTAATTGTTTTTTTTTTCGTTGTTATGTAACATGCCTGATAGTTTGATTATTTTAATGATGTAGCTTTCATTTAATTTACCTGCTCAGATATTTAAATAAATCATTCTATCATTTTCCTTCACAGGTAGCAACAGTATTTTTGCACCTGTCTTGCTGCCACCATCAAGTGAGTTGAATACATTTATGTAGACCAGTATCTCTTCCTTATGAGTTGTCCAAAATGAAACATTTAATTTTTTGACATTCATTAATCAGTCATTTGAAAAGCTATAGCATTCGGTAGTTGTCCTCAATTTATGAAAATATGGTGGTAGCTAAAATTTGGATGTTATACATGGTAAATGAGTTGGGTATAATTTATTTCTTCTGCATTTCCAGAGTTTCATTCCATATCATGCGGAAGTCTTCACAAACTAAATGAAGATATACTTACTCCCCCACCTCTTCCTCAGCGAAGGAAGCTTGATGCAGATTTAGCAAATTCTAAGGTAAAGGAAAGTACTTCGTAATTACGTTACAGTATGATATATACTGCTGGAACAACTCAGATTTTGCTTACTTTATGCAGCAAAACAATTTAGATACAGTTTCTTATAAATCATGAATACTTAATAAAAATTGGATGTTTAAGCACTCCGAGACAAAACTCCGCATGAAGGGTGCCATAAAAATCCAAGTTGTTGTGGTAGTGCTCAGTATTGTATTTTCCAATAATTCACTACCCAGAAAAGAAACCAGCAATGCTAGATATTGCCACAGATATCCCCATCTCATATTCACATAAATATGTTTTGTCTCCTCATGTACATGCCCTGGATAGCTCAGTTGGTTGATCTTGGAGCCAAAATGTTCTGGTTTCAAATACTGTTTTTATTACTGTGTTTTCTCTCCTCTGGTAGATATCTCAGTTGAACATTGAATATGTTGAAATGGCAATTTTCCCATTCAACCCTTCACCATTTGGAGATCATAAAATGAATACTATGTTCACGTGGTTGGAATCTGTGTGCATTGCTTGGAAAAACTAGTGAATTGTTGATAGTTCTAGTCCTTACAGATATTTCTGTTGTCAGACCTTTTGTAGTTTTGTGTATTTTTGCATGTTAGAAATCCTTTTTGTTTCACCGCTTTCTTTCCACAGATGGGTTCCAGGACTCCGGATAGCCCACCTGCTATTCCACCCCGACTGCCTCGAGTTCCTGTGTTGTATGGACCATCTGATGGACCACCACACAGTCCTCCTCCTCCACCTCCTCGGGACCCACAGCCTGACACACCTCCACCTGTACCAACAAAGCCACCTGAGATTTTCATGAATTATCCACTTAATCTGCAACCACCGCCAATTGGTCGCGTTCATCGGGATCAGGACTGGTACAGAGAATCCAATGCCAACCCCAATTCCCCTAGTACACCACCAACAACACCATCTCCCAGGGTGTTGCGGCGTTATTGCACATTCACTTCTCACCACAACAACCTTGCTTATCCTGTTGCTCCTCCTATACCACCAAGACAGAACTCTAGTCCACAGCTGCCAAAACTTCCACCAAAGACTTACAAACGAGAGCTATCACATCCTCCTTTGCACAGAGATGGACTGCCACTGCTGGAAAATGCAGAAACTCCTCACTGACACTAAATGTCCTTGCCAACACTGGGAAACAATAGGCACCCTTTAATATGACACTGGGATAAGACAATGTATTACTATTTTTAACCGTTTGTTGTCTTCTTGCTGTTAATAGCTGTGCTACTGTTCAAGAAGGTTGTGCAATTAAGAAACTGATGTTGGGAAAAAACACTTGAGCGTTTATGATGCTTTTATTCGGACCACAGCACAGTTCAGTGTTGTGATCTTCTCTCAGGTGATCAGTAGCATTTCTTTCCTCAGACATGTAGTGCCAACATTATTACCTGAAAGTGTAACTCAAGTTTGCATTTGCACTGTACAAATGAACGTAAATTATCTGCACCAATCATTGCACTGAGCCAACAAGAAACATATTCTTGAGACTTATTTGAGCTCTAGTGGCCTTGTTCAACAGTGGCATTTCACAGACTTCAAGAAGTATCATAAAATGCTGTTCATGTATGAAAAATAAATTGTTAGTCTAATAAGCTTTACAAAAAAAGTAATAATTGAAGCAGATCACTTCTGTTCTGAGGAAGTTTTGTGGAGTTTAACTAGTTTTCAAATTCTTGCTGCATTTCAAGCTACACTGGTTGACTGCTGCAAACGTTGGAGAAGAACTTATAACACTAAAAATTAGATTTTTTGAATGGGGTAACTATCTAATGTGCATTTCTTTGCAGGCTAATTTGGTCTGAAAAACGAGAAGTAACAAGAAGTAGTAAGGATTATTTCACTAATTGTTGTAAGCATGCATCGTATTTCAGATGTGCCTTTTTAATTTTATTTGCGAACAGAAAAGTGTTCAGTTATTAAATCACCTAAGGACTCAAAGTGAGGACGAGGGGAATTTCCGTGAATGTACAGTTTTGTTTATACTATGTACATACAGATAATGGCTGTTATTCTGTATAAACTAAACTGAATTACGTTAACAGTCTGCTACCTTTATACAAAAATCAAAATCTTAACTGCTGTGGATTGAGAACAAACATTTTTTCTGATGCAAATCCCAGTACCAACTGGCTCTGTAGCATTTTATCAATCTTCTATAGACTTCTATCAGTATTGTATTTCAACCAGCATACACTTTGAAGCTTTACTAAAATTTACATTTAATAGCTGTGACTTAAAGTTGCCTATCTGCCATTATAACTTGTGGTGTATGAAAAGGTGAAAGAATCTGTTCTATCAGTGGTGTTGTAACAGCTTTTTTGAAGTGGCAGCAATGATAGCCATTTCATTTAATGTTCTGTGGCCTTTCAACCGTGCTTTGTATCAGTGTTCTTAATGAGATTAATAAATTACCCAGTCTTAATTTTTACTTAAAACTATCAAAACTGCATTTGTCACTTTCCAATACAAATTATGTTTGTGTGTATGTGTTCATATGACTATACGTAAAATAGCTGCTGTTATTATTACACTGAGTAGTGTAATAATTACTAAAACGTGCAACATACAAGCTGCTATAAATCTGCATGATTTTCTACCTCCAAACAAGGTTACAACCGTCCATAGTGTGTTCTACATGCAGTACCATTTGATCCTCTTAAGTAATTTCTCTAAAATGTGCAAAACCACACAAGCCTTTTATTCATGCATCATTGGAGCCCAGGCTGATATATACAATGTTATGCTAAAGCATATTATTAATAATGAGTAGAAATGTTTGGCAGAAAATCAATTTACTAGAAATTGTTGAGAAATGCATGAAAAGAGAGGGAAGAAATGGCTCAAACACAGGATTGTTGTGCAGATTTGCTATAAAACTTCAAAAATTACAGAGATTTCAATTGTTTAAACGCTGTGGTTTTCACTGCTGAAAAGATAAACTAAATAATTATTGCAAAAGAATGACTGTGATATGTGACTGCCATGCCATTATCCTTTACCATAATCTTTCTATTAAATCTGGATTTTAAATGTGCCATCTGAAACAAATAAAATATTGGATTGAGACATGCATGTCTGGTAAATCATAGGATAGTCTTTCAGTCTTACTGGCCATTGATTTTTTTTGTGTGTGAATCTTCAATCCTAATTTCCTTTTATTAAGCATGCCAATGATTAAAGCATCAAACTGGGACATTCTTGGCTCAACACCTCACCATGTGATATATTTACCCACTTTAAAATATCGGATTCATCCCAACTTGAACAGGTTGATTTGAATGAAGGAAATCCTAGTGTTAGGTCCATGATTTGTAAATAAACAACTGCAGAGCCACCCCTTTTCTGGATTACTGTCATGGGAAGTAAAATGAGTAGGCAATGTGTTGTATATTACTTAAGTATTGCCCCAAAATTAAATATAGTTTTATTGCTAAAATATAGATTATTTGAAACTGTTCGCCCTTGATCCTTCCGTCAAAGCTTTAGAAGTATTCAAGTATGAAGAAAAAATAGTGTTCACTGACTGTAAAATGGGAGTTTTATAATTCATGGCCAGTATTTTGGACTCTTGTCAAAAGTTGATTTCCCTTCATTAAACTGCTTGCTGTTATCATGTTGCTATGATTTTGTGAAGGACTGTTGTCTCTCTTATCTTTTCAGAAGCAAGCAAAGTATTCTGTATGTCACTAATCCTCTCAGTTACTTGATCTTTAGGCACTTAAATATTTTGCCCACAAGTATACAGTCAGTTAGCTTTGCAGTATTTTCTGTGAAGCTCTTGCAGACATCAATTGGCAGGCAGGCTGCCAGCCAATCCACTCTGCCCCACCCTCTGGAACTCCATCCTGCAGTCCCTCCGCCTCGCCCCTCCCTTGCCTCCTTCAAGACCCATCTCAAGACCATCCTGTGAAGCGCTTTGGGACGTCCTCCCGACGTGAAAAGCGCTATATCAAATGCAAGGATTATTATTATTATTATTATTATCCTCTTCAACCGTGCTTTCGATCTCCCTGCTTACCCCCCCACCCTCCCCTATCCCGACCCCCAGCTTGTGGATGAAACTCGGTCTGTCCAGCACCTTGGGACATCCTCCCTATATGAAAGGAGCTATACAAATGTAATTTTGTTGTCTAGAAGACGTGAAAAACGCTATATCAAATGCAAGGATTATTATTTATTATTATTATGTATTTTGTTTTTCTTTGTTTGTGTCTTGGCCTTGATAATATAGTGTTTGTGGTTACATTCCAAGTCTGTTGAATCATTATCACCTTGTATCCCATAATTTTCTTTTAAAAAACCTGTTTCATTGGCCTTCTAGTTTAACAGCAGCATTGTCTAGGCAGAAATCAAGAGTTTATTGAATCAAAATCAAATAGAGATGTGTCTTTTGAAGGTCACCATCATCTTCCATGTGCAATCTTCCATTTTGTGTGTCTTCAAGTTGTTTCTTTCTTCGCTCTGCAGTGGTGTACTTTTGATGGCGAAGCTTTCTGAGAAGGAATGAAGTTGCTCATAAGATGAATCTTTGGTCTTGCAAAGATCACCTGTTTCCTACTTTGCCACAAAATTCTTTTGTGGTGATTTCTCCTGTGTAATCTCAGGCACCTCAGTAGTTGTATACTGTGAAGGAACCCTCTGACTGCATTGCTAGACTGGTCAATTCATAACTCTCTTGTCTCTGGGACAGAAACTGTGGGTTCAAGCCTCATGTTAGGATTTAAACTCATAAAATAAGTTGATATTCCAATGCAGTCCTGGGAAGTCCTGGGTTGTAAGGTGCCACTCTTTGGATTAATGTTAAATTGAGCTACCATATATCTTTGAGGATGTAAAGATCCCATGCATTACTCGAAAAGAAAATGGTGGTTCACCTGGTCTTCAGGCCACAATTCCCCAGATAAATTGGTCATTCAATTTATCGCAGTTCGTTTGAAATTCCATTGCATTTTCCTAGAAAGTTAGTAGCAATTACCAGGAAAGCACTTTTTCTGTGTTAAAGGTATTTTATCAAATGCAAGGATTATTAATATGGGCCATCTTGATAATATGATAAATATGTTGAAAGCCAAATATTCAACAATTTATTTTACAGAAGTTAATCCCTTCCATTCTTTCGGAGGTTTTTGGTTAATATCAGTCCCACAATTCCCTAGAGTGAGTTGTTCAATCTTCTTTGTTGGAGTACAAAGAGTGGAAAAAGAAAAGGACATCCAACTCACTAAATCTTCTTCCAATAGATATCTACTAATTAGTGAAGAATGCATCAATGTGCTTTTATCCAGGAAACACTGGGCTGCTTTATGTTTCAAAACTCCATTAATCAAAATAATTTGAGATCTGTATCATAATTCTGCAACCATCTGATCGTTCCTTTTGCTTCCCTACATGATGAACTTCCATCAAATGCAAGGATTATTATTCTAGTTCTCTCTTCAAAGCCTCCCAAAGCTGCCTGAACAATACTTAGTGGTTTAGTAGCCCTACAAATCAACAAGTTAAGTGTTCCAATGGTGGCAGTTCAACAGTTTTTAGTGTACATCTTTTGGGCAAGTTTGATACGCTTTAGTATTATTTTACTATTGAGTCAGACATTGAGTCATACTTTTACATTTGCCCCCATCTCCCAATGCATCAAACCTCATGGTTCTAATCCAGACACGTTACAGCGCCATTTAACTTTACGAACCCATTTCAATCTGACATCTCTGGCCAGTTGAGCTCGAATTCACTGGTTTCCCCTTTTTTTTAAGTAATTGGAGATTCAGGATTAATCCCAGGTGCTCCTGCTTTGTAGGCCTGCAATGGTGCATAACCCCAGATGTCCCTGTAACTCACCACATGGAAGAAGAGATTACATAACAGTTAACTCAGCATTATTTCTCTTCTCCCTGCACCCAATTGCCTAAAAAAACAACAGCAACTCACCTCTTCCATTTGTTTCTTGCCTTCCTCTGATCTCTTGCTGCCCTTGTGTGCCGTGTGCCTCTGATCTTTTCATTCTCCCCATGTATTGTGTGCCTCTGATCTTCCTCACTCCCTATGTACCTCCTGCCTTTGATCTTACACCCACCGCTCCCCATATACTACCTGTCTCTGATCAACCCCCTCCAGCTTTGTGCTGCCAGCCATGTGTGGTTTGCTTCAGATCCCCTTTCCCTCCCCCTGTCTGACTCTCACCTCCCAGCGTGTTTCCCTTGATCCAGCCTTTAATTCCCAGTTAACTCAGGTTATACAGCTGAGAATGTGGGTTATGCCACCTTTTTGCATTCGTTCTGTGCCATTATTGCCACTCCAGCTTGTGTTGTATTTAACCAGTTTAGCTGAGTCTCCATACTACTCCTAATTGTGCAAGTCAATATGTTACTAGTTTTAATCAACTTTGATCAGTTATTAATAATTTAAAACCAGAGTTAATCACTTGCTTCTCCCTCAAAATATAGTCAATTCACTTTGCAGTACATCCCGTGAAGCGCTCTGAGACGTCTAGAAGACGTGATGAGGCGCTACATCAAATGCAAGGATTATTATGACTGCTGTCAAGAATCGTTTGGGGATTTTTGTGCAGAAGTGATCACAAACGATAGTCCTGAGAATGTTTGGTTCCTCTTTGTTCTGTAGACGACCTACTTTTATACGACTTGAAGACAAAAACAGAAGTGGCGGGAACGCTCAGCGGGTCAGGCAACGTCTACGGAGAAAGGAAAGTTGAGTCAACGCTTCGGGTCCACGACCCTTCGTCAGAACCGTCGACGTTTGTGGACAGTCAAGAAAACAGTCCTCGACTCACTTTCCTGTCTCCGTCTTTGTTGCCTGAGACCCACTGAGTGTTCTCAGCGACTTCTGGTTTTTTTCGGTTCAGATTTCCAGCGTCCGGAGTATTTTGCATTATATTACTCGAGGTGTGCGCGTGTTTAGTACTCAAGAATGTGTGAGTGTTTAAGTACTCGGGGCGGGTGAGCGTTTAGTGCTCGGGACATGTGAGCGTTTAGTACTCGAGGTGTGCGCGTGTTTAGTACTCGGGACGTGTGAGCGTTTAGTACTCGAGGTGTGCGCGTGTTTAGTACTCGGGACGTGTGAGCGTTTAATACTCGAGGTGTGCCCGTGTTTAGTACTCGGGATGTGTGAGCGTTTAGTACTCGGGGCGGGTGAGCGTTTAGTAGTCGGGGCGGGTGAGCGTTTAGTACTCGAGGTGTGTGAGCGTTTAGTAGTCGGGGCGGGTGAGCGTTTAGTACTCGGGGCGGGTGAGCGTTTAGTACTCAGGACATGTGAGCGTTTAGTACTCGGTCAGACTGAGCGTGTCTCTGGGCAGTGGCCGCGCGGGGCCGGGAGGGGGCGCTGGTCGCGGTCGCTCTCTGGGCGGTGCCGGGAGATGGCGGCCGAGGCCGAGGCGCCGTCGGGCTATTTCGTGCGGCCGCTGGAGCGGAGGGGCGGCCCCGAGCTCCGCATCCACCAGCGGGTGGCGGGAGGGGTGGGCTCGGTGGTCTGGGACGCGGCGCTGGTGCTCGGCCGCTACCTGGAGAGCGGAGCCTTCCTCGGGGGAGGCCGGAGCCGCTTGGCCGGGAAACAGGTGCTGGAGCTCGGCTCAGGCACCGGCGCTGTGGGCCTCATGGCCGCCGCTCAGGGGTAAAGCGGCCTCGGCCTCACCGGCAATTTATACACAGCAATAGCAAGTGTGTGCCTTACACACATCACATGTGTGTGTGTCTGTGTGTGTGTATATTACATGTATGTGCGTGTTTGTATGTTACATGTATGTGCGTGTTTGTATATTACATGTATGTGTGTGGTTTATTACGTCTGTGTGTTTGTATATTACATGTATGTGTGTGTTTGTATATTGCATGTGTGTGCGTGTTTGTATATTACGTGTATGTGCGTGTTTGTGTATTACATGTGCGTGTGTGGTTCATTACGTGTGTGTGTTTGTATATTACATGTATGTGCGCGTTTGTATATTACATATGTGTGCGTGTTTGTATATTACGTGTATGTGTGTGGTTTATAACGTGTGTGTTTGTATATTACATGTGTGTAATAATAATAACGTAATGACGTCTGTGTATGTATAATTATCCACACGTTCCTTGTGTTTGTTATATAGTAAATATTTATTGTTTATGTGTATTTTATGATTATACGCATTTTGTATAATTTATGTATTTATCTGTGGGGGTTGATATCTTGTGTGTGTGGATATACGTATATAATAATCATATATACATACACAGTGTGTATATATATGTGTATAATATTATGTGGTCTATAGGTGTATTTATATCTATTACATTTATTATTTGTCCACTTTGCTTGGTTTATTGTCGGGCCCTTAACTGTTTAAGCGGCGGTAGATCAGGATAGCACAAGAAGATACAACATTCAGTAAGTCGCAGACCCACTGCGTTTAAGTGCTCTTAGACGCCGTCCGGCGCGGACGGCGCTATGTGAATCCAAGTTGTTGTTGTAGTAGCAGTGCCGTTCGCACGGAGGATCAGGTTTCTCAGCGTGTTTTTCGATCCCACTTGTTTAATCGTAAGGTGATCCGTTTTAGTGCCTGCAATTTAAAACAGCCGTTACAGTCTCCACCTGCCGCCCGTTGTTGGCGGCTTCACCCGCTGCAGCATCGGTGACCCGACGAGGCGCACACCTCATGTGCACGGCTCAAAGTGTCGCTAAATCATTTACACCGGAAGATATGCAGTCACGCATTTTGAAAAGGCTGAACACAAAGAGAGATTATACCCACTTACATTCCACGTTTTATCAGTAAAGGCCTGATTTTATTTTAACCAATTTCCTGGAATTCATATGAATGTAATTTACTATTAAAATTCATGAGGTTCTTGAGGTGATCCTGGGGTCTCGACTCAGCATTTTCAGCTGTCAGCAGATAAGCGTGCAATTTGTTCAGAAATGTACTCTGGTTTATCACATCAGTCAGACTGCCACTGGCAGCTGGTAAAATTGATGATCTTGGTCCAGTGGAGCTTTCTTTGCTGTGAATCCTGAATTCTTATCTCTCGTCAAACAATCAATACATTTGCAGCAGATTAATGCTGGTTTCAGAATTTAAAGCACATGCAATTAAAATGCATTTTGTTTAAACCGAGTCCTGCAGTCCATCCAGCAAGCAGAGGCTCGTGCTATCTCTTTTCTGTCTCTGCTTCGTTTTCCTCCTTGGCAGACTAACGCTGGTCTCTCCTCTCCATTCGTGTGCTGTGACTGCAGATGTGAGGAAAGCCAATTGGTTGCACCTTTCTTGGAACAAGATGATGGCGTACATCATGGAAAGTACTGTTGAAAAGAAACAAAATCCTTTTTTAATCAACATTTGAAATCTCACTGCTGGACAGTGGATTAGTATGTGTTTAGAGATTGTTTCTGTGTTCATCAAAGTGAACGTGTTTGCTTTCAGTCTTAGCATCAAGTTTGAGCGGGTTAGACTCAGTATAAAAGAGTAAAGCTCCCTCTGTACTGCCTCAACCAGGTTGCACAGTGTGTGTACGTGGGTGGGGTGGGTGATGCATTGTAATATACAGCGTCACTTAATCCTCACCTTATAATTTTGAAACATTTTGCAGTTGTGCGAAAATCCAATTTGAAAGGATTTTGTAAAATGTTATTTCTTTATCACAAACGAATGTGTTTCCTTCTGTTTTCCAGAGCGCACGTTACAGTGACAGATCTTGAAGAGTTGCAAGATTTGCTCAATATGAACATCAATGAAAACCGACACTTGGTTTCTGGTTCTATCCAAGCCAAGGTACTTAAATGGTTTGTACTGTACTACGTTTTAAATAAGTTGCCTTTTCACATTTACACACAACAATGTGTTTGAAGTAACAGAGGTCATATTTTGGTTTGCGTGCGATCTTTATCCTTAGTTTACAAATACATTGTGGAATCCTGTAGCTCAATGGTTAGAGCATTCGCCTCGCAAGCAAGAGACCTGGGTTCGATTCCAGGCAGGGCAAAACGTTGGGCAAGTTTCCTTACTCCAAATGCCTCTGTTTACCTAGCAGTAAGTAGGAACCCAATTGTTTGTCAATTGGCGTATTGCTTTTCTGAGGTTAATAATCGCTTAAAAAAATCATAACTGGTCACTCAATCCACGGCTGTTTGTGGGACACTGCTGTGCGCAACTGGCTGCCATGTTTCGCCCACAAAATATACAGTCAATTCACTTTACAGTATATTCTCTGAAGCGTTTTGAGATGTCTCGAACACGTGATAAGTCGCTATATCAAATCCAAGTATCATTATAAATGTATTTGATAAACTGCAGGAAGTAAACATTTCACAATGTTTTATGAATGGAGGTGAAAAAGGGAAGCATTATCTGATGTCATATCAGTGTGTGACTTATTCTTGTGCCTTTCTTTGTTGCTGTATAAACCCCCCACCGTGAGCCACCCCATCAGTTCATTTTCTTTTGACAATACAAATGCGATTCCGCAAAGACTGACATACAATAATGTTCTGAAGATTTTGTTAGTTTGGGCTATTAAATATGATAGCTTGACCATGTGATCAGTGTACGTTTCCCCAGCTGCCCCCTCCACCCAGCAATAATTCATGTCTGCTTGCTTCACACTCCCCCCACCTGATCCACCCCACCATTGGTAAGTGAGCTTTTAGCCATTCAGAGTACCTCCGCCTTGCCCCCCCTCCCCTTCAACTTCCCACCTTCATACTTCGCTTTAAAATCCATCTTTTCGACCAAGCTTTCGGCTACCCTTTTCCTGAGCTCATCCCACTTCCCCAGCTTGGGTCCGATTCAAAGTGAAGCACTTTGAGACAGCCTCTAATATGAAAAACACTGTAAATTGTAATTTCAGGGGTGAAATTGTGCACGACATCCTACCTGATCCAGATTATATACTTGTGGCTGACTGTATCTACTATGAGCAGGTGTGTACTCTAGGGTTTTTAAGTTAAACATGGGACTGCTGAGCTAACAGCAAGGGGACTCTCTAAACTGTATCCTTCTTATTGCAAGAGTAATTTTTTCATGCAAGTCACACTGATATTGTGAGAAAATTAAAATCAACCATAGAGATCAGATGCTGGATGTAAAATCATTTATATATGATGCATTCAAAATATCATTCTTTATGCAGTTAGATAATTAAATGGGAATTTGCTGGAGATTACAAATCCTCGTTTTAAGATGAATATTTTACTAGTCAATAAGCCATTATTATAATACCAGGGGAAATGAAATGGGCAACAGCTTAAGGCTTAAACAGCAAGGTTTCATACCAGTTTCTTGCTTGTTGTTTAATTAATTCTCCAGGACTTTGCTTTTTCTCTTCCCAGACATATGTACATATTAAAGATTATCAGTTTTCCTCATTGGTGTAAATAGTTAATATTTCTTTCTTCAGTGTGTTATAAACTGTAACCTGTAGATTGACAAGGTTGGAATAAAATGTGCAGTACCATTTCTCCTCACCTTTCTACAACAATTGTTCAGGTGCTCCCATCTTGAATAAAATATTTAAGATGGCATTGTTTAAATTTAGTACTTGTGTTTGAATAACTCTTCCTGGTCTCACAGTCTTTAGAGCCCCTACTGAAGACTATGAAGGAGCTTTCAGGAGACAAAACTGTTATCATATGTTGCTATGAAAAGAGGACAATGGGAAACAATCCCAAAATAGAGCAGTGCTTTTTTGAGGTACATTTTATATGCTATATAACATATGTGAGATATTTATTTTACTAGACTGTGTAACTATAGCTTCTCTGGTGTAGTTAATGGGTATATTATAAGTAACTAGATGACTCATCTGTAAGTTACTTGCAAACCAGGTTGGGAAATGCTGGCGTAAATTGTCATCCTATACTCCTGTGGCATAGCTTGTTTGATGGGTGTAACTGGTTTGTATATTGCATAATGTTTTGCTGGGCAGTGTGCAGTCAGTCTCTATTGTTAGAATAGAGACAAAATAATTATGCAGTTTTGTTAGTCATTGTGTATTCTATGTGTATGATAGATTTATAATTTTATTTGCGATGCTAATTCCCACCCACCTCCCCCTGTGTTTACCAGCTTTTGCAGTGTGATTTTATGATAGAAGAGATTCCATTGGACATGCATGATGAGGAATACAGAAGCGAAGACATTCACATTTTACACATTCAGAGAAAAGGACATCATTAGGAAATCTCTGCCTTGATCTAACTGCTTTATTTGTGATAGCAAACATTCGAGTATAGCTGAACAAGAGAGAGAAAGGACAATTATTTGATGCTTACGTTAAATTTATTTAATATATATACACACACACACATTCACTATAAATAAAAGTCAAACATGAAAGCAGCCTTATAACTTGTCTTGAAATGTGACATATTGAATTTTAAAATCAGCTATTTGGTTCTTTGCAATGTTTTTTCTGACTTATTAATGTCCTTGACCAGGATTTGGGTGCAGCACTACTGCCGTTACACAGTGTGTTTTAAACATTTTTTTATTACATGAATTTTCAAGATGTACTCTATGTTATAGAAAGGTAATCATTCAGCATCTATTATTTTGCTGGTCATTGGGTTAATTTGAAGCGGGCAGTCAATTACAGTCTTGGTGCAAGTTTCAAAAATGTATTATTTTTGAACTCTGCCTTATTCACCATGGTTCCATTAAATAAAAATGCATATTTAAAAAAAAATTGTTGAATTGTGGTTGAATAGTGTCATTGCCCTATGGCTAAGTGATGTGGGTTGAAACTAACAAGATTAATGTTTTTAAGTTTAATTGCTGACAGTATATTGAGGATAGGATTGGTACCTGTGGCCCTAAGCATATGGTTATAATATTTTCTGCAGTTTTGAAACTGCTTACTGCTTAAACTAAGATTGAGGGAAGGCAGAAATTAATTTATTTTTTGCTGCAGAAGACATTTAAATAGTAGATACATTGCTGTACCCTGATGGATATTTCCATCTTGGCAGCCTTTTATCCAACTCCACTCAATATGTACCCAGTATTGGATTACATTTATTAAATACTGGCACACAGTGTACTGAATTTCATTTGAAAGTTTTAAGTGTCAGTTTCCAGTTTGTAATTATCACAAACCTCCAGCAATAGTCACAGCAGATATTAATATTCACCACATTTATACGGAAGAGCAAGTGACATAATAATAATCCTTGCATTTGATATAGCGCCTTATCGCATCATTGAGATGTCTCAAAGTACTTCTCAGAATATACAGGCCTGGGTAGTGATGGTGGTGTGTGTCTGTGGAGAGGCGAGATGTGAGGGGAAGTTTTTAAATGATAGGATCAATTGTTCTTTGTTGGCTGTGTACAATTCTCTTGTGCTAGAATGAAGCGTTATTATAATATACTGCCCCACTGCACTCATCAGCCTGATTTTATGGTCTTATTTTAGTGCCTCCGTTTATTGTGGCCACATCACTCGCATGATTTTGACACCAGTGGTGTGCAGATCAAACATTCCAAACATTATTTATCAGCCATGTGTATGTAGGAGGCATTTGACGGCAGGTCCATACCATGGTTATTTGGTAAACTCTGCAGATGTTACTGTATCCCAGTTTTTAGTTTAAAACATTAGCCATCACTGCAGCAACAAAATAATTGGAATTTCTGCTATAGGGCTTCATTAATATTCTGCATGTTTAATATAGGTCTGGAGTATACAATAATAACCAGTTTAACAAAAAAGGGCAAATGTTTTCTCCCGGTTGATTAATATTCGCCACATTTATACGGAAGGGCAAGTGTCAACATGGATGGGTAATGATGGCGGTGTCCTTCATTAATAATTCTGCATATTTTGAAATTATAATATTTGAAACTATGTGATAATATGTTACAAGTTCTGAGATCATTGGGCTTTAGAAATTAAAGATTACACCTGCTAGGTTGGGGTTGAATATGTCATTAGTTAAATTTACTAATTTTTCTTTTTTTTATCGGATCTCTTCAGTCCTGCTTTAAAATTGAAGCATTTAATCTGGAGATTCAGTTGAGCGGGGTGGGGGTGTCAACGGACGGACTGGAAGTTCACTGCTTTGCAAATTAAAATTAAATTCTAGTTTATCACCTCGAAATGGAATTTATTGAATCTTCATTCCATTGCAAAAATTACACATCTGACAACAGAACAGAAGCGCAGACCAATATTTAGAAGCCTCGGTAATAGGTTTTGCCCTGGGGTATTTGCCATTTAATAATGTTTGGTTGTTTTTGCTTAATTTGGAACATGTTAATTGTGCAATCAAAACATAACCGTAAAGCCTGACTCAGTGTTCACAATGTGAAGGACTTGTATACTGCTGCTTTTCCAACACAATACTAGTATCCTGCCTGACAGATTAGATTTTAACAATACTGTAGGTAAATTTAGTTTATTTAAGGATTCCAGTCTAGATCCTGTTGTTTTATCTGGCACCAGGATTATTGCAAATTTTGTTCTATTTAGCTGTGATATTTATTTAGAAAATGTATTCTTAATTATAGTGGTAAGCTTATCTTTACTTGAAATGTTTACACATTTGACAAATTTCTGCATGATATCTTGTACTCTCTGCAGAGATGGAAATAGATTAAAGTAGTGTATCTGGAAAAGATCAATTGATGTTCCAGCTCTACCGAGAGCCTCAATATAATGTCCATTACCCAGGCTGAATTTAATGCATATTTGCCTGTATGAGGTATTAGAAATGTTTGTAGCTTGTTTAGCTCCATTAATGTAAGAATCAAAATGGTTGAATTAGGTTAACTGCATTTTAAAGCATTTACTGCGTTTTAATTGCTGTGCTATCAGGAAAAATAATTTTCTATCCAGTCATAATAATGAATCTTATAAAAAAAATACAATTATAGAAATCCTCAGAAAAAAATATTTAATTTCTAATTTGTTAGGGGTGATTGAATCTTGTTGAATTAAGAATTTTGTTGCTAAAGTAAAAGTGTAAACTCCTCCCTCAAAACGGTTGAAAGCATTATATCGTACATATATCGTACATCTCAACTCACCGATAACAGCTGGGATACAGAGGTAACCTGCGGGCAAGATAAAAAGCGACCTAATTGATGATGTGAGCAAGCAAAATATAAAATATTAACAAAAGAAGGAACAAAAGAAAATAAATACTATAATAAAAAGAATTACAATAAGTACAAGCTACTCCTAATTGGAAGCATCTCAGTAAAAACTCACTGGATCCTGGTACATTTCAATCTCATAAACATAAGCAGTCCTGATTGTAATATTAGCATCTGAAGCATTTTTCTGAAACATGAAATCTGAATGTGATTAGTAAGTGGAAATGCCTCCATTGGCCCTCCCCCAGCACCTGTTGTGGTCCCTTTGATCAAATAGTTGAAACAGAACTCCACACTGTTATACAGTACTTACAGCTGCTTTGCATATGGTACACAAGCAGAATGCAAGACTTGGTGAACACGGGGAGTGTGAGCGTATGTGTTCGGCTGGCAAGTAGTCTGACATTTTATTAAGCAGAATCAGATAAGCACATTCACATTTTAGTATTGTCAGAAACACCTGCAATTCTATTGATGGGCTATTAATCACATAATTAACTGCACGTGTAATTCCGCCCATTCACACAAATCGGGCTTTACTGTCATGAACTGATTAGAATGGATCTTGTGAGAAAAGAGCCACTTGCTAATGCATTTTGTTCCACAACACAGCATATCAGCTATGAAACTCCTGACTCCAAATAAAACAGTATTATAGTAAAATAATAACTTAATTTGAAAAATTAAGGTTATACGTTAGAATACATCAGAATATACAGCACAGAAACAGGCCATTCGGCCCAACTGGTCTATGCTGGTGTTTATGCTCCACATGAGCTTCCTCCTGCCCTTCCTCAACTATGCCTTCAAGCATCACCTTCTAGTGGTTATAATCTCACAATTCCCACATTTCGCCCCTATATCAAATGCAAAAGGCGTTATATCAAATGCAAGGATTTTTATTATATTATCAAAGTACTTGACGTATTGGGTAACTTGCATCTTGAATGGAAACAAAACTGAATGGGCTCATCATAAGAGCGAGAGACCTTATACTAATCTTGTGAGTTCAATCCTGGACAGATAGACAACAGAATTAAACAGTTGATGCGGTGTTAACAATGATACCCAGTGATTATAAACAACGGTTACTGTGGATGCTTTTCGCACTGTGTGAATGATTCAAAAGGTCTCTGCAAATAAGCTCTGTTACTGTACCCTTGTTAAATCCTTGTGCAGAGTATTTTGTTCCACTAACCCTGGTAACAGATGATATAACACTTCACGCTTTCAAGTAAATCTTATGTCACAGTTTGAAGTTCTGTCACAGTTTTAAGTTCTGCCAATAAGTAAGTGCAGCTGATATTAAATGCAAAAGTCCACACTGTAAATTATATGTTTCAATTTAGATGTGTCATAATATCAAGTTAGTCAAACACAAGTTACGTTGTTGTCTATTAACATTTACATGTTTGTGAAAATGCATTTTATGTAGAAATGCCTTGTTTATCTGAACTCCAGGCCTGTCAGCACCTCAGCTATCTCTCAATGTGGTCTCTCAGTGTGATTTTTCTCAGCAGCTGTTTCCTAACAAAATTTCCTGACCAGCCATTGATTTCAAAATCATCTTTGCTGTAGCAGTTTACACAAGTTCAATATCTTCATCTCACTGCCCCGTGCCAGTTGAGCATGTCGGGTTCAATGGGGGCTTTTGTTGGTCAGCAAATTTAATGGGGAGATCCTATTGTAAGTGCATGCCACTTGGGTTAGAGAATTTACCGAACGCAATTTTTTTTTTAAAAAAGCCTTTAAGTTCCTTTTGGATGTGACATGAAGATCTCTTCAGTAGAGATCTACAATGTTCTGCTTGTGACTACATGCAGTGACACAAACGCACATCATTAAAGGCGGTACTCATAATGGGAGAGGAATATTGTGCTCCTTTTAACCTATGGCATCATACAAAGGTTATACATGTATTAAACCAGACTATTGGTGAAGTTACTGAACTTGGCTCTGGGTTTTAGAATGGGAAAATCCTACTTTAACCATAACTGACAAGCAGAATATAACTCCCAGACAAAGACTACTTTGGTTCTGACAACCACCATATTTACTGCTTTATTTAATGTTAAATCATTCCAAATCACTAGTTAATGTAATTTATATCAATCCATTTAATATTACAATATTGATACAGTACCTTTTACATTTAGGTTATTGCAGTTCAAAATAATGCCAAGCATGTAGGGAATAGCTAAATTACAACAGACAATTCTGGCAGTCCCACATTAATGCAGACTCTTTAAGATATCAATGAATTTTAACATTATCCTTGATTTTATCGCTAATTTGATTACCTGTACAATATTTCATTTTCTCACTCAATTACAGCCATCTGCTGCATTTTAAGCATTCTGCATACAACAGTATATCAGACCGATAATAGCCAGCTGTAGAACTTATATTTCACGTGTGGTCAAGGCTCGAGGGTTTGCATTAATAGCTTTTCAACTTGAAAGCGCCCTCTCCCTAACTTAAGTAGCATCATAAACATGTTTTCTGAGATAGACAGGAAAGTGGTTGACAGCTTTTACACTGATTGTTTATTAAAGGATGGAATCTATTTGGATGTCATTTTTGTGTAAAA